AGCATGTGTACAAGTACATAATTAACTGCATTTATATGGCCAAGAATACACAAAACACAGAACAAAATTTCTCCTCTCTACCTCTCTATTCTTTTGGTTTGATCTTTCTACCCAGGTACAAAGTATGATACAATATATATATATTATAAGATTTTACACTTTATATCTGAAGAGATGAGGAGAAAAAAAATTAAAAAAGGAAAGAAAACAAATATACATTCATTTAATAATTTATGATTATTTTATTTTATTGTCTCTGGTACCTCAGATCATGATGTGCTCCAACTATTCTATTTTTATAGGTTTCTGGAGTATTTACAATTGTATTAAATGTTGTGCTTGCAATGAAAAAAATGTAAGTTTGTTTTATATTAAGGACCATTTTGACCAAATCTTATCATATAAATCTTTTATCAAAATATCTTTATTATAGAAGTACTTCTCTGCAGATGCCTGGAATTTTATTTGAGTTTCAATCTCAGACCATAATGGAACAGTTTGTGTTCTCCAATGTCTTGCTAAGCATATCTTGAAGGCCAATAATATATTTATCATGAGAAATATAGTATGTTTGTCTGTAACAGGGAAATCTAAATGAAAAAGAAAAGTCTGAGGAGTTATTGTATAGGTAGAATTTAATATGTCTGTACTAGTTTCTGATATTTTATTTTTAAAGTTATCCAGATAAAAACACTCCCACCAAATATGTAATTGTGATCCCACATTTTGTTGACATCTCCAACATAGATCATTGGAGTTTGTTTGAAATTTAGCTATACGAGTGGGAACCAGCTATACAAGTGGGAACGAAGTATCTGTGAGCCAACTTATAAAACCATTCGTGAAGGTTAATACAGTGACCTGCTTTTCTAGTACTATTCCAAGCTTGATGCCAATTCTGTGTCGAAAATGACAAATTTAAATCAGTTTCCCTATTTTTGGAAAGCTTTAGGTTTGTCAATTATTTTTGTGTTAGCAAGAATATTTAAACTTTTTGAAACTAGATTTTTTTGGGGTGGTATATCAATAATGTCATTCCATATATTTAAGTCTGATATAAAATTTACTTGGAAAAAATGTTTGATCCTGATATATATAGGGATAAAAGTTCGATAGGAGTATGTTTAGTAAAAATGTTATTACAATTATATCTCTTTCTAATTTTATGTGCTGATAATATAATGTTCTTTATTAAATGACCCTTAATTTGCATTTTTTTAAAATAGATTAGGAGAGGACCAGCGTAAAAAGTATGGCTCACAAATTCCTATTCTGAATTTTTCAATATTGTACCAGCTTAGATTAGTCTCCTTCCTTCTCTTCCAAGCTAGCATATGGAAGAGTTGGAATGAGTCATGATAACGATATATATCTGGATATCCCAAACCATCTTGTAACATACTTCTCTTAAGGATTCTACTAGGGATCCTAGTTTTTTGGGATGCCCAGACAAATCTTGAAAACACCAAATCATTTTTTTTAGAATAGAATAGAATATGGTATAGTTTTGAATAGGTAGAAAAGTTTTGGGAGTACATATGATTTCAATACCCTGAGCCACCCCAGCTATGAGATTTCTAATCTCTTCCATTGAGTCAATAACATATCAAGTTCCCTCCACAGGTTTTCAGAATTCATTGTAATAGTTTCTAATATCTTGGATCTGATCACAATTCCTAAATAATCGATGTACTTTTGATATATATCAACTTGGCCAATATGGCCTATATCCTTCTTCTGGTTATCGGTCATATAGAATATGAATATTTGGGTTTTATAAAGATTTAATTTATAATTAGAAAGCAAGGAAAATAAATCTATTGCCTCCAAAAGGGATGGTATCGAGGATCCTGGCGAAGAGAGAGAGTGGAGAACACCATCCGCATATAACGTGATGACATGCTCTTGATGGCCAATCTTTATACCCTTAATTTCATTATTTTTTTGTATATAAGCAACCAATGGTTCAATTGATAAGGCATAAAGAAGAGGTGCCAAAGGGCAACCCTGCCGAGTGCCATTTTGAATGTTGAATTCACTAGTCAATATATGGACCTCTGACTTTCGTGGTTAGATTCATATAAAGAGCCTTAACTTGCTCTAAGAACATACCATCTATACCAAACTCTCGCAGAGTCTCCATCATAAACCTCCAATTTACTTTATCAAATGCCTTTTTGGCATCGAGAGCCATTAAAATAGATGGTTTGTTTAAGAATGATCTTCTCTAGAATGTTGAAGACTCTTCGGGTGTTCTCCTCTCCTGATCTACTGGGCATAAATCCAGCCTGGTCTGGATCGATAAGTTCATGAATCACTCAATTAAGTCTTTGGCCTAGGATCTTACAAAAAAGCTTTATGTCTAAATTAATGAGAGAAATAGGCCTATAGTTGGTAACTTGTGTTGGATCTTTCCCTGGCTTTAAGATAGGAGAGATACTGGACTCCATCATCTCTAAAGGGAAAACAGTATTTGTCCTAATTGAGTTAAACATTCTACTTAGAAGAGGATTAATAACTGGATTGAGAATTTGAAAAAAATAAAGTAGAAAAACCATCCGGACCCAGAGCCTTCCCTTTTTTCATTTCGTTTATTGCAGATGAAATTTCTGAAGTTGTAAAAGAACAATTTCAGGTATCAAATTTTTTTTGGGAGGGGATAAAGAGGGGAGATTCAGATCCTTCGGGAATTATTTCATTTCCATATTTTTAGTCACCGGATCTGGAAGATTATAAAGTAATTTATAATATTGGCTAAATGCCTTTCCTATCTGAGCTGATGAGATACAGGTATTACCGTCAAAAATAATTAGTTTTATTCTAGATTGCTGATTGTATATTTTTTATTTCCTGGTCGGTTCTTTTCCAGGTCTATTGTTGTTATAATACCAATTCCGTTTTATACGCAATAGTGATTTCTCTGCATTTTCTTGTAATTTTCTTCTTTTTTTTTTTTTTACCTTGGATAATCAGTATCTCATCTGCCACCTCCTTAGTGTGGTTTAACTTTATTCTGTCCTTCCAATTTTGTCAAAGAAATATGTAATTCTGCGATATCTCTACCCCCTCTCTCTTCATCCAGGATACCTTTTTTATCAGATATCCTCTTAAAAAGCATTTCAAGGTGCACCATAGAGTACGATCTTTGACTTCCCCATTATCATTGAACTCTAAGAAATCATTAGCCTGTTTAATCAATTCTTGTTTGCTCTATTCTGATTTTAATATAAATTCATTCATTTTCCATTTAGACGGAGAACCATTTTGATAGTTGCCCTTAAGACTTAAGAATGTCGGAGCATGACCCGACCATGTGATATTTCCTATTCTGGAGTTGATAGCCATCTTCGGGGTAGGACCAAGCATCAGAAAGAAATCAATTTGTGAATATGAACCGTGCGGGGAAGAATAGAAAGAATAATCTCTTTTCTCTGGGTGATGGACCCTCCATACATCATAAAGATTATTCTTAAAAAGAGAATTTAAAAAAAATTTGGCCTTAGTTCTAGTATAAATTTCATATTTACGATCTTTGATTAACTTAACTGACTTTCTATCTTTGTCAAAATCACAAATACTATTTAGATCTCCTCCTATTAATAATAATAATAATAACAAAGTATTTCACCAGGAAAGGTACATTCAGATTACTCAAGTTTTCAAGTACGTCCTGGGGATGTTACCTTAGCCTAACATCCAGGGGTTGTTACTACCAACAAACCTTTAGAAATTTTCTCTATAGCTTCAATAGAATGATTTCAAAATTTGACTGAATATTCAGATGGTGCATATAAGCTAACAAGGGTGTATATATAATGTCATTAACACGACAAATCAGGATTATATATCTGCCTTCATTATCTGCATCATGATGTATATATTCAAATTTAATTGTATTAGAAACAATCACAGCGACACATGCTTTCTTTTTTTCTATTAAAGAAGATGTATATACGTGGGAATCTAGAATATTTCCATAATAGAGATTGATTTCGTTTCCAATCTTATATTAGAGCCACATCAATATTTTCTTTAACTAGTAGATCATATAAAAATGATCTTTTGTATAGAGAATTCAGTCTCTGCGAGTTTATTGTAACCAGTTTAAGAAACATCAAACACCATTGAATCAGCCTCCAGTCCTCCTATTTTATTTACACACACACCCTGAGACACCAGAGAACAATCCGTTGGGGTAAAAAAATTAAAAAAACATATACGAAAACATTCATACAAAACTCATTTATACATAATCTTCCAGAAGTACATTCTGCATCACAAGCAAAAGGAAAAATCCCTGTACCATCAGGGATAAACTAGGGGTTTTAGAAGTGCCTTTTACAGAAATTATATTTAGTTTTAAAATTATCAATAATAAGTCTATCAAGAGAAAAAAAAATAAGAAAAATTTTTTTTTCTCTTTTTTTGCCTTTTTTTTTTTTAGAAAACAGTTATATAAAAGCATAAATAAGATAAGTAAATAGTGTTTAGTGTTTTCCTTATTACTTATAATCAGATACGCAAAAAGCCTGTTTTATGTCGGGAAAAAAACTAGTAACCGTCCTAGATCTTAATCCAGAAAATTATAGTAACTCATTTTTTTTGTTGCTTAAATATTATACACTTTCAATTCTGTGCTGGTGAACATCAATTATCCTTTTATCAAGTGTTCAAATTTTCTATTCAATGCATTAGAGAAATCCGTTAAATCCTCTAGCATATATATATATCTCAAAAGTGTCAAAAAGTGTAATAAGAGAAAAAGAAAAAAAGGAACTCCCACCTCTTAATTTATTTTCTAGATAACTATAATATCACATTCACATTGTTTAATTATTATATAACTTCTATTCTGTGACTGTGAATTTCAATCTCTAAGAGGAGTATCAATTTTAAAATTATATACAACTTCTATTCTGTGGTGATTATTAAGTGTTCATAATTCTATACCGTATTTTTTTTTTATCTTTGACAATTTTTATTGAAGTTTTATAGGGGTACAGAAGAGAATAGGGATGGGGGAGCAGTGGTAACGTGACGTATCTCATACACATTGACCTTAGGACAGTGTACACATTTATCATACACGGCTTGCTTTTCATACAATCATTGTGTTACATCGTGTTGCCCTGATTGGGTCTGCTGATTATTGTCTACCCCATGCCCTGAGGGGGGGGCTCACATCGGTCCCTTCCGGGGTGGCAATCGTCTGGGTTTGTGTTTGATGCTGGGTGTAGAGCCTTGGTATTTCATATACCACTGGGGTGGGGGGTGAACCATAGAAGAGGATCAGAGTGGGGGACGGAAGGGAGGGGGGGAATGAAGGGGGGAGGAGAAAGGGGGGGGGGAGAGGGTAGGGCTCTCCTAGGTAGTCGGCTGTGTGTGGTCGTTTCTGCAGGACTATCTGTCCTACATGTGTTTTATTTGAGTTGCGGCATTATCGTTGTGTTTGCAGTCTCCAGAATTATTTACATTTTCATTTACAGTTGCATTGACCTTTACATTTAGGCCCTTTGCTACAGTTTAGTTGTCGAAGGGGCACAGCTGTCGGTTTGTAGATCCCTGCTACCGTCATCTCAATTGGGGGGTTATATTATTAGTACGCTCCATGTACAGTTGCCAGGTTTCCCAGACTTGTGACCAAACTTTTTTGAAGTGGTTTGAGCGTCTAGCTGCCAGCTCGTAGAGCTTAGTTGTTTCTATCGTTTGTATGCATTCTGATATTTTGGGTGGAATATTAGATTTCCAATGTCTGCTAATGACCGTGAGCGCGGCTATAAGTATGTGATAGATTAAGTATTTTTGCCTGCTCCGCAGCCCCTTTGGAAAGAGGTGGAGGAGGTATATTTCTGGTTTGCGGGGTAGTAGCGTTTTTGTGCTGTCTTGGATAATGGTGGTTATGGTATTCCAGTAGGGTGTTAAGGAGGGGCATTCCCACCAAATGTGGAGCATTGTGCCCTTGTGTTGTCGACATCTCCAACAGGTATCGGAGGCCTGTGGATAGGTGGCCTTTAGGCGTGTGGGTACTAGGTACCACCGGTATAAAATTTTCCGGGATAGTTCCATGTGGGAGGCACATTTGGAGAGTGAATTGTGTGCCAGGAGAATCTCATTCCATTGTTTTTCACCAAGAGCATATGTAAGTTCCCTCTCCCATGCAGCTATGAAGGAGAGGTTTTTGTGGTCCTTTGGGGGATGCATAGTCTGGTATAGTTCAGAGATGAGTTTTTTGGGGATTGCGAGACGTGAGCATATTTTCTCTACCACCGTCAGCTGTAGCCCCTGTACATTGTCAGGTCCTGTTATAGTTTGCTTGCGGAGCCATGATTGCAACTGCATGTAGGGGAAAGCTGCCCTCGGAGTCAAATTATAACATGCTGTTAGGTCTACGAGATTTCTGAGCTTGTTTTCCTGGAGCAGCTGGTGTAAGTGTGTTACTCCGTGCTGATGCCATACGGTGTAGTTAAAATTAGGTATTATATAGTGTAGTGTTTGTATGGGCATGGCAGGCGATATTTTGCCCAGCCAGCCCAATGTGCGGCAGTACCTGTCCCATATGGTCAGAGTGAGGGCTGTGGTTGGGAGCAATTTTGCCTTAGTAGGCCTGCTGTGCTGGGGAAGCCATGCCAGTACATTGATGGGAATGTTATTAGCATGCTGCGCCTCCAGTTCCATCCATTGGGTTGGGTGGTCTCGATGACAAGCCGCTAGTAGGGGGCCCAGAATGGCTGCTCTGTAGTAGCTGTCTAGGTTGGGCACTCCCATTCCCCCATTTTTGCGTGGCATGTATAGCGTGCTTTTCGCTACCCGTGCTTTTTGTCTGTCCCATATAAAGGTTAGTAGTGTTTGTTGAGCATCTCGTATGAATGTGGGGGGTATCTTTATGGGTAACGTTCTAAACAAGTATTGCACTTTAGGTACAATGATAATTTTAATTGCGGCAATTCTCCCTGACCAGGATACGAATTTACTCTTCCATCCTAGTAGTAGGTTTTTATTTCAGTCAGTGTTTTTTGATAGTTTATTTTAAAAAGGTTTGCTAGATTTGACGTGAGATTGATTCCTAGGAATTTTAGATGGTCGTTTCGCCAGTCGTATTTAAAAGAGATACGCAGCCTATCCAAGACCTCCATCGGGATATTTATGCCCATTGCTTGAGTTTTATTTATATTAAGTTTATAATAGGAGCACTTGCTATATTGGGTGAGCGTATCGTGGAAGTTAGGTAGGGATATGTGTGGTTGCTCGAGTGTTAAGAGGATGTCGTCTGCGAAAAGTGTGAGTTTATGTTCCTTGCCTTGTCTCATAATGCCGTGTATGTTTGGGTTGTCCCTAATGAGTTGCGTGAGAGGTTCTAGCGAGAGAATATAAAGGAGAGGCGATAGTGGGCAGATAGTTGTTTAGAGCTAAAGCCCCCATTGGTGACTTTCGCTGTCGGTTTAGAGTATAATGCCCTTACTAACCGTAGGAAAGTGTCTGGGAAGCCATATTTGATCAGAACAGCTTGGAGGAAGGGCCAATGCAATCTGTCGAAGGCTTTTTCAGCGTCAAGTGACAGCATAACGCATTGGGCCCCCCCTCCGCTTCCTCCCTGTAGTAGGTCCAAGATCTTTCGGGTATTCTATACCGTATTTTAAACAGGTCGGAAGAGACCTTTAACATACTTATAATCCTCCTCCCCCCCCCAAAAAAAATAAAATAAATTAAAATATTCAAAAATACCTTGCATGCACTAGAAGCACTCTTATCAGAACCTCTTGTGTACATATTCCCTTGCACATTTCAAGACTGTTTTAAAATAAATGTTTAAAATTACAAAAAGGAAAAAAAAAATTATAATTTCCCCTCTCATACCCTCCTCGTTTTTTTTAGTTTTTTCCTTCACTCTTCTTTTATTTCCTTTCCCTTAGCGAGCTGAAGGAAAAAGAAAGGAAAAAAATGTACAAAAAAAATATATTTCTTGTTGCTTATAATTTTACAATTTTAGTCCCCATGCCATTAATTTATCTGCGACTTGCTTTGGGTCCAAACATATATAGGTTCTCTCTTTAGAAGAAACACGTAATTTGGTAGGAAACCCCCATGAGTAAGGGATGTGATTTTTATGTAGACATGCAGTCAGGTCCTGATATTTCTTTCTGTTTAATCTCGTTGATAATAAGAGACCCGTAAAGGTAGACAGCGTTTGGAATTTTAGATTCTTTGATGAGTTCTTCCTCATCTCTCTGGTCAGCATCTCTTTAATTCTACAATTGGCAAAGCAGATTATCACACCTCTAGGACTCTTTGAATTAGATTGGTTGGCTTCGGTAGTCTATGCACACTTTCTATAGATATTGGGCCATATAATTTTGGGTCCAAGTAGATAGTAGTGATGCAGCTTCAACATGGATGCTGTCCAGGAGGTGGGAGGGTTTGGGAGGGAGGGTCTGCTGGAGATTGGCCAGGATGTGTCAGCTGACCGGAGCTCGCCGCGAACCGTGGCGAGCCGTTCGCGGGAAGTTCGCGAACGGTTCGCAACATCTCTAGTAGATAGCTAATGGTTCCATCAAATATTCTTCGAGGTTCACAATTTCTTCTGGTATTCCTCTAATTTTCAGGTTTTGTCTATGAGATCAATCGTCAAGATCGGTCAGATTCGTATCCATTTTAGTAATATCCGCTTTTAGTGAATCATTTTGGTTTTGAAGATCGTTCAATTTTTGATACAATATAGCAATTTCCTGGGATTGTTTCAATAAGGAATTTCTTAGTTGAGCTATTTCTTCTTCTTCTTTATAATCTGATATTTTTTTCAAGATCTGATCTGATTTAATTTTATCATATAATGATGCTAATGCAGCAACAAGGCTTGCTTGAGTGACATAGCCCAAATGATTAGGTGTATGCTCAGCGTGTGACCATACATTTTTCAAAAGATTATTTTTCTGATAGTGTGGACAAGGTTCATTTGACTTTTAGAGGAGTAAAAGTTGCTAAGAGTTTGTGATTTATTTTCTTTAGCTGTGTTATCTCAGCTTTTTTTTAAACTTTTTTCACTCATCTCCTTTTGGGGCCATCTTTGACACAGGATTTTCAATTCAGTAGAAGAGGAAACTTGTTATTTTTTTTTCCTTTTTCTTTTCTTCTATCCTAATTTTTTTTCTTTATTCTTTTTCAAGCAATCTCTCCCCTCTTTTGGCTTTTTAACTTTCCGTTCTCCCTTTCTCCACCATCTTTAATTAGTCACTAGCCTTTTATTTATTTTTTGCTGATAAATTATATGACCATCAAATTTCTAATTTGGAAATCATTTTATCAATTTTATATCTTAAGGTGTTCTGTTCAGCCTATTATAAGCTGTTTGTTTGTGAACCTCTATTATGAAATTGGTCAGGGCCATATAGAAGGTGGAACTGCGTCTTTTTTAAACAGTGAAACAGCATGTTTTTTCCTTGTCCAGCTGTATATAGTTACCTCCACAGCCAATTAGTTGGCATGCATGGCATACACGGAGCCCTGCCCAGGTCTCGCCCTAAACCTCCTCCCGGACAGCGGCCCGCCAACCCACCGGTATATAACAACCAAATTGGTCTCACGTGGGTTTAGTGGTGAGTCTCCGATCGATCATTCATGCCGCAGAAAGCCCCTCTCTGCTCTCAATTACATTTCCTCTTAAGTTGTAGTCAATCAGTTTTTTTTTTTTTTTTTGTGTATAGTAGGCAGACTAGTTTTTTGTGGTTTTCGCCACGGGTCCCTCACATGTCCCCAGAATTCCAGTCAATCACTCCAGACGCCCCAGTGCTTGTACATTCATTCAGTTCCAGCTGATCAATTCAAATCCCTCTTTTTCTGCCTGCGGCATTCAGGGACCACGATCTTCAGCACTCCGACATGCCCCAAATATACGTGTCGCGTCACTTACGTCATGACGTTGAACCTTGTCAGTTGTAAGGATCAACAATATGTTCTATTTACTTCGCTTTCTTAGATTTGCATGTTTGGACATCCTACCAATTCTGTCAGAGGGATTTATCAAGAGAAAAATAGGTGTTGGAGTCAAATATTAATAATCACCATGGAAACCAAAAGAATGTCTCTCAGCATTCTGCAGCACATATTTTGTCCTCTATAAATTTCCTCCAGGTAAACAGTATAGCCTTAATTCAAAATGGAAGCCATGTGAAATATAAAAAAAGTGTATAATAAAAATTATATGATACATTCACAGAATCACGGCCTAACTTTCTCTACTTGACTTTTATCAAGGTCTTATTCTTTTGTAAACCTGACACAAACTTGTCAGCATGGTAAAATGGTAGCTCTGCTCCATCATTTTGCACAAATACTCTGATTTGTGTCCCTCTTCTAGAGGTGGGAAACAAGAGTTAAGAGAAATAAGCAAAAATAGAGAAGGGAGAGACACAGATGGGGAGAAAAAGCACAAGAAGAAGTTGTGGAAAAAAGACACATGGGAATGGTTTTATATAGGAACGCAAGAGAGACAGAATGGAAGGGAGACTGGTATGAGAGATTGGGGGAGTATGGAGGGAAAAAGTGTGAAGGGATGGGGAATGGGATACAGTGAAAGGCAGGATTTGGGGAGGAAGACAGAGACACAAGTGTGATTGGAGAAGAGGGAGAAAAAGAGATAAGTTTGGGGAATGGGGAGAGAGACATCCATGAGAGGTAAATGGAAAGGGACTCAGCAATGGGAGGCAGACATAGGTGTGGGGGAGACAAAAGGAATATGTGTGGATGGATAGGAAGTGATACAGGAGTTGAATGAGATACGAAGTATAAAAGATGCATTAGAAATGACACATTTGTCCTTTTAAGATAGTAAAGATGGGAGTTAAAGTAGGTGCTTCCCTCTGTATTTATTTTTTAGAACTTGACCTACTGCTTTACAACAAAGCAATCTTTTTATTTTTGAAAATATCTCCTATAATCTTTACTTGTAAAAGGAATTGTGCCCACAATTACTACATCTAGCCATGAGGCAGCAGATGTACATGCCTGGTAAAAACCTTGTTTTTCACGCGGTCCTCGATCTCTTAGAAAATCTATCCGCAAAAGAAAAATAATCATTTTTTTTCCTTAAATGTTTGGCTTGTAAAGGTTTGTTTTAATTAATGTTTTTATTGAGTGAAAAATGTAGTAATGTAACAAATAAAACAATATAAACAATTGATGTAAACCCTAAATTCAATGATCATTAGGAAAGGACAGACTAAGGTAGAGGGTTCTCCGATGGAAATCAAGGATTATTATTCTTTTTATAGATTGCAGTTTCAATGGGCAGAAGATGGAGGTACGTGGCTAAGTGCTCACTATGGTGGATTGTAAGTATGAAAACCTCACACTGCAGCTCTTAATGTGAAAGAATAGAAGGTGATATTTTGCAGCGCTTTTAAAGAGTTCCCTGGGGTGAGCTATGGAACAGAAGCAAAGAGGAACACATTCACAGGCAATTCACTCACGTGATCAACACCACTATCTAAGACGTGTTATAGAAAGCTATTTGTGATATTTCCAAATTTAAAGGGAGACCGTCACTTACCAGTATGTTTAATATTATGCTTACTGATCCTCTATTGTCAACAAATGTTTAATAAAACAAATTCTTAAATATTTGCTGTCAGTCATTTCGTAAGTACTGTCCTTTGTATTTAGCGGTCAGCAAAGGGAGTATAGAGAGAGGACGAGAAACAAATAATGTTCCAGTCCAAGTTGTGCCCGAAATGAACTGGACTGTGACGTTAATTGCTAAATCTTTAATATACACTTAAAGGGACACTGTAAAGACTATATCTCTTACATCTCATTGAATTGGTAATAGTGTCCCGAGTGCTGTCTGTCCATTCAGTGCACGTTCACTGTGGAATCTTATTTAGCAATAATACAATAAAAGGTTTAATGTTGAATGGAAGGATGGCGCCAATGAACTCCAGACACCATAACCACTTCAATAAAATCAATCTGTTACAGTGGCTATCATGTATCTTCAAAAGAAAATTGAGCATCACATGTTAACACAAGTTATATGCGATTTTCAATGTGTCATACAATTATGGAATTTGCAGAGAAGTTCTGGTTCCTGTTTAACCCCTTAAGGACACATGACATGTGTGACATGTCATGATTCCCATTTATTCCAGAAGGTTGGTCCTTAAGGGGGTTAAGCCAGTAAGTTACTCTGCCAGGTGTTGAAAAAGTCAATTATTTTTACCTTGCCTTTAGCAGTCCAAAATAAACAGAACAGAATAATTAAATAAAATTACTCGTAGTCTGTTCAAGAGATTTAAATATATATATATATATATATATATATATATGTCAGTTGCAGGCACAAACAAGCAAACACAAAAAAATATATAATAGCTCAATTTAAAGAGGCCTAATTAAAGAAAGAATAGAAATGCTAAATCTGCTTGGTGGTTGGTGCCCACAGATAGCAAGAAAGTAAAACGCAAAATAACACTCTAATGGCAAGTGGTTCATCTAATTGCTTTATAGACGGAAACTGTGCTACATGACTACATTGTTGCATTTTATTTTTAAACTTGTAGTTCAATTAAAATTCTGAAATATTTCCATACAAAAAGTTAAATGAGCACTCTAGGGTCAGGAACACAACCATGTGTTAAAACCACTATCTAGCCCCTTGGCCCCCTTTGCCTGCCTAAAGATAGTAAAATCTTACTTGTATTCAAGTGCCAGTGAACTTCCTCTGACCTCATCAGAAGTGGTGGCCTGATCAAATCACAATGCTTCCCCATAGGATTGGCTGAGACTGACAAGGAGGCAAATCAGGGACAGACCAGCACAATTCAAACACAGCCCTGATCAATCAGCATCTCCTCATAGAGATGAATTGAATCAGTGAATGTCTATGAGGAAAGTTCAGTGTCTGCATGCAGAGGTAGGAGACACTGAATGTTTGGATGCATTTTAGGCAGCCATGACCCAGGAAGGATCTCTAACAGCCATCTAAGGAATGGCCAGTGAAGTTATCACTAGGCTGTAATGTAAAGACTGCATTTTCTCTGAAAAGACAGTGTTTGCAGCAAAAAGCCAGAAGGTAATGATTCTGCTCACCAGACCAAATTCAATAAGCTGTAGTTGTTCTGATGACTATAGTGTCCCTTTAAAAAAAATAAAAAATAAAGCCTTTCGTAGGTATGTAGAAACATAAAAATAAAGTAGTTATTTAAAAGAGATAGAGGTAGTGTATTGTGCCTGGGGGGAAAAAACTATAAACCTTGTTTTTCAGCTTTTTATTCACAAAACCATCTGACTATATGGCTTGAACATGTGATTTTGGCACGTGCAATCTGATGGCAGTTTTGCAATCACAGACCTGATCACCTTTGCAACCCATTATCTTGTTTAGCTTTGCCAACAAACTGCAGAAACAGTCAAAACAAAGCAATGACAAACTTTTTTTTTTTATCTGTCTCTGATATAGTAGGGGATAGGAATTACAGGAAGAAGTCACTATTAACACTTTTAACTGAGTAGTTATGTGCTTGCAGAGGTAAGGTGAAAATGCACATGATATCCTACAACTGCAATCTGCATTGCAGATCACTTGGGTTAGATCAAGCAACATACTGTCATAAATACTGATATCCTACAGAACTGATAGTTAAAGGTAAACTATAGGCACCAAGAACACTTCAGCTCATTGAAGTGGTCTCGGTGCAGTGCCCCTGTCAATTAATCCTGGAATTGTAATTATTGAAGTTATTGATAAACTGCAATGATTACATTGTAGGGTTGACTCCATCTCTACCAGACAGCCACCAGAGGCGCTTCTGGGTTGTTAGGAGACTTTTGGTCGCCAGACATTGGATGTCCTCAAGCTCTGCATGAGTACATCCAGTGTCAGCAAAAACATCATAGGAAAGCATTATTACAATGGGTTTGTCCTAATGTGAGCGTGACGCTTGATGTACATGTGGACTAGGTCCCCATCTGCTGACATCGGGGGAGGAGACTGACCCAGGATTACCTGGATTCAGGTAAGTGACGGGGGGCAGGAGGCACTACAGGGCTAGGAATACAACTTTGTGATCCTAGCACTATAGTTTCCCTGTAGTCAATTAACTCTGGCTTTCTTTCGGACTACATTTCTCATGATACTCTGTCAGACGCCTATGGAAATGCAGTCCACAACATGCAGGACACAAAATGCTGTCCTGGAGACTTCTGTAAAAATGGTGAGAGAAGGGCACTTCGTCACACAAATGTACAAGTCTTGTTTGGCACTTGAAAAAGCCTACCTACTAGGTGAAATACATTGTGCACTATTTTGTTATTACTATTGTTATAATAAAGTTTACACTATATTACACGTTTGGACCTTCCTGATTTCCCTGATAGTGGAACATCACTTTACTTGATGGGGAACATACCACCAAAGCAATTGGAGTGAGTAAAACCTTTTTTTGCTCTTTAAAAAATAGACTACATCTCCTAATGTTTAATGCCTTTTTAATCCACACAGTGTGCATTATATATTATATTCTGGTTTTATACCCACGGTGAGGATTTTATCTACCTATATCCAAGAGAGGATTCTGCACATAAATCCCAGGCCTTATAGAAGGAACCATCTAAAGGCTCCCATAAATGTGAGTGTGCACTTATACAGTATTTATTTTGGTTTACTGACATACTACACTATTTTGGTATTTTTATTCTGTGTATGTTACATAGCCATACTACACTTCGTTGGATCAAGATCTCAGACCTATATTCTAAGGCAAGGATTGTACTGCCCTGGCACTTCATCTGGAGCTAAGAGATAGTTCCTTATGCTGTTAGTAAATATTTTTTTTCTCTTTAATCTGAAGTCTTGACATACTGCACTATCTTTTTCCTCTTTTTCCTCTGTATATCACCCTGAATTTGAGGACTTCTCCAAAATGCTGCTCCCTAATCTCACCTTCTGAATTTTTTTAAAGATCATTTAATTTTCAAGGTTTTTATTCCTAATGGGAAAATAGTGGCTTACATCTGGAGAAACAACAAGATAAACACAAAAACAATGAATGTAACCAAATGTTGTTTATTAAAAAATATTTGTAACAAAAAAAACACAACTCTCAAAGAATAAACATTGTGATCACTGTACAGTCACCAATGTGTACATTTCAGGCTCCCGGATGTCAGCATGCAGCTGTTAAAAAGAATAAAAATATATATATATATATATTATATGAATGCAATACAAATAACAAATACAGCACAGCACATCAAAGAATGATTTGGTATTGCACAATGTGCAGAAATATTTTGAGATATATTTCATTGTCAAGACAATACAAATAAAATAATTATTTATAGTCGCATTACTTTAGTAGAAATTCCAGTAAATGTATAGATATTAAGCACTCATGGGATATGATCAGAACCCATGTCCCAGAATGAGAGGTTCTTGATTGGCTGAGCTTCTTCCTGGTGTGACGGACCGGCCTGAACCTGTAGATTGCTACTCTGAGCTATGCAGTTTCAGGATATTAAAAAGTATATTTTTCCATTAATGTTTTAACACATTATCTATATAATAATGCATGAATAAGGGCCTTTTAATTATTAAAATAATAGCTCCAAATGAAATATATAATGTATCTTTACCTTAAATTATATAATCATTGCTTTAGGAGCTATTCTCCATTATGATAAACCTGTCATAACTAGGTTTTAACCACTTTTGAAATCAATATTAGTTTAAACATTATTCCAAACAAATTAACATGACTAATATTAAGCTAGTGTACATTTAGCTGACATTACTGGCAGATGTTCCGTGTGCGTCACAAGAGATCATTGTAGGACAAGAGTCATCCCTTGGTATGGCACGCAAGGCTACTAGACTCAAAAGACCCGCTCAGTAGATCGGAGGATCTCCTCAGCATACCCAGAGGGAACCTCTGCAAGCACAAGGGAGCATGTGGTCTGCACCTATAGCAGATGAAGACCACAGTATCTTTTCCTACAAGCAAAAGTCAATGGGGAAATAAAAACACAAGTGGTTGGCAGAGCATGATAAGAATTTTAGCCCTTAATAGCTTTATTAGGCAACTCAAAATTTTAACAGATACATAAAAAAATATACGTAATAACGCACTTGCACTAACACAGCCCTATAGTAGTAGTATGTTTTTTCCATGTGAATCAGTAACTTTCAATACAACCGACCATCTTCATGAGAATCTTTAGAAAAGAGATTTGCCATCAATACTTTATGAAAAGCATTTAACTGAACAATGCCCAGAACTAACAAGGAAGTAAGCACTGGGCAAAAAGGGGGTCTCCATTAGCTACAAATGTAAGTAATGTAGCTAATGAAAGGTAGGTTCATACAGTTTAAGTAATATTTCAGGAAATTTTAGTGAAATCATACTTTTTTTCAAATATTAATTACATGCATTAAAAAACACACATTTTTGGACATATACAGGGTTATTCTCTAGACTAAGAATTCAAAGTTAATTTAAAATTTAAGGTGAAAGAAGCTGAACTGGAAATATTCTCTAAGTCAGCTATGCTTTCCGATTGGCTACTGTGACCTTAAATTTTAATTCACTTTGATTCTCACTTTACCGAGTTGCCCTTAAATGTTAAGAGAGGCAACACAGAAAGATCTAAGGCAGAATACACAACAAACCAACATCTTCAAAGAAAGTGGGAGTCTATTTGGCATAGCGACCATCGTTAATACTGTTACTCACCTCGATTTACATTTCGCCACACTGAGCAATAATAACTGGTAGCTTGGGCTTATTGTTGGGACCTGTAGGTACATTCTGAAATGTGGAGATCAAATGTTGAAACGGAAAGCCTTAGATAGCTTTACAATACATAACATTTACAAAAATATAATTTTTACTACCGTGCATAATAGGGATAAGTAACTCTTTCTCTACATGCTTCTAATTAAATACATTGTGTTGGTTCAGAACTGGCCGTAGTCCTATAATCATTGAACATTGTCTTAAAGGAACACTCTGGGGCAAAGTCCACCACCCGGTTTTATTAGTTTTTTGTTTGCCTTTGACTCTACCCCTTTCTTACAGCCATCTTTATGCACCTGCAGTCAGATTGTCAGTAAGAGCTGCAAAATAGTGAGCATGTAGTCAGTAAATTGATAATCTGACAAAAGGTGCATAAAGATGGTTGTCAGAAAAACAGGAAGTGGGAAAAGTAGGCAAGTGATTTTTCAAAACTGTCAAAGTACATAAAAACAAAAAAAATTAGATGATATATTATAACAAACATTTTAAAATACAGAATTTTTTTAAATCACAAAAGTGTTCCATAAGTACAGTAATTGACAAAGTATAACAAACTCAGACAGCGTGCATTGTAAGTCAACAACGGAAATACCTTTGCACATGGTTATTACTATAAAATTAATCAAACCAAGATAAAAAGCGTTGTCAGACTTGAGACCGAAACGTTGTTTCTTGTATCTAGGTATTCCAATTAAAGATTGCCTTACATCTGTCTATAGTGGAGTGCATGAACCTTATCGTCGTTTTATTCAGCATGTATGAGATTGACCACATCCGGTAATTGAATGTGACTAGAATTAACAGAATCCTCTGTATGCAGTCACTACCACTCTGTGGACAGTAATACATTGCTGGCATCATATAATGTGTGATTTGGGCAATAAAAAACATATATATAAAAAATATTTTTGTTTATTTTTAATTTATCTTTTATCCATATTATTTTTTTTTATTTAAAATCTGATTTATTTTCATAAAATGCTTTTGAATGAAAACTTTATCTAAGGATAGCCTTCAATTTAAGATACATTATGATCTTCTGCTCCATAAATCCAATAGGCATCTAGAGAACAAGCATATATGGGGACACAATAGTTAAATACCACTTATAGATTGAAAAATATTTATTGAATTGTGCAACTAATATGATGCATTACATGGAGTGATTTTTACATTAGGTTTTATTGTGCTTATACAACACTGTCTGTAGAGATTTTTTTTTCACTGTGAGAAGCAACATGCCTTTTTACCTCTTTTCAACAGCCTTGCCAAATATTCAGTCACACACACACACAAACCAAACACTGCTGACTGATGGGACTGCACTCTTCCAAAGCTACATGGAGGAAGGAATATTGCCTTTAAGCAAAACAAACAAATGCCCTCCCTTGGTACACAGAGCAATATGGAAGAAGTTTAACAAATTTACCTGTACAAGGTGCTTCATGGCACCATGCACGTGGTTTGTAAAAGTAAGGATTATTGAGTGAAAGTACAGAGCTATGCTTTACAGAAACAACCGAGTCTTTGAACTGATTAATGTTTTATTGTAGACACCAGCAGGCAATAAACCAAGTTTATCAGTGTTGAATTGGGTGTGCCCAAGACATTTTTTTTCCACACCCAGGACATGTTGTTAAGAGCAAGAAAACGTGTTTGCAGAGACTGCAGGGATTTGTTCACTAAACAGTGAGTTGTGGTAAAGCTTGCAGCCATTTTTATAAAATATGGTTTAAAATTGGCAAGCTGGGACTTATTTTCCATTGGGATTAGTTTTCCTTATATTGTATGTTCTAGCCCTTCCAGGTGTGAGTTGTCCTAAATTTCACATAATTCTCTGCGAGTCACCAAAGAATTTTGGGAAATGTCCAACAGCAGCAAGAAGGATAAAATGGATTAAAAATGGATCATTGTATTATCACCAGTACATTATATGACGTTAGACTAAAAACAACTGAATTACCTCAATTTTTCTCATGACTAGAAGTCCATCAATAACTTTGCCTAAGAACAGAAATATAGCCATAATCAGATCATTTGCAAAAAATATTTTACACAGCATTGTAACACAATTGCAAAACAACAAAATAAGTTTTCCCACCCATGGCAGTGATTCTTAACCTTTGTTAACAAGGACCCAAATTGTGTACGCTGTATTATTTTGCCATTTTAGTCTTCAATTGTAAAGTTCACTCCATGACTAAATACTAAAATGCATTAAAAAAAATCCCTTTCATTAGACGTTTTGCATTGCAGCTCCAAAGTGGTCTCCGTTGAAATGGAAAAATCATAGCATTCTGCAATAAACAACTTACTGTGGGTAGCTTACTGTGGGTACTAGTCTAGGATTTGATTACACAATGTGCTTTCTCCAGCCAATCAGGATCCAGTTTTGGGTTCTGTCTTAAGAGAGTTAAGAACCTCAGTTCCATGTCATTTATATGCTGTGTAGCAGTTATAAAATGTACATTTTGTTTTATTGATGTAATAAACATGATTGCAATTAGACAGTCATGTGAGTGCTACCTCTCAGACAGACTACATTGGAGCTTTGTGAAAGCGATAATGGAGCAATTAAAATCTACAGAGAGGTTTTGGACTAGGGACTATGATTTTCAATAATTTACGATAATACTGTCAGATGTAATGGGAGTAGCTTTTCTTAGCTTTGTGAAAAAATACATTAATGATCTTAAATAATAATAAAAGCACAACTGAAAACAGCTATCATAAACTTAACATTTTATTAAAAATGACTCACGTAAATGTCAAGCAATTTGTGCACCTTGCTATTTTGTCCTTTTTTGTATTTTTGTACTTTATTAACACATGGATTAAAGGAACATTGTATCTGAACATGTGGTTTTTCTCTGCCCTGAGTCTCCAAGAGTACTCTTGTTTTGTTAGTACTTGGGATGCTGATACCAGATGCAAATTAGAATCATTCTGAAAGACAGCCAGTAGAGGAATAGGAACTGCTAAATGTAAACATTGCAGATTCTATTAACCCCTTCAGGACGGAGTCAATAGTACACGTTCTAATCGAAACAAAATGTAAACAAAAACTGGAATTTGCGCTATATGTCTGTTCAACCGTAATTCACCTCTTTCATATAAAGTGCACCCACTCTTATTATATATCATTTTATTCAGGAGAAACAGGGATTTAATTTCACATGAACTATTCATATATGAAACAATTTATTATAAATAAAATTAAAAAAAATCAGTGAGAAAGTAAATTTTTATTAAAAAAAAAATGTGTAGTTCCGCCTCACATTTTAGCTGTAAATGTCATATTACTGTTAGCTTTAACTGCAAAAAAGCACATATTTGGATTCAGAAAAGTCTCATGAGTACAATAGATTTTACGGTGTTTTGGAAAGTTACAGGGTCAAATATAGCACATTCCATTTTTCAGGTTTTTCACATTGAAATTTGCTAGACTAGTAATGTTACCTTTGAGACCGTGTGGTATCCCAGGAATAAGAATTACCCCCATGATGGCATACCATTTGCAACAGTAGACTACCCAAGGTATTGCAAGTGGGGTATGTCCAGTCTTTTGTGGTAGCCACTTAGTCACAAACACTGGTCAAATTTAGCATTCATATTTGTTTTTGTGTGAAAAAAGCAAAAAACTAATATTTGGCCAGTGTTTGTGACTAAGTGGCTACTTAAAATGACTGGACATACCTCACTTGCAATACCTTGGGTTGTCTACTTTTGCAAATGGTATGCCATCATGAGGGTAATTCTCATTCCTGGGCTACCAAACGGTCTCAAAATGCAACATAACCAATCTGGCAAATTTCAATGTGAAAAAAATGAAATGCAAGCCTTATATTTGACTCTCTAACTTTCCAAAACACCATAAAAACTGTACATGGGGGTACTGTTATACTTGGGAGACTTCACTGAACACAAAAATAAGTGTTTTAAAACAGTAAAACATATTACAACAATAATATTGTCAGTAAAAGTGCAATTCGTGTGTGAAAAATGCAAAAAACTTCATTTTTACTAAAAATATCATCGTTTTAATACAAGTTACCATTTTGAAACACTAATGTTTGTGTTCAGTGAAGTCTCCCGAGTAAAACAGTACCCCCCCATATACAGGTTTTATGGTGTCTTGGAAAGTTACAGGGTTAAATAGAGTGCTTGCAATTCAAATTCTCTGCACTTTCTGCCTGGGTTGTCAGGCATGTCAATCAAATTTTAATTAATTAACTCACATAATTATATTAAAATATTACTTAAATATACACGTAGAATTTTAATATATATATATATATATATGTAAGTAAAGTCTACGTGTACACTTATGTAGTTATTTAAGTAATTATATATATTTATGTGTATATATTTGCGGTTATTTGTATTTTATATATAGATAGATATAGAATGTAATTCTAAGTGTATTTTGTTACCAATATATATTAATAACAAAATACAGTTAGAATGAAATTACATATGTATATATAATTTTTTTAAATATATATTTTAAATTATTTTATTTATTATTGTAACTATACGTGTATATATAAATATAAAATAAATAGATGTATTATATATATAATATATATACCTTATATATATGTAACATCATTCTAAGTGTATTTTATTACTAATATATCTATATATATATATATATATATATATATATATTTATATTAACTTTAAAATACACTATGTATGACGTTACATATAAATAAGATGTATATATATTATATATATATATATTTTATATTTATATAGAAATACTTTTAATTGATTTTAAACATGTTCAATAATATTTTTATTATTCTTCCCACCAGCAGGGGGACTGTCTGACATTTCAGACAGTCCCCCTGCTGGTAGATCCACAGGCAGCTATAGGGGGCCATGTGATCGCTCTTTGAGAGTGATCACATGGCCCCTGGGGGCCTGATTTGCCAGGGGAGGGCTGCCTTCTGAAGAGGATTGCGGCGGAGGTAAGTAAATTTCACCTCCTGGCGGCTTAAGCCGTAACGGCGTTCTATGCCGCCGCAACGGCTTTAAAGCCCATTTAAATGGGGACGTCATAGAACGCCATAACGTCATTAAGGGGTTAAACTGCACTGTTTTCAATTGCAAGTAGCATTTATGCCCCATAATTTCTTCATTAGAGGGTTACTCCAAGTACCATGGCCAATTCAGTGATTTAAAGTGGTCATGATTCTTGGAGCCTGCATGTGTAGCACTTCGCTATGAAATCCTACTCTCAGATATTTTAACCCCTTTGCTGCCAGAGGTGTAACTCCATCATTGAAGAGTCAATTCTGTGCATACAGGACATGCTGGCGAGAGGGTTACAATGGCACCTTGGCCGAGCACTCTATACCGCCATGTTCTCCTCCTACATCCCTCCCCTGCAGCTATGGGGAGCAATGTCACTGGAGGAGGATCAGGGAGAATTGCCTTGCACTCTAGAACAGAGGTAAGTTTATTATTTTTTTTTTTTGTTGGGGGAGCAGGATAGGAAAGGTTACCCTAACCAAAACCAGTGTTTTATAAAAATAAAATAAAAAAAATGTTTTTTGGTTGGAGTAACCTTTAAAGATCATTAAGTGATCTTAGTGCTTACAGTGTCTGTTTATGTTATAGTTATTGATGTAGAATACATCCTAGTAGAAAAGTCATCTTTTTATTCCTACAGGGCAATTGAAACTCCTTTTTTATGGAGAACAACAAATTTCAATCACAAATTTGTTTTGATGTTATTAACTAAATAAAGTGAGGACACAAGAATGTTTTTTTGGTCAAAAAAGGGGGAAAGGGGGGAATCTTACAACTTCACTATATTTTATTTTTAAAATCATTCAAAGTTTACTAGCAATGTAACACAAAACCGTGCATAACAACATGGCCCATGTAGGTAGAAAACAACAATATGGAGCTTGCTACATCAATATGACAGGAATAACGATATGAATACTGAATGGACACAATTGAACTATTTTGATCTAAAAGCTGCAATTTCGTTTACATAACGGACATGATTATACTAACAAGTGATGCCTATATCACGGAAGAAAAAATAAACTAAATAAGGAATATTTTAAAAAGAAGTAAAATTACAATATATATATCTAATCTGTTTCATAGAAAACTCTCACCAAAAACCACATGCTTCCCATCCAACCAATCGCATTTCGAGCATGTGATAAAAAACTGACAGCCGTTTGTACCTGGACCACTGTTAGCCTGCAGAGAAAAACAAAACATTATTTTTTCCTTTTAATAAAAGGACGTGAAATAAATTGAAGAAATGGTTTCAAAGCAAGCAAATGAACTGTCATAGCGATAAGATCTTTAAATACACTATTTCAAAACGGAATGTTCCTCCGTGATGTTCAAAGAAAAGATTGTGAGGATGGCAACGAATATTTCTGCTCCTCTTGGGGTTAATGAGGCACAATGTGTAGGAGTGTCACAAACCAGACTTTAAATCATAAAGGTCATGTGAGTAACAGAAATGCAATGGCAAATATGCATTAGTATGCATGAAACCAGCACTGGGAGCGGCTGCAGAGCCTGTGCCTTTAAGTTGCTTATTGCTTTTTCATCACGGCAGGTGGTCTGGTAGCAGAGAACAGGCCACCTACTGGGAGCTAGGAAAGATGATTGTATTTTTAAAGGTTCTCATTACTTAATGTTTATGTGCATGCCTGTAAGAAACTCCAATTGCTTTTTAATAAAAGTTTTTTTCATTTATAGCACATATATAGTCATTGAACACATTCTGTGTCCGTGCAAGACCTACATAAGCCGAAAGAAACACAGTATGCTACTTTAAAACAAATGCCACATTGTATGAACTGTACTACCTGAACAGGTAAAAGTTCATTTATAAATAGTGGGGGTTATTCGATTAATAGTAGATTGCTGGAAGCTGGAAACCAAACTGTAAATTTCAGACTAAAGTAGTCAAGCTGTGACTAAAATGGAGTTGGGGAGTTTTATCCAACTCGATTATTATGACCTGAAATTTGAAATTCAGTTTTTACTTTACAATAATACATTGTTTAGTGAATAACTCCCAATAAGTGGTGTATAATGTCAGAAAAAATGTTAAACACTATATAATATGGAAAAAGCAGAACTGGAGAATTTTTACAACTCTGCCATTTTAAGCCTACATTTTGCCTTCTATTTTATTATTTATGTGTCACTTAAAGGACCACTCTAGGCACCCAGACCACTTCAGCTTAATGAAGTGGTCTGGGTGCCAGGTCCAGCTAGGCTTAACCCATTTTTTCATAATTACAGCAGTTTCAGAGAAACTGCTATGTTTATGAATGGGTTAAGCCTTCCCCCTAATCCTCTAGTGGCTGTTTCATTGACAGCCACTAGAGGCGCTTGCGTGCTTCTCACTGTGAAAATCACAGTGAGAGCACGCCAGCGTCCATAGGAAAGCATTGTAAATGCTTTCCTATGAGACCGACTGAATCTTGTTGCCGCGCAGCGTGCATTCAGCGGCCGGGGCATGAGGAGGAGGAGGCAGAGAGCTCTCGCCCAGCGCTGGAAAAGGTAAGTTTTTACCCCTTTCCCCCTTCCAGAGCCGGGCGGGAGGGGGTCCCTGAGGGTGGGGGCACCCTCAGGGCACTATAGTGCCAGGAAAACGAGTACCTTAGAATGAAAGAAGTCTGAGATTCAGGGGTACATATCTTAAGGCGGCAAAATAATTCTCCCTACTCTGCCACAAATATCTGTTTCTATGGAACACACTTGGGATTTGGTAATGGTGTACATAAGTTATGGTTAAAGGACCACTATAGGCACCCAGACCACTTCAGCTTAATGAAGTGGTCTGGGTGCCAGGTTCAGCTAGGTTTAACCCTTTTTGCTGTAAACAAACTGCTATGTTTACAAATGGGTTAATCCAGCCTCTAGTGGCTGTCTCATTGACAGCCGCTAGAGGCGCTTCCGCACTTCTCACTGTGATTTTCACAGTGAGAGCACGCAAGCATCCATAGGAAAGCATTGAGAATGCTTTCCTATGAGACTGGCTGAATGCGCGCGCGGCTCTTGCTGCGCATGCGCATTCAGCCAATGACGGAAGAAGAGTGCCAACCCCGAGGGAGCCCGGCGCCGGAAAAAAGGTAAGGGATTAACCCCTTCCTCCCCCTTCAGCGCCACGGGAGTGGGACCCTGAGGGTGGGGGCAAGCATTTCGGGTAGTATGGACAGACAACATGGGAAATGGAGTTGACAGATATCGACATGTCAAGGTTAGACATCACAGTTCTACAGTAGTTGGTCCTTGTCTTTCTGCCTAGCTTGCTGTTAAATACAGGTTAAATGCAAGGCAGCTTGAGTGGTGTCGCAGTACTACCATAAAATACCTGGATAAATCATACAGTTTCTTGGCAGTAATTCATTCATGACAACAGAATTTCCTTTCAAAGCATTGAGACCCATCAGACTGACTACGGGTCATGAGAAACTTTGAACAACAGGAGAAGCAAAGATTCTAATATTCATCTTACTGACACTATATAAAAACCAGGAGAACCTATGTACTTACCATAGAGAGAAGACCAGGGGCAGAATGCTTTAGTTTGAAGTTTTCATCGGCGAATGGACCTCTGTATATGCTTGCAACCCCTGTGCCATCTCCCTAGAGAGAAACCGGCATGATTCTGTTATTGCAAAAACTTGTCATTTCAGTGAAGGCAAAATTAGATTCAGAAACCTAATTCAACTTGCATGAGCAGAGAAGTATGGGAGAGCTACATATGTTACAATAAGTACACGTGCATGACCATATTAGATTCTCGCAAATTAATCTCCTCAATTTAATTAGTGAAAATTTGGAAAGGATTAAAACTCATCTATTAAAAATAAGGCAATTAGCATGAAGGGCTAAAACTGAGAAAATGAAAGTCAGGAAAATGGGTCCACACAATTACACACAATGTTTTTTTAATTTTAATTCTAGTGTTACTTCTGCATAAAGTTCAATCATACGGTTTTATATTGAGTGTCTCTTCTAGAGCGCCTGCTAGAGCACTGATGCTTTTACTGCCCAAAACAACGGTATTCAATAAAAGTCTAAGTTAATGACACAGCGGACCATACCTGTGATCATAAGGTTTATTTTGACAGAATTTAATTTTGCAATGTTTATGTGATGAAAGATCACAAAATTTAAATGGATTCTCTAGTGCCAGGAAAACAAACCTGTTTTTCTGGCACTAAAGAATCGTGGAGTGACCCTCACCCTCCCGCCCCCCTCCGACGTCGCTAAAGGGGTTAAAACTCTTTCAGACACTTACCTGAATCCAGCACTGATGTCCCTCGGCGCTGGGTCAGGCTCCGCACACGTTCCTACCCCACTGACAAGGGAGACCTAATGCGAGCGCATTAGATTTCCTCATAGGAAAACATTATTCAATGCTTTCCTAGAGTGATTCCGGCGATGCTGGAAGTCCTCATGCATAGTGTGAGGACGTTCAGTGTCATTTAGATGACCAAAAGTTGTCTATGAACCCGGAAGTCCCTCTAGTGGCTGGCTGGTAGACAGCCACTAGAGGAGGACTTAACCCTGCAAGGTAATTATTGCTGTTTATAAAAACTACAATAATTACACTAGTAGGGTTAAGGGTGATGGGAGTTGGCACCCAGACCACTTCAATAGGCTGAAGTGGTCTGGGTCCCTTTAAATAGGGGCCCTTCATAGAAACAAAAATTCTAGCAAGCATTGAGATTGCAATTAGCTTTATCTAGCAAACACTCCGATTGAAACTACTTTTTCTTATTATGATTTTAGTGTAGGGTTAATTAGCTACAATATGGTGTGTCCTGCAGTTGAGTACACATTCGTTCTGGAGGCCACCTCAGAGGAGGAGGGAACAATCATCTTTTAGTGGCATTTTTACTAATAACGCACAGATTACATAATGACCAATAGCATTCCATGGTGTCATCACAATATTGTGCCAACAGGAAAATCTCTTTATTTTGTTTATTTAGCAACAGAAGTTCTATAAGGTCATGAATGCAAGCATTAAATAAACAGGTAATCTCGTTGTGGAACTGAATCTTAAAGACCCAGATTGTGATAACAGCTGAGACAGTCCTTGGTCCTCAAGTAAATGTCAACTTTTCAGAAGATAAGCTTTAATCTTTCACTTTAAAGGGACACTTTAAGCACTACACATGCTTGGACTATAGTTATGCACAACCCCATATCCAAAATTGAGAAGGGATTTGCCAATAGGCTGGACACACACATGGCTGTAATCAGATTATTTGATAGCTTCATTCACCAAATGCCATGAATAGAACTGCTGCTAGGAATAAACTAAAAACCATAAGCCCCTGCTTTATGGTAGTTTTTTGAATAAAATTAGGCCTAATTGACTTTAATGAGAGACATCTGAATGATGGAATATACCCCTTAACTGCAGCTTGCCTGAGGATCTATGGCAAAGGTTTAAAAATAATATCAGGAAGTATTACTTTACTGAGAGTGTAGTGGATGCTTGGAATAGCCTTCCAGCTGAAGTGGTAGAGGTTAACACAGTAAAGGAGTTTAAGCATGCGTGGGATAGGCATAAGGCTATCCTAACTATAAGATAAGGCCAGGGACTAATGAAATTATTTAGAAAATTGGGCAGACTCGGTGGGCCGAATGGTTCTTATCTGCCGTCACATTCTACGTTTCTATGTAGACAGCAGGAAATATAAACAGTATCTTACTTATTTGATGAGTTTGTTTTTTTTAAAAAGAATGTTCAACATTCATTAAAGAATGTGTATTACTTCTAGCACAGAGAATCTCTCACAGTAGGGGTTATGTTGCTGTGGGTGCCCTGGCAATACCTCCAGTTTAACATCATATAGTTTAAATTATCTAGCACCCAGAGAAAGCCCCTCTTGGGCCGCATTAACAATGTGGAATGAACATCCATCCCCAGCACTCTCAGCTAATCAGTCATCCAGGTTGGATAAAAGTTTAATGTCACATTATCTCTGTCTCTGAGGAGAGATGGTCTCTGGGCATCCGGGACACCAGGCAACAACAGAAAGCTGTAGATGTTATGTTAATTGTAGGTCCACATTATTCTTCAATATTCATTGAAAAAAAATAGATTGTCAAGGAAAATTATTAATTGCATTTCTAATTAAACACTTACATTAACAAAGTCACCACCTTGGATCATGAAATCTTTTATCACCCTGGGGAGAGAATACACAAAGGAAGCAGTCAGAAGAAGTTGTGACTAGTAATACGATTTACATTAGCATAGTCATGGACAATCTCTGACACTCCAGCTTCTGTGGATATTTCCCATCAATGTAAAGGAGTACACTTAATGTACTGAGTACGGAAACGTGATGGTTCTATGTTCCTCACACAGATCGGCTGTCCATGGGTGCCATACTCATACCATATGATAAGGGATATACACACTGAGAACAAGGTACTGTATACAGAGTCAGTCTGACCACAATTTTGGTACACTGCATTAAAGGAACACTATAGTCTTTAGGTTAATAAAGCAGTTTTAGTGTGTAGATCATGCCTCTCCGGTTTCACTGCCATTTATGAGTTAAATCACTTTGTTTCTGTTTATGCAGCCCTTGTCACACCTCCCCTGGCTATGACTGACACAGCCTGCAGGAAAAAAACTGGTTTCACTTTCAATGTAATTTACCTTAAACTATTTTATCTTTAGCTCTGTAAATTGAACGTTAATCACATACAGGAGGCTCTTGCAGGGTCTAGCAAGCTATTAACATAGCAGAGGATAAGAAAATCAAAATTTAACAGAACTTGCAATAAAGAAAGGATAACCTTTAGATGACTCTTTACAGGAAGTGTTTAGCAAGGCTGTGCAAGTCACATGCAGGGAGGTGTGACTAGGGTTCATAAACAAAGTGATTTAACTCCTAAATAGCAGAGAATTGAGCAGTGAGGCTGCAGGGGCATGTTCTATACACCAAAACTGCTTTATTAAGCTAAAGTTGTTTTGGTGACTATAGTGTCCCTTTAAGATCTCACCTTGCAAGCAGCCGGTCTTCCCTCTGATTGTATAAAGACAATGTACACAAAGTATCTGCTATAGTCTGAGGTTGTTTACATAATCTCATATAGTCACAAGATTGCCGGGTCAGTTTAATAAAGCAATAAAGGATGGCAGGCTCCCATACATAAGTTCAATGAAGATATATAAACATATATATAAAATATATTTAATTACAGATTTGAATATTACAGAGATTTGACAGGGAACTGCTAATTTTCAGGTCTAAGCAGAAGAGAATAGGACACATTCTCAGCTAATCAATTATGGTATAAAATTGTCAATTCCCTCATCGGTTCTCCCCAAGAAGAAAAAAGGCACATGACACAAAGAAATCCAGTAAATTTAATGCATCAATATCATAGTACTGGCAACGTTTCAATCAAATAGCAACGTCCTTTTAAGGTTAGTGGGTTCATAAATAATGTATTATCCAGTGGCATGTTTAAAAGGTTCATTATTAATGGGGCTGCTGTGCTGGAGAAACACCCCTGTGGAAATCCTGTATGCGGTGTGCAGAGTCTACTTGAGGTGAATACAGATACGAATTTGAGGCAGAAAGGCTACATCACAGATTTACTCCCTAAGTACTAAGCACGCAGGTTGCCGAGCAACAACACCGATGCTACTAAAGATTATCATGAAAATTCAGACTGAAAATTAACGATAACTAAAAGAGAAGAGCCACACCTAAATGGAAAAGCAGCATCTAGGAGTGTTATTCGTAGTTTTATTTTAGACGGCTATATGCTGCTTATCCATATTGGAAAATGATAAAAATCTAAATGTATCTATCCCAGTAAAATATTTTCTGAATAAAGAGATAGATAGATACAAGGGTTAAAGAACTGTGGCCCTCCAGCTGTACAACTACATACCCCATAATTTCCTGACAGCTGGAGAAAGGGAATTATGGAACAGTAGTGCAACAATAACGGAGGGCCAGGGTTTAACAACCTGTGGTTTATTCACTAAAATCTGAATTGTAGTGAATTGAAATCTAAATGGCAATATTTAGGCTTAAATATTTTTTTTTAATTTTTTTTTTTTTAAAGCATTTTAAAAATGATGGAAAAAATAAAACGTAAAATGTCCAATTTAGATATAGTAACAGTTTGGCTATTTTAACATAAATATTTCCATTTGTATATTAATTCATTGCAGTTCGGCCTAACCCTGTGAATAGCAGTACACAGTTAAAGAACTGCAGGTCCAAGGTACGATGCCTCAGAAGGGTTGGCTTAGTTGCCAGACAATGCCATATTAATAATTTAATATAACAGAAGATATGGTTGTTTTGGTAATACGAGCAAAGGCATAAAAATATAGCCACATCAAACAGCTATCGCACTCACATTTCATTATGATTCCGCGCAGATCTGTAATCAAGGTGTTACTTTTCCTACTGCTTTGATGCCCATCCCCCTTTCATTAGCCAATTGTATTTGGATATTGTCAAACACTGGAAAGGAATTTTTTGACAAGTATTCAAACTACATACCTAACACTAGCTTGGGGACCTATTCTTATATTTAAAAAATGATCTCAGTGACCACCGTACAATTGGAAATCATGGTATATTAGAAAATAGATTCTAAAAATGACCTTTTTCAGGATATTTAATCTAAGGCAAAGGAAAGGTTTTTTTTGGTTTTTTTTACAGTAAGAACTATAAGGATTTGGAATTCTCTGCCTGAAGAAGTGGTTTTGTCAGAGTCCATACAGATGTTTAAACTGAAATTGGATAAATACTTACAAAAACATAACATACAGGGATATAATTTCTAATTAGTGGGGTAATAGCTGCTTGATCCAAGGAGATATCTGACTGCCATTTTGGGGTCAAGAAGGATTTTTTTTCCTAGTTTGTTGCAAAATTGGAATTGCTTCAGAATTGGTTTTTTTTGCCTTCTTTTGGATCAACAGCAAAGAGGAAGGCTGAACTTGATGGACACAAGTATCTTTTCAGCTATGTAACTATGTAACCTTCATTAGACACATGGCAGTGTGAAAGATCTCTATTGCACTGAAAAAAATCCAGTGTCATTTCAGTAATCCGTTTATTGTGGGGAATTGACGTTGCCTTAGTATTATAATGTTCCTGTCATAGCACATGAAGACCCAGAAGGAGAAGCTATAATTACTCCTCTGCCCTAATAAAACGTTTACAGTACAATGTGAGGCTGCATGCACGCTAGGCCAACAGCTGAAGTGAATGCTGTGCACAGCCTTTTCACAAAAGAGGACCGTCAGTAAACTAAAATGATACATAGGATATATTGCCGTATGACTGCCCTAGCTCATTCAGCTGTTCCAATTATGCTATGAATGAAACTGCTGCTGGGGCGTGAAATATATACATTAAGACCTGCTTGATAAGTGTAGACTTTGAAGACCACAATGAAAGCCTTCTGGAAGAACCCTCTTCCTGGACAGAACTTGCTGCTGCTGTTTGCTCGAGCAAGGATAGCAGCTGAAGAAACTTTAAAAGGTGAGTGTATGTATAGTGTATTACAAAAATTGTCACTTCCAGTCCGGGGTGTCCATTAATAAATTGCTAAGTAAAGTAAAAAGGCAAAAAATAAATAAATAAAATAATAAAAAAAAAAACCTTTCTGAACAACTATTTGTAAGTCTGTCTACGTACAAGGCAAACATAATATACTCTTTCAGAGTGTTAAAGGACTAAATCATACAGTTCTACACTTTAATGAATAAATGTAGAATAAAATCAGAACTTTAATAAGAATAACTAAATAAATATTAAAAAGCTTGAGAAAACACTTCTCTAGACATAGTTAAAGAAACACTATCGTCACCTAAATTACTTTAGCTAAATAAAGCAGTTTTAGTGTAAAGATCATTCCCCTGCAATTTCACTGCTCAATTCACTGTCATTTATGAGTTAAATCACTTTGTTTCTGTTTATGCAGCCCCTGCCACACCTCCCCTGGCTATGATTGACACAGCCTGCATGAAAAAAAAAAATGGTTTCACTTTCAAACAGATGTAATTTACCTTAAATAATTGTATCTCAATCTCTAAATTGAACTTTAATCACATACAGGAGGCTCTTGCAGGGTCTAGCAAGCTATTAACATAGCAGGGGATAAGAACATCTTAATTAAACAGAACTTGCAATAAAGAAAGCCTAAATAGGGCTCTCTTTACAGGAAGTGTTTATGGAAGGCTGTGCAAGTCACATACAGGGAGGTGTGACTAGGGTTCATAAACAAAGGGATTTAACTCCTAAATGGCAAAGGATTGAGCAGTGAGGCTACAGGGGCATGTTCTATACACCAAAACTGCTTCATTAAGCTAAAGTTGTTGAGGTGACTATAGTGTCCCTTTAAATATTTATTAAATAAACATGGCGTGGTAGAAAATGAATAGAACACTATTAGAATAATTAATCAGCCTGACTTGATTATGGAAAAGATAAGGTGGATTCAACTATACTTCTTAATTTAAGTAAAAACTCCAAGCACCAAAAACACTACAGTACGCTGTAGTTGTCAAACCATATATATCCCAAAAAACGGAATGCACTCCAGGGTCTTTGTAAAGTAAAATGTAACTTTTAATTCATATACAAAATAAAAAAATAAACAACAACGTTTCGGTTCACATCTGGAGCCTTCTTCAGTTTTTACTGAAATTAAGAAGTATAGTTGAATCCACCTTATCTTTTCCATAATCAAGTCAGGCTGATTAATTATTCTAATAGTGTTCTATTCATTTTCTACCATTTTCTTTCTTCATCAGGATGAAGAAGGCTCCGGATGTGAGCCTAAACATTGATGTTTATTTTTTTATTTTGTATATGAATTAAAAGTTACTTTACGAAGACCCTGGAGTGCATTCCGTTTTTTTGGATACCTATGATTTATTTGCTGGAATCGCACCGGGCATCACAGTCATTATATACCTGGAGTGCAAGCACCTTGGATTTATATATAATTTTACATATATATTTATGTAATAATTTTACATAATTAGGTCATTTTATTAATTACAATTTTGTGGGACCTGCCTGACAACCCACGCCGAAAGTATACGGAACTTAATTCAAATTAGTTTTTTTGCATTTTTCACACACAAACAAATATTAACGTTAACTTTGGCTAGTGTTTGTGACCAAGTGGCTACTAAAAAAGACTGGACATACCCCATTTGCAATACCTTGGGTTGTCTACTATTGCAAATGGTATGCCGTCATGGGGGTAATTCTCATTCCTGGGCTACCATACGGTCTCAAAGGCAAGGTAACCAATCTGGCGAATTTCAATTTAAAAAAAACTGAAAAATGTAACACGCTATATTTGACCCTGTAACTTCCCAAAACACCACAAAACCTGTACGTAGGGGGTACTGTTTTACACGTGAGACATCGCTGAATACAAATGTGTGTATTTTATTGCAGTAAAAGCGAACAGTATTTTGACATTCACAGTTAAAATGTCACATAGAACTAAGAACATTTTTAAAAAAAATCTTATTTTCTCCCTTTTTTAATATTTTATTCATATTAAATTATGTTTCATACCTAAATATTTGATGTTAAATGAAAGCCCTGTTTCCCCTGAATAAAATGATATATAATAAGGGTGGGTGCATTTAATATGAAAGAGGTGAATTACGGTTGGACAGACATGTAATGCAAATGCCAGGTTTTGTTTATGTTTTATTTTGATCACAACGTGTACATTTGGCTCAGTCCTTAAGGGGTTAATAATCCGATATTGTTGCATAGATTTTGCAATTTGGTTTTCTCTGCAATTCACTATTTTCCTATTAACATATACACCATTCATCATGCAGACATTTCTATAGGTTTCAGACTCATCAGTTGTATAAAACAATACAGATCCATGCTGAGTGGGGACTGTCCGCTCCCAATACACACAAAATGGCTACAGAAGTGGACTATATTACTGGCTACAGCAAAAAACTGATTAATTCCTAAAGGTGATACTTTTAAACAGTACAAAAATTATCACAACGTAGCACACTAGCTTTAACAAAATGGGGTTCATACAACAAATACCAAAAATGAAAGAAAGTTAAATAATTGTCAAACATTCAGAAATATTAGGAATGTTTAACATCTATTTTAACATATGCGGCCATAGCGTATTTTTTTTTTTTTTTTTTAGCAAATGCAAAAATAGTATTTGCCAATTGATAACATTAAAGGACCACTATAGTGCCAGGAAAACATACTCGTTTTCCTGGCACTATAGTGCCCTGAGGGTGCCCCCACCCTCAGGGACCCCCTCCCGCCCGGCTCTGGAAGGGGGAAAGAGGTAATAACTTACCTTTTTCCAGCGCTGGGCGGAGAGCTCTCCTCCTCCGCCTCCGCCTGCCGGCTGAATGCGCACGCGCGGCAAGAGCTGCGCGCGCATTCAGCCCGTCGCATAGGAAAGCATTTACAATGCTTTCCTATGGACGCTTGCGTGCTCTCACTGTGAAATCACAGTGAGAAGCACGCAAGCGCCTCTAGTGGCTGTCAATGAGACAGCCACTAGAGGGAATGGGGGAAGGCTTAACCCATTCATAATTATAGCAGTTTCTCTGAAACTGCTATAATTAAGAAAAAATGGGTTAAGCCTAGAAGGACCTGGCACCCAGACCACTTCATTAAGCTGAAGTGGTCTGGGTGCCTAGAGTGGTCCTTTAAGCTGAAGTTTACACATTATCAAAAGAAACACATTGTAGCTGTTTTTTTTTCTGTGGGTCTGTAATTCTTAGAACAGACATCCTATTAGTCAGGTCCAAGGCTAATGTTTACAACTAGTGGTTTACTGTAGTGGTTTACTGTAGCAGTACCGTACCGTACCGCCTTCCTATGGGCAGTAAAGTACGTTTGGACAATGAGAAGAATTATGCAGAATCCATCTTGATAATGTTTTATACGACAGTTGAAAATTACTGAAAAATTTAAAAATGTTTATCCAATGTAATATTTTCTTTGCCATTTGGGGGTCCTTGGCAAAAGGTTAAAACCTAGAGTTCTAGAATGTCCTTAAAAATAGCACTTACAATAAGTACTGTTAATGCATCAAGACCAACACATTATGAGTTAATACCAATAACATATCAATAACGCACATGGAGAATACATTGAAGCATCCAGCTGTACTTACCTATGGAAAGTGCTTCCTTTATAACCTATAGGAACACCATCTTTCCTGCAATAAAACCCATGAGAGAAAACTATAGCTGAAATTATGACAATTGGATTTAATTCATTAAACATAGAATAACACGTTTGCACTTAGGGAAACACTTTAATATTAACGCAAGTAATTAAATAAATTATTTGCTTTTGGTTTGTTTTTTTATAAATAGAGAATTGAAGATCCCCCATACATGTTCTACACGAGGAGGAACAATTGACGATTAAAAAATATATATAAAAACCTCCTGCCTGATGTTTCAGCACTTAAAACATACCTCTCAACATTTAACTCCTTAAAGGGATTCTCTGAGCACTAAAACGACTTAAGCTAAACAAAGTAGTTCTGGTTTATAGATTATTCCACTGCATTCTCACTTCTTAAATATATGCCATTTAGGAGTTAAATCACCTTTGTTCCTGTTTCTGCAGCCCTAGCCTCCCCTACAACTCCCCCCGGCTATGACTCACACTTAACATGAAAAAAAAAGTGTTTCATTTTTAATCAGACCTACAGCACAAAGGGGGGATCTCAGCCATATAAAAATTATTAACTTTGATATAGTAGAGTAAGCATCACGAGAGAAATAGGTCCCTGACCTCTGGCCCATTCTATGTCTACAAACAAGCACCTAACGTGAAAATGCCTAAAGGTTAAAACAGACAGAGGCTCTGACCTTGGGTTTGTAATTTTCATTTGATTATTGAAGACTGTATCATCTTGTTGACTTTATGAACTTGTATTAAGAGCTTAGATAAGCAAATAGTGAACAGAGTGCATTTAAATCGGTGAAGGCTGACGTTGGCATGATGCCCTATGCCAGACTTCAGGTTAGTCAACCCTGTTGACTCATTTAGATGTCAACACAAACATGAGGAAACACGCACATGACAATCAAACAGCCCCTGTCACAAAACAATAATAATAGCATAGGGAAAAATGAGAATCACAACAGATTTTGTTGTTAGTTTGCAATATTAAGTTTTCTTTGATGCACTATATTTTACTCCTGCTCCAGATTTGGTGAATTCGCATTTTCAATCAGATGAAAGCTTTGTTGCCTTTCTGGACAATTGCTGTTTAGACAATGATCTTGAAGTGAAGATACTAACCTGAATTCACCTGTGCAAAACTGCCTGAAAAGAGAAAAATTGATAAATGGTCATTAAAAATGCTCAACTTTTATTAGGTAACCGAATTAATTTAAAACAATTAAGTCTATTTAAACCGTAATTGAATGAATTAATACCATCCTAAATGCCTGCTCTTGAGTGCAATAACAATTAAAGTGAAATGACATTAAATGACCAAATAAAAACATATTGTTAGAAGGGATAGATCTTCAAAGGAGTCAATGTAAAATTAATACAGTAATGTGTCTGTCTGAAAAAAGTCTAGTTCATCACACTGGCCAGACAGCAAAGAAGCATCACTCCAATCTGGTTATAGAAGGGACACTCCTAATTCCTAAACTACTTCAACTTGTGGAAGTAAATCATTAGTTATTTTTTTCCTATGAGAAGCATTCTATAGGGCGATCATTTGCAGCAAGCGCAAGCACACACACACACACTAATATTCTCCAGCCAAGAAGATGAGACTGTTGTCACAGTTCAGTAATAGTTTCGTAGATAAACCCTCAAAGAAACCTTGCATGCAATTCTTTTTGCATTTTTTCTTTGAGATATATGGAGTATTTGCTTGCCAAAACTGTAGATCTAGTATCTGCACCTACCACGGAATGACCAGTGTCCTTATTCGGAAGCAGTTCAATCACAGACTTCTCAGTGTGCTGTATTACTGAAATTATTATTAAAATCTGCACTTTTACAAAACAAGGAGGGCACACTCTTCACACATAAAGCACTAGAGCAAGCTGAAGTGCTTTATGTGTTTGACAGAGTCCTCCTAAGTTTCCTTCAGCTGCTGTACAAACACCAGTAAGAGATTCCAACTAGCAGGAGCCACCTACTTTAGTCCGTGGGATTAACTTTGTACAGCAGAGTGTTACAGGATATGTAGTTCAGCTCTGGCAGTAGTTACATTCATGAAAAATGATGAATGAAACTGCTGAAGAAGTTGAGAGCAGCTACATTTTGGCTTCCTGCATACTCTGTCTAATTATGTATTTTTTTTTATAAATTGCAATGGAAGTGAGAACCAGCAGGAGTGCTTCATAAGCGTTTTATCTTCATAAAATACTAAAAAGTGACAGAGTCGATTTAAATCTTTTAAAAGTGAAAAATTAGATTCATGAGACCATTAAACACGTGCCTATTTAAGAATACATTCTATCTAACTGGCTAAAAGGGCAGTGCTGGCAACAATTTGTTTACAGCGTTGTGTACCTTGACCTTAAGGAAAGTCAGCACTACAATTAGGACCGTGATCACATGGTCTTATCATGAAGTGGATTATGCAATTCCTTAGATAAGGGTGTGTCACAGCAGAACAGATATATATGCAGTTCACAGCAGTCAACCAAATAAATCCAAGCTAAGGAACCATATTTCACAGTAGACAGATCAAGTTTCAGGCTATGTAAATCGTTGACTTATATGCCAGTTTACTTCTAGTATAGTTGCAATATAAACAAACGCCTTTTATCAACTGCATTTGTAGTTTATGTATGATGTCTACTTGGCAAAGGGCATAATTATCTTTTTTTCCCCTTTCTCCTCAGCCTTTTGTTCCCATAATTCTGCCTTCCTTTCTGGTGTGTTGCACTCTATCCATTCCACTACATATAAGACTAGAGGAAGCAGTCCATGCCATGGATGTACACTGTATTCCCACTAAGCAAGCTACCTATTAGCCAGTAGAACACCTACTGGGAGTCCTGGAAGTTTATACAAATAACATTTTATTTCCACCTTTACGATCCTAGACTGTCATCCTTTATATTTTTGCTGCCAACTCACCAATCATTCTCTACATCTAACTAAGGGCATATAAGCTAGATATCCTTTCAGAGTTCAAGAAAGCAAGCTTCTTAGATATTTTTAAAGGATTGTTTAAAATTCTTAGATAGAACACTTAGGAAAAAACCACAAGGCCACAGTAATATTTTTGTATCAATGGAACTCCATTTTATCTTGCTCCATAAAAGCTCCATTAATGCTTAAAGGGACATAATAGGCGTCAAAACAACTTTAGCTTAATGAAGCAGTTTTAGTGTATAAATCATGCCCCTGCAATCTCACTGCTCAATTCTCTGGCATTTAGGAGGTAACTCTGTCCATGCAGCCCCAGCCACACCTCCCCTAGCTGTGACTCATACAGCCTGCATGGAAAAAGAGATTTTATTTTCAATGAGAAGTTAACTTGCTTTAGAAGTTTTTATATTCTGCTCTGTAAGTTGACGTTTATTTACACACAGGTGGCTCCTCCAGGATCTAGAAGATTATTAATAGAACAGGATATAAGAAATTCTAAATTAAACATAAACACATTTGTAATAAATGAACTGTAAATATTATATGACTCTCTACAGGAAGTGTTTAGGAAGGTTGAATAAGTCACATGTGACTAAACCTGCATAAACAAAGTGATTTAAATGGCAGTGAATTGAGTAGACTGCAGGGGAATGATCTATAAACCAAAATCACTTCATTAAGCTAAAGTAGTTTTGGTGCCTATAGTGTTCCTTTAATCACCAAGAAATATTCCAAACCATATTTTGCTGGAAAAGCCCCATAACCTACACCTTATCTCACTTTCCAAGCCTGATTTAAGCTAGCGATACTCCCAAAGAAGGGTGGATTTGCTACTATATTTTTGGCCCACATTTCAGGAAGTGTTTTCTTTGCTATATGCAGATCAAATTCAGCTTCCCCATCTCCAGTATTCCTACACTTCTCCTTAACACAATTCAACTCCTTATTAAGCTATATAATAACTGTTAAATCCCTTAAGTCAACCAACCAGAGGATTTTAACACCTTCCACCTTGAGAGTCCAAAAAATATCAGAACAATTGAGGAACTGATCAACTTCTTGGGTTATAGAGGTCAGATACATGCAACTATGTGAGCCCATCGGAACAATACATGAAATATAGAGGGTGGGAGAGAGAGAGAAAGATAAAAATATAAATATATTCTTTACTAAAATGAGAATTGTAGGAAATTTAAAGTTAATTTCAAAATTAAAGCCAAAGTAGACAAACTGGAAACAGTTAACTTGAATATTTTTCCCAGTACAACTAGTTTGGCCCTAAATCTAAAACTCTGTTTGAATTCATATCAGATCTCACTCTAATAAATAAGAAATCAATTAACTGGTTGGGTTCCTGCTCCGTGCACCCACCACCTCATAATCCTGTATGGGGGAAAACTCCTAAAGAATAATTATCACAAAAAAAAAAAATAAAGATTGGGAGTTGTGGTACAATAGATATTAAATGGACACCATAGTCACCAGAACACCTACAGCTTATTGTATTTGTTCTGGTGAGTATAATAGCTCCCTGCAGGCCTTTTGCAGTAAATACTGTATTTTTAGAGAAAATGCAGTGTTTACATTACAACCTAGGGATAACTCCACTGGTCACTCCTCAGATGGCTGCTAGAGGTGCTTCCTGGGGCAGTGCTCCACAGTGTGACTGCCATTCAGTGTCTCCACCCTCTGCATGGAGACACCAAACTTTCCTCATAGAGATGCATTGATTCAATGCATCTCTTTGAGGAGATGCTGATTGGTGTTTGGCTTGTGCTGGCTCTGTCCCGATCTGCCTCCTTGACAGTTTCAGCCAATCCTATGGGAAAGCATTGTGATTGGCTCATATAATCACTTCTGATAATGTCAACCAAGCAGGCAGATCAGGGGCAGAGGCAGCAGCTGTAGACTTAAATGGAAATAAGATTTTAATATATTTAGGGAGACAAGAGGCCAGCGCTAGATGGTGGTTTTAACACTATAGGGACAGGAATACATGTTTGTGCTCCTGACCCTATAGCGTCCCTTTAAAGTTACAGTGGTGTTGGGCACCAGGAGACCAACTTCGGGGGGTTAACCTCTAAAGGTAAGACAGCCTTTTACTGTTTGTGAAGATAGATTTTACTATTTTGTTAAACTATTTGCCAAAGAATGCATTATGTGACAACACACACAGTCACACGTCCAACATCCTCACTGGTTTTCTAAACCAATTACAAAATAAATCAAATCTAGCTTCAGGCCAACATGTTTTGCCTTTGAAAGGCTCATCAGGCCTCCCCTGATAAACTAGTAACAAAACTGGTTATAAAGATTTACATGGATACAAATTCAAAAGTCAGTCTGACAAAAGTAGGTGTCAGATGCATGATTGGAATTCCTAAGATTCCAATCACAAGAGACAGGTAAATCAAGTGCAAATATGCTATTAACATATTGGAAAATGTACCTGAAAGGTTTCTCACGGACAATCCCATCCTTGCTAATGTCATTGCCACTTATTTGTTTATGTTGAATGTTGCTATTGCCTAATGTTAAAACCACTAAAACACTTCACCTTCTCGAGGTACTCTATGAGTGTCCCTGCAACTCTATTTTATAAAAGTTGCTGATTTGAGAATTTGGTAATGTGTGTCGGATGACAACAACACAGCCAAGAGGGTTCCTTTCCTCATATGCCTTTAGTTGTTCTTAAACATTCTAAATACTTACTCAGGGAGGGACGCCAACGCATTACTAGCACCATAACCACTACAGAGGACCGTAGTACTTATGAAGAGTGACGTGTTCCTCTAATGTTTAGATTACATTGAATTTCTTTGTAATTTTAATCAGTGTGATACGGAAATGATTTAGGGTTCCTCTGTAATTATACCAGTAAACTAAAACCTGTTTGAGATCTAAACAAGTACTAACTGAAGGGCAAGCTATTGTTTTTATCTATATTTATATATTCTGTCACATAATTATTATTATTTTTTTATTCTTTATTTTAGGAGCTCAGGCGGACATTTAAAGCAGTTTATCACAAGTCAACATGAATAATACATGTGCCAAGCATTACATAACATTAAGGAAAGATGGAGAAAAAATATCAAATACATCTATATTAATACAGTAGAAACGTCAGTATATAAATTGGGTCCATCTGTCACAGCATTTAAAGAAAACTTGTTGCTCATGAGAATGTTTTGTCCACTCAAAAAAAAAAAAGCAATGGTAGCCATAACGAGTGCTCACGAAATAGAGCAGATATAATTTGATATAATTTCCGTGGCAGACTTTGCTTTTCCAGAAATAACTATAACGATTATAAACTTATTTTTATTTTTTAAATTAAGAACCTAACACTCCATGAGTACAGGGCACTGGTCCCATCATACAGGTATAACTTGAGTATGCTGTTTTTTTATTTTTTTATTTATTTATTGAGTACAGGACCCAGGAACTATTCAAGCCATCAACTTACCTAAAATTTTCTGCTGTTTTTGGCACAACATCTGCAAAGAGTTCAATTTTCATTCGACCAACCTCCTAAAAACACAGTAAATAGATATTACAACATAGACAGACAATATGCTAACTGTATGAATGACAGGGAAGGTGTGCTGTGCTAACTGTATGTATGGCATTGAAGGTGTAATACGCTGACTATATGTAAGGCATGGAAGGTGCACTGTGCTATCTGTATGTATGGCAGGGAAGGTGTAATTTACTAAATGTATGTATGGCGAAGAAGGCAAACTGCACTGACTGTATGGCAAAAAGCATATTCTACTCACTTTATATATAGCAGGGAAGGCATATAGTGCTATCTGTATGTATGATAGGGAGGATGTACTGTGCTACCTGTATGATTGGCAGGGAAGGTGTGCTGTGCCAATTGTATGAAAGGCAGGGAAGGTGGTGGTACTGTACTGACTGTCCGGCAGAAAGGTGTACTCTGCTACCTATATGTAATACAGGGAAGATGCACTGTGCTATCTGTATGTATGTAGGGAAGGTGTACTGTACTAACACTATGTATGGCAGGGAAGGTGCACTCTGCTAACTGTACAGGGAGTGCAGAATTATTAGGCAAGTTGTATTTTTGAGGATTAATTTTATTATTGAACAACAACCATGTTCTCAATGAACCCAAAAAACTCATTAACATCAAAGCTGAATATTTTTGGAAGTAGTTTTTAGTTTGTTTTTAGTTTTAGCTATGTTAGGGGGATATCTGTGTGTGCAGGTGACTATTACTGTGCATAATTATTAGGCAACTTAACAAAAAACAAATATATACCCATTTCAATTATTTATTATTATCAGTGAAACCAATATAACATCTCAACATTCACAAATATACATTTCTGACATTCAAAAACAAAACAAAAACAAATCAGTGACCAATATAGCCACCTTTCTTTGCAAGGACACTCAAAAGCCTGCCATCCATGGATTCTGTCAGTGTTTTGATCTGTTCACCATCAACATTGCGTGCAGCAGCAACCACAGCCTCCCAGACACTGTTCAGAGAGGTGTACTGTTTTCCCTCCTTGTAAATCTCACATTTGATGATGGACCACAGGTTCTCAATGGGGTTCAGATCAGGTGAACAAGGAGGCCATGTCATTAGATTTCCTTCTTTTATACCCTTTCTTGCCAGCCACGCTGTGGAGTACTTGGACGCGTGTGATGGAGCATTGTCCTGCATGAAAATCATGTTTTTCTTGAAGGATGCAGACTTCTTCCTGTACCACTGCTTGAAGAAGGTGTCTTCCAGGAACTGGCAGTAGGACTGGGAGTTGAGCTTGACTCCATCCTCAACCCGAAAAGGCCCCACAAGCTCATCTTTGATGATACCAGCCCAAACCAGTACTCCACCTCCACCTTGCTGGCGTCTGAGTCGGACTGGAGCTCTCTGCCCTTTACCAATCCAGCCACGGGCCCATCCATCTGGCCCATCAAGACTCACTCTCATTTCATCAGTCCATAAAACCTTAGAAAAATCAGTCTTGAGATATTTCTTGGCCCAGTCTTGACGTTTCAGCTTGTGTGTCTTGTTCAGTGGTGGTCGTCTTTCAGCCTTTCTTACCTTGGCCATGTCTCTGAGTATTGCACACCTTGTGCTTTTGGGCACTCCAGTGATGTTGCAGCTCTGAAATATGGCCAAACTGGTGGCAAGTGGCATCGTGGCAGCTGCACGCTTGACTTTTCTCAGTTCATGGGCAGTTATTTTGCGCCTTGGTTTTTCCACACGCTTCTTGCGACCCTGTTGACTATTTTGAATGAAACGCTTGATTGTTCGATGATCACGCTTCAGAAGCTTTGCAATTTTAAGAGTGCTGCATCCCTCTGCAAGATATCTCACTATTTTTGACTTTTCTGAGCCTGTCAAGTCCTTCTTTTGACCCATTTTGCCAAAGGAAAGGAAGTTGCCTAATAATTATGCACACCTGATATAGGGTGTTGATGTCATTAGACCACACCCCTTCTCATTACAGAGATGCACATCACCTAATATGCTTAATTGGTAGTAGGCTTTCGAGGCTTTCGAGCCTATACAGCTTGGAGTAAGACAACATGCATAAAGAGGATGATGTGGTCAAAATACTCATTTGCCTAATAATTCTGCACTCCCTGTATGTATGGCAGGGAAAGTGTAATCTGCTATCTGTATGTATGGCAGGGAAGGTGTAATCTGCTAACTGTATGTATGGCAGGGAAGGTGCACTATTCTAACAGTATGTATGGCAGGGAAGGTGCACTCTGCTAACTATATGTATGGCAGGGAAGGTGTAATTTGCTAACTGTATGTATAGCAGGGAAGGTGCACTCTGCTATCTGTATGTATAGCAGAGAATGTGTAATCTGCTAACTGTATGTACGGCAGGGAAGGTGCACTCTGCTAACTGTATGTACGGCAGGGAAGGAGCACTCTGCTAACTGTATGTACGGCAGGGAAGGAGCACTCTGCTAACTGTATGTACGGCAGGGAAGGAGCACTCTGCTAACTGTATGTACGGCAGGGAAGGTGCACTCTGCTAACTATGTACGGCAGGGAAGGTGCACTCTGCTAACTGTATGTACGGCAGGGAAGGTGCACTCTGCTAACTGTATGTACGGCAGGGAAGGTGCACTCTGCTAACTGTATGTACGGCAGGGAAGGTGCACTCTGCTAACTGTATGTACGGCAGGGAAGGCTAACTGTATGTACGGCAGGGAAGGTGCACTCTGCTAACTGTATGTACGGCAGGGAAGGTGCACTCTGCTAACTGTATGTACGGCAGGGAAGGTGCACTCTGCTAACTGTATGTACGGCAGGGAAGGTGCACTCTGCTAACTGTATGTACGGCAGGGAAGGTGCACTCTGCTAACTGTATGTACGGCAGGGAAGGTGCACTCTGCTAACTGTATGTACGGCAGGGAAGGTGCACTCTGCTAACTGTATGTACGGCAGGGAAGGTGCACTCTGCTAACTGTATGTACGGCAGGGAAGGTGCACTCTGCTAACTGTATGTACGGCAGGGAAGGTGCACTCTGCTAACTGTATGTACGGCAGGGAAGGTGCACTCTGCTAACTGTATGTACGGCAGGGAAGGTGCGCTCTGCTAACTGTATGTATGGCAGGGAAGGTGCACTCTGCTAACTGTATGTATGGCAGGGAAGGTGCACTCTGCTATCTGTATGTAGAGCAGAGAATGTGTAATGTACTAATGCATGGCAAGGAAGGCAAACTACACTGACTATTTTTATGGCAAAGACTTTGTATTCACTGTATGACTGACAATGTGTATTGCACTCATTGCATGAAGGACATTGTTTACATGTTTCAATGAAAGGGCATTGTACATTGATAGAGAGACAGGGGTCCCCAAAAATGTATTATTTCGTGCTTTTCATTAAACCCTTAACAACATTAGGGCATACTATCCCGTCCTACAAAAGGAGGGCTTTAACGCCATTAGGGTGGCAGAGTACGCCCTAAAAATTGGGCCTTCCCCGGAGTGGATCTGATGGGGGACTGCCTGACAATCGAGTTAGTCCCCTGCAGCAAATCCTGCCCATCCGCATCATGTGATCGCAATGAAACCACAAACACATGACTTATCAGCTGCTTTACATGATTGCCTGCATGGGGACAACCTGGGTTGTCAGGCACATCCTCCAACATATAATTAGTAAAACAGCATAATTATGGACAAATACTGTATAAATATACATTTAGAATTAAATGAAAAAGAAAATGTATTAATTTCTCACATTTTTCCTACCAAAATGATATATAATAAAAGTGGACACACTTTATATGAAAGAGGTAAATTATGGTTGAACAACATATAGCTAAATTCTAGGTTTTGGTCAGAACTTTTACATTAGGGTTCACTAGTGGCCCCTATAAAATGAATTGTGCTTTTTCTATGTTTTTGCATTACATTCCCTATGCAGAGGTATCACAGCATTGTTTTGCATATATATTCAGTAGTGTAAATGTTGTTTTATTTTTGGTACTGCAACAACCACACTCCACTAGGAATGACAGGGCGTACTGTATTCACTGTACAAAGGACAGGGTGTATTGTGTTTACCAAAGGAATTACATTGTAAAATTAATTAACTGTATAAAAGCCTAGTTGCATTATATGCACTATACGAAGGACTGTGTATCTCCCAAAATTTCAAATGGACACTTTCATTATAGGGGTGTTAGTGAGATTTTATTTAGACTTATGAAGAACAAATTATGCACCTAAAATGCAATGTAGAATAAGAAGAAATCATCTTATTTACACAGACTGATTTGTAAACACATTTAATGTATTTTGAAGATACACTAAAGTCACCAGAACATCTACAGCTTAAAGGGACACTATAGTCACCAGAACAACTACAGCTTATTGAATTTGTTCTGGTGGGTAGAATCATTACCTTTAGGCTTTTTGCTGTAAACACTGTCTTTTCAGAGGAAAAGCAGTGTTTACATTACAGCCTAGGGATAACTTCACTGGCCACTCCTCAGATGGCTGTTAGAGATCCTTCCTGGGTCATGGCTGCCTAAAATGTATCCAAACATTCAGTATTTCCCCCCTCTGCATGCAGACACTGAACTTTCCTCATAGAGAGTTATTGATTCAATTAATCTCTATGAGGAGATGCTGATTGGCCAGGGCTGTGTTTGAATCATGCTGGCCATGCCCCTGATCTGCCTGTTTGTCAGTCTCAGCCAATCGGGAAGCATTGTGATTGGATCAGGCCACCACTTCTGATGATGTCAGCAGACTGCTTGTTTTTCTGAGGCAAACAGCATGAAGAGTTACCGCTTCAGGCTTGAATATAGTAAGATTTTGCTATATTTATGGAGGCATGAGGGGCCCAGGGGGGCTAGATGGTGTTTTTTACACTATAGGGTCAGGAATACATGTTTGTGTTGCTGACCCTATAGTGATCCTTAAAAAGGAAAACTATAGAGCTAGGAATACAAAGTTGTATTCCTAGCACTACTGCTCCCTCCCCCACCCTCCCCCAAAGTGTAAGGGTAAATTATTTTTATTATTGCATTTTATATAGCGCCAACAGATTCCGTAGCGCTTTACAATATTATGAGAGGAGAGATTTAACAATAAATGGGACAATTACAAAAAAACTTACAGGAATGATAGGTTGAAGAGCTCCCTGCTCAAACGAGCTTACAGTCTATAGGAGGTGGGGTATAAAATACATTAGGGGGCGTGGCTTCAACGCTGAAGAGAGCAGACGCATGTCAGCTAAGCTGCCATGGCTGGCACAGCATACAGCAAATTTGGGGCACTTACCTACCCTGATTCCATCCGAGATGGGGTTCAGCACCTCAGCTCGCAATGGGGAAGAAGACTAAAAAGCTTAAAACCCACATGGGGGATGGCTCCCGCGATATCGCCGACCTCCTAAAGCCGCGGCCTAGACTCAAAATGGCGTCGCAAACATTATATATCCTCTGAGGAAGAACTCCTTGATGCACCCTATGACATACCCCGCGCTGAGAGCCTAATCACCCCTCAATGAGGGGAAGACCTGACAGCCCCAGCTACAAAAGGGGGATATCAAAGCTCTGATGACAAACATAAGAGCCCTCTTTAAAGAGGCACCAACGAGTTATTACAACAACTACAGGCATCCCACAAAACCATGCAGGTTAGACTGGATACCCTGGATGACGCGTGGAGGCCCAATAACCTTAAAATCAGGGGTATCGCCGAATCCGTTACTGAACATGCAAAGGATATTCAGGTAGGCAGCTGCTTCAGACTGGCTAAGATTCCCCGAGATATTCTAGTACGTTTCCCACTGCTTTGCGACAAGCTGGCACTGCAAGAAGCAATGAAAACCAGAACACCCCTTCAGATTGAGGAGATGCAACTCCAATTCCTACAAGACTTATGTCGCTCCACCCTGGAATGGAGACGGTCCTTCCAACATGTAACAAAGACCCTGCACTCTGCAAACATTAGCTACAAGTGGGGCCTCTCTTGAGCCCTAATAGTCAACAAAAGATGGACGCACATCAGTTTTCCACCGCGGAGGACTCCGCTGCCTTCCTTCAGGTACTGGGCCTTACCCTGTCTTCAGATAGCACGACACGTCAAGGTCACAGCTGGGAAGTACACAGTATCGACCCTTTTACACCACGCGCTGCAGCTGACAATGGCTGATACCTAAGAAGCCCCAGCAGCCACACAGAGACGTACTGACGGACGTACTGACTCCTTCATCAGTCCCAGTTGCTTGTTAATTATTATTTTTCGTTATTTTAGAGTATCGCCCAGCACTGTTTAAGTCTCCGGATTTGTTGACTCAGGATGCCAGCACACATTTTAAGATTTGCCCTGATAAGAGGACAATGCTCAGGGGTTATTAAAGTGTAATTTAACAGTTAACACCCCCGACTGACCCCATTACTGTTTATCTCTACGACATGATTACTGCTTCTTTACTTAAGACCCATAGGGCTGGGTCTCCCTCCTATTTTCGTGGTCTCAGCAAAATTAATAAGCCTTACATTATTTAGTAATCTGCGTAGATATAACAAGTATGTCATTTAAATTGTATTTGTGTGTCTTACTGCTCTGCTGATGCGTTTAACGTGTATTCTTTGGTTTACTGGCGGAACGTTCATTGTCTTATATTTTAAAAATGTGCACTACTAACCTATGTCATATGAATGTTACTGAAGTTATGCACTCGTGAGCTGTTGTGGCATTGAATGCAAGATTGTCAATTCTTGGCAGAAGAAAAATAAAGAAGAATAAAAAAAAACACATTAGGACAGGAAATAGGTGGGAGTGAAGCAGAGCTGGAGGATAGAGTAGAGTGTTGCCCTTTAGGAGAGAGCAAGAGACAGGTATTTAAGGTAGAGGTTACTCTGGGTGGCCATAAGCTTTCCTAAAGAGATGGTTTTTTTGAAGACTAGGGGAGAGTCTGATGGCGGTAGGCAGGCTATTCCATAGGAAGGGAGCCGCCCGCAAGAAGTCCTGTAAGCGTGAGCAGCAAACAGGAGAATGTCACAGGCAGAGCAGAGAAACTGAAAAGGGGCATACCTATGGATCTGTGAAGAGATCTAAGAGGGGCTAGAATTGTTCATTGCTTTATTTTTATTTTTTTGTAAATCTTTTTATTGAGATTTTCATCTGATTCTTGAAACTGAGCAACACACATCATCAATTACAAACTTTTGTGTTGTGATGGACTCGCAGGCCCAATCCGAACATAACATATTACCTGTTTATACAGTAACTGTCCCCCGGACATATTAGCAAATCCCAACTATTGTAATACCTATTACATAACCATTTATCTCCGCTTGTCTCCAATGTGTGTGGCTAAATTCTCCTCGTGAGAGTGAAAGGCCCAGCGTTTACTGAGATAAGACAGGGTAGGCATAACTGGCGTTTGACCGGCCTTCAAGTCCAGGTAGGTATTATTTATGATCACCAGTTTGATTGAAGCCTGATTTCAAATGGAGCCATGTGTATGTGAGTCGTATGTCCAACATCTTGTATGTCTGTCTGGTGCGTATGAGCAGAGCAGTCTTATATATGTCATGGAACCCGGTCCGTGTGTTTATCCTGATGTGGTGGGTGCCGTGTCAAGTCTGATTAATTCAATACTATCTCATCAGATCTCTCCACCAGCCCTCTAATTCCTGCCTCGTAACCCTGATTCCCGTCAGGTTTGAAAACGCAGCGTGCCAGCGTCAGTCTTGTGTGGTCTCTATGAGATCGTACCTTTATCGTGTCTGACATCTCTCGGAGTATCTGTGCAGTGTATGCATCCGTATTGAAAAAGTCACCCTAATGGCTATGTATGATGTTAGGATATAGTCTACCTCTAAGTCAACCAGAAAAGGTAAAGAGAAAGGCATAGAAAGAATAGGTGAGGGAGATGTATCCACCGACATCTCCCACTCCATTGCGCCTCCGCCACTGCCCCCCCCCCGAACTCCCCCCCACCTACAGCCCTCTCGCAATGTATTCGTACCACGGCAACCATGCCTCCGCGTGCCCGACTGCCCTACCTGTGAGGGAAGCATGCATCGCCTCCGCACCCTGTATCTCCTCCACCCTATGTAACCATTCCTCCTTATGCGGCGTGGTCTGAAATTGTTCATTGCTTTATGGGTATGGGTTAGCACTTTGAATTGACTCCTATAAGATACAGGAAGCCAATGTAAGGACTGACAGAGGGGTGAGGTGTGAGAGGACCGACTAGAGACGAAAATAAGTCTGGCGGCAGCATTCATTACAGACTGTAGCGGTGCAGTACGGCTTTTGGAAGACAAATTAGGAGAGAGTTACAATAATACATGCGGGAAATTACTAGAGCATGGACAAGCTCCTTGGTATCATCTTGCGTAAGAAAGGGGCAGATGCGGACTATGTTTTTAAGATGGAATCTACAGGATTTGGCAACATACTGGATGTGAGGCCAGAATCAAGTAAGACGCCAAGACAGCACGCTTGCAAGGACGGACTTACGTGGATACCACTAACTTCAGGGATAGAGAAAGAAGAGGATCAGTATTAGGAGGAGGAAAGACAAGGAGCTTAGTTTCAGAGAGATTGAGTTTTCAGAAAGCGGGAAGAAAGGAAGAAGATGGAAGAGATAGAAGAAAGGCAAGCAGTGACACATTGCAGGGCAGCAGGAGAGAGGTCCCGGGAGGAGAGATATATCTGGGTGTCATCAGCGTACAGGTGGTAGTGGAATCCAAATGAGGTAATAAGTTTGCTAAGAGAGGCAGTGTAAAGAGAAAATAGAAGGGGACCAAGGACTGAGCCTTGGGGGACTCCAACCGAGACAGGACAAAGGAGGAGGTATCATTAGAAAAGGAGACACTGAATTAGCGTTGGGAGAGATAAGAGGAAAACCACGAGAGGACAGAGTCAAAGAGACTGAGTGATTGAAGAGTTTGAAGAAGGAGTCAACAGTGTCAAATGCAGCAGAGAGGTCAAGAAGAATTAGTATGGAATAGTGGCCTTTGGATTTAGCTGCGTTTAGTTTGTTAGTAACTTTGATAAGAGCAGTCTCAGTAGAGTGGAGAGGGTGGAAGTCAGATTGAAGATCGTCAAGGAGAGAGCTGAAATTGAGGAAGTGAGACATACGGGTAAAGACAAGTCTTTCCAGAAGCTTTGAAGAGAAAGGGAGCAGGAATATGGGACGATAGTTAGAGGGGGAGAAAGGGTCAAGAGATGTTTTTTTCATGATAGGTACCACAGTGGCATGTTTAAAGGATCACTATAGGGTAAGGAACACAAACATGTATTCCTGACCCTATAGCGTTAAAACCACCTCATGCCTCCATAAATATAGCAAAATCTTACTGTATTCAAGGCTGAAGCTGTAACTCTGCATGCTATTTGACTCAGAAAAACAAGCAATCTGCTGACATCATCAGAAGTGGTAGCCTGATTCAGTCACAGTGCTTCCCTATAGGATTGGCTGAGACTGGCAAAGAGGCAGAGCCAGCATGATTCAAACACAACCCAGTCCAATCAGCATCTCCTCATAGAGATTAACTGAATCAATGAATCTCTGAGGAAAGTTCAGTGTCTGCATGCAGAGGGAGGAGATACTGAATGTTTGGATGCATTTTAGGCAGCCATGACCCAGGAAGGATCTCTAATAGCCATCTAAGGAGTGGCCAATGAAGTTATCACTAGGCTTTAATGTAAACACTGCTTTTTATCTGAAAAGACAATGTTTACAGCAAAAAGCCTGAAGGTAATGATTCTACCCACCAGAACAAATTCAATAAGCTGTAGTTGTTCTGGTGACTATAGTGTCCCTTTAAGCTGTAGATGTTCTGGTGACTTTAGTGTCTCTTCAAAATACATTAAATGTGTTTACAAACCAGTTTGTGTAAATAAGATGATTTCTTCTTATTCTACATTGTGTTTTAGGTGCATAATTTGTTCTTCATAAGTCTAAATAAAATATCAGAACAGCCCCACTAACACCTCTATAATGAAAGTGTCCTTCTTTGTCCATTTGAAATTTTGGGAGATACACAGTCCTTCGTATAGTGCATATAATGCAACTAGGCTTTTATACAGTTAATTACTTTTACAATGAAAGTTCAGTGTCTGCATGCAGAGGGAGGAGGTACTGAATGTTTGGATGCATTTTAGGCAGCCATGACCCAGGAAGGATCTCTAACAGCCATCTAAGGAATGGCCAGTGAAGTTATCACTAGGCTGTAATGTAAAGACTGCATTTTCTCTGAAAAGACAGTGTTTACAGCAGGCCTGACCAACCTGCGCCCCACCCAGATGTTGCTGAACTACAACTCCCATGATTCGTTCAATGAAACAGATAGCCAGGGAATCATGGGAGTTGTAGTTCAGCCACATCTGGGGGGCCACAGGTTGGACAGCCCTGGTTTACAGCAAAAAGCCTGAAGTTAATGATTCTACTCACCAGAACAAATTCAATAAGCTGTAGTTGTTCTGGTGACTATAGTGTCCCTCTAAGGTCAGCAGGGACCACACCAGAAGAGAGAGAGTAGTTGACAGAGTGTATTGTATTCACTGTTTGAGGGACAGGGTCTATTGCAATCACTGTGTGAGGGTCAAGGTGTATTGTATTCACTGTATGAGGGACAGAGTGTATTGCAATCACTGTATGAAGGACAGAGTGTATTGTATTCACTGTATGAGGGACAGGATGTTCTGAGCACTATATATATATATATATATATATATATATATATGAGTATTGTGTAATTCATTAACTGAGCAATATATATATACATATATACAGACACACACAAGTATTGTGTAATTCATTAACTTGACACTTTGTTTTTATATTTATATCTATGATGACCAGAAAGTCCCACTGATTAAGCTCCCCTTGCCAGAAATCATCCTGCAGTCTATAACACTAATTCCTCCTATAATGTCCTAGTCCTGTATGGAAGGAACACACAGTGCCTGCCATAGAGCTATCCCTCCTATAATGTCCTAGTCCTGCATGCCATAGAGCTGGATCCCTCCTATAATGTCCTAGTCCTGCATGCCATAGAGCTATCCCTCCTATAATGTCTTAGTCCTGCATGCCATAGAGCTATCCCTCCTATAATGTCCTAGTCCTGCATGCCATAGAGCTATCCCTCCTATAATGTCCTAGTCCTGCATGCCATAGAGCTATCCCTCCTATAATGTCCTAGTCCTGCATGCCATAGAGCTATCCCTCCTATAATGTCCTAGTCCTGTATGGAAGTAACACACACAGTGCATGCCATAGAGCTATCCCTCCTATAATGTCCTAGTCCTGCATGCCATAGAGCTATCCCTCCTATAATGTCCTAGTCCTGCATGCCATAGAGCTATCCATCCTATAATGTCCTAGTCCTGCATGCCATAGAGCTATCCCTCCTATAATGTCCTAGTCCTGTATGCCATGAGCTATCCCTCCTATAATGTCCTAGTCCTGCATGCCATAGAGCTATCCCTCCTATAATGTCCTAGTCCTGCATGCCATAGAGCCATCATATAATGTCCTAGTCCTGCATGCCATAGAGCTATCCCTCCTATAATGTCCTAGTCCTGCATGCCATAGAGCTATCCCTCCTATAATGTCCTAGTCCTGCATGCCATAGAGCTATCCCTCCTATAATGTCCTAGTCCTGCATGCCATAGAGCTATCCCTCCTATAATGTCCTAGTCCTGCATGCCATAGAGCTATCCCTCCTATAATGTCCTAGTCCTGTATGCACATGCCATAGAGCTATCCCTCCTATAATGTCCTAGTCCTGCATGCCATAGAGCTATCCCTCCTATAATGTCCTAGTCCTGCATGCCATAGAGCTATCCCTCCTATAATGTCCTAGTCCTGCATGCCATAGAGCTGGATCCCTCCTATAATGTCCTAGTCCTGTATGCCATAGAGCTATCCCTCCTATAATGTCCTAGTCCTGCATGCCATAGAGCTATCCCTCCTATAATGTCCTAGTCCTGCATGCCATAGAGCTATCCCTCCTATAATGTCCTAGTCCTGTATGCCATAGAGCTATCCCTCCTATAATGTCCTAGTCCTGCATGCCATAGAGCTATCCCTCCTATAATGTCCTAGTCCTGCATGCCATAGAGCTATCCCTCCTATAATGTCCTAGTCCACTTGCATGCCATAGAGCTATCCCTCCTATAATGTCCTAGTCCTGCATGCCATAGAGCTATCCCTCCTATAATGTCCTAGTCCTGCATGCCATAGAGCTGGATCCCTGCTATAATGTCCTAGTCCTGCATGCCATAGAGCTATCCCTCCTATAATGTCCTAGTCCTGCATGCCATAGAGCTATCCCTCCTATAATGTCCTAGTCCTGTATGCCATAGAGCTATCCCTCCTATAATGTCCTAGTCCTGCATGCCATAGAGCTATCCCTCCTATAATATCCTAGTCCTGCATGCCATAGAGCTGGATCCCTGCATGCCATAGAGCTATCCCTCCTATAATGTCCTAGTCCTGCATGCCATAGAGCTATCCCTCCTATAATGTCCTAGTCCTGCATGCCATAGAGCTGGATCCATCCTATAATAATGTCCTAGTCCTGCATGCCATAGAGCTATCCCTCCTATAATGTCCTAGTCCTGTATGCCATAGAACTATCCCTCCTATAATGTCCTAGTCCTGCATGCCATAGAGCTATCCCTCCTATAATGTCCTAGTCCTGCATGCCATAGAGCTGGATCCCTCCTATAATGTCCTAGTCCTGCATGCCATAGAGCTATCCCTCCTATAATGTCCTAGTCCTGCATGCCATAGAGCTGGATCCCTGGGTATCACAGTCAGTGCTATGTTGCCAGGACGTTGTGCCATGTGTGACCGTATCCCCAGCCGCACACTGAGCTCTTACACAGCCCACGGCGGGGTCTGACTCTCTAACGGGACCGGGGGAGCTCTCAATGTGTGGACGTTACCTGCCCACCGATGTGAATATCGAAGAACACGATGGGATTGTTAGAGCTGGAAGCCGGTACCGCCATGTCTGTCTGGGGCAAATCCCGGAAAGGGCGGGGCTACACGATCCACTTCCGGTGTGCGTTCAGGGCGAGTGGTGCGTCCGTTGAGCTGCTTCCTGCCGCAGTGTGCGAGTGCTGCTCTCAAACAACAACAACAACAACAACCACCAAACATACAACTGCAGTAACCTGGCAACAGAATGGTTACAGTCAGGAGAATATAGCAGGCTCTCACTAGCATTCACTTAGAAATGTTTTTTTTTTTTAAATTTCCAGATCAGCTATTTTTGCCTAAATTTTATGGAGCCCCCAAAGGAAACATGGAGGATTTTTAGTATTAAAGTGCAAATTTAGTCAGATATTTTCACCATATAAATGTACATGCTATGTATGTTGTGGGTAGCTTAATAAATCGTATGCACATTAACATACTTCCCAACTGAGTTCGGTTCTGGAGGAGGAAGCCTCTAGTGACTGTCAGGAATACATCTACTACATGTGTGCGTGAACCTGCAGATTGGAAGAGTAGGATTGGTGGGCAGGCTCTTAGGGGGTCCTTGCCAGTGAATAGACTCAAGTTACTGGTGACACCATAATCGAAATGTGGACCTATCTGACTGGAACCCTCAACTCCTCTAGACTGTAAGCTTGTTTGAGCATGGCCCTCATCTACGTATTGTTCCTGTGTGTCTCCTTTATTGTAAATTACCCCCCACACCCCTTTATAATATTGTAAAGCGCTGCGGAATTAGTTGACGCTATATAAATACCAATAATAATAACCTACAGGACCTTACAGAGCACTGCTGAAGTTTTCTCTGAAGGATCCAAGTGTACATATACAGCATTAGCGCATCCAACAAAAAAGAAAAAAATATCCGTGCACCCTATAGGCTCATTTTGGTTCAAACAGCAATATTTCAAGCCAATATTGCCTATAACAGTTACAGCCAAAGTCACATATGCTGGGAGTGTAACTAGCCCTTTGGCAAATATCTCTAAATATGCAGCATTTCAAGCAGAAATCACTAAAGTGATCATGGTGGTTTTATTTCCTTGTTCATCCAATTTGATGTAGATAAGGGCTGGCTGGTTATTGTATTTGCAGCCCGAACCCAGTATTTTGTGCACACAATTTCGTAAATTGTGCAAACATTCTGTTATGTCATGCACATAATATGCTTTATTGTGGGAACCATTCATTAAATTCGGTGCATGATTTATAAAGAATCCTCTGTGGAACCTCCAGGGCTCAGTAAAATGTTCTTTGGCTTTACGGAGTGTTAAAACTTGCAATATTGTTGATTTGTGTAAAAAATAAATAAATTATATATATATATATATATATATATATATAAATAAAACAAGGGGGGGTTGGCTGCACTCACCTGAACATGCATAAATGGGGGTGCTGCTGTGGGCCAAATAACACAATACACAAGATCCAGCGCACTCACCTATCCACTAAACAGCAACTTCAATGTTGAAAGATTTTATTAGTTTTTTTAAAAACACCTAATCTAGGCAAAAATAATGGGGGTTTAGTTACATTATATGATCATACATTGCATAAAGCCTGCAATGTATGATCATATAATGTAACTAAACCCACATTATTTTTGCCTAGATTAGGTGTTTTTAAAAAAACTAATAAAATCTTTCAACATTGAAGTTGCTGTTTAGTGGATAGGTGAGTGCGCTGGATCTTGTGTATTGTGTTATTTGGCCCACAGCAGCACCCCCATTTATGCATGTTCAGGTGAGTGCAGCCAACTTGTTTCATATATATTATATATTTGGGAGTCTAGCCAACTCCTTGGTTTTGCACCTCTCCCGGTCACAGGTGCCTCATCCCAGGGCCCTATTTAGCCTTGTACTGCAGAGAGCCCCAGATGGAATTTTTTTCCTCAAGTAAGTGGTTAATCTCATAAGAGCAGACATTAGGCTGTTAGTGTAGGACCTGCCAAAGATGGGGTACATTGACGTTGTGGCAGGCTTATGCAATGTATGATCATAAAATGTAACTAAACCCCCATTATTTTTGCCTAGATTAGGTGTTTTTAAAAAACCTAATAAAATCTTTCAACATTGAAGTTGCTGTTTAGTGGATAGGGGAGTGCGCTTGATCTTGTGTATTGTGTTAATTGGCCCACAGCAGCACCCCCATTTACGCATGTTCAGGTGAGTGCAGCCAAATATATATATATATATATATTTCGGAGTCTAGCCAACTCCTTGGTTTTGCACCCCTCCCTGTCACAGGTGCCTCATCCCAGGGCCCTATTTAGCCATATATATATATATATATATATATTTCAAAAATTCAAATCTTCCAGTTGCGTTACACAGTTCCTCTATATTAGCTTCTGTTTTGCAATTCAACTGAGCTCACATGGTTTTTCACTATTGTTACTTTGGAGAAATGTAGAGGTTATGGCGCCATAAGTTCCTTGTTACTTTTCCACAGTAAGTGGTCAAAACAGTTTTCAGGTGGTTTGAAACCACACAATCTCTGGAAACCCAAGCAGCTGTGATACATTTTTTGCTTCTGGCATGGGGTTTCTCTGTACTTTCATATGGAATTGAATTGGAAGGTTATGTTCAATTGAGTGTTTGAGTAATTTCATTTTTCTTTTTGTTTGTTTTATAGGACCACTAAAAGGCACCCAGAACATTGTATCTCAATGAAGTGGGTTTGATGCAGCGGTCCTGTCATTTTAAAACATGCATTTTGTAGAAACTGCAATGTTTACATTGCAGGGTTACGCACATCTGTAGTGGATGTATTCCTGACAGCCACTAGAAGCTTCCTCTTCTAGAACCGAGCCAAACTCAGTCCTGGAATCAAATACTGTTGATAGCAGCATTTAATTGTAGTAACACAGCTTTTGGCTGTACATGCCTAGTTCCAATCCATTGCTTCTTTATGAGAAGCAACGGATAGGACACGACTGTGAGTGAGGTCAGCCTAATTGCTCACATCACCGGAGGAGGAGCTAGAGACTGCAGTTTAGGAGTCACGGCACCGGAAGAAAGGGGAGTTATATTCAATTTACTCAGCAAAGATGGTGGACACTCATTTTTGAAAATAAACTAAAAAGCACGTGGGGTATAAAAAAAATGTATAATTAAAAAAAGCAGCTCTACAACATAATCGACTGGCATAAACTCCTTAGTAAAGAAAAAAAAAAAAACACACTGAGGATAAACGGAAGCTCTTCAAACAAATATTAGAAAGGTACATTTCTTAGTACCATTGGGTAATAAATATAAAAGAAACAAATTGAAACCAATGTGGCTTAGTAGAGCAGTAAAACAAGAGATTAAAAATAAGAAAAGGGCATTTAAATCAGAAGCATCCTATATAAGATATAAGGAAGCCAATAATGTTTGCAAAAAAGGCAATTAAAGAGGCTAAACTAGAAAATGATAAATTAATAACCAAAGAATGCAAAACCAACCCCAAATTGTTTTTCTTAAGTACATCAATTCTAAAAAAACAGTGTAGGTACACTGGAAACATATGGGTCTGTTAGCCGATGAAAACCAAGAAAAGGCAGACATTTTAAATAACTATTTTTCTTCAGTATATATTAATGAGTATCCCATGGCAAGAGATATGCAAATGATTGCTGCAAATAACTTGCAGATAACTTGTGATTATATGACATGAGACAAGGTTCTACAGCAGTTAAAAAAAATGTAATGTAAATAAAGCTCCGGGGCCTGACGGTATTCACCCACGAGTACGTAAGGAGCTAAGTAGGGAAATAAGTGAACCTTTGTATTTAATCTTTCAAGATTCTTTTGTTTCAGGTATTGTACCAGAGGATTGGAGGAAGGCAGATGTCGTTCCTCTATTTTCTTTAAAAAGGGTTCAAAATCTTTGCTTGGAAATTATAGACCTTTGAGCTTAACTTCTGTGACTGGGAAAATATATGAAGGGCTATTAAAGGATAATATTCAGGAATTCATTGGGAAGAACTTTATTAGCAATAATTAGCATGGTTTTATGAAACATAGGTCATGCCAAACTAACCTGATTTCATTCTACAAAATAGTAAGTAGAAGTATAGATCAGGGTTTGCAGTGGATGTGATCTATTTGGATTTTGCCAAGGCATTTTATACGGTTCCTCACAATAGGTTAGTCTTTAAAGTAAGAAATTGGTCTAAATTAATATTCTAGTTCTTGGGTAGAACATTGGCTTAAGGATAGAGTACAACAAGTTGTCATTAATGGTCAATTTTCAAGCTGGACAAAAGTGGTAAGTGGTGTCCCTCAGGGTTCTGTTTTGGGACCGCTTCTATATAACAGATTTATAAATGATCTTGAAATAGGCATTGAAAGCCATGTTTTAGTGTTTGCAGATGACACAAAACTTTGTAAAGTAATAAAATGTGAGCAGGATATTGCTTTGCTGCAGAGGGATTTAGATAGATTGGGGAACTGGGCACTAAAATGGCAGATGAAATTTAACGTAGAGAAATGCAAAGTTATGCACTTCGGTGTCAAGAATGCACAAGCAACTTACACCCTAAATGGTAGTGAATTAGGGATAACCACACACGAGTAGGATTTGGGAATTGTTATAGACAACAAATTAGGCAGCAATATGCAATGTCAATCTGCAGTTGCTAAGGCCAGTAAGGTTTTGTCATGTATAAATAGGGTCATAAATTCTCGGGATGAAAATAAAATTTTGCCTCTTTATAAATCGCTGGTAAGACCACACCTTGAATATGCTATGCCATTTTGGGCGCCTGTTCTAAAAAAGGATATCATGGCAGTAGAAAAAGTTCAGAGACGAGCTACAAAATTGATAAAAGCAATGGAGCATTTTAGTTACGAAGAAAGCTTAAAAAATTTAAATCTCTTTAGTTTGGAAAAACGGCACCTCAGAGGGGATATGATAACATTATACAAATATATTCGGGGCCAGTACAAACCATTATCTGGAAATCTATTCATAAACAGGGCTATACATAGGACACGAGGTCACACATTTAGGCTGGAAGAAAGGAGATTTAATCTAAGGCAAAGAAAAAAGTTTTTCTTACAGTAAGGACTATAAGGATATGGAATTCTCAGCCTGAAGAGGTGGTTTTATCAGAGTCTATACAGATGTTTAAACGGCAATTGGATAAATACTTGCAAAAACATAAGAGATATAATTTCTAATTAGTCGGGTAATAGCATCTTGATCCAAGGAGATATCTGACTTCCATTTTGGGGTCAATAAGGAATTTTTTCCTAGTTTGCTGCAAAATTGGAAGCGCTTCAGACTGGGCCTTTTGCCTTTTGGATCAACAGCAAAAACATATGTGAGAAAGGCTGAATTTGATGGATACAAGTCTCTTTTCAGCTATGTAACTCATTATTTCACTAGAAAGGAACCTATAGTTCAGAAAGAATGATTATTTTTTGGACCATAGAAAACCTTTAATGACTTTGACCTTTATGATGCATCTTTCTGTGTTTGGTTATGTAACCCAGAACCCACTATTTTCTCTTTAATTTGTTTAAAACCCAACAAAATTCTTGGAACAAAAACAAACCCCAAAACATCAAATAGTTTTTTAAAAATATCGCTTTGTATAAAACAGACTGTCTGTCTGGGTTTAGTTTCAAGGTTCAGAACCCCTTCAATTGCATTCTTTTCTGGAGGCACTTCTAACAAAAATGACTTATCCAGAATAAGGGTTTTAGTGTACGCTGGCTAGGAATTTTGGCAGTAGTACCTCACGTAATGACGGGGAGACATGGATGTACAACCTGATGGAAAGGATATAAAGGAATATGGCAGCACTTTGCTTTGCAAACAATGGATTCTTGAATGAAGATTGGCAACGGCGTGAACCTGCTGTCCAGTGGCATTAGGTTTCATAGCCCCACTCCTTCCATCAATTATATTAAAAGTATTTAACTTTAAAAGAGCATTAAATTATAGAGACATTTTTAGAAGATTTAATAAACTAATATAAAAATACAAACATTATTAAAATCACATAGTGTTAACAAAATATATATATTTGCACGAGATTGTCATTAGTGGTTTCTTGTTTCTCTGTGTGGTTATTTTGTAATTTAGCAGCATTTTTTCAACTCAGTGCTTGAAGAAGGCACCACAGAACGGTCTCACGAGTATGATCAAATGCAGGAAATGGTATATCTTTATATGTCCTTAATCATGGACCTGGCATTGGTGTTTGCTCAGGGGATGCTGGCGCAATCCCTGGTGACGTTACATTTAAATAGCCAATTTCTGAAATACTGGAGTGAGATAAATTCAGGGTTTCTGCACTTCCTTCGTGATTTGTGCTGTGAATAGCTTTTAACACCCCAGGAGGACTGGAGAATCCCAGAACTGAAAAACTGAAAATGGAGACACATTAGGACACCTTTTTATAAAAAAAATTATAGACCAAAAAGTAGAGAAAGCATCTATTGAGATGAAGTGGTCTGGTTACCTTTAGAGTCCCTTCAATTTGTCAGATAAGAAACCCCACCATCTTATGGATCTTACAATCAAGCAGAGCAGGACAAGGGGCAACCTCCAAATGTAGGGTAGGTACTGATAGAGCAACAACAGAATATCTGAGAACGAGAAACTCCGTAACTTGCACCTCAGGATATCAGTGTTCAGGTCTCAGACCTTTCTGACCTAGGTACTGACTGTGACTAATGCAATAGCTGCATGGAATACTTTTCTGCCAAAAGCAGCATGTGGATCCAAACATAGCAACAGATGCTTGAAATTCCCATATTACTGATAGAGAAAGGGGGTGCAAGTGGAACCTCACAGTAGATCCACTCAGAACTGTATTGCAATCCAACACAGAGGCATAGGGAGAGCCTGAAGGCGAACTACATTTCCCATAAGTCTAAGCAAGCCTTTATATTGAATGAGCATCATGAGACATGTGGTTCAAAAACATATCAGGAACCAAACCTATTACATATTCAAATACACCAGACAAATAAGTTTCCCTGTTGTCCATAATTTATATCCTACCAGCAACAAAAAAAAAGAGAGGACATTAGTTTTCTCACCTTCCTGTGGGCAAATGCAGTGGAGTATCGGTCATTAGTAGACATTCTGATGGGATAATTTTTGTGATTTCCTTTCAGACAAGAAAAAAACAAGATGAAACACAAATGCAATAAACATTTCTATTGCAATATCAGTTAGCAAATAACATAAATGATCTGTCCAACTTGAGTGATTTGGCCTACAAAGGTCTTTCTGTTCCTCATAACCTTCCCAAGAAACCTACAGCCTTTACATTAGATGCTTGCATAAACACATCTAATGCAGGATATGCTTATCTTGATGTACAGTGTAGAGATAATGATTAAAGTATAGCTGACTGAAGAGATAGTGATGGAAGATACAGCTTCTCATGCCCTCACCTTTGCAAATTATACTGAAGCTCTTGCAGGGGCGAGTAGTGTATCAGAGGTAAGTCAAAAATGCATTTACAACCACAGCGCTTCCATGTTTAGAGCACCATCAATGCCCTATGATGTGCTGGGCACATTATTGCATGTTCTGGCATAGGAGAAATGCCGTACAATCATATGTGCACATTTTCTGCATAATGCGGTACACACGCATGGTCCCATAATATGGCACTGTTGGGGATAAATTAATTTACATGGTGTGCTCTCGCTGTGGCAGAATAGCCAGGCATGCAATGTAGAAAGAAAGAAAAAATATTTAAAGCACAAGTCATAACTAGTTCCACTTTAACAAGAAAATAATATTCAGAAGTAGCACACCTAGAATCCATAGTCTTATCTAGAGATGTCTCATATTTAAGGATTCCTGAAACATAAGAATGTCCAGGTCAACCTTTAAGTCATAAGTGGAATTATATACATTTACTATGGCGCTCTGACCAATGTGTATTCATAAATGTATAATACTAATCAAGAATACGTGCAACAAAATGTTTCACCATGTCTATATACTTAAACATTTTATCACCCGGGACGAGGTCTGTCCTCAGATCGAGCTGGAAACAGTCTGGCTGAGCTCTTCGACTGATACTTACATTTAAGCTGATTCTTCACGATTTATAGGTACTAACTGTGGCACCTATTTCATGCTCTTACTTATGTGCCCCAACGTTTTGCCAGGAGATAAGACAGGCAGACACTTGGAAATTCAAAAATAAACTCATTCAAAAACTCCTGGGCCAGGGGGTTATCCCAGTCCCCATTGCCGTGGTGAGCCTCTGTAATTTTTGGATGGATTTTTATTTTCTAGCATGGTATTTAGCACGGGTAGGCAACCGTTGGCACTCCAGATGTTGTGGAAACATCTCCCCTAATGCTTTTCCTGCATAATGGCTTTGAGAGCATTATGGGTGCTGTAGTCACCAACATATGAACTGCCAAAGATTATCCCTGGTATTTTTCATAAAATGGCTGCCGTTCTGCTATGCGGTGACTATTTGCAACACCAACTCAGGGAATGGCTACCTTTATGAAGACCTTTGATGATCTGTGTTCCCGATGTAGGCGTGCCTGGAACAGCACAAATTTAGCCAAACTGTCATGGGGCTGTGGGCACTCCCGAGCTACACTTTAGACTCCCAGCAGCCTGCTTCTACTCACCTAGGCCGCAAACCTCCAGGTTTCTGCTCTTGTGCTATTTATATAGGCAGGTTTTGGTTACTTTGTTTATTTTATTACCTGGCAAAATGCATGAATATGTGATATATCTCTTATACTGCCATTTTACTGCAAAGTAACAGGTCTATTTTCTGGCAATCATCCCTCATCAAAAAAAACAACAAGAATTCAGAACCCAAAAACCAGTAAAAGAATCAGCAATTGTCCTTCCTCAGATTAGCTATTGGTCAGATAGCTTTCCTGCTTTGTCCACCTCTTGTGTTCCAGGCCTTACAATTAGTCCTCACTCCCTCCACCTAGTGGCCTGTGGGTGTAAGTTACTAATTAAAGATAGCCTGCTCTGGAACCAAGCTATGTTCATGTGCTGATAATATATGGAGATTCACCTCTACATTAAGAGCCTGGATTTTCTTTAAAACCCGATCCAGTGATCCAACCTGGTTATAAAGCTGCAGCAGGCCTTCTTGTAGTTGTTTATTTTCTTCGTCCAGAATATGTGCCCTATTAAAATAAAAATACATTCATAATGAGCATTTTGTAAATGTATCCTAGCTAAATTATACCCAGTGTGTCTAACTGCTAAACGAAATTCAGGATCAATTATTAAATGTACATTATACAGAAATTTGTGTAAGGGGAATTATGACAGGAACATCCAAGTGCACTTCTCTTGAAGATTTGGCAAAAAAATGATCTATTGCTTGTATTTAGTAGGTTGCAGGTTGTACGCTGAAATAATGTGTTATCACGGATGAATTGTCCTAAATTTTAGACCTTATGGACAGATGTCTTTTCCCTAATTACATATATCAATTGTAGTTCTCTTTGATCAAAGGGAGAATGAGGTTTGTTGATCTTTTGCTGGAGATCCCCTATTAAATGATCAAACTCAGAGGTAAATTACAAACCGCTAACATCAGTAACTCACAATTTCACATTAACGATTAAGCCGTTACAATCCTTTCAAAGGAATTTTATTGACATGTTAACAAAACCATCAATGTCCATTTCAGCTATTACCGCCACCACTGCACTACATAAGGCATGGGTCCTCAAACTCCGGCCCCCCAGATGTTGCTGAACTACAACTCCCATGATTCTCTGGCTATCTATGTAATTCAAAGAATCATGGGAGTTGTAGTTCAGCAACATCTGGGGGGCCGGAGTTTGAGGACCCCTGACATAAGGGGTTAATTATATCTAACTTTTGCAGCATTCTTGGAAAATAAAGTTTTGATGTTTTTGGATTGCGATAACATTGTAAACACACTTTCGATAAAACACCCCAAAGTTATTAAACATTATCAATCAGAACCTGGCGATGAATTGTGATTTGTCCCTTTGTTTGTTGAATCATAAAAGCCACCAAACTCAGCATTGTCCTCTGTGATAGAAATCCAATACATCAAATTATCACTAACTTCCTTAATTTTTGTAACAAAACACGGACTGCTTAAGAATATTAGATTTGTAAATTGCAGTGATATTGGGATATATTCCAACTTAATGAGGCCTTACTGCCTCTAATCCTCAGACAATATCCAACCAGCTGACTAGTGTACACTCTATACCAGTTCTCATGGCCCACCAACAGTCCAGGATTTATTCCTATGGAGATACTGACAAAACCTGGACTGTTGGAGAGTCTTGAGGACTGGTTTGGGAAATGCTGCCCTATACAATTTGCTTTCTTTCCTCTACTCCCTTCTGTGTTTCTTTATACCTATATTTACCATTTTTATTGCTTGACCTCTCTGTGCAGATGCTTTTATGATTAGTCAACCATTTATAGTTCATTAATACTATTCCCATGCTAGAATGTTGTTTTACAACTCTGAGATTTTAAATATTACAATATGATCTTGGTTCGGATATTTTTTTTTATAAAAAACTACATTATAATTTAATGTAAAGATGCAAGTGTTCGTTAGGACTATTCACATATTATATCTGGTCAATTCATGTGTGATCATTTTAGTACTGTGCTGTTTTTGTTCAAATAGCTCAGTCGGCACCTAAATACGTGTTCTTTATTTTTGTTATTATATCCAAGGCTAACATTAGAGATCATAAAATGGGGATTTGTGTGTTACTGTTGAACCATCCTGCTGTAAATAACGGTCTGTTTGCTTAGCATGGCATCGGCCCAAGTTTATCACCAGAGTAGGAGACATTGAGTACACACTATAGTAAACCAGGGTGGACTTACTCGTTGAATATAGCAGGATTCCAGACACCTGGGCTATAGTGTAATTGAGCATTATGGGGAATGTAGTTCCCGAACATAAGAAATACCAAGAACAGCAATCACTGATCCAGTTCTTAAGTTCTGCATATATACGTCAACCCATCATATTAAACCGATTGGTGACCGTATGTTTAATAACACTTGAAATTTAATAAAGCCCTACCTATTTCGAACCGATAAGAGTTGCCATTGGTAGTTTCTTTCTATAGCCTCTTGGTCATTGAGCTTCTGTAACATATGTTGGTTTTCCTTGAGAAGATGTTCATTTTCTGTTGTGACTTTACTAATCCACTGCTGATCCTACAATAAAAAAAGTGATTACCTTACAGTGGTTTTTGCAGTAGGCAAAATCAAATTAAGAAGTAAAAAAATGAAAGTAATGAAGATGACCATTATATCCCTACTTGTGTGGCATGTTTGGACCTGTGATGTCACTACTTCAGTGAGAGACAGTAAGAGCCAAATCGCTCACATATCTCGGAGCGTTAGAGCTCATAGGCTCTGTCCATCACATATCTCACAGATAAAACAGTTTGGGCTCCTTAATGTATGTGAGCTAATACACACAACACAGTATCGCTTCCTCAGGATGGCCAGAGCAGATTTGGAAGCTGTACAGCAATACACAAGGATAGACGCTATACATGGACTGACATTAATAAAACCAAATTGGTTAGTTTAAAGGGATAGTTTAAGCAACATAACCATTACAGTTCAATGTAGTAGTTATGTTGCCAATAGTATGTGGGTGTCCCCAATTTTTTTACAACTATTTGGGAACAGTATGAGAAAAAAATAGAGCTCTGCGTGGCCTATTTTTTTTGGTTACATTGGTGGTTACTTTGGTGATATGAAATTCACACTTGTGCAATATCAATAACATTCAACCTGGATGACAACGATAGGATACGAGAGCAGGGGTGGGTTGGCTCAGAGCTTTCAATCTATCACTGTCACTCATATTGGAGAAAATTCCATTTAATCAGTGGAGTTGGAGAGAAGGCGATCTCCATGTCTTTTTAACCCCTTAAGGACCAAACTTCTGGAATAAAAGGGAATCATGACATGTCACACATGTCATGTGTCCTTAAGGGGTTAAACATTTCCAGACCACTAATTCAATAACTACTACTACTTTTTTATGTAATGTGAAACAGAACTAGCAATATACAATAGGAGGAACCGTGGCTTATTATTAATAACAGACATTGAGCAAACCTCTTTTTAAATACATTATTTCTTTTGTTTATTTATTGCAATCACTTTCCATTTACATAGAAAGGACCAGGCAATAAATAAAAAATGCTCAGCCGGCATCTTAGCGCTACCTTTTCTGTTTGGCTCTTCGACAGTGTAATTTCCATTTCCAGCTGCTTTATGTACAAATCCCGTTGATTAACTTCGCTAATGTGAACTTCTTTTGCTCGGCTAAGTTTGGCTTTGTAACGTAGTTGCTTTTCATTGTTTTTTCTAATAAAGTTAAAAAAAAATTACTAATATAAATGCAAGTCCTTCTTAAAAGCAAAAATAATGTAAAGATATATGTTACAGGAAATAATGCACCATAGAAATACGAATGAAAGTGTTGTAACATTTATTAATTCATTTGTAGAAATCACATGTTTATAACAGGCACATCTCTTGACATGACCAGAAGCCTTCTGGTTAAAGCGCTGGCCGTTTAAGTCTTTACTTTCCAGTAAAATGATAGCTATGGTTCTATTATTATTACTGTTATTACTTATATAGGGCCAACAAATTCCGTAGCGCTTTACAGTGGTTGGACGAACAGACATGTAGTTATAAGCAGAAGTTGGACACACAGGAACAGAGGGGTTGAGGGCCCTGCTCAATGAGCTTACATGCTAGAGGGAGTTGGGTAAAATGACACAAAAGGTAAGGATAGTATTAGACTAATGACAGTTACAAGAGAGGACAGACCCTTTAGCATTCAGGACCAAATATACACCAATGTTCTCAATTGTGCACTTGACGTTTTTAGGCAGCACTAGAGAAACAATTTATCTGTAATTTTTTACTTTCTGCTATGTCAAACTACATTTGGTTTGTGTTTTTTTGTTTTGTTTTGGGAAGATAAGGCTACCGTGAGAACCCGGAGAGGATCATGGTATTTCTTTCAGCAATGTGTGGCCCTTGAAAAATAACTTTCATTAAAATGTGTAAGTCACGCATACAACAATACAAATTATAATTATGTGAAGCTACCTGACATATTCGTCCATCTGGTTCAATATTTTATTATATTCCTTATGTAATTCCTCCTTATCCTGCTGCACTTGCAACAACTCTTCAGAAAGTTTCTGGTTATTGTTTTCACAATAGATGCGCTGCAAGAACAAAATATTAGCACAACTTTTAGTACATGAGCAAACCTCAGTGTTCTTGTTTGTATACCTGGCAGGGCCAAGTCAGCATTCCAGATTTGATCTTTTTAGAGACATGTGCGAGTGAAATAAGTAATAATATCTACACACCTGGGTTTAGTTGAAAACCAGAGAAATACTTTTATTGTGATCATGTAATCTAATTCAGGAGAAGCCAATGCGCTAGATATCCTGCTACACATAATTACATAGTTATATAGAATAAAAATACTCAAGCCAATCAAGTCCAACCTTTCACACATCTCTTGTTTCTGCTGGTGTAAAATATTAGAGTTTGTCTTGTAGTAATGTCTCGGCTCCAGAAAGGGACACTATATAATCATCAAGACAACTTTAGCTTAATAAAGCAGTGTTGGTATAAAGATCATGTCTCTGCAGTCTCACTGCTCAATGCTCTTCCATTTAGGAGTTACATAGCTTTGTTTATGCAGTGTTAGTCACACCTCTCTGCATGTGACTTGCACAGCATTCCTAAACACTTCCTGTAAAGAGTTATCTAATGTTTACACTTCCTTTATTGCAATGCAGAAGCAGTTAAATTTACAGATGAAAACTTCTAAATTAAGTAATATCGGATTGAAAATTAAAGCATTTTGTTTTAACGCAGGCTGTGTGAGTTACAGCCAAGGGAGGTGTGGCAAGGGCTGCATAAACAGAAATAAAAGTGATTTAACTTCAAAATGGCAGAGAATTGAGAAGTGAAACGTCAGAGGCATGATCTCTATATACCACAACGTCTTAATTAATCTAAAGTTGTTTATAGTAGTATAGTGTCAAGTGTCTTTTATATATTTAGTATAGACCCTGTAGACTGGTGTAGTTTCCAGACGATTCAGTGTAACAATCCCAATGCCCGAATAATCATTTTGACAGCAGTTCGGCAAGCATGATGCTATCCAAGAGGACAAGTAGGAATTCAATATCTGGGTTATCTTTCCAATAATCCAGCACTTTTAGAAGGACATTTACCATTATATTTGACATGGGATGAAATAGAATATACTTAAAACATGCAAATGCAATGAAAGTTATATTTAAGTACAGAAACTCTACCTACAACTAACCTCCTTAGCTGATGCGTTCTTTTCATCGTCCAGACTTTGTAGGAGAGATTCCTTCTGATTAAGTTTAAACTGAAGTGCAGAATAATTCTGTGTCAATAAAGTCTCTTTTTCACGAAGGGCTTTATTTGTTTGCTTTAAGTCTTCAATGCTTTGATTCAACATTTTTCTAAAATAAAAATAAAGCCATGCTGTTAACAGTGTATGTTACAAAAAAGCAGTCACAGCTGGACTGCACATGAGAGAAGTAGTGGATTGCTTTAAATGCCAGCAGCCCCCTTTTCATGTGATCACATTGGGAGCTATGTATATTCAGAAATTGTAGGGCACATTTCTAAAAGTGCTACAATCACCGTGGAAACCAAATGGAAGGTTGACTTGTCCACCAGAAGAACCACGTGACTCTTTCCAGCTACCTTTTTAGCTGCTCTTCTTGAAGCTGGGCTCGGAGTTTTGTTTCGTTTTCTTTTGCTCTTTTTAATTCTTCCTCTTGACGCTTTTTCTCTGTGATTTGTGTCTGTAAAAGTTGTAATTGATGCTCAGAAGCCCTTAGTTGCTGCTGCAGTTCTAAAACCTGGAGGAAGAAAGGGATTGCATTGTAATACTTGTTTTATTATTAGTAATGAATCCCTATGCCAGATTAAATACAGTACTGGAGGAAAGGATGGTATACTATACGCACTGCCAGGGAGCCTGTGCAACCCCTGATATTGTACAGGGAGTGCAGAATTATTAGGCAAGTTGTATTTTTGAGGATTAATTTTATTATTGAACAACAACCATGTTCTCAATGAACCCAAAAAACTCATTAATATCAAAGCTGAATATTTTTGGAAGTAGTTTTTAGTTTGTTTTTAGTTATAGCTATGTTAGGGGGATATCTGTGTGTGCAGGTGACTATTACTGTGCATAATTATTAGGCAACTTAACAAAAAACAAATATATACCCATTTCAATTATTTATTATTACCAGTGAAACCAATATAACATCTCAACATTCACAAATATACATTTCTGACATTCAAAAACAAAACAAAAACAAATCAGTGACCAATATAGCCACCTTTCTTTGCAAGGACACTCAAAAGCCTGCCATCCATGGATTCTGTCAGTGTTTTGATCTGTTCACCATCAACATTGCGTGCAGCAGCAACCACAGCCTCCCAGACACTGTTCAGAGAGGTGTACTGTTTTCCCTCCTTGTAAATCTCACATTTGATGATGGACCACAGGTTCTCAATGGGGTTCAGATCAGGTGAACAAGGAGGCCATGTCATTAGATTTTCTTCTTTTATACCCTTTCTTGCCAGCCACGCTGTGGAGTACTTGGACGCGTGTGATGGAGCATTGTCCTGCATGAAAATCATGTTTTTCTTGAAGGATGCAGACTTCTTCCTGTACCACTGCTTGAAGAAGGTGTCTTCCAGGAACTGGCAGTAGGACTGGGAGTTGAGCTTGACTCCATCCTCAACCCGAAAAGGCCCCACAAGCTCATCTTTGATGATACCAGCCCAAACCAGTACTCCACCTCCACCTTGCTGGCGTCTGAGTCGGACTGGAGCTCTCTGCCCTTTACCAATCCAGCCACAGGCCCATCCATCTGGCCCATCAAGACTCACTCTCATTTCATCAGTCCATAAAACCTTAGAAAAATCAGTCTTGAGATATTTCTTGGCCCAGTCTTGACGTTTCAGCTTGTGTGTCTTGTTCAGTGGTGGTCGTCTTTCAGCCTTTCTTACCTTGGCCATGTCTCTGAGTATTGCACACCTTGTGCTTTTGGGCACTCCAGTGATGTTGCAGCTCTGAAATATGGCCAAACTGGTGGCAAGTGGCATCGTGGCAGCTGCACGCTTGACTTTTCTCAGTTCATGGGCAGTTATTTTGCGCCTTGGTTTTTCCACACGCTTCTTGCGACCCTGTTGACTATTTTGAATGAAACGCTTGATTGTTCGATGATCACGCTTCAGAAGCTTTGCAATTTTAAGAGTGCTGCATCCCTCTGCAAGATATCTCACTATTTTTGACTTTTCTGAGCCTGTCAAGTCCTTCTTTTGACCCATTTTGCCAAAGGAAAGGAAGTTGCCTAATAATTATGCACACCTGATATAGGGTGTTGATGTCATTAGACCACACCCCTTCTCATTACAGAGATGCACATCACCTAATATGCTTAATTGGTAGTAGGCTTTCGAGCCTATACAGCTTGGAGTAAGACAACATGCATAAAGAGGATGATGTGGTCAAAATACTAATTTGCCTAATAATTCTGCACTCCCTGTATTGTTTAGGGAGTATGGGTACTGTTAGTGGGGGATGGGGCACTACCCGGAATTGTATTTAAAGGGATGTGTTGGCACATATACGGTACATTATGGTAGATTGGAACATAAGTCATTTGATGATTTTGCAAATGACATCACGCAAGCTGATAGAGAGTGTAACAACATCACAGCAATTCTGCTCACCAATGACATCATCAGAACTATGCTCTTCTCTGCATTGCAATGACATCATCAGAACTATGCTCTCCTCTGCATTGCAATGACATCATCAGAACTATGCTCTCCTCTGCATTGCAATGACATCATCAGAACTATGCTCTCCTCTGCATTGCAATGACATCATCAGAACTATGCTCTCCTCTGCATTGCAATGACATCATCAGAACTATGCTCTCCTCTGCATTGCAATGACATCAGAGCAGCCATACTCTCCTGTACACTGCAGATATGGGGGATGGGTGGGTAACAGAAGAAATAAATTTGTGCCAATCTGTGTGTAACACTGTCAGTGTTTACATTGTGAAATGTCACTAGTAAATTGTAATGATAAAGCCAAGAGAAGCTGAACTGAAAACATAGCTGACTTGGCAAATGTTTCCCACTCAACAATTTTACTCTCAAATGTGAGCTTCCCTGGTGAATTCCTGGTGTACTGAATAATCCTAGGAATATATCAATTGAATAGATAGTTTTTATGGGTTTGTTTTGTAACCGGCCATCCCCGTTGTTGCAGCCCTGATTGTGTACAGCTTGAGCAGCGCAGTGTGTATACCAATATGGATTATATTATTGCATAAGGTTGGGATAATTTGTAAATTATTTAGATACCGAGGTTTATTTACTAATCAACGAGTTACTGTTAATTAAACCCAAATTGCAACACCAAGTCTGTTTTCACATCACCACAATTTAAAGTTTTGTGAATAGCAAGTGTTCTTGTACCAGTCAAAAAATAGAAATAAAGCAACTGCAAGCGCTCAAAATCCACAGGAGCTTTAATCGCACACAAAAAAAAAGTAACAAACTGTTCCAATTACCTTTATGTTTTTATTTTTTTTATTTTATTTATGAGACTTGTGCTAGTTATATTTTGGTGTTTTGCTGTCCCAATTCCAAGTTTTTTTTTTTTTTTAATTCTTGTAACAGTCACCCTGCGCCAAACACACATACCCATGTACATCTGTAGGTCCCAGGCTCCTGCGAGCGCATGTGCAACGTGAGATCAGCATTGCATTATTCTAGTGTTACAGAATCCTAAACCACACACACACACACACGCCTTTTACATAGAGGATAGAAAAGGTCTAATGAGCGGGTGTCTGGAGCCCAGCTATTCCTGGATTAAAGCCACTTGCGGTTTCTGTTGATTTTTTTTTTTTTTTTTTTTAATTAAAGAACGTGTTTGAATTTGTCCTGATCTGTGAGTGAAACTCAAGAGGCCTGCTATTATTTGCAGGGGTTGCTAGGTACTGAATAGTGTGAAATCTTTGTAACTAATAAAATGATTTCAAATTAATTTAACAACCCTTTGCAACAATTAATACACAGAATTTTTTTTTATTATTTTCTGTTTAGGCAAAATATTCAATTGAGATATATTTGTGTTTTTTTATTTCAGTATATATGGATAAATGTGCAGATGAAAGCAAAATTAGATATATATAGCTATATTTCCTTGGAATCACCCCACAACGACAGGAGGTCCACTTACCATTTTTTCTGCGTTGACGGCTCGGGATTTCTCGTGCTCGAGTTTCTCTTGCCAGTTGCTTTGCAGTTTAGAACCCTGGTTTCTCTTCATCAGCTCCAGTTCCAGTTCTTTAATCTTCTGCTGTCTCTTCTCCACCTCAGCTTCAAAGCTGAAGCATGTTGCACTGACTGAAGTTAACTTCTGTTTAACCTGATTTAATTCTGCGTTGAGCTGTGTTGGAAGGTAACGTATCAGATTTAGCAGAGCAATTTATTTCCTGCTTATTTAAAAATCAGGACACCATCTTTTTCTGGCTAAAAACCCATTGGATGAGTATGGCCGTCATAAAGTTTTGAATGGTCACCAGACTGGCTGAAAAACTATGGGTTTTGACATGACCAGTGGCCTAGATATTCAATTTACCCACTACTAACGATGAAGTTTACTTAAACGAAAACTGTGCATGAGGAAGTACAAGACCCTTATCACTCCTTAATAATAATTATTAGAAATAAAAGACAGAGGCAAAAGTTTACGCATTTACTTAGACTAGTTCTTTTTTATACTGCAAATGGTTTGGATATTGTGTTATTTTCAGCCAAATAATACAAACTAATGGTTTGTTAATTAGATCTATGCATTAGACATCCCCATATCCTGTTTGGGATTTTAGACCAGAGTGATTTGTGTTACCCTGGATCCAGTTATAATTTGGGAAAAAGCAATTAGGACCAGAGCTTAGGAAAGCAGAGATCCTCTATACCAGGCTTCCCCAAACCCCGGCCTTCCAGATGTTGCTGTATTACAACTCCCATGATTCTCTGAATGAAGTAGATAGGCCGAGAATCATGGGAGTTGTAGTTAAGCAACATCTGGAGGGCCGGAGTTTGGGGAAGCCTGCTCTATACATTCAAAGGTGTATACAGACCTCCTTATGTTTTCTTCCACACTATGTGTTTATCTTGTGCAGAGTTTATGGGAGTTCTTGGGATATTTGCCCCACCACTCCCCATACATGGATGTGAGGGGTCCTATTACTTAACTTTTTAAAGTTTGTTTATAGTATGTCTTGTTTATGTTAATCTCTCCATTGTACACAGTAGTAAATTAGGTCAAAGATATAGTGGCCTTTATTAATCTGCCATGTGCTTCCTTCTGATTTTAAGGCGATGGCAGCATTATTAATGGGCTTTCTTTTTACCCTTGGAAAACAAACAATCACAGGAGCAAAAAAATAAAAAAAAATAAAAAAGACCAGAGAATCTCAGTTATACCATATCGCTATTTTACCAGTATCAATAACAAAGGCCAATGTGTGGATTTCTAAAGAACCAAAACTCAACCACCTATTATTATTATGATATTTATAGAGCGCCGTCAAAGTCCGCAGCGCTTTACAATGGGTGGACGAACAGACATGTAGTTGTAACCAGACAAGTTGGACACACAGGAACAGAGGGGTTGAGGGCCCTGCTCAATGAGCTTACATGCTAGAGGGAGTGGGGTAAAATTACACAAAAAGGTAAGGATAGTATTAGACTAGTGACAGTTGCAGAAGAAGAATCAGTCAGGAGCTACTGACAGTTTAATTGATACGCTTTTATGAAGAAGTGGGTTTTTAACGATTTTTTGAAGGAGTGGAGACTGGGTGAGCATCTAACGGAGGAGGGAAGCGAGTTCCACAGGAACGGTGCAGCCCTCGAGAGATCTTGAAGGCGAGCATCAGAGGTGGGAGTACGAACAGAAGATAGACGTAAGTCTTCAGCAGATCGTAAGGGCCTAGAAGGGACATACTTGTGTATAAGGGAGGGATAGATAGGTGGGAGCAGCATTGCGCAGAGATTTGAAAGCAAGAACCAGAATTTTAAATTGAGCTCTATATTTTATAAGAAGCCAATGTAAGGACTGACAGAAGGTGAGGCATGGGAGGTGCGTGCGGACAGGAAGATGAGCCTCGCCGCCGCATTCATTATGGACTGTAACGGCGCAAGTTGGGAGCACGTAAGACCACTGAGAAGCGGATTACAGTAGTCAAGGCGAGAAAGGACAGTGGAATGGACAAACACCTTAGTCGTATCTGGCGTTAAGTAGGGACGGATGCGCGCAATGTTTTTGAGATGGAAATGACAGGATTTGGCGATAGATTGAACATGAGGCTTGAAGGAAAGGTCGGAGTCAAAGAGAACACCTAGGCAGCGAGCCTACGTGGTGGAGCTGATGGTAGCACCATTGACTTGGAGGGAGACAGACACAGGAGTAACAACACTTGAGGGAGGAAAGACCAGAATTTCAGTTTTGGTCAAGTTTAGTTTAAGGAAGTGGGCAGCCATCCAGTTAGAAACAGCAGAGAGGCAGTCAGAGACACTAGTCAAGAGGGACAGGGAAGAGATCAGGAGAGGACAGGTAGATTTGCGTGTCATCTGCATAGAAATGATATTGGAAGCCAACGGAGCTAATGAGTTTACCAAGGGAGGCAGTATAGATGGAGAACAGTAGGGGACCAAGGACTGAACCTTGGGGACACCAACAGAGAGGAGTTGGGGAGAAGAAGCAGAGCCAGAGAAAGAAACACTGAAAGAGCGCTGGGAGAGGTAGGAGGAGCACCAGGAGAGAGCAATATCTTGTAGACCGATATTGCGGAGGATGAGAAGAAGCTGTTGATGATCAACAGTGTCAAAAGCCACAGGCAGGTCAAGGAGAATTAGGATAAGAATTAGGATGTTCTTCTGTGCGGCAAGTCTGCCAAGTCTGAAAATTATTCTAACCTATTGAGGTGGATTCAGTGAATCTGTGATTTTGGCAATTGCAGGGGAGAGGATATTTGTACCTTAGTTGGTAGAGGGATATGACATGACACATGCCATGTTCTCAGTACTCTAAATCCAACTAAAATAACTTTATGCTTTTACAACAAATTAATTTGAAGTTTAAAGGCTTATTAAGAGTAGTATCCTTAAATGTCGGATCTACTAGTGAGAAACCTGTTTGATGGGCAGTGGCTCGGAGAGCACAAGATTATGCAATCATGGAAGAAGGTGACATTGGGGTGCATAGTCAGCACGACTTTTAGCAAGGGGCATCCTCATGAAGAAATAAGGTCTCTTTTTACATGTTCGAGTGCTTCCCAAGGCCTTTTCTCTACTAATGTTTAATGAACTGAAAGGCTTTTTGGCGTTTACTGTACCCCTATCGAGCACATACTATCTTAGAGTTCCAGAAGGTTCACCTTGGTGTTCTCCTGTTGCAGAGCGATATCTTCTTTCTTCATATCCAATTTTTTGTCCCTTTCATACCTCAGTTCTTTCTCAGCTGAGCTGCACACGTTCTGAACCCTGTGAAGATCTTGGCGAAGCTGACGAATTTCCTCATATTGTTGCATCAGTGTGTCTCCTGCTAAAAACTGCCAGAAAAAAAAAAGTGAGAAAATTGAAGCACGAAGCAAGCAGCTGTTTTAACTCATCATTATTTGACCTGGATCTGCCCAATATTAACATGACGGCATGTCTATAAATATAATGCATAATAAAATATAAAAATTGACATCACTGGCAAAATCCCCCGTCCATAAAAGGATGGTATATTATTATATTATTTATATAGCGCCATCACATTCTGTAGCGCTATACATTGGGTGTACTAACAGATATGTAATTTTAACCAGGCAATTGGATGTACAGGAACAGAGAGGTGGAGGGCCCTGCTCAATGAGCTTACATTCTAGAGGTGAGTTCAGTTCTTTGACTGACAATTGCACTTTTCTTTGACTACCATTTAGTTTATCAATTATGGCTTTATTAATTATTAGGAAGAAAGGTTTAATTTTAAAGCAACAATTTAGTGGGTACGGCTTAGCGTTAGGGGTGAAATTCTGATCCTGGTCTGAGAGAAGGAAGCAGTAGCAATTAATTTGTTTCTAAATTGCTAAATTTGCACAACTTAGAGATTTGGCTGATTTAATATTTTCAAATGAACTTTGATTTTTAAATATTACAATCTAAAAAATAAATCATAAAAAGCAAAAACATATATCAAAATAGTTTTCAAAAGATTAAAAAAAAGAAGAAGTTTTTTTTTCTTTAAAAAAAGCTTATCCAAAAATATTAAATTCAAGCCATAATTGATAAACTAAATAGTAGTCAAAGAAAAGTGCAATTGTCAGTCAAATAACTGAACTCACTCTTTGTGAAAACTCAAACTGGCTACACATAGCAATCTTATGGTTGAAATGACAAAATCTGAGTATATTAAATAGAACGGATGAAGTTAGATCCAATTTCTGGTAACAGTCCAGGTACAGACGACTCCATGTTTAGTCTGCTGAAATATATAAAAACGGATATATGGAATTTATCTCAGAGCAAACCATGACAGCCAGCAGAGCTGCATCTTTAGTTTTTTGGGGGGTTTTTTACACTTTTTTTAATTTTTAAATTGTATTTTAAAGATGGCATCCTGTTTCATGAATGTTTCAAGAACCTGATGAAGTATTCTCAATTTCTAAATAACCATCTCAGCCCATTGTACAGCGCTACGGAATCTGATGGCGCTATATAAATAATAACATCATAATAATAATAAAAATAATAGAAAAGGCCCCCTTATATGAAGACACAGTTCTGAACCATCAAAAACACAGCTCAAGCAGGAAAACCAAAGAAAACCAAAGCTATTAATGTAACAAACCCTTTGTTTTTTTAATACGACTCATAAAAATTGATTAGCTAAGTGCCTTAGAAACCTTTTAACACCATATTGATAGTATACAAAGCAGGAAGATTTTTTTTTTATATAAATAGCATTTTTTTAACTGTGAACGCAGAAAAATAATTATTTCACGTGCACATTTTTTGTAAAGGTTTTAAAAAATAGATATAATTATTCCATCCATATGCTGACATTCCCATAAAAACAGTTTTCTACTAAAAACCTCAGATCAAAATCAAATCTAGCCTTGGCTTTCAATATATAAGGTGCTAGTTCAAACTCCAGGCAGTCAGAGAATGTGCAGGATTCTGCTTTGTAGAATATGAGAGTGAGGGCATCCAAGGACATGCTTATAGAAGGCTACTTGAGAACACCCCATAAATCTATATGTGAAACAGCTGTGTGTGTTATTGTAAGGCTCTAAGCCTAAGCTCCTCTTGTTACAATCACCAATCCACCGTGCCAGAAGGGTCTTAGAGGGAAAAAAAACATAGGACTGGACTTGAGATTTTAAAATAACATACATCATTCCTGTTAAACATCACGCCAATTAATTTGAATAAAACAAAAGCAAAATATATATATATATTTTTTTTTTAAATCTATCAACAAAGCTAAAGAAAAACCATACGGAAAACTGGTGCACCTCTAGATATATGTGAGGACAGAGTTTCGAACCTTTTTTTTCCCCCTTTTTGTTTTTTCACCATATATAAAAATACATACAGTCCTTTCAGGTCACATTTATACCTTGGCCTCTATGGTAGAAAAATGTCACATTATTTTTAAACTGTTCAGTGTGTTATATGAGATTTTAGTAACCGACTTGTATCCCGATTTCTGCTTCTTCGTTCCCGAGAACAGAATTATTTTTCAGCTATACCCAACACCCTACTCCTGAATGGTTGATTATTTGGTCCAGTTATAAAACTTTGTACTTTTTTTTCCTCTTAAAGATGAAGGATTTAAAAAAAAGAAATAAAAAAAAAAGCCAGGGTTACTCTACCGAAACACTAAATTCACTGGCAGGTGGAATGAAACATATTACCATATTCATCTAAAGAAAACTGCAAAACTCTTGGGCCCAATGTTTAATACTCTTCACCCTGCTACCCATGGAGTGTAGGAAGGGGTAGGGAAACAGCAACTACTCAGTAACAATGGCAACAGCCACTTTAGCGAGTAACTGAACTTGGCTAGCAACTTGAACAATGTTCCCATTATGAAATGTGCTGTGGTGCCAAAACTTTATCTAGGAGGACCTAGACCTTTGATGATGTTCCAAAGCATACACAGACATGTGACATGTACCGGAATTAATAATCTTTGTTGGATATAAATGCCCCCCAAAAAATAGATACTCATCCATATTATAAAATATATATGAAGTGACAAAGAACAAAATCTCCCTCACTCCACCCACTCGGAAAAGATTTATGATTCTATATTGCCGATAACATCAGTTATACATTTGAGAGGTGTCCAACATATTGTTTAGCTTAGTAACATGTTCCAAGGCTCAACCAGAATGCATGGTAAGCAATTCAATTAGGTTTTTCCATGCACATGGGTTTACTTATAGATTCACAGGTTATGTTTAACTCCAGGGCCAGCGCTACCATTAGGCAAATAAGGCATTCGCCTGAGATGCCGGCCTCTGGGGGGCGGCCCCCACCAGGAAGTTTCCTGGTGGGCTGCCCTACTGCTATCTGTGGATGATGTGCTGGGTGAGCGGCTCCTTAGCCACCCCCCTGTGCAGCCATTCACCTGATGGGCTCCTCTCTGCCCCTTGCCTGCTCAGGGAGAGGGCCTGAGAAGAGCACACTGCTTCCTGCAGGCAGAGGAAGCCGGGACATGACTTGGTATCCTGGCTGCCCCCTGCCTGTAAACACTGGAAGCACTCTGAGGGGAACAGGAAGCAGCCTGTGCTCACAGTGCACGGCTCTCCTGCTTCCCCCTACCAGGAACAGAGCAGCTACCTGCAGGCTGGACTTCTTCTCCTCTTCTCCAAGTATGGCAGGCTAAGGGGGATGGTTTATTGTGTGCATGGTTGTATATTGGTGTGTGTGTTTTAAACTGCTGTATTTGTGTGTTAATAATGTGTGACTTTATGTAAAGTTATGTGAGTTTGTGTTTGAGTGACAGTGTGTGTGTGTTAGTCAAAGTGTGTAAGTAACATTGTGTGTGTGTGTTAGTGTGAGTTTTCAAGTGACACTGTGTTAGTGAGAATGTATAAGAGACTGTGTGGTGTGTGTGTGTAAGTTAGTGAGAGTGTGCAAGTGACAGTGTGTGTTAGTGAGAGTGTGTAACTGCATGCAAGTGACAGTGTGTGTTAGTGAGAGTGTGTAAGTGACATCGTGTGTTAGCGAGAGTGTGCAAGTGACACTAAGTGACTCTGGGTGTGTATGTGTTAGTGAGAGTGTGACTGACAATGTGTATGTTGGTGAGGGTGTGAATGTTAGTGAGAGTGCAAGTGACACTTTGTAAGTGACTCTTTGTGTGTGTTAGTGAGAGTGTGTAACTGACAATGTGTATGTCAGTGAAAGTGTGTAAGTTAGTGAGAGTGCAAATGACACTGTGTAAGTGACTCTGTGTGTATGTGTGTTAGTGACAGTGTGTAAGTGACACTGTGTGTTAGCGAGTGTTTTCCTGGCACTATAGTTTCCCTTTAATGTCTACTCAGTGCATCTCTTTCCCTAACTGTCTCCCTAGGGCGGCAAGAATCCTTGCACCAGTCCTGATCATCTCATGCGCACATTTATTGATCAGATAATGTACAGAAAAACTTGTAAGGAAACACCAACCTTTGGAACCATTTCTTCTGCGCCATCACCACAACTCTGAGGTCTAGGCATTTTATTCTGCATGTCCATTATCTCCCGCTTCAGTCGTGCGTTCTCCTCTCTTTTGGTTTGTAGATCTTGTCTTGTGCTTTTGATCTCCTGACGAAGCTCTAAGGCCTCCTCCCACAGTTTCTGCGTCTCGTTCATTCCTTCTTGTAGCTGTTTTTGAAGTGTTTCACATTTCTTTTTGCTTTCGGACATTTGGACACTTTTAAAATTCAGTGGTATAGAGAAAAAAAACAACAAAAAGAAAAAACAGAAACAAAAATAAATAAATGATAAATGAATGCAAGGGAAAAGCACACTCATAACATGGTATAGGCTGACTTCTGACAAGTCTACTTAATATTCAATTTTAAAATACAATATGGAGAATTTCTTTAAGCATTCATCAGTCTCTGATGAAGTCCCTGTGAGGCACGAAACGTGTAAGTGTTAATGTAGTGATGCTTTCCCCCTGCTGTACAGTCCCACTTGCGAGGTTTAGATGAAGCAATAAAGGTATCATGTACTAAAACGTAATAGGCAGCTTGGACACCACCTTTTCCCTGTTTACTTGCCTGTCTCGATTATGGATAATTTGTTTATAATTTTTTTTTTTTTTTACATTATTTTAAAGTTTTAACATTTAAAGTTTTAAATGCAATTTAATTCTCCTTTCTCGAGTGTAAGTTGCTGTGTTTCCGGAGCATTCTACATACAGTATTTATTTTGTCTAACAGTAGTGCCAAAATTTAATGGAGGATAATTTAGAAGTCCATGACAGAAAGTCAAGACAACCAATCTTCCACAGACTCGTTGTATGCTGTGTAACAGTTCTGAACGCTGGCAGCAGACTCATGCGCAGAAAATAAGTCAGTGATCCTTGCTCACCGATTTTTTTTTAATGTCATTTGAGGTCATTAAAGTGGCTAAAGGACAAAATAAAAACACTAAAAGTGAATGCTTATGGGCCACTGCAACTTTACAAAGTAGAATATTGTAATATAATAAATAATGCACTAATAATACATGAGATGGACAATATGTCGAGTGAATTTTCACAAAAGTTCACGTTTAAGAACTGGCACATTTTGTGAATGTGATGCACAATGTTGCGGAGATCGGAGCCATGATTTTTACCCATTTTCTTCTCTCAGCTTTTCCAGATCTAAAACCTTGTCTTGCAGGTGTTGAAAAGTTTGTTCTTTTGCAATCAGGGTCTCGTTGGATGATTTCTGATCATTTAACATGGTCTGTAACCTTTTGCATTCTTCAGTAAGTTTGGCAATCTAAGAGAAGAGATCGGACATTTAGCTCATTCAGTATACGCAGCATGTGGATATGGCATACACATGTTCACAAGTAGATGTTGATGTGTGTATGATGAAAAACAGATTTAAATTCCTGTTATCAGCATATATTTTCAGTTTAAAAAAAATGCACGTGAATAGAAACAGTTTTGGCACTTTATCAGTGATAATAACTTATTCCCACAAAACAAATAAGTAAAACCATTTCATTATGGGCAAGACAGGATACAATAGTCAGTGGGTTCTTCCTAGTTGTGTCACATCAGGCTCCAGATACACCCAGTGGTGTATTTTGGTTTTGTTCTGCCCTAGACATGATTAACCTCAGGCACCCCCCTAATCTAAATTTGCCCAACCCTTCCTGTCAAGGCCACATCTTTTCCTGTTTAATACCCACTCTTCCTCTAGACTACACCCATTTCTATTTAGGCTCCACCTTTTCCTCTTAGAGGACCACTTATTCCTAACTCATCCTTCTAAGCACACGTTTTAACCAACCCAGACTTTCACTGACATACACACATGGACACATCCACTCACTGACAGACGCATACACACTCACTGATTTGGCACACTGACACACTCACACACATTTGACACACTGGCAGACAGACACATACACCCACCCACACTGACAAACTCACAGACACATCAACACTGAGACACACACACACACACACATATGTATGTATGCTGACAGAAACATACTGACAGTCACACACACAGTCAGTTAAACACACACACTTTCTCACTGATTTGACACACACATATACTGACATCAGACAAACACACATTCTCTCACACACTCACAAATTATTACACTCTTAAGTGTGGCTGCTGTTTCGGTCATATTCTTGCTCGGCTCCCTCGCACGCCATTTAGTGATGCGGGGCGGGAGAGACGTCATATTTCGGATCCTGGCATCACTGCAGGTGCACGAGGGAGCAGAGCAGGAAGAGCAAAGAGATCAGCACTCCCTTGCCGCTCGTCTATATTACGCACAGCTGAATGCCTCGGGAGGCCCCTAAGGTGGCCAGACGGCTAGCTCTTGGGCCCTAATGACAGATGGCCAGTGAAATCTGTCAGGGCGTCATAGAGCGCAATTGGGGGCGTCATGTTTTGTCGCCCCCTGAGAAGTGCTGCCAAAGGCAAATGCCTTGTTAGCCTTGGGATTGATACAGCGCTGGTTACACCTTCCCCCAATGTCAGCTCCATCACTCAATCCCTAGTGTAAGGGTTAAGCATGGGTAGATAGCTGTTTAGAAATGACTGAATTTGTTGGTGGAGAAAGTAGGAGCTGAAAGGAGAGTTCAGAGGCTGTGAATTTAACGTTACAGATCTTTATATTTAACGATTTTGATATCAGGGTGTTCAGTGACCCAATGTCTGGCAGAATAATTTGCCCATTTATTATAATTAATGTTAAAACGAATAAGGAAACACGTTAGCAGTAATTTAAAAATGCTCGTTCAGTGCGGTACATCACCTTAATATCTTGCATGCTATTTACTCTCTCCAGCTCGTCATTCGCTGCACGCAAAATATTCTTGTCTTGTTCCGCACGTTTCAAGCTTCTTAGGTCGCCCTGAAGCTCGTTCATTTTTACTGTAGATGTATATATTTCCTGGAGGCAAATGGAAAGAAAATTGTTGTTGAAGAGAGATTGTGACCCAGTTTTGGTAGTTTTCAAATCACTGTTTTTGGTCACCTTCTCCCTGGATCTCACAAAATAATGCACTGATAATACATGAGATGGTCAATAGATTCTGATCACAATAGAGTGAAAATCTCAGCTTTTGATCAGCATCAGGAAGCTTTGGCAGAAACATTAGTACTTGGCTATTTATCAGTTACAAGTGTTTGGAAAAATCAGGAGAGACAAAAAAGGATTAGCCTGAGAGAGTCAGGATCCCATGAACTTTAATGATGATTGGAGTTAAGAAGAACGTGCCACACACACAGATTAACAAACGTTGATAGGGAGTTTGACCGATATAAAGGAAATGCCAATGGACTTTGCTTTGGACTTGGCTGCGCACAAACAGAGTAATTGAACTTGAGGTCATTATGAAAGTAATGAATTAATTAAAATTGTAAAATAAAAAAAATAAAAAGCCGATTACTTGGAGAGTCCAGCCTTATATTGACCAATTTCAGGTAGTTCAAGTAACTGGTTCAGCCAAGAAAGTGCCCGGAAATAGGCACACATCGAACAGCTGACGTTCTACTGAATTATCAAGGCATTTAAATGGTCACTTTAAGCACACTAATACACTATGAATTTGACGTAGAGAGAACCCTGCACCCAGTTAACCTTCTCAAAAAGAGATCTGTAAAACTGCCCCCGGGATGAGTGGTCTCAAAGAAGAATTTTACTTCATTCTCTACTGTCGAGATACATGCAACTTGTGCTTGCAGTTCGCTGCAGACACAGCTTGGATGGATCCTCTACTCTCCAGCCACACACAAGATTACTGCTGAACTCTACACCTCTGCACAAAAAGAAGATAAAAGACCAGACTTTCATCAGGATGATGCGGAGTCTGCACCTTGGCAAAAATTACTGACAGGTGTGTGCAGGGCTGTGATATAGATAATATAATGCCAAAATACCAGAGTGTGTGTGTATATATATATATATATATATATATATATATATATATATTAGTGTAGATTGGATTTCCCATATTAATCCAGTAGGATACCTTGAATACCTTTTTTATTGGCCTAACATCCTCTCTTCCTCGTGTCTGAAGCAATACCTGAGTAAGAGGCAAAAACTCTTGAAAGCTTGTCTTTTAAGTATTAAGTTAGTCCAATAAAAAAAAATAAAAAAAAAGTATCCTACTGGATTAATACAGCTAACCCAATCTACACTATATATATATATATATATATATATATATATATATATATATATATATATATATATATATATATATATATATATATATATATATATATACACACACACACACACACACACACACACACATATATACACACACACGAAATACAGAATCCAGTGCACTCGCTTATTCACTAAACAATGATTTCAAATCTTAGAGATTGTAATAGTTTATATATATTTATATTATTAAAGGTTTTTTTTGCATCATTTACAAGTCAAAACTACAGTTTCCTTGATACTTTGTCATAAATGCATGCAAAGCATCATGGGAGATGTAGTTCTACAAAATCTTAGGATCTAACTTTTGAGCACCCCTGCTCTAGGCAAATGCTTTCTCAGTCATAAAGATATATTCTATATTTAGCTACTTTATACGTTATTAACCTCTTAACTACCTCCTTTCCAACATGCCAATTATACACTAGATTATGACAAGACAAGCTGGCTTCATTATGGATGCCATTCATTTCCATAACTCCTCTAGCAACTGTCATTCCATAAAAGGAAGTCATTTCGTATTCTCAGGAAGTCTGAAAACCCTACATCTACAAAATTAAGTATTTAACCTTCTCTCGTACTAATAATAACAGGAATGTTTAAGGTTAACAGTACTAGATATGTTATCTGGGGTATTTGTAGTAAGCAGACCTAGATCTTTATGGACCTACCTCTCTCCCTTAAACTATGAAGACTAGAAGGGGGATTCTGTGGCAAACGGGCTGCTCATAGTCTCAAAAGTGGGTTAATAAAGTGACAAAGTAAGTGTGGCTAGGACTAAACAGCACCACACTGCCCAGTGATTTTAGCAAGAGGCCTGGTAAGGTAAGGTGACGCCAAGCCTGCATTCCCAAAATGCAAAATTAGCTAGATCCCACAAATACAATTAGCAAAGCGGTGGGTTGAGTTAAGTGTGTGCCCTTAATGTTTTCATTGTAATGAGTTTCATGGCCTGTGGACTGAATGCTATTACCAACAATGAACCAGACATAAAATATTAGCCAGCAGAGTACATAGTACCAAAGAGTGTTCCATATAGAAAATACTTAAAAGAAAATGCAGTGCAGTATCTTGCAGTTCCTTTAGTAAAAATATACAATTTTGGTACATTTTTCAGTGTATATACACAGTCTATTTATTCTATACTACACCAGTCTTCATATACCTTTACATAAAATATTACCTCTCCCTTTACCCTGTGAACACAATTTACTTTATAAAAGGTGTGGCAAACAAACCACAAACCAATCTTGTCATCTTGTTGCAGACCCATTACTGAAATTATCCTTACAGCTGGTCCAGTTTTAACTTTGAAGCATTGCCCCCTCTAGTGGAGTAGCTGTGCAATCAGAAGCCCAATAAAACCAGTTTCCTTACCTGCATAATAACTCACTGACACTCAAAGCAATAAGACAGGAACCCACACTCAGTTCGCTCTTTTATTTTTAATAAGCTCAATATATTTTGTCTCGAGTGCCAGGTAGGAGAATAATATAGTTTCTGGTAGAGGGTGGATCACTGATCACAATTATATACTCTATGCCCTGGCAAGGTAAGTCACTGTTTCTGCCAAGTTTGTTCCTGCTTAGTGCATGCCCACAGCAAAAGCAACGTCACATACAGAGGTCAATCAAGTTGTAACACGCCTCCTGCAATCTACGGTAACGAACAAACACACAACACAATAAAAATTGTAACAACTCATGTCGTTATCTCCATCAGTGTCAGACAGGTAATAAACTCATTATATGTGTGCCATACCGGTTTGATGTATCTTTTTTTTAACTATAGCTTTTTTTTGTCAATGACAGTCATGCATGATGATACAAAGAAAGCAATAAAATCCAGGCATCTTCCTGGGAGACACTGAGGGTGTATGAAAGCACTTTTGCAATATTACTTTATACCATGTTTTAGATTTAATATCACTCTGCAATCCATTTTATGGCTAGGCTTGCTGCAGCGGCATCTAGTGGTTTATTTTTTCATTGCCATGCTCATATTACAGAGATTGTGCGCTCTGGCACATACAACCAGCTTAAATGAAAAATTCCATCTGAAACCACTGTAAAATGCTTGTATGCTTCATGCAGAGTGTGGGAAAAGGTTTGAGGAAGGGCAGGAAGAGGGGGGCGGTCAAAAGTATAAGGTTTGTAGCCACTGGACATTTGCTATTTCTTCTTGACTTGAAGCAAGTGCAGAGTACCATATCAAAATGATGGCTAAAAGCTTGTACCATAAATTATATCTGCTAAGCATGGAATTAGCAGCATTCACTGGTTTAATTCATCCACTAGCAATAAAGGTTGGCTAAAACCATTCTATTCAAAGACAATGCAACCATCAGTAGACACAACACTACTAATGTGGCACATGTAATGCTAAACCAGTGCATAAAGGGACACTTCACGACCAAAATACAAAATAAATAAATATCGCTGTTTAGCAGATATACCACAAGTGAAAACTTGCATGCATTTAATTACACATTTTTTTCATTTCGGGTTTATCTAAACCAGTTTGCAAAACATGCAGATCTCATGTCTGCTGCCTTGGGAAATCCTCCCCTTCTATCCCCGTCCAGACTTTCTGTAGCTGTCCAATCACAGATTTCCCAGTGCAGCTCAATGAAAAGTCTTTGCAAGGCAGGTACTATGGGCAATTCCTGCCTCTTGAGTTTAGCTCCACTGAGCTAAATAAACCAGGAAGGAACAGGAGCTGTTATCTGCTTGAAAGCCAGGGGGTGTAACCAGGTTAATTTATAGGAGTGTCAATGTCTATTTAAATCTGCACTTTTTGCAAAATAAAAAAAGAGGACACACTTCACACATGATGCTTTTCAGCAAGATAAAGTTGATTATCTGTCTGAATTGTCCCTTTAATTGTGGTCAAGTTGCATAGAAACTATGCACCCATATCTACTCAAAAGTAGGGGGTTGGGGCCTGGCTGCTGAGCTGAGCAGATGCTTGTACGATAAATACCGCAGAAAAACAGCCTTGAAACCCTAAATGCAGGCCACCAGATGAAAGGCGACGTTAAGCTGAAAGCTCTGGCACCAAACAAGCAGTCCTACCTGATGGATTCTCCTGAGTGCTGTATGCGGCCTACAAGCATGGTCAGCCCGGGGAGGCGGCCGCTCCCCAGTCACCAAACATACCTCGAATCCTGAATCTGAGCCCTTGTCCCCTCCCGGTCGACCGTCCCAGAACTCCATAGCAACATCAGGGTTCACCACCCCAAACATGGCGGAGATAACGAACGATCTTGTAACGGAGAGCAGCCCCACTCACTTACCCAGCAGTTAGATGACGTGTTCGTGGCCTTCTGGCTTCGTATCGCAGAGAGACAGAAGAGCTCCCCTCCAATCCCTCAACACTTCACACCTGCTCTAAGCCCAGTAGTGGATCCAGCCTAGCCGACGAAAGCTGTTTCACCGAGCGGTCGGAGCATCCCCACCGGAGACGGGAGATCATCCCCACCAGAGATGGGAGATCCTGCTGTTATGCATTCAACCAAGTAGCGGTATCGATGGCTATCGAGCCGGAAAGGCTTCACCAACCCTATACATCCATCTTGACCATGAAGGCGAACTGCTGCGGCTAAGGAGAATTCAGCGTGGAATGATATCACATGCCTTGTTGGACTTTGTCCAGATCCCTGCCTCGGTGGACATTCGTTCCCTGTTGCAACGGCACAGGAGATCGGGTATCGGATGACCACAAGCCGGTTCTCTTTCGCGTTGTCCCTTATTTGTCCTGTACTCTCACTAAGCTACTGTGAGATTTTATTCAAAGCGCATTTACTAGGAGTAGCATGTTATGTAGTACCTTAATCGAGCCTAACATAATTTTACTCCATAGCATCTCATGTTTCTTGAGTTATATTCTCTTATTATCACCAGTTATGTAATCAGTTGGTTTAACATGTTTTGATAATACGTTTGATCTCCCTCCGCTGACATAACCATTATGCTTGTTTTCGTTATTTACAAAAAAATGTGCAGTACTATTCTATGTCACGATAAGAATAATTTGTCATGCTTGTGGAGGCTTGTTTTCGCTATTGTGGCGATGCAGGCCTGATTTGTACTTCCAGAAAAATAAAGATTTAGAAAAAAAAAAAAAAGGAGAATCGCTGGCTCATGTTGAACAGTTTGACATGTGTGATAATGGTGATAATGGTGCTGTGTGGACCCTTGTCAAGCTGTCATTCATTAACCACAACTTACATTTTTATATAAAATGAATTAAAAATTACTAATAATAATTAGAAGTTTACTTCCATATGTTTTGCCAGTTTTTGAAGATACCTGTCTGGGAATGGAGGCCTACAGGTTGGGGTGGACACATTTTGAGAAGGAACTTGGATGGAAGCAGTGGTGAAAACATGTGGTTTCGTGACCACCTAGTTCATAAATTGGCTCTGACATCTCAAACTTACCTTTCTCCTATTGCTTTCTCTTCTCTCTCACTCTTTCAGAATATGTTCTTAATTTCTGATCTATTCATATTTAAAACATAAGAAAGTTGGAACTATTTTGCCGTATTTATTTTTCCTACGTCTGACAAATCTTGACAAAGGGAGGAGCTTAAGACAAGCTCCACTGCCTTTGTTAGCTTGACAAGCGTGACAAAGGAAGTAGAGCTTGCCTTAAGCTCCATCCTTTGTCAAGTGTATGAAAAAATATAAAAGACAAAAGTAGTCCCTACTTTGTCCTCTGTTTTAAAGAGAAATAGATCGGAAATGAACAGATTTCGATGGAGGGAGAGAAGTGGAAACAATAGGATAAAAGGTAATTATGAAGTGGCAGAGCCACCTTAGGTTTCATTTTTACCACCTTGAGAGGTATCACAATTACCAATGACATTAAAAACAACTACACAGTTATCACCTCTTTTTCTGCTTGCAAAGCTTTATGGGTACTTTCCAATTCCAAAGAGAGTCTGTGTTTCCCATCTCTTTCCTCTGTTAACTGATTCGTTAACATAGTTATCTTCTCCTCACGACTTCTTAAGACCTGTATCAAAAAAAAAATATGTTTTGTGTGCTCTTCTGTCCTGCTGATGCTGGTTACCAATTAAGTGGATTTGACTATGGAGCCTGTATGGCACCATTTGTTGGTAGCAACAGCTATATGCACTACCTGAATAGCAAGGCTTGTTAATTTGCATATTCAGGTAGATTTGCAGGTTGCTAATTCTGCAGGCAGGAGAGATAGTTTGTGTTAATTATCATCTTCCCCACCCCTTTATAAATATGTCATAGTGGTATAATAAGTTGGTGTATGTTGTCAGATATGATTTGGTTATTTGTATTTTTTTTTAAGTTGTCGTAGCAATCCTATTGTAATGAGCATATGAGCTAGACCCTAGTAAAAAAACAAAAACAAACGCTGTGTATGTTAGTTCCTTTTGTAACTGTGTATTCTGTGTGGATTTTTAGGGGTTCCAGTTACAGAGTTGTTGGCTGGCTGCACGATCCCCCTAGCCCTGGGACAAATCAAAGAGAGCTAGGCCTGAGAGCTGCAAGTATCTTTATAAAGACAAGAGCAATCACATTGCAGGCATTGAGGTGCATTTCTGCCTGTAAGGAAAGCTGCAGAGCTATAGGCAGGAGGACAGTACCTTTCTGGAAGGAGAGCTGCAGACAGGTCGCTTGGAAAAGATCCAGAGAGACTCCAGTCTAGTCAAGCCCCAGCAACTGTGGTTGAAGCACTACTGCTCCCCCCACATCCCCAAAGGTTAGGAAGCAGATTGGGCGGAGGTACTCGGTTGGAGTTAAGGAGCTCCATTACAGTGGTGATGAGGTCAATGGGATTCAGTCATATTTAAAGCCCGGCACCTTTGCTTTAACTGCAGCAGTTAAGACTATCAAAGTGTTTTATGGGCTAAATATCTAGTTGATGTAAACTAAAACACACAAACTAAGAAGTGTGTGCTGCTCTTATTAGGAGACTTTACCCATGATTCAATGCATGAAAGAGCCTGCAGGCTGCTGCGAGTTACCAATAGTATATTGCAAGATTAGAATTGCAAGATAACTGCGTTTACTCCACAACCAACACTGAGGGTGAGGTTGTGGGTTTGTTTGTGTATATATAGTGAATTACCAATGGCAGAGTCTATTGAAATAAATAAGCTTCTTTGATGTAATTTGTTTAAAAAAAGGCAAGAGCGCAAGGAGTCAAGGGACATTTACTAAACTTAGATACATTTATATAATAAATTTCTTAATGTGCCTTTGAAAAAGGAAGTGGGAGGAAAAAAAGAAATTTAGCCGAGCTTAATGTTGATTTTGGAGCTTTCTATTAGCCTAGAGGTTCTCCCCCGTGCAAGCCCACCCATGGTACTGCCAACTCTTATGTTCTATTTTAAGGATTAAAAGAAAAAAAAAATCATGGTGCACTTTACCAAATTATTACTTGGCATGCTGCCTTAAACTCATTTCAGCAAAGTTTACCACACTATCTGTTTCAATATATGCACACTCACGTTACACAGCATTGCAGGTTCTAACGGAGGAGTTTTACACAAAATTTATAAAATCATACAGAACAATCAATTCTACTTTTTTCATTTAAAAATGGCACACAGTGAGGAGAGTTTATGCGAGCCTATCACTGCTTTGGGCAAGCAGAAACTGCCAACTTGCACCTAAATCTTCCACCCACCGAAGATAAAAAAAAATAAAATAAATAAAAAAATCATTATTAAAAATTTGAAAAAGAGACTGTCGCAGATTTACATTTTTTTTTTAAAATGTAAAATCTGACAAATTGACAAAAAATGTTTTTCAAAAATCATAAATTTTGTAAAATAAGTAGGTAGACCGAGAAAAAAATATTTTGTAGTTATTTATTTATAACTATATAATTTGGTTTATTTATTCATTAAGCTAGCTGAGCATTATGGGAAATATAATAAACACTGTTGGTGCCATTACTGCCATATAGCATGCAGAGGTCATGCATAATTTAAATATTCATACATTATAGAATATCACTCTGGACGGCGGCTTGTAACCAGCCCATCTCTTTCACAGCATTACAAACTCTGATTGACAGGTCTTTCGGATTAACTCACTTTTCACATACACTTCAAATAATTTCTGGCTAAGCTTAAAATCTTTCCCACTTGTATTATTTGTTTTAACTCCTTTGTTAAGGAATCTGCAGACATGTTGGGTTACTATAGGTATTCTACAAATCACTTCTTTATAAAATTCGAGATTTTTATTTTGCTGTAGTATTTAAATTTTTTTTTATTTTTTTTTTATACTCTGACCTGCTGTAAATCTTGCATCTTTGTTAGATCGCCATTGCTTCCTCGATCCGTTCCAAGCCTTTCTTTCTTTCCATCCCGAAGTTTTATCAGCTCTGCTTCTAAGCTCATAATCTTTTAAAGAAAAAAAAAAAAATTCAAAATTAAAAAAATAAACATTTAAAATTTTTTTTAGATCCAAGCAAACAAGCAGATTCTAATTTTCTAAAATATAGTATCAGCAGGTACATTCCACTTCAAACGTTTGTCCTACCAGCGTTAAGGTAATGAATAAAAGATACTTGACAATAAGTTGAGAAATCTCACAGTATCTGCGATGCTGTCTGGGCTGTAAACACAGTTAAGTTTGTACTCATTTTTTTGTTTTCTGTCGCTAGGCAATCACATTCCAATGACTCCATTAGGCTACACAGACACACTCACACCCCCCTAACACTACCAAACAATGCTGACCATTTTTTTCAAGCTACCAGTGTTAGTCTGAATCACAATTTACAGTGAATTTCTGATGGAACACTCCAGTGTATGACAGTGCAAGCGTTATGTCCTCTCAAGCAGTTATTGTTATTAAAATTCTCCTAAATGCTTGCTTGCATTTTCTAAAAGCCATGTTAGAGCTCACATTCTATTAACTATTTTAAGTCGTTTCACTGCACAGTGAGTTACTGTAAACTGATGACCAAAATGCAAAAATTTTGGCCACTTTAGCCTATCAGAACAAAAAAATAAAATAAAAAAAACAACAAAACTACAGTCTATACTGAATTAAAATCTGCAATTGCCAGGAACTTGACAATAAGTGACATATTCAGAACTTTGATAAAAGTTGATTAAACGTTCACAGGTTTCTGCCAAAGATATTCTTCCATAAAAAGACAGCATTTTATGTTTAATGATACAAGGGGTAGAATAAGCATTTTTTTTTTTTTTTTAAACGGAAAAATGTGACAAAGAATGATCTAACTCCCAATTTATCAATATGAATAGGCAGCTTCTGCTTTATTGTGGTTTTCTATTTAACACCCAAATTTAAAAAAAACAAAACAAACAAACAAAAAAAAATGAATAAAGTGAATATGGAGGACAAATCTTAAAAACTTATTTTTGAGGGGGAGGTTTCATACATGAAAAATGAACATGTTATCTCTTTTACGTGCTCAATATGACCTTATAGAGGAGGTCAGAAGCAAAAATGAAATGTTACATCACATCAAAAAGTAAGCAATGCACGATGATTGATTTTCTTTTTATAGAAACAGATATTAGTAAAGTACGAATAATGAATTCAAAGTAAATTTTCAATTTATTTTTTTTATTTATTTTTATTATTATGAAATATGTAGTAAAATTAAACAGCCAGTGGGCCCTGTGTGGATGTGATAAGTGTGAATATCCAGTTTTGGTGAGAACCATAGAGGGGTTTACCCCTTGCCCATAGACTATGCGAGTAGTGTAGAGGGGCCAATCTTTTAACCGGCAAGGGGGGGAGGTAGTGAAAGATAATAGAGTGTGGCTACTCGGCAATGAGGTGTGTTTAGCATTAGTCGTTGTGCTTGCATATGAGACTACGTGGGGTAACAGCATATTAGGCTAATAAACATTGCAAGAAAAGTAAAGTTAGAAACAGAAAAAAAAAAACAGGAAAGAAAAATAAGAAAGAAACAAAAAAATAAGCAAACTCTAACTGTGGTAGACATGTATGATAATGGTGCAATTCAGAGTACCCTTGAGTGGGTCAGCCTCTGCTTCCTCAGGTGGGTGGCCTGGCAGGTGAGGCTCTCTGGTTTTCTCTTGGAGTAAATTCACGAATGGCTGCCGGGTTCAGCCAGACAGGCCTGTTCCAGTTAGCGGTAAGGCCTGCAGTATGCCCGTTGAATTTAGGTGCGATTCCAGCTCCTGATATCCCTGTGCTCTGTGGGAAGTGCCGTTATGTGTAAACAATACAGCTTGTGGTGTGCCCCATCTGTAGGGAATCTCTCTGGCGCAAAGGTGTTGCAGGAGAGGCTGCAATGATTTCCGCCAGGTTAGGGTGCTTTTGGTGAGGTCTGGGAATACTGTTAGTGAGGAGCCCTCAAACAGCAGAGGGGTTTTCCCTCGCAGAGCGGCCAGGAGTGAGGCTGTATCCTAGAGGGCTTGAAATCTAAGTATGAGGTCTGCCGTCGCCGGTGCTCTAGTTGGCTTTGGTAACCTGAACATACCATCCAGCTTCAAGGATTTCACCTGCTTTGGTGGGAGCAAGACTCCAAAGAAGCGCCTTATGTAGTGGAGTAGGTCAGCGATTTCCACCTACTCAGGTGTCCCCCAGACTTTCAGGTTGTAACGCCTTCTCTGATCTTCTAAAGCATCCAGTCTATCTGATGTGGCGATCTGCTGCAGTGCCAGGTCTGCTACCTGCTATTCCACCTTGGTGATTCTGGTTATTTTTGACCCAGCTCCTTCAATAGTCTCTTTATAGCAGGCCGTGTCTGCCGCCAGGTCTTTGCGTAGCTCCACCAGCATCTCTTTAAGTTGGTCCGCAGTGACCGGGTCCCCGGCTTTCTGTGGTCTGGCATGGGCCCAAAGGATGCTCTTTCCAAGAGGTCCGAGGCAAACTCCTCCGAGGAGTATGAGGAGAGGTCGTCGGCCAGCGCCATTTTGGACCACGTGGCCAGCTGTGGGTTCCGCAGCAGGTCTCCTATATCCCTGCCATGGAAGCTTTTGCTTTTTTAGTTTACCTGCCTGCTGTAGTGAGGTTTGTGGGGTCTTTTAAACCCGGATTCCACCATAAAAAGCCACATTAGAGCAGGTTAGAGCCAGGGCTCAGAGAAGTGCGACCACTCCGTTGCCCTTCTAGCTCCGCCCCCTGAATTTTCAATTTTAAGCCAAAATAAATATGAAAATATATAGGCAGCTAGGAGAATTTTTCCGGTTTGGCTATTTTGGCCTCAGATTTGAAGTATGCTTTGAATTCCTCTAGTCTAGGAGGTGCATTAGATTGGGGCAAGAAGTCAGGAAGCCATATCTCCAGGATGACATCGCGGGAGGATGAGTAGGAGGAAGCACTGAGTGAGTCTCAGCACTGGAAGAAAAGGAAGTTAAAACCTATTTCACTAAATTTGTTAAAGAACATGTGACACATATAATCAGTAATAAAGTTAAAGGGTTACTCCAACCATCATGACCATTTCTGCTTTTAGAAGTGGTCATCGTGGTAGGAGTCAGTATAAGCAGTGCTTCAGCGAAAAACACTGCACATACGGAGATTACATGTGTATGCTAGGGGGTAAATTGCACCCCACCCCAATGTCAGTTCTGTGCATAAAATAAGTCTATCGCCAGCGCGCACAGCACACGGACAATGGATATATAGAGCTTTGCCCTTTCAGGCAGAGACTGCAAGAGAAAATCTGGATGTCCCCTGCCACCTTTCATTCTTGTGTGCAGCTCATCTGCCAACTCAATCCACACAGGTTTTGTCTTTTCCCTCCCCACTTCCTCTCCTCTTGCCAGCTCAGAGTGCGTGCATGCACTCTAAGCCAGTCAAATGGTCCAATCAAATGTTTCCCTATCAGAACCATTTGATTGGACCTCACAAGGGTTGGAGTAACCCTTTAAAGGAGGCTTCCCCAAACTCCGGCCCTCCAGATGTTGCTGAACTACAACTCCCATGATTCTATGAATTAAATAGATAGGCTGAGAAGCATGGAAGTTGTAGTTCAGCAACATCTGGAGGGCCAGAGTTTGGGGAAGCCTGCTTTAAAGGTGTATGTGGCCACACAACAAGGATTAATGCATGGGTCTCCAAATTCCTAAATAAAAATTAATTCGTGCAGAGCACAATTTTTTTTAAAGTTAAACAAATCTTTAACACTGTTTTGGTGCATGTAGACCTTAATCAGTAAGTATTGCAATTTACTCAGTAATTAACATTGAAATGGTTAATATAAGAATAAAGATTTGAAATATATTTTAAGGAGATATGGTTACACCTATGGAGACGCATTTAATGATATTCTACCAGACTTTGGTCTGTGGGAGTGAAATGCGACAGACTTTATTCCTTTTCATTGAAAGAGTATGACTATTTCTCTCTGAGTGGCCTCAAGATTTTATAGCTGCCACTTAAAGCACCAAAACAAATGCCTTGGTAGCTTGTTCATTATGTTCCCAGGCACATGAACTACAGATTTTTTTCTTCTTGGCTCATTCATCAACATCAATAGAACGAATTGCCATGACAAGGAAGCAAAAAAGGTTAAGCTTTGCAGATCTTTTCCAATTTAAACATGGATCCACACTTACATTCAATGATTCGAATAAAGGTTATGTACTAAGGAGATCCACCTACTCTAGCTTCCAGTCACTGCTGATGCAAGCCAACTACTTACACAAAGATGTTGGAGAAGTCAGCTTACGTCCCCCTATTCTTTAACAGCTTTCTCTGAAGAAGCCAGAGATGGTTACATGCACGATGCTTCATCAGCTCCATTAACAAAACTATGAATGGAGTCACTATTGAGATAAATGCTCTTGCTATCAACTTGGGCAAGAATGACAATGGATAGGGCATCTAGAGTTTGATGAAAAGTGTCAGCTACTTCCTAGTATGAATATGGCGTTTGGCAGAAAACAGTAAATCCTGGAGATTTGCAGAAAACACAGGAACTTCTATGGTAAGTACTTATTGTCAGGTTAATGGGATTTGTTCAGACACCAGAAAATAAGAGCGTGACTAGTTGAGCCACTTTTTAGTCTGGACAAAGATCACTGCAAAATGTGCAAACCAAACATGGATTTTTAAGATAACTTATGGTATTTTTTTTGTTTTGTTTTTTCATTTTTATAACCCAATATTTATATAATACATCAAAAATGAAGGTCACATCCAGCCTGAAGTATGGCTTTAAAATACCTGTAGATTTTGCCTAACAAGAGATACAATATTTTCTTTTAATGACTTACTGTATTCTGGAGTCCAGCGGTTTGACTCTCAAAGTATTCAATTTGCTCCTTTGTTTTATTCTGTGTTTCTCCCAAAATGGATTCCAGCTCCTCGTTGCGCTCCACTGTCTCATCATGCTCGTGTTGCAGTTTCTGTAGCTTGTGAAGCAATTGCTGATTCAGACACTCTCGCCCTTCAATCGCCAATCGACAGCTATGGAAAGTGATTACATACAGTATACGTTTTCTTGACTATGACGTCACTTTTCGATTGAGCTTCTGAACCATTTGTAATCTTCAAATCGAGCAAATGTTTGTGTGCGATTTTGTTTTCCATGTACAATTACCAGTAGTGTCAATTCATCCATAATATGAAGTCACACACTGAATTGAAATGAACCACTGTAGATATTTTGCTGAATTACCAGCGGCCAATGGGAGCAGATACCCTTTATTGTTATGTAGATTAACCACCATTCCCAGGTTGATCATAAGCTCTCTAAATTAAACGAGTAACCCTTGTCCCAACCAGCTCTTTGCAGGGCAATACAAAGTACTGACCATGTGTGATATTAGCATTGGGCAGGAGATATAATTACAAAGAGGAGAAATTAGTATTTATATGCAATATCTGCTCTTTGCCAAGGAGGATCTGATGAAAATTAAGTCATGGGTTTTGAGTGCTAGATCTTTTACCCATGCCACTATTTGAAAGTGAGAATTCCTCATTCGCCCATCTCTACAAAACTCATGAATAGACTTACTATGTCCATGTCTAGGACATTATCCCATGTTGCGCATGTAATCATCTGCTGAAAAATGGTGTATATGCACATGCATGCTTGGGAATTCCTCCAAAGTTTTGTACATAGCTGTTCACATATCGACATGAGGTTTAAATTAATTTACATTTTATGCCCTTGCATGCAGTCTAAATAAATTTAGCCATAGGGATGTGCAAACAACTTTGAACAGACAGTGTGTTTGTAAACAAATGTAAAATATAAAAATACCTTTTATGAAGCAGTTCGTTGTCCTGATGGTTTGTGTTTTGCTTAGATGGTGAGTTTGCTAATGATTCACTTGTGCTTTTATCAAACTGTAGATAGAAAAGGCACCAATTAAGATTTTCTTCTTAAAGCAATGATGGAAATTTACAAAGCAGCAGAGAAGAGTTCAATGTGTATAAAAAGTGTAGTTAAAAAATTAGCGCGGACTTAGTAGCCCCTTCAGCTCCAGCATAAGCTTTTTTTATTGTAACAGTTCTACGGTATTGATTTATTGATTGTCCTGAAGGGGTTCAACAGACTGCACCTAAAAAAAACAGTCATTAGAATGTTTTTTTCTAAACTCTTTGTGTGTATACAAAGGGACATAGGCCTTTTAAGGTACTATCTTTTAAATGCCGTAAAATCGCAGTCACTTATTTCTTACGCCCTTTAAAGAAATTTCGATACACCACTTTTTCTGTTTAGAATTCTTTATTTTGAACGTTTTTTTTTTTCTCATACAATATATGTGACTTTAGAAAATTGGTGATACCTTTTTAGATGCATATGAATAGTTAATAAACATATACTTTGTTAAACGTTGTACAAAATACAATATATAGTGCAATATAAATATTATTACATACATGTCCTCTATGCATACTTCCATTCACACATACATGGGTGTCCTGGGGGAGGGGGACATCTATAGCAAATCAATAGCAAATTCAATGTCCATGCTGGATGGTTAGAGCTAATTTGGATATAATAATGTTATGTATTACGAGATTGCATAGTTCTATAGTTCTTCCAAGGTTCCCAAACGTTCTCGTATTTCTCCACTGTACCTTTTGTTATGAAAAAACTGCATTCCATTCTGTATTGGTAGGAAATTTGATCGCATATTTCCTGTTCAGTTTGATCGCATATTTCCTGTATGCGATCAGATTTCCTACCAATACAGAACGGAACGCAGTTTTTTCATAACAAAAAGGTACAGTCCAATTTAGAGCTATTACTATTTGTGCTTTATTACATGATGGGAACTCTAGATTCCATAAAAACATATATGGAGTAAGCTTATTACTATTGAATGATATTTGTAGGTAGGATATAATTTTTTCTAGTCCTACGCAATCCCACCAGATGTGTTAGATTGCCCCTTTCCAGATGGCATCTCCAACACATATCTGAATTATTTCTAGAAATGTTATTAAGTTGCGTAGGAACCAGATACCTCATATATATTAATTTATATAGTGCAGTTCCATCATAGTGAATCGTGTCAAAAGCCATGAAAAATGATTTACACTGGAACTTCTCTCATTACTGCACAATCCAATAGTTAATCGAGCTTTTATATTTTTAAAATAACACTTCAAGTACCATGAACACTACAGCCCGCTGTAACGTTTGGTGGCAGGAGTCCCCTGTTGGCCTCCCAGAGTAAGTAGTCAAACCATTTAAGAACGGTTTCACAAATTACCTGGGTCCCCTCGGTTATGAGCCACCATATCCTCTGCTGCTGGAAGCTCCTGGCACTGAGCTAGCAAATGCTACCAGCACCAAGGGAGGCAGTGACGGGCACCCAGCATGACCCAAGTAACTTGTCAAACAGTTCTTAATCTTGGTGGGCTCTATGTGTACTGCTGGCATCATAACTACTACAGAGACTTTGTTAGATATGCTACCACACCCAACAACATAGTCCTATATTGGCAGAACAGTTTTTGTAAATACCAGTTACCCTCAGTCTAAATTTGCAATTGATACACAGAATTAATTTGACCTACCTGTTCCATGTACTTCTTCCTTTCAGAGTCCAGTGATTTGACGCGATTACGTAATGCTAGAATTTCCTTATCTAATCTAGAGCTGTATTCTTTGGCTTTTTGCAGTTCTTGAGAATCTTTACATAAATATATAGAAAATGTAAAAACACAACAGGTTTGAGACATAATTTAAAACAAAGCATACAGTATTAAACATAAGCAGTCTGACAGTTTGGACTTGACACATGAAGACCAACTATGTATATACTAAGCAAAAAAATAAATGAAAAAAATAAACAACACAACAATTTGCCATCTATGTGATCAAAATCAATGCACTAAACAGGAAATTAGTCTAAAATCTGGTCCATCATATTGTGACAAAGTGCCCTTCGCCACTTGTGCCTGGAGAGGACTGTTTGCCCGCCTCTTGTCCTGTGACTATGGACCCTGGGAGATTTGGCCCGTTCAATTCAGTATGATAGGAGTTATGTATTTTTGTATCCTTTTGTGTTTTACCTGGAACATGTGCTCAATGGAGTCTGCTTCTATCCCTGGATAATTGGATTACTTTCCCCATTGTCTCCAGGATAGAGGGCTCTGTAAAACCAGTTTGGGCTAGATAGCCATGCTGCCAGCCAGGCCCCAAAAGATACTTGACTAACTTCTGAACCCCTGGTCTGATTCATGCCATTTTTTGATATGTTGTTTCCCTGAATGGATTGATTGTGAATATATATTTTTATGTGAATGTGATGTATATTTTAGAAGTTATGAATGCTGTAAAAACTGTATTATTTCTGGCCAGCAGATAATTGAGCTTTGTGTATTGTAGAAACTCAATTATCTAGCTTGGCCCAGAGGAGGAGTTTTGTGTTGCATAAATTGTGAGTTCTGTGTGACAGTAAATCAGTCTTGTTCCAGCATTAAGCCTTGGCTCATGTTTGGGAGATTGGAGAAATACACTCTGGGGATTGCTATAATCACTATACTCCCCAGGGTATGATCACTAAGTTCTGCTAAGAGCTTGTTCCTGTTCCTGCTCTCTGGGGAAAGAGAGGTTCACCCACTGGAAGCTGGATCCTGGCCTTGGGTCCAGGGTGGGTGGAGACAGCAGAGACCCCTGCGCAGTTGCATCGCTGGAAGTGGGGTCTGCAGTGCTGATGGTGTCGGTTGGAGTCCTCAGCGAGCACTAGGAGCATCGATTGGCGGTGGTACTCAGTCGGAGTGCCAGCGGTCCGTCACACATATAACTGAAAATCACACTGTTTTTGGCCTAACCTCCAAAAAAGCAATCCAAGGAACAAGGAGTAAAGACAAAAACTATTTCCAATTTTGCCTGTAGTGATTTAAAAAGGAGCTCAGTTGGTCAACAATCTGTCAAATATGAATTTAACTAAGCAAAGTGATCAGCAATATTTAGCATCATCCTCAGGACAGTATGACTAAAGAAGGTTTAGAGTACCCAGAGAAGGGAATTATTATGAGACCTTTGACCCTATTCTGTTTCTGCAGATAAATCCCTGTTTAGGTGATGATTGCAAAAAGTGATTTTAAAAGTAAGTACATAACATACCATTTTCCTGAGCAATTTTCAGGTTTTGTTTTAGCACCTCGGACTCCTGCTGCATCCTCTGCATACTTTGTTCTGGAATAAATAAGTAAATGTGAGCATAATGACAGTGGAATTTCAGAACGTTTTTAAATTGCTGCCTTTTTACGCACTTGAAAGCCTAGTTGTGTAGAGAATACTGTCAATTAAATTTCGAATGTAATTTCAATTCTCTTAGAGTTTATAACTCTGAAAATCTCACGTTGGCTACGATTTGCTGTAGAGCAAAGTGTCGAATTCAAAAGAGATCTAACCTTTAAGGTGGGTGAAGTCAGAAACTCAGTAAAATGTCTGATTGCTGACAGCAATGCTCAGTATCAGCGCATGGTGCAAGGAAATTTCCCATAATTCTCTGTCTCAAGAGAGTATTTTTATCCACAAACAGCTGAGGGCTTAGGTTTGAGAACTGTAGGCATAATGAAAAAAATCTTTAGTAGTGAATAATTAATTTTAGTGCATAAAGTCATGGAATTCGAAGTATTCTCGCATGGTTTAAAATATGCTTAAAATAAAAAAAGACTCCAATTTAGCCAATTTCTTGCTGTGTTTTGTGTGGCAAAGATTGATGGGAATTATAGTTTGACAAGTATTATTTACACTATGGATTCAACGTAGGTATGTAACTGTGCACTATTGTAGAGGTACGTGGGACAAAATATAAAAAGAAATATTTTGTGAAAATGATGCAAAATGTATAATTTTATCAATGGTAAAAAAATTATAGTTATTATGAATATTAAAGGATCACTATAGTGTCAGGAAAACAAACTTGTTTTCCTGACACTATGTCATCCTTGGGGGAACCTCACCCTCAGGGTCCCCCTTCAGCCACTTACGTTTATCCAGCGCCGGGCTCCCTGGGCGATGGTGACCTCTCCTCCCCCGCCGACGTCAGCTCCCGAGTGGAGCAGAATGCGCATGCGCGGCAAGAGCCGCGCGCAAATTCTAACAGTCCATAGGAAAGCATTTTTCAATGCTTTCCTATGGAAGTTCTGCACACTGGATGCAAAATTTGCATCCAGCGTTGCAGAAGCGCCTCTATTGGCTGTCAGGAAGACAGCCACTAGAGGTTGGATTAACCCTGCAATGTAAACATAGCAGTTTCTTGAAACTGCTATGTTTACATGTGAAGGGTTAAAGCCTGAGGGACCTGGCACCCAGACCACTTCATTGAGCTCAAGTGGTCTGGGTGACTATAGTGTCCCTTTAAGATTTCAGCAGCTGATCTGGGCTGCAAGCAGAGGTGAGTCAATCCCGCTAGGTGAATTAGAACATGATCGCATTAAGGATGGCAGTACTCCGTGGGAACTGGAATCCACCAGTGTTAATATTGTCGACTAACAATTTTAGTCACATTTTACTTGACAAACTTTTGAGATTTAGTGGACTAAAACTAGAATAAAACTAAAACAATTCAGATGACTTAAATACAACTTAAACTAAAATGGCTTTATAGTCAAAGATTTTTACTGCCATGAGGGGGCAGTGCATGACAGCAAATTAAAGGAATACTGCAGACAGATAAAACACTTCAGTTTGCTACAGTGCTTTACGTGTTTGGAGTTAGTCTTTTTTTCCTAAAGAAATCAGCACTTTTATAACTGGGGCAGAAGGGTTTCTTCAGCTTCAGTTAGCTCCACATGTGCCTGGGATAAAGGGGAGTGCTTGCAAAAGCTGCAGTCAGCATGTATGCTGCTTTTGCAAGCTGTTTTTTTTCCATGTAGCATGCAAAGTAAAAATACATATATATTTGGGGTATATCTACTAAATTGTTTAGTGGAGTGTTCTTAAATGAAGACAGCAATAATACACTACAAATTAAGCTCTTAGCTCAGATAAAGAACCTTCCTAAATGAATTTTTTTTAAAATCACTCATCTAGGTATATTTAAGCAGTTTGGATTAGAACATGAAAGAGTTCATAAAATAGTATTTTTTTTAAAAGCATTTCACGCGCTACAGGAGTCCAAATATTTACCAAGTTCGCTAATCACTTTGTCTTTAATTAGTATTTCATCAGTCAGCCTGCGGATCTCTCCATGAGACATCTGAAGCCTCCGCGCTGCTTCGTCCAAATCTCTCTCAATGCATTCTCTCATTTTCTTCTCCTTATCGAGTGCTTCGTCATAGGTCTGGGGTTGCAAAGAAAAAAAAAAATTGTTCACAACAGGTTCAATATTGTGCTTAATTAGTGAGATTGTAAGAAAATTATGAGCCAGGAGTTAGCCATCCAGCCAAGAATTGTACTTGGTTTATAACATCTCCAAATGTAAAACCACAAACTACGCAGAACTACTTCACACATCTGGAGATTCAGAAGCCCGTAAGAGGTGAATAATTAATATCTCGTCCTTCAGGCTTTTAAAGGAACATTCTAAGCACCATTATCACTACAAATAGCTGTAGTGGTTTTGGTGTAATCATTGTGCCACATGATACCTGTGTGAAGATGGTGGCACTTCAGGATTTAAACCTCCTCATTAAAACATCCCAAGTTGAGGGGTTGGACTGTAATGGCTAAGGACACCGCTGTTTTTTTTTTTTGCTTGAGAACTGTTTGACAAAAATAAGGAGAAAATAACTGCATTTAAACCATTAATTACCAGCCTGCAGGTTCCTAGAGAACCCAGGTAAGTGACAAACGGTTTTTTAAACGGTTTGACTACTTATGGCAGTGCCGGCCCCAGAACGATCCTGCCACAATAATCACTGTAGCATATTGAAGAGGTTATGATATCTAGACTGCCCTTTTAAATTTGTGTTTATAGCGGAGACAATGGGGGTTTGTTTCAGGGGTGTGAACATTAAAAATAAAATAAAAACATCTACTTGTCCAAAAGATCAAAGCAGAAGCCAAATCTATTTGTGCGTTACGACAATCTACTTATCCTGACATAAAATACTTTCACTTAGAAAGAGTAGGCCCATGCCTAGAGTACTGGACATTGATAAACTCTAAATTTTCACAAATAAAATTAAAATAGAAAAACCGATGGCAAAAATAGCTGTTCTGAAAAAAATTTGCCTACAGCCACAACTATTTTTGCTTCAGTTTTGTCATTCGGATTTAATTTTAGAGAAAATTAATTGCTGGAGTTTTGAGATTGACTCACACTCTGCCCTCCCAAACAACTGTGTGGTGTGTGTAATGTGTGTGTTGGCTGTGTGTAATAACTGTGTGTTGTGTGCTGGTTGTGTGGACTGGCCGTGAGTAAGGAGTGTAGTATGTGCTGGTTGTGTTGTGTGCGATGTTGATGTGTGTGATGGTGCTCTGTTTTGGCCCTACTCCTGTTTAATGTTCTCCTGGGAGGGGTGCTATGATCCCTTGTGGTGTACCAGGGGTCCTGGATACCTGGAGATCCAAAGGTTGTTAACTATCTGGTGGTCCAGTGGGGGAGCGTGTGGTCTGCACCTCCAGCAGGTGAAAACCGCAGTAATCGCTTGTTCGCAGTCACAGTGCTCATAAGTCATAGCCCAGCCTGTGAATTGGTAGTAGCTTTGTGACTCATTAGTGAGAGATGGGTCCACAAAAATTTAATTACTGTGGTCTGCACTTGCCAGAGGTGCAGAGCACATGCTCCCTGCCCTTGCCCTAAGCCCCTTCCAAGTACCGATGTAGCAGTCCTGACCCTCCCTCCCCCCACAACAAGTTACTTGACTTTAAATTGTGTTAAATAAGAAGCGTTTATTTAATTTGGCAAATGTATCAGGTTATTATACAGTTAGTATTATTTAGTACAAAAAGGTAATATTTACAGTCTAACCGCAAATTTTTAAGAATAAACCACAGAATTACAAAATGTTGTTTGGCCTACATGTTGCAACTCCCTAATGAATTCCCAGCAATTCACTGTTTAGTGAATAGCCCAGACTTTTTCCGCATGGTTTCATAAATAAAACAAAACATTAAACTAAAACAAGAGATGAATAGATGGACTGACACCTGTGTGATATAATCCTCTCACACACAGCACGACATGGTGTCAACTTTCAGTCCCGAAGAAATAGAACCAGTTTTAATTCACACTGAACAAAGTGTTTATGAATGCATAATTTATTAATGAGTCATTTTCTGTAAAGTCCATGTTTTAGACTCAATCCCTGAACTGGAAACATTCTCAAAGTAAGCAATGTGTTCAGTTTGGCTATTTTGGCCTCCATTCTAAAATTTACTTTTAATTCCCAACAATTCACACTTTTCTGAATAATCTTGTCAGGAAAATTTCAGAGCTTGGAATTTTTTTCAAAGAGACACTACAGACCGCTAAAGCATTTGTGTATTAAGAGTGTATCGCCCTTTTTCATTTTACAAAAAGTGCAGATTTCATTAGAAATGAGTGCTTCTATAACATAAGCTTGTAACTAGTTCCTAGATGTCAATCAGAAAACAAGTCCTGTTACTTCCTGGTTTGTTTAGCTCAGTTTAGCTGAAGAGTTAGGCAATTTCCCAGAGCACCGTCTGGCAAAGACTACTCATCGAGCTGCACTGGGGAGTCTGTAATTGGACAATCACAGAAAGTCTGGCCTGGGAAAAAGGGGGGGGTGGGGGATTTTCAAGCTAGTATAGATATACCCACAATTTAAAAAAGAAGAAGAATTAAATACATTCATGTTTTATTGGAGGTATATCTACTAAACAGTTGTTTGTTATTAATTTGGGTAGTGAAGTGTCCCTTTAAGAAACATCTGGTTATATTATCTATTTTTATAATATTGTAAAAAATAGAGTCTAGTTATGTAAAGGTGATTCCACGTGGCTGCAGAGCAGTGATAGAACACTTCAGCAGTGGAGACGCTTGTAGACTACATTTCCCAAGATGCTCAGTTGGAAACTGAGACAGGCTGATGATTATTTTAGAAAAGCTGGATGACTTTTTGTGGGAGGGTCTTCCAGCTCTACCTGTCAGTCAGTTTTTAATCAGAAATCTATGCTGATCTATGCCGAGCAACTGAAAGAAAGCAATTCAGATGGCACGGTGCATAGATAAAATTGTATTTACTATTAAAACAGTTGTGTGTACCCAGACAGGTATACTTTAAATGGTCCCACTAAGCAACATCACAACGTTATCGCAAAGCTGGGTGTGCAGTGGGTAACCTGTAACATCAATGAGATGACTTAAAATTGCAGAAATTATTTACACATTTCAACATTTGCAAGACAGACAGAATGCTCCGTTTCACCTACCTGATATCAATGTTGTCCATGAAAAGTGTGCATACCACATTCACATACCCTTTATCCAGAATAGAAAGCCAAGCCAGACTGTGGCTTTATCAGTTGTTGGAAACATACTATTTGTAAACGGAGAGCAACCAGTCTGTCTGATGTCAGTTTTGCATATCACTTCTACTCATTCTATGTGATGAATGGAACAGCTCGAGTGAAGAACTACTTATCTCATAATCTCCATAGACCTCTTGGACAATAATGAGGCACTCCAGATCGCAACACTGATTAAAAGTCAGGGAGGAATCTGCCTTCCACTGCAGGCAGATTCACTAAATAGTACATGTGCAGGGTACTTAAAACTTATTCTATCTATGTTGCAATATTTGTTTAATCCGCAATATAGATAGCAAACTGTAAAAAAGAGTGTGATTTTTCTGGTCTAGTTTCCCTTTAAATAAAGTACAGCATACAGTGCAGATGGATCACAGGAAAACAAACAAATGTTTAGTGCAGCACTGAAAAAAAAATACTTTGGTTTCTTCTGGTCAAAATATCTCCCAGCTGGAAGCGCAATAGTCAAAAATTTCATGGAGTTTGGTGGCAAATGTTGCACCCAAGCGCTCCTTCTTAAAGAGGTAATGTCACCTCTCTGGAAGAGACAGACCATCATTCCCCCACCCCTGTAAATTACACTGAAGTATTCAGTGGGGTAAAGAGTGCAGCAGGGGTATGTAAAAACAACGTAATATCGCACTGGAACAACACACCCACATCACAGCTGGGTATATCACCAATGATGCAGATTGTGTGACTGTCATAACCACATCTGCCCAATCTCTTACTAGTCAAAAATGGCATGTATTCAGGTTACACAATTTAGTGAATGAAATAGGCTAGTCTTACATAGCAGAGTGGCTCAGGATGAACATATACTGACACTTTCCCAGGACTGTACTTTCCAGTAACAGCTGTTTGATGTACTGTGCAATGCCTCCAAGAGAGTCAGAAACATTTTAAGAAGCAAACAGGAATGTGCACATTACAGTGCATATACACAGGGTTTTAACTCCTTATGGACCAGTGTCATCATCATCATATTACATATTATTTCCATTAAAAGCTCTGTAGTACTTGCTGACGTCAAAGAATCAGGACTTCCAATTAAAGAGCAGAAACCCTAGATGTTTATTTTAATAACTATGAATCGGATTGTCATTTGTTGTTTTGTTAATTAATCCGGAGGTAAAATCTTAAAGGAACACCACCATTATAAAGAAATACCTTTAATTTACAACGCTGAAGTTTTTTAAAATCTATTTATATTTAAGCAAGAAGGTTTCCTTGCCTCAGCTTCGCCTCTGTCTCCGGGATTTCATCACTAGTATTGATTCCCAGGCCAATCAAATGCTTCTCACAGGGAAGCACTAGGAAGCAGGGTGCATGCATGGAAAAAGCTGTGTTTCACCCTCAATGCTTGTTATTAAGAAGCACTGAAACTAATGCTTCACTACGAGAAGTTTTACAGGTGCTTTCTGGTGGGACACGAAGCATTTAGAAAAAGTCAATCAGCCATCCAGGAGGTGCAACAAAGTAACGTCTCCACATGTTTATAAAACAAGTAAATGGGGACACTCTTGAAGTGTTTTAGGGGTTTGGAATGTTCCCACGTTGCGGTTTGATTCTAGAATGACATTATTCACTAAACAGGAAATTGCTGGGAGCCGATGAGGAATTTCTAATGATAGGTTAGAACATGTGAATATTCTCCAAGCATTTTTTTTTAATATTATTTTATATTGAGATTTTCTTTAAAAAAATAAATTTAAAAAAAAAAACACTCTTTAAAATAATTATTTACTAAACATATTTTTGGGGATTTTTTCTGAAATAAAAAAGTACTTTGCACAGCCATAGAAAATAAAACAAGTGTCTGCCATTTTACTTGTTTTTACATTGAGTCACAGGGTGAGGGTTCCTTGTCAAATAATCTCTTGCACAATCTGCATACGTGTGTTAAAACAGTTCCAAACAAATTGCTTCATAGAAAAGGTTGACAGAACCAAAACAACAACATTAAAAACCATGCAATCGGGGCGGGGCCTGACCGCTGAGCAGAGAGGAAGCATGCCTCACCAGCTCCTGCTGCTTGGGGCAAAAACAGACACCTAAACGGCACCAAAATTAAGCTTAAAGGCCACCAAGCGACAGGTGATACCGGGGCGCACACATAGACACCACCCAAGCGACGATGTCACTGAGACATACCCGAACTCATGGCGAGGCCTGCATGGTGGGCATGGGGAAAACGTCCGCTTTCCTGCTGCCTGAACCAGCCAGATGTAAGACTCCGGGCCCTCGTTCACCCCCCCTTGGACCGGCGGGGGTTATCCCGGTCCACCCCCTCACAATCCCCTTGGTAGGAGATAAGCGGTTGAACTGATCGTGCAGTCTGGAGGTCGCTGGAGTGGCCGACAAAATGGCGGACGGCACACACGCCTCAGCCCTCTGCAAGGCCATGAGAGATACGGAGCTCCGACTCCTTCTGGGAGAAGCTGGAAAAGCTTGCGTGGCCCCCGGAACCAGGGACCCAGCCCAAAGGTACGCCACAAGGCCCGTTACGAGAGGCTCAAGAGAAGGTCCTGGCACGCGCCGTAAGCTCCCCGATATCGGATGCCCGGAGCCACACTAAGGGCAAACGCAACCAGACACAGCATCTCAAGGGGACTCCCAGAGCACAGCGCAGAACAGTGCCTCGCTTCCCGACAGTGACACAGCCTAAGAAGGGCAATGGCCAACTCATCCACACAAGCAAGTGGCAGACCACGAGGCCTAAAATGGCAGCAGCACGACTCCACAGTCACAGCTACAGCCAACAATTACACCGACAGGTGGGAACCACAACTGGAGCCACACTATACTTACCGAATAGACACTCTTCTCCCACACCGCTGGACCAAGGGGACTGCGGCACGCACCATTGCTGCAACTAACAGCGCAGTGGGAGCACACCCAGCTCCAACAAGGAATCGGCTGATCCACACAGAACTGGGACTCAATGTCAGGCACAGTGCCCAATATCCCTTATTTTTCAATGCCCTAGATGAACGCTCACGTCTGTATGCATGCAATTCAACTGCCTTTTTTGTTCATCCCGGGGACCGCAGGGGGGCTATCACTCGAGACCAAGCGATTACATGCCAAGTCTATCTATGTATAGCCTCGCTATTCTGTTTTATAAGTTAGTTCAGCATACTTACTGTTCATTATATCTAGCCTATCTCCTTAATGTCTAGGATAGCTCTAGTTAGTTACTTTTCAGCTTAATTCCTGTGTTTATGTAGACATGTCAGTTTAATTTGCTTCACTTTTCTTACTCCTCCTGTCTAGACAGCACTCTTAGCTAGCGGAAGATTGTGGTCATGATGGTTTACTATTATGTCACCATTTCATTTTCTCCTGACAAATAACCTTCAACTGTTTATTAAGCATGTCCACTATATCTATGTTTCTTGCTAGGCATACAACTGTCATTACACTCCACTACTCCTCTCCTATTCATGTCTTTTGACAGATTGTTCATTTCGCTTATTATAATGTTACATATATCTATCTACAAAAAGATGCAACACTCTCAGACATAAGCTGATTGCCTTCAATGTCATGTATGGTTTCACTAATATGTCACTACAAGCCTGTCTGTATCTGTGCATCACAAAAAAAACCACAAAAAAACATGCAATTGCGTCATTTATTTCACACGTGCAAAAAAAAACAAAAAAAAACATCATATTTATCAAAAATGTATCCTATATTAGAAAATACTATCTTTCCTACAAATTTATCTATTCTGCTTTTTTTATGGAGCTAAGCAATAAATGGTTTTGTGAGAGAACAAAAAAAAAAAAAGCCTTAAATAAGGCTGGACAGACAGATCGCACAATAGTGATGGCTTAATGCATTCAGGGTAAAAAGTGTGCCCAAGTCGGGTACACTCCAGACACCAAAACTGTTAAAGTGTTAGTGAATTAGTTAGCATTTTTGGCTTGTTAGACGTATTATTAAACAAACAGACACAGAAACATACTGAAATGTCAGCAGACAATCTGTCTGCATTTTTACGGATTCCAAATAACTTCTTCCAGGGATTCTGAATAAAGGACAGCTGCTCCTTTAGGAGGAAAAGAAATATATATATGCATTTTAAATATTTACTCTAGTAATAAACACAAAGGCCTCACCAGATTTAAGCATCGCTGCAAAGTAAATAAAACTGGAAAAATGGATACATATACATACACACACTATAGCATAAGACTGCATTAATGATAAATACTTAACACAAGAGTACTTTTTATACTGAGATAATTTACCTTATTCAGGGTTTCCTTTGTGCGTTTCATAGATTCGCGTTGCTGATAGAGCTCTTCTTCTAGTGTCTGATGAATTTGTTGCAATTCATCCTAGAAGCAGAAATGTTTTCAATGGTAAGCACCTTCATTACGCAATACATACATCGACACAATTGCCTCGGGATTTTTTTGCAATGCTACCGTAACCAGTTAATTTGATGATTATGTCTCCGCTTTCATTCTACTTTGCTTAATTGTCAATAGTGGCTAAATATAATGGGTTTTACACAAATTAGCTCGCTGACGGAGATCGCATTTATATGTAATGGTTGTGAGAAGTGCTCGCCACACAATTTTTACTGCAAGAAGAAGCCATTCATTTTAGTAAGATCTGCACGGAAAGGAAGAATTTAAAAAAAATAACATTAAATAAATAAAAATGAAAGCTGAATTATGTATGGGTTCTTGGTTTTCCACCTATAGTACTACAGCCAGAATTCAGGCAATGAGACAACCAATGACCAGAAAAAGCAAGTTATATGAAAACACCAATGGCAGCTCTGTCTGCTGTAGCGCTGGTTACCAACCTAGATCTCAAGGCACAACATCTGGCCATGTATTATAAGTTTAGAATGAAATATTGGGAGTGCCAAAATCCTAGACTGCTGGTGTGCCTTCAGGCCTGGGCTCGAAACATCTGCACTATGGAATGCACTCTTTGTGGTACAGTAAACGTTACTGTCCATTTAAGACATTATTGTTGTGAATATGTCAATGAGGAGAGTTCCTGGTCGGTGTTTTTAAAACTAACTGGTCCATTGTGGGGTAAAAGTAGTGACACCTAAAATAAATTCTCTTTCTGATGAATATCAATCACAACTGAATTCTCTTTCCACCAGACATGACCGTGTAAAGTGGAGAAGTAAATAATCAGCCTGATGAACAAGCGTGAGTGTACTAAATAGATCCAATTAGACAAGATTACAGAGATAATGCACCAGTGTCTGACAACCAGCTTTCTATTGCACAGAGAAGCAATGTTATGCTCCTTGATAGAAGGAGAATGTGAATACATATGATCTTTCACCAAGAAATTGTGCAAAAGGGGAGCTTAGGCAAGACTGATAGCTTGTACTATGGGATTGTACAGACAGGGGATGGCAACAAGGGTGGTGTATCAATGTTACAGGTTGGCAACCACTATCCTAGAGATACCTTGACATAGGTGTTTAATCCCTTATCTTGAATTTCAGGGAACTGAACTCTGAATAGTAAAATTTAGTCTAAAATAGTAAAGCTGGGACTACAGAAGAATTTAAATCAGCAGTTTTAGCCCACATTTTGCAACTCAGAGTTTAGTTAAGAAACATTGTGATTACAGGAAAAACTACCTGTCGATTTATGTCACTCAGATTCTCCAGCTGGGAATCACACTTGTGCTCTAAAAGATCCAACTTCTCTAATAAAGTTGCTCGTTCAACCAATAAATAAGCAATCTGCTCGCTAGGGCTGCTTTGGGCAATCTCGTTCAGACCTTCCTGGTACAGCATCTCCTCAACCTCCTTCAGCTGTGACTCTGAAAATAGATGCAACACTTATTTAGACAAACACTTTGACGGCTATAACTTCATTTTAGATGTAGAATTATGCTACTCATAATATCTACTCATGAAAAAAAAACAAAAACAAAAAAAAGTGTCTTTGCTGAACTAAAGAAGATCATATTATGCCCCATTTAGCAAGAAATAATGAGAGAGGCAAACACTTTTTTTGTACATTCTAATTCTGATGAGTCCATGAAATATGACTGACTACACACTGTGCCATCTTAATATGTGGCGTCCTACTGTGGTGTTAAAAAAATGCTTATTTATCACTTGATTGCCACACTGGACTAATTTGTTATAGTGTTTAGATTTGAAGGGTCCAGGTCAGAGAGGCGTACCCTACTAGAATTCATGAAAGATAGCAAAGAGCCAACAGTCAGTTTTGAAAAGGTGAAGTTGGAAGAAGATTCATTAGATAACAGAGGACATCTGATGCTCCATTACAATCTCAAACCCACATCAAACAAGTAAATTATCTGGAATACGTATAGCGTTTGCTTCTGTGTAATGGCATTTCATTATTACATGCCGTCAACATGAAGAGATTTAAAAACTGTAGCGGATGGCACTGTGGCTGTCCTTAAAAGACTATGAGAATCCTGCAATTCGTGTGTTAATTCTGTTTTGTAATTCTCTGTAACTAGCATTCATATGTTTGTTCGGTAGTTTCCGTATGTATTTCATACGAATGGAAACTACCGAACTAATAGACCCCCCCCCCCCAGAGTGAAGTGTGTTCCCAATTAAGTGTCGAACATGTGTTAACCGCAAACTAATAGGTGGTTTATTGCTGTATCTGGGTGGCCGCCATTCGACATACGAACACGTGGCGGCGGCCATCTTACACATGAAAGACTCAGCAGTGTTTGGTCGTCGAGTGTCTGGAACTCAAATCGGACACTCGATTACCCGAACACCGCTGACACCTCCAGAGCTCCATAACTCCTGAACGGGAAGACGATTCAGTCCCCCGTTCGGTGAGTTTGGAGTACTGAACAAGGGCATTTAGGTGAATTACAGTTTATTCATGGATGGCATGTATTTCAATGTATCTTACCTCCCGAACGGAGACGGAAATTTCACCCTCCACCTAACTCCCAAACCCCTGGTCCGATCTGGGTGAATTTTGGATATGTTAGTCATCCAGATCAGAGTAGGGGTGTACCTGCTAAACTTGGGGTACATCCAGACCTTGGGGAAAACTGTATCCTGTATAATGGGATTAGGTGTCATACTAAGGGGAGGAGAAGTGTGGGAGGTAACTGCTATTTCATTGGGTACTGTATTAATGAATATGAATCCCTCCCTTGCATGGCAGAAATGCTTAAAAGGAGGTTGTGTGGAATAAACATCAGTTCTGCTCCTGATGCTGTGTGTCGTCCAGTCATTGGGATCTGTATGGGGATATTCGTGGATTACTTTGCTTATTGGAATTATTGCTTCACTTCACTTTCATCACTTGTTCCTGAGCCTCACTGGGATCTTAGTAGCGTTAACCTGTGAAATACCAGTCCTCCGCTACAAAAACCCATCTACTATCCCTCTGTTTTAATTATTTCATTGGCAAAGTTGAATTGTTTTCCCAAATACCGTACAATGTCACAGCGAGAACATTCTGAAAGCATATCACAGAACATCATCCCTTTACTAACAGGTTATGGAATGAATTGTCAGGAATTAAAGGGACACTATAGTAACCCAGACCACTTCGGCTCAATGAAGTGGTCTGGGTGCCAGGTCCCTCAGGTTTTAACCCTTCAGATGTAAACATAGCAGAGAAACTGCTATGTTTACATTGCAATGTTAATCCAGCCTCTAGTGGCTGTCTTCCTGACAGCCGCTAGAGGCGCATCTGCAACGCGGGAATGCGAATTTCGCATCCATCGCGCAGAACGTCCATAGGAAAGCATTGAGAAAAACAAAACAAAAATTTGAATTTTCTTTGAATTCCTAGCAATTTGTACCTCAGAGACACAGCTACAAGAAACAGAGCGATATCACCACACAAAATAAATTGCTACAAATGCTGATGATTTTTTAAAAATTTTCTGATAAATCAAATGTTTTAAGTAATTACTATTAAAAATAGCACAGCTGATGAGATTCATTAGATACAGAGTTGTATGTGAAATCAAAATGTGTTTTTAAATAAATGTAACAATTTTAAACATTGGCGAATTTCACCTTGCTGAACCTGGAGTTTTTCCAGCTCAATTCGAAGCTGAATGTTTTCTTTCTCAAAATCCGTAGTGAGAGCTTCCCTTTCTTCAGTCAAGCTCCGGATGTGAGCCACATAATTCTCTACCTAGTGATATCAAAATGGCAACACACATCGAGTTTACAATTGGTTTCTTTTCCAACAAGCTAAAAACAGGAATCAATGGCATCACAGTGAAACAACTTACCAATGCGAGCTTAGCATTGTATTGCAGTATTTACCAGACTAATAGAATTTGGGAAAGACAAGATTTTAAGGGATCTTTCCTTTATCAAATCTCTAATATGTGTTGTTGCCAAAGATGTCGCTAGCACAATTAAAAAAAAAACAAAACATGAAAATGTATTGATAAGAAATATTAGTTTACAGTAGAGCCTTTAAAATGAACACTAAAGTGTTGGGAATGACTTGCTTGCCACTTTACAACTCACAGAATTTTACTTTGTGTACTATAGGCACCAAAATAACTTTAGCGTAATGAAGCAGTTTTGGTGTATAGATCATTCTCCTCCCGTCTCAATACTCAATTATTTGCCATTAAGGCGTTTAATCACACTGTTTACATAGCCCTAGGCACGCCTCCATGCATGTGACCTACCAAATCACTTCCTGAAAGGGAACTTAGAAATTTTAAGTTTCTTTATTGCACAGTCTGTTTAATCTAGAATTTCTTATCTGATCTGTTAATAGCCTTCTAGAGCCCACAGGAGCCTCCTGTGAGTGATTAAAGTTTAATTTACAGAGCAAGAGATAAAAACATCTATACAAGTTAAAGGACACTATAGGCACTAAAACAACCATAGCTTAATGAAACAGTTTTGGTGTATAGATTATGCCTCTGTAGTCTCACTGCTCTATTCTCTGCCATTTAAGAGTTAAATTACTTGGTTTATGCAGCCCTAGTCCCACCTCCCTGCATGTGCCTTGCACAGCCTTCTTAAACACTTTATGTAAAGAGATATCTAACGTTTAAACTTCCTTTATTGCATATTCCGTTTAATTTAGAATTATTTATCTCCTGCTCTGTTAATGGTCTTATAGACTCTGCAGAAACCCCTGTGAGTGATTAAAGTTTAATTTACAGAGCAGGAAATAAAAACTTCTAGAGCAAGTTAAAGGGACACTCCAGGCACTCAGACCACTTCTGCCCATTGGAGTGGTCTGGGTGCCAACTCCCACTACTCTTAAAGGACCACTCTAGGCACCCAGACCACTTCAGCTTAATGAAGTGGTCTGGGTGCCAGGTCCAGCTAGGATTAACCCATTTTTTTATAAACATAGCAGTTTCAGAGAAACTGCTATGTTTACAAATGGATTAATCCTTCCTCCAATTCCTCTAGAGGCTAGAGGCGCTTGCGTGATTCTCACTGTGAAAATCATTGTAAATGCTTTCCTATGCGACCGGCTGAATGCGCGCGCAGCTCTTGCCGCGCGTGCGCATTCAGCCGAATGGGAGGAATGGTGGAGGATCGGAGGCGGAGAGCATCCCGCCCAGCGCTGGAAAAAGGTAAGTTTTTACCCCTTTCCTCTCCCCAGAGCTGGGGGCACCCTCAGGGCACTATAGTGCCAGGAAAAAGAGTATGTTTTCCTGGCACTATAACGGTCCTTTAACCCTGCAACTGTAATTATTGCAGTTTTTTTTTATAAACTGCAATAACTACATTGCAGGGTTAACTACAAGACAGCCACTAGAGGGCACTTCCTTGTCCACAGCACAGAAAACCTGTGTTAGTGCATCGCTGGACGTCCTCAGGCTGTGAGGACCTCCAGCATCGCTCATTTCCCCAAAGGAAAGCATTGAAAAGCATTTCCAATGCTTTCCTATGGGGAGCGCTAATGCCGGCTGATGCAATCACTGGGAGGAGCAGCGGCGGAGGAAGGAGCAGCGGCGGAGGAAGAAGCAGCGACACGGGACATGTCGCTGCCTTTGGTAAGTTTCACCCCTTCAGCAACCGGGGATTGGAGGGAGAGGGGACCTACAGTGCCAGGAAAACGGGTTGTTTTCCTGGCACTGGAGTTTCCCTTTAACTTCTGATTGAAAGTGAAACCATTTTTTTTTTCTATGCAGGCTGTGTGATTCACAGTGTATATTACCTCTTAGCACAAACAAAGGTTAAACAAATATATAACAAGGTAAAAATATAATAAATAAGTTAATAAAAAATAACTTTCACTGTGGACTTCAGCCCCCCAAGGTAACCCTCCAGGTGGGTATCTTTAACACTAAAAATTAAACATACAAAAGAAAAAAATGGAATCTGGCTAAATTAAGAATCTACACAAAAGGAAAACAATACATAAACGCGTAGGACTTGGGACTTTTTATATACACCCATAACATTTTTTATTTATGTTTGTAAATACGCTGCTACAATAAAAATATAATTTTGAATACATCTGGATTCCTGAGTCCATTCCAGAAGAGGACGATTCCAAAGAGGACAAGATGTTATTTAGCCCCCCACCTACATCAGGGGAGGCACCCTTAAAGTGATACACATTCAATCTTATTGTGAGTATAACCATTTGAAGCACATATTTTATCATTAAACACATTTTTGAGTATTGGCTTTCCTTTTTCATAAATTCTTAATTTAGCCAGATTCCAGTTTTTTCTTTTGTATATATTTTGTATGAGTCATAGCCAGGAGAGGTGTGGCTATGGCTATATAAACAGAAACAAAAGTGATTTAACTCCTAAATGGCAGATAATTCATAAGTGAGAATGCAGGGGCATGATCTATGCACAAAAGCTGCTTCATTAAACTAAAGTAGTTTTAATGCCTAGACTATCCCTTTAACTTTGCCAAAACTGATATTAAAGAGATGATAGGGTGGCCACTATAGTGACATCTCAAACGAAGATAGCACCCCCACAGTGGATCGCAATCGAATCCCATTGGGCGTGCCACAAAGCTATAAGCCACCACTTTTGAATACCTAAAACAGACCGACCTAAAGTGTCAGACATGTTACAAACCACCTCACTGCTATTACAGATATGGAACTCGGAGAGAGATAGAGTGTGCTCAACCGGGACCTGGTCTCTGGCTTCCCCAATCCTAAGCATACACTTCATAATTCCATCTTTCGACTATAGACCCTGGGTAAATGGAGGTTGCACCCATGTCCACCAGCTTTACGAAGCGGGTAAACTATTACAACATCCGGATTTACAAGCCAAGTATAACCTACTGTCTACAACAGTGTTTTCCTACCTACAGGTCAAATCAGTGTTACAGGGCCAACTAAAGATGACAGAGCAAATAATTAATTTTACCCCCTATGAAAGAGCCTGCTATCTCCGGCCACACCCAAGAGAACACTGTCCCTAGGTTATGCTTTACTGAATACTGAACTTAGAAATTTCACGGCCATACACAAGCAGGCATGGCAAACAGACATAGGCGCACATTTCATATCCCTCTAATGGAAAAGGGCCTATATGGCTCACAAGGGCAGATCAGCCTGTGGCTCCAACTTTGAACTCATACGCAAGTTACAATACAAATGGTACATGGTGCCAGTGAAGCTGGCGAGCATGTATTCCAACACCTCAGGGACTTGCTGGAGATGCAAGACCACGGATGGGACCAAATTACGGCCTTTTTTGGAATCGGTGGAGGGGGAGATATCTGGAGCTTTAAGTACCAAGTTTACTCTACGGTCAGAGAGGAGTCTCCTCTTAATGTCAATAGATGTATTTAGCAAACTAGATTCAATTCTTATATTCCACTACATAATAGCAGCTAACACCCTAATAGCCAGAGCCCTGAAATCCCCCGAGCCGCCTTCTACGCAAGCTCTTGGAAACCAAATATCCACTAATTTAGACTATGAATACATGGCAAGAGAACATATCATGGTAGGTGACAAATTTCAAGAAGTTCAGGATAAATGGGACAGGCATATCCAGAAAACCAGACAACACGGGACTCGCCCTAGCCGCAAGCACCTAATGGTAGAGACACTGGAGGAAAAAAAAAATCCCTCACAATATTTTTATTTAAAGTATATCATTGTCGCAGGTGATGAGACGCACCTGGGCGAGACTGAGTGGCTATTCCAACTAACTCTAGGTCAACAAGCAGCTAACCCAAGCAGTCCCTTCTAAACCGGTTAGGGCTCCCCATCGCTGTGGGTTGTCCAGTGGTCCATCACCACACCAGCAAAAGGTCACTTTTAAAAACACCCTGTACCCAACTAAACATCATCGGTTGAGAAAATCTGACACTTCCCGATACTTATAGGACGGTTGGAACGAAAGGATAGGACATACTTTACCCCAATTGATCAAACACCCACTTGTATATAGTAGTATGTATTTCGTTTTATGAAGAAAAATACATGAATGTTAAATGAGATGTGACACTGGTAATGTAAGCACAACACTAGTAATTTGACATGTGAGAGTTAAAGGGACACTCCAGGCACCCAGACCACTTCTGCCCATTGGAGTGGTCTGGGTGCCAACTCCCACTACCCTTAACCCTACAAGTGTAATTATTGCAGTTTTCATAGACTGCAATATTTACCTTGCAGGGTTAACTCCTCCTCTAGTGGCTGTCTTTTAGACAGCCACTAGCGGGCACTTCCGTGTGCCCGTGTTCGAGCGTCGCTGAAATCCCCATAGGAAAGCATTTTTCAGTGAGGTCTCCCCCGCCGCATGACGTCAGCAGGGGAGGAGCGTGGGCAGACCCTGACCCAGCACCGAGGGACATTGGTGCTGGATACAGGTAAGTCACTGAAGGCGTTTTAACCCCTGACGTCAGCAGGGGAGGAGCGTGGGCAGACCCTGACCCAGCACCGAGGGACATTGGTGCTGGATACAGGTAAGTCACTGAAGAACCCCTTCAGCAATCTGGGATAGCGATAGGGGACCTGCAGTGGCAGGAAAATGGTTTGTTTTCCTGGCACTGGAGAGTCCATTTAAAGGTAACCTTTTCGAACTGATACAGACTGCTGGTCAGACATCACCATAGTGTATAGACATGCAATGTCATAGTGTTTCTTGGCTACACAAAAATGTACATCATGACTGTGTTATCATTCTCATAAAAATAAAGACTGTCAAATTAAAAAAATTAAAAAAATTGATGATAGGGCAATTTAACTGGCAGATGATCGTTTTATCTGGTGTCTTAAATGTCCAACAACCACAGCCCCCCAGGTTTTAAAACACATGTACCATCATCTTTTATTTATTGATTTTGAAGTGACAATGGATTTTGGGAGGTATAGTCTGTAAACAATAGGAGGAAAGCAGCTGAGCAAACTTGGTTTTAAGGCAACAGCAGACCAAGTATCTTGAATAGTTTTTAATATGTGGCTCATAATTATGCTACTGTGAACTCACTTCTTTCATTTCCTCTGCTTGTTGTTGTTTAAATTCCATCAAACTGTTAGTGGCCTCCTGTAATTTGCCTTGAGTGCCTTGGTAGAGCTTCCACAGAAAAGTCAAGTGATCTGCTCCAGAAGACCCAGGATCAAGTCCGTCCTCTTTTAGGTTTTTGATTATGTCTTCTAATTGGAAATGGTCCTGGAAATGAAAAAAAAAAAAAATGAACAGTTTCCCTAAATGATCACAAATACTTGATGCTAAAAGCTTGCATTCCCTGGTAGAACCTCAAAACAATGAAATGAGACAAATCACGTTATAGTGACTACAATTAGACAGAGTAAACGCAATCTAAGAAAATAAAATACATTGCTTGATATTAACAAAACCTACAGTAAATTTAACAATAAAAGAAAAAGAACAAAGATTAAGTGGTAAAAGAGTAGAAGAAACGAAAGAACAGGGATTTAAATATTACATCATACAGGGACAAAATACAAAGTAAACAAATGTACAATCAAAAACCATTTACAATTGTGTTTAATGTATCTTGATATCAATAATACATGGATAATGGTTTGTGATAGTACAACGTTTTAAATATTGATTTATTTTTCCCCAAAACATATTTTCACAATTTTTTTCCCCAGAATAACAGGTGAACATATTTCATGTAAAAATGAATCCAATATGTTGTTTTATTTACTCTATTCTTAACTTCCATTTGCCGTTTCGCATGCACCATTTTAATTGATGGAAATCCTATTGTATCTGTCTACCAGTGTCTCATTAATTAATAAAATGCCCTCTCAGCATACATTCTTCACTGAAACTGAATTGAAAGTCTTAGCTGAAGAGCACTGAAGGGGATCTGAACACAAAGTGGTCCAGCTGTTCTCAAGATCACAATTGGGTAGCATGTGGCAGCCCCAAGACATCCATTCATTACATTTCGGGATTCATACTGTTGCCCAGTACGACGCTACACCTCCCACAATCTAACAGGTGGTATATCAGAGGATGGACAATATATACAGGAATCTGCCCTACAATATTTGTGTCTAGCACTGGGTTCTATCCCCTCCTAACCAATTCATTCAAAATGATATTAGAGTAAAATAACTTTCATGCTCAGTATTCCTATGCTGTCGCTGGCTAAGTATCCTTTACTGTACAATAAACTGAGATCAGTCTTCTTATAAACCCTGGAAATAGCACAGATGTGACATCACACGTAGACTGCATCTGTGAGGAGTAACTCGTTTACTTTAGCATAGCCTTACATTACCAATTTAGGAAACAACAGACCATACACCATAAAAAAAAAAAAAACACATTCCTATTAAATGTTAAGAAGGATTACATGTAAGATAATAAAACAGAAATTAATCTGTAAATTACACATAGTGTGAGAGTGTTGGATACTATTCTTATAATTGGGGGGCTAAGGGTGCTGGCTGGGATTGATTGGGACTGGGAACGATTGCAATCTGCGGGCATGGTTAACTATGGTATTGAATTAGTAGATCATGGGACAATGAGTTGGTTTAATGTTAATAGAGCTGGAGAGGGGATTAGGAAAATGACATAGGTATGATAGTGCTGAGGGGAATTTGATTGGTTAGAGCTACAGGGCAGGGGGTAATGAGCTAGGGGGTGATGGAATTATGGGATCTTATATTTGAGTTTTGCCCAAGGCATAAGAAAATCCAGTGCGTACCTAATTTACATAAATTTCTCAAAATATAAAAACCACAAATGACAGTGTGCAAAAATACACAGATGAGTAATGGTGACTATAATAACTTGCTAATTACATAGGCAGGCAATCTTACCTTATCCATTGTGGCTTTACATCCCAGTTTCCATATCGTCACACCTTGATTGAATTACGCAAGGAAATTCTGCAGGGCGGTCTGCGCTGGCCCACCATAGAAAGACTTGTAACCATCGTACTATACAGGACCTTTCTCATACCAGTACGGAATGCCCCAAATATCATGACATGCTTTTAAACAGCCTTACTGTACACCTGTAAATTTGTGAACGTCTTCTTCCTTTTCCATGATTCTGCTTGTATTCCTAAAACATGGCATAGGGATCAAATTTAAAAACTCAAACCTCAAAAATATGTTACACACTTTATCCTTAAATGCTGACCCTTATCACAGCACACACCTTACAAGAGGTTTCTGATCACAGCACACACACACACCTTACAATCTGATTTGGGTCACAATGCACACCTTACAATCTGACTCTTGTTACCGAGAGCATCTTACACTCCAATACAAATCATAGTACCAATTTTACAATCAGATCCATGTCTCAGACATCATTTAATAGCTAGCACACAGTGATCCCCTTAAGGTCAAATCATAGTTGCCACTGACCCCTTACAAACTGATCCAAATCAGAGAACATCCATTACAAACTCATCTTGGTCAACCACAGCTCTTAAACCTTGTTCGAGCACACAGCACACACATCAAACCCACTGAATAAACTCAGAAACCTTGAATACCTGATCTATCTCACAGCAGCTTTCATACAATTCCAAACAGAACACAACTTCTAGTCCAATTTACAGCATGGTCATCAATCCCTAAGCTGGCTCACAGCACACCCCTAAACTCCTAATTCATCTCAACTCCTGGTTTACATCCCAAACTAAGCTTCTCGTTCAATTCAGAGCCCACTCCTCCCCTAAAACACTAATTTAACTCAAAGCACACCCTTATACCACTGATCCAAGTCACAGCACACCACTACATCCCTGATCCAAGTCACAGCACACCCCTACATCCCTGAGCAAACACACAGCACACCCCTAAATACCTGAGAAAATTTAGAGCACACCCCAAGTTACAGCAATACCTGATCCAACTCACAGCACACCTCTAAATACCTGATACAACTCGCAGCACACCCCTAAATAATAAACATCAAAATAATCTGAATTGGAGTATACAAAAACTCTATACACAATAATAAGCAGGGCTGCGTCACATACAAAAGAGCGACTAAACAACCAAATAAAATATAAACCAACAAGGGTATGTGAGCGCTCCAAATAAAATATGACCACTAGAAAAATTACACTCCAAAGCAGTAGCTGTAGAATAAGATAAAAATGTACATATACACAAAATATTTATTCATATAAAAATAAACAAATCATAAGAACCATGAAAAAATCCTTATAAATCTAAATATAAAAAAAAACACCCCTAAATAATACCTGATACAACTCGCAGCACACCCCTACATCTGTAAGCCAATTTACAGCACATCCCTATAACCTGGTCCAAGTCACAGCACACCACTAAATCCCTGATCCAGCTCACAGCACACCCCTAAATCACTGATCCAACTCTCAGCACACCCCTAAATCCCTTATCCAACTCAGAGCACACCCCTATAACCTTGTCCAAGCTCACAGCACACCCCTAAATCCCTGATCCAGCTCACAGCACACCCCTAAATCCCTGATCCAGCTCACAGCACACCCCTAAATCCCTGATCCAGCTCTCAGCACACCCCTAAATCCCAGATCCAGCTCACAGCACACCCCTAAATCCCTGATCCAGCTCACAGCACACCCCTAAATCCCTGATCCAGCTCTCAGCACACCCCTAAATCCCAGATCCAGCTCTCAGCACACCCCTAAATCCCTGATCCAGCTCACAGCACACCCCTAAATCCCTGATCCAGCTCACAGCACACCCCTAAATCCCTGATCCAGCTCTCAGCACACCCCTAAATCACTGATCCAGCTCTCAGCACACCCCTAAATCCCTGATCCAGCTCTCAGCACACCCCTAAATCCCTGATCCAGCTCTCAGCACACCCCTAAATCCCTGATCCAGCTCTCAGCACACACACCTAATCCCTGATCCAGCTCACAGCACACCCCTAAATCCCTGATCCAGCTCTCAGCACACCCCTAAATCCCTGATCCAGCTCACAGCACACCCCTAAATCCCTGATCCAGCTCACAGCACACCCCTAAATCCCCGATCCGGCTCTCAGCACACCCCTAAATCCCCGATCCAGCTCACAGCACACCCCTAAATCCCCGATCCGGCTCTCAGCACACCCCTAAATCCCCGATCCAGCTCACAGCACACCCCTAAATCCCTGATCCAGCTCTCAGCACACCCCTTAATCCCTGATCCAGCTCACAGCATACCCCTAAATCCCCTATCCAGCTCACAGCACACCCCTAAATCCCTGATCCAGCTCTCAACACACCCCTAAATCCCTGATCCAGCTCTCAGCACACCCCTAAATCCCTGATCCAGCTCTCAGCACACCCCTAAATCCCTGATCCGGCTCTCAGCACACCCCTAAATCCCTGATCCATTTCTCAGCACACCCCTAAATCCCTGATCCAGCTCTCAGCACACCCCTAAATCCCTGATCCAGCTCTCAGCACACCCCTGAACCCCATAATTCTCACACCCGGTGATCCAGCTCGGCTGACAGACTCCCGTCACACTGTGTCCCGCCAGGTCTCGCTCACACCGAGCTATTCACTAATGACTCGCACAGTCTCCCCCTCGGGATGCAGTTCAGCTCATTCTCTCAGTGCTGAGGAGACAGACCCATAAGCCATGGATCTCCCCCCTCCCCTCGCTGCAGGGGGAAGGTTGCCATGGCAACCTGTGTGTGCAGCATTAAATCCCTCCGTGTGGAAACCGCAGCCTAAATAAATCAATCTCTCTCTGCGCGGCTCTGCTGCTCCAGCTATTATATTGTTACTATCAGCATGTCATAGCTACACATTACAGCACACTGAATTACATATTTAATTTTCCTGTGAAAAGATGAGGTGTGCAGGGTCGGAGGTTTAGTCGGAACACAGAAGACGGCCGAGGTTTCCAGCGGCAAGATATTCGAGGCGGACAGGAAGTTGCGTGCACATGTCTGCAGGATCTACATGAGCGAACAGCATGGGGAGAGTTCGCAGGTGATTTAAGAGCCAGTTTGATAGGACAGATTGTATTGTATTATACTGAAATAATCTGAGGGCACGGTTTAATTTAAACAGTAAGGGGGTAAACCATTAAAGGGACACTATAGTCACCTGAACAACTTTATCTTAATGAAGCAGTTTTGGTGTATAGAACATGCCCCTGCAGCCTCACTGCTCAATCCTCTGCCATTTAGGAGTTAAATCCCTTTGTTTATACAGTGCTATTCACACATCCCTGTTTGTGACTTACACAGCCTTTCTTTAACACTTCCTGTAAAGTGAGATCTAATGTTTACACTTCCTTTACTGAAAATTATGTTTCAGCTAGAATTTCCTGTCGCTTGCTTTGTTACTAGCAAGTTTAATTTATAGAGCACAAGACAAACTTACAAAGAAAGTTAACGTGTTTGAAAATGAAACCATTTTTTTTTTTTTCGTGCAGGCTGTGTCAGTCATGCATTAACCAGGGAAGGTGTGGCGAGGGGTGCATTACCTGCAAGGGTTAACTCCTCCTCTCGTGGCTGGTTCGCTTGTTATTTTTCTGAGAAAACAAATACTACATCTGGCAACTGTACATCTGGTTATCACTAGAGCTCAAATGTGTATTTTGTTTTTCTAATTTATAATGCGGTTCTGTCACATTCTGGGGTCTTTTGCATATTTTGGAAAGACCCCAGATGGTAACTACTCTGCTTGCAGTGTGGTGGTGCAGAGGAAGGTAGTTTATTTTATTTACCTTAACCTCTCCCTTGTGCCATCTTCTTCCACAAAGTTCTCTTCAGCTACTGGTAATTCATTTGTCAGGAGCCAATGTCCATATGTTACTTTTGTTCATGCATGAGAGTAAAACACTAATGTCTATGGAGGATATCTCAAGACCATGAGATCCTTTATAGTGAGAGCCTTTTTGACACAGTGATAGCTTCTTCTTTCTGTCAAGCATAGTAAAATACATAAAGTGGTCCCTACATTTGTCTTATATATTTTAGGAAACACAATTTTGAGTGGTATATAATTCTCAAACACCTATGTCTTCACCTTAGGCTTACTCTGTATAGCACACAGATATCAACAAACAACCAGTGGTGAGTTCACTGTTAAAATGTACATAGATATGGTAAATACTAAAAACACTTACCAATAAGTAGTGAAAAATACGATCTCCCAAATGAGTAGCAACTTGAAATTGTAACACTCTTTGTCAACTTTAACAGGCTAAAAAACATATAGTGTAGATTTCATGACACAGCAACATATAGCAAACACATAGTGCACTTAAAAAGAGCTCCATAGAGATGAATGTTTTGCCGGTGATATGGATCCGTCCATAAACACAAGGCACAGGCACAACTTTTGAGTTGATCATAAGGGATAAGCGGCAGCCATATTTTCTGTACCCCACGTCATTTGGTCATATTTTTGTTATTAGAGAGGTTGTACAGCGCTACAGAATCTGATGGCACTATATAAATAATACATTAATAATAATTAAATCTGTCAGAGTAGAAGCTGTTCGTACCTTCCTTCTGTCACACACTATCTGGCATTGAAGATTCAGATCCCAGCCTCAGCCCATCACACTTGTGAAAGTCCTCTGGTAGTTTGGACCAAGATCCAACGTGTGGAAAGCATTCTAACTAAAGGTTTACGAGAGAGGAGTCCCAGTGATTGTTGTGCCTGATTAGCGCTGTTTAGTGCTCTTTGCAAGTGCGATATGTGCATGTGATAGTTTGCTGTGTTCTACAATCTACATTATATGTTTTGTAATTGTTTTTTAGCCTTTTAAAGTTCATGAAGGGTGTTAGGATTTCAAGTTGCTCCACATTTGGTGGATTGTATGCTTTTTAGTAATTACCATATTTATAAACAATGTCACAGTGATCTCTTTCCATACCTCACGACTGGTTCTTTGTTGATATGTATAATATTTTTCGACTGGTTTGGAATTTCAGTCTTCATGAGCATTTCATAAAGATGTTATCTATAAAAAATGCTCATGGGAGCCAATGCCACTTTAAGTTCATTTTAGTAAAAGTTTAGGTGGTAATTTTCTCTAATATTATGTGCTCTGCGCAGTTATGCTCACTTTAGTGGTTATGGTGCTATGGGTTCTATTGCCTGACAAATAAAACAACACTCTTTTACGAGCTGCCATTGATTGCTCTTCCCTCTGCTGCCACTTATAATGTGGAAATTACATTAATGTATTGCGCATTATCAAGAGTGCGTCGGGTCGATCCTGTAGAGCAAATATTGGCTGGGAGTGTTGGGCTCTGATGGTGCTTAGAATGCCTCTTTAAAATATGAAGAGGATTAATTATACAAATCAGATTAAGGTGGATGCTCCCGTCTTGGTGCCCGTTTGGTAAAGCGACTATGAGCAGATCTACAGACTGGGGAGTGATCTGTATGTTAGCAGCCACATTGTCTTAACCTCTTGAAATGTTTTCGGTCAGACAGTTTAAATACATGTTTTTCTTAGTAATATTTAATTTTGTTAATATGTCTTACTATATTTTTATTTTTGCAGGGGCCATAAATACCAGAAACCTGTAGTAGATGAAGACGTATATGATGAGTCCATATCGAAGGCAAATGTCCCTTCCACAAAAGATGTAAGTTTCAAAAGCATATTTTGCCAGGGTATCCATTGTGCTAACCTTATATCTCAAAATTAATGGACAGCAGTCATTTACTTGAGTTGGGTTACATTAACACATGAATGATTAATGCTAAGCGTTATACTAAACTGCGGTTACACTTACGAATTACACAATTAATGTGAAAACCTAAACTGACACTAAAGGTACTCAGACCACTTGCTGCAATGTAAAACTGCAATGTTTTTATTGCAGGGTTAAACACACCTCTAGTGGCTGTCTTCCTGAGTGGTGCTTCAGCTGCAAAAACCATGGTAGACACAGTTGTTGAATCAAATTCTCATACAGAGCTTTTGATTTGGCGCAGCTTGGAAATTTGCTGTGCATGCGCACTACCTTCCCAATGCTCCCCTATGGTGAATTGGCAAAGACCATCCAGACTGATGATCTCACCCAGGGAGGCATGACAGCACAATGAACAATGACAGTGCAAGGGCTAAAAAAGAAGTAAACATTCTAATTTTCCCTTTTTTATTGCGTTAGCAATGCATGTTTCTATTTCTAATTCTACAAGGTTTCATTAAAACAGCTCTTTCATATCGATATCACTTTTGAGTGTTACCTGACAAAATCTTTATGCAATAGTAATTTTGACTGCATTGAAATTCGAATGCAATCAAAAGCTATCATAAGACAGTATAGGGATTACTTTGTTTTATGGGCAGTGTGGTTAGTGACGGCTCTGGATTACTGTAAAAATGGAAATCCCGCACACTACCTTATATACTAAACAGCTACTTTGGTGCTGACAGATTTTGCTAGTTTTATTAAAATCTAGGCAAAAAATAATGGGGGTTTCGTTACATTATATGATCATACATTGCATAAGCCTGCCACAACGTCAATGTACCCCATCTTTGGCAGGTCCTACTCTTACAACCAACTGTCTACTAAATGAGCTACTCACTTGGGAAAATCTGGGTTACTGGCATCTTCTCACACATCTTCATCCTTGGTGTTGAAAGGATCCTGCACAATGTAGAATTTTATTTAGTGCATAATTAATTGGCTGCTGGAACCTGCTACATATTCCTTTGTTTGATTTAAGTTAAATTAATCAAGCAGGAGGTTATAACTTCTAAAAGTAAACACTCTGTGCTATAAGAACTAAGCAGGCGTAACATTGTGTTTCTGTTTTGGCCTTAAACTTAGTTACCTTGGCAATTCCTATGATCCATGCTTTAACAAACAGGCAATAGTTCTATTGTTATTGTGGTGAATGTACCACATTTTTGCGGATGTATAAAAAGTTCTTTAAACAGCAGAATTGCTGTGCTATTTGGAATGTTTCCAAAAATATTTTTGTTTTATCCTTTCTAGATCTCATCAGATTATTATAACGATGAGGTTGATAAATACCACGAGGAAAAGTTCAAAGTAAGTAGAGGCACCAATTATTTGTCTATACTTTACCGTCTTCATGTTAAGCAGAGCTAATACAATTCTTTATAATTTGCCAGGATCAAAAATAAATAAAAGACATGTTTGTATTCTCCCATAACCTTTTCTGTATCCTTTCTGACAAGCCATATTTGTTTCTTCAGAGTCTCATGAAACAAGGAGTGGACTTGGACAGTGATGAAGAACCAGTGGACAGTGAGGTTAGTAAAATAAAATGTAAGTTTTTTATTTATTCAACAACAGAAAATAACCATAGAAGTGAGAGTATTTGCCTCAAAAACTTTAGTGTTAAAGAGAATTACTAATTCTAATAGCTTGCAAAGACAATTTAAATATAATTACATTGATACCATTGTACATTCTTTCTGACCTACAAATTAACTCCAGGCATCATAATCACTATTATTGTATGTATTGGTTATGGTGCCAGGAGTGCCTTTATATTTAAACTGTTTGCTAATGCCTTGACAACTTACTTAGCGTCTGCCAAGCATGGGTCACCTCCTCCATTGAGAGCCAGATGTTCTTGCACCGTTTGCAAATAGTTTGACTATTTATATGGTGGACGCCAAGACACGGTGTAGTGGTCATGGTGCTTGGAGTGTTCCTTTTAAGCAATAGTGATGTTTTAAGCTGTCATAACATCATAAATAATCTGTTCCACTATTTTAGTGGAGTCAAACGGGGGGGGGGGGTGTCATGACTAATCTCTGTTGTTTATAAGGCTTAGAGGGAGCCTTATGTTTTAAGGTGTGTCGCCTACTTCCATTTTTTTGATTTTTATATATATATATCTTTTAGTTAGGTATATTAGCGCTGAACCTTTTTTATCCTTTTGTCCACTATTATAGTTACATTATGACTGTATAGGACTTCCAATGCTTGCACACGACTTTTATTGGTCAGATTGTAATGAGTGCAAAGAATATACTTGGTGCATAAAATATAACTGTCCCAATTGAGATTTTTGTGCTATAGCTAACTAAACATTAGCTGCGGGTTATTCTATTTTTAATCTCAGGTGTTTTAGTTTTTTTAATGGATACATTGTAGTAATGTTACCGGAGGAATAACAGGAACAAACCGCAGAAGCCACACATAGAGATATGGACACAAGTCTTCAGGAAGTAACAGGTCTTTTATTTACACACCGATCGGGTCTCACACTGAACTTGTGTTCAAAAGGTCTGAGCCCAGAGCATAGTTTTCACAGGCTATTTATTAACAATAACTCCTCCCATTCATAGCTCCACTCACACATACCCTTAGAGCAATCCGTGAACAGGATATTCAGGATCACCTAATATGGGCAGACCGTATGACTCCTTTTAAGGACAAAGGAATGTGACTACAGTTAATGCACATGCTCAGTACATTGATGACAGTATCTTAGCTACATGTAACTAACTAACAGATACAACAAACACCTGTACTTGTATATGCCACATGGAGATTTCAGGCCTACTAAATTTTGAACCATGTTGAAATTCCATCACAGTAAGATTGGACACAACACCCTGAAAGGAATGCATAAACAGTGACTTTGCCCTCTACACAGAAATGCTGCAGAGTTAGTTTTGGATTATTTTCCCCTCTTACTTGACGCCCCCCCACACCACTCCCAGTAAGAAATTCCATGTTGTTTACATAGGTAAAGCAATAAGGAACCGTACCTTGCACAAAGTTGGGTTAGCCAATATTCCCAGTAACATTACATTATTAAGATCTGTTACAATACTTTAACATTTTGTGCTCCTTACTTTCCTTGCATTAACATAACCATTTCCAGTGTTTATCAGGCCAGCTTAAGTGTACCATCATATGCATATTAGGTTAAAATTAAGTCTTCTATTTTGGTAAAGGTAGCTAACTATTTCTATGTGCCGATCTGATTCATTTGTAATATGATCTTGATTCATTGATGTATTTATTTTTAATGGACTTGCTATTGGACACAATGTTTTTGTAAAATTGATGAAATGTATCTAGGATGAAGTAATGCCTCTTGACATTGAAGATGATGACGAGGATGAGGAAGAGGAAGATGAAGTCGATGATCATAGTTCTATGGCAAGTGACATGGAAGAGCGTCACAATGATGGTTTGTCCAATTTTTTTTTAATTTTTTTTCTGTATTTTCAGTAATCAGATAATGATTCATTATAACAATACCACGTATTGGTTGAACAGTTTAGTAGCTGGCGCTAGGTAGTAACAAAATGTGGGTCTATAATTTACTATATGATATAAAATATATAACAACTTCACATGTACAAAAGGGCCTTTACTCGTTAAACAGAAATTGTAAAGAACTGGCAGGGGAAATGAACAGGACAATTTTGCTAATGTGGAAACTGTTTGCCAATATTCCAGTTTAGGGAATAATTCAATGAATTCCACATTCCAGATACCTGGGTCTCATGAACATTGTCATGTTTGTCACTGATCTATCACTAAGCACATGACAATTTTTGCTAAAGGAGGTACTGCAAACACCATGATGTGTTTAACATACAGAGTTTAAACCTCTTTTGTTGATCACATTGTAGGCTTCATTGGCCTTCCACACGTACAGTAAAGTGAGTGTAGTATGGATTGGTTTAGTATGTGGAATGATGTTTTAAAAACAAAACAATGAGCATCTTGCACTGATCTCAATGACAAACTCTTGCTTATTTGACAATTGGTACCTTTGGTTCAACCGCACAGTTAGGAATCAACTGTATATTCCTACTTAATACATAGTCTTTGGGCACTGAAAGATTTATTATTTTGCTGTTTTGTTGTCTTTTCTTTGTTGTTTTTGGTAATTAAGGTCTAGATGTTCACAGATTTTTATTGTTCCTAGTTAAGGTTGTGATTGTGCTTTGTTATTGTCCTTTGCAGGTCTTCCAAACGAGTTGGCTTGGGGTCAGAAGAAGAAAATCTACTACGACACAGACTACACAGAGAGCAGAAAGAAAAGTATGCCTTAAACATTTTCATTTTTTTTCAGTACAGCTGTTTTTCACATCCATCACTTCATGATACATATGTCTTATTTTAACTCAATGCTGTAAATTGCTTCTACAGAAGTGAAAAAAACCAAAGAAGAACTTGATGCCGAGGCTGAAGAGGAAGAGGAGGAGGCTCAAAACGTACAAAGGAGATTGGCTAAAGCTCTGAATGAGGAAGATTATGGCCTGGATTTCATTCAGGTAATTATGGTCTATGGATTTCATTCATGTCTTCCATGAATCTCAGTGCTTGTATTCCAATGTTCTTAGAGAACACTCAGTGGGTAAAGTGAAAAGTGTGGGTACGCACATTGAAGATTAAGGAATGATGTCCATGTGAGCCAAGTCTTTGGGATCTGCCTGAAAGAGAGTGTTTCAAAGCCGCCTTGATTTTTATTTTGTTGGTTTACAAGTGCAATTGAGGAGATTTATGAGAAGGGCATAGGATGTACATCTCCCTGCAAATATGAACTGCTGCCTTTGTATTATGTACTAAATGGGGAATTTTGAAAGGTTACCTTTAACTGTGTTAGGTTGAAATGTTTATCCTTTGAATGACACTAAAGACATATAATGTCAGGAATCAAAGACTGACCAGCTGCAATGGCCAGCTTTGGGCTCCTCCAGTGTTTACCCAGTGTGTTTCCCATAAGCTTTGGGCTCCTCCAGTGTTTACCCAGTGTGTTTCCCATAAGCTTTGGGCTCCTCCAGTGTTTACCCAGTGTGTTTCCCATAAGCTTTGGGCTCCTCCAGTGTTTACCCAGTATGTTTCCCATAAGCTTTGGGCTCCTCCAGTCCAGTGTTACCCAGTGTTTACCCAGTGTGTTTCCCATAAGCTTTGGGCTCCTCCAGTGTTTACCCAGTGTGTTTCCCATAAGCTTTGGGCTCCTCCAGTGTTTACCCAGTGTGTTTCCCATAAGCTTTGGGCTCCTCCAGTGTTTACCCAGTGTGTTTCCCATAAGCTTTGGGCTCCTCCAGTGTTTACCCAGTGTGTTTCCCATAAGCTTTGGGCTCCTCTATTGTTTACCCAGTATGTTTCTCAAAAGGTGAAGTTCTTATTTTTTAAATGGATAAAGTTATGCACTTGTGATCGGTATATAGTTTAAGCAAATTCTTGGGGTTTTGAAACTCTTTTTAATGGAAAAATAAATCCTGCTTACTATTAATTAGGAATTTGGAGAAAAACCTTCGGAGGAGAAGCCATCAGAGGAGAAGATTGTTAAAGATTTGGACAAAATGTCTGAAAAAGAGAAAAGAAAGTTGCTGAAGAAAGAATCACCTGAATTAATGGAACTGATCCAAGATTTAAAGTCAAAGGTGAACTTGAAAAGGGAAAAACCCATTAAACTAACTATGAATTATTTTTTTTCTTGTACCTGCATTTGCAAAATTCTACAGGTTGTTCAAATGTGCAATAATGCTAAAAGTGTTTTTATGTATTCTGTGAACCAAACTGTGATTCTATACACTGTGTTAGGGTTGTAAGGTCTTGTGGGAGGCATTATTTGGGGGTGGTGAGGCAGCTGATCATTTATTGCCAGCTATGCTCTTTAAAGCGGCACTGTTACATCAAGGCAAGCCTTTTAAGTGAGTCCTAAGTTAAGTCGTTCTAGTTTATTTTAAGCTCAGCTAGCTGCCACAGTACCTTTTTACAAATTACTGTCCTGAGATGCTAAAACCTGATCGATGGCACAAGTAGCAAGGAAATGGGATTTAACAGCTCACTCTTCATTTGGCTCTTTAAATGTATCACATTTTCTTTTTTAAATACCCGTTTTAACAATTTGATTGTATTGGATAGTTAACAGAAGTGACAGATGATCTGGACCCACTTGTACAGATGGTGAAGGAAGGAAGCATTCCAAAAAAGGTTAGTTCATATAGGTTATTGTATAATCTGTGATGTGCAGAATGTATCTACAAGATAAGAATCTGTTTCCAGTCTAAATTCCGAAGATTAAATCTCAGTAGAGGGGACCGCTACTAAAGAAAATTGTATGTCACTAGTATATTTCCCCAATGTTAATTTCTGGCTGTGTGACATGACTACACATCTATGTATCACTCTCTCTGTATCAGTCATGCTGGCCATTTGCTAAAAAATCCCCATAAAGATACATTGATTCAGTTATTCCTATGGGAAAGCATTGGATTAGCTGACATTGTCAAATTTGATTATCTCAATCACGGAGATAAAAACAGTCATTTTACCACAATAGTGTCAGAAATACATGTATGTGTTCCTGACACTATATTGTTCCTTTAACCCCTTAAGGACACATGACATGTCTGACATGTCATGATTCCCTTTTATTCCAGAAGTTTGGTCCTTAAGGGGTTAAATGTATAATCCAGGCTGTAGAACTAAACATTTGTTAAATGTAGGGATACATATACATGACAATGAAATTCTGATTCATGATATAAAATAAGGCTTAATTTTCATAGAGTATCAAAAATAGAGAAGAGGGTTGCACCCAACCACAAAAATCACAGGGTGCTGAGTATGGGTCAGCATACCCCATAGAATATACATAAAAGAAAAAATCTCAGACACTCACTGTGATACGTTTAAAGCTGCTTTAATAGATCCGCAACGTTTCGACCTGTACCCAGGTCTTTATCAAGCTAACACCACAACAACAAGTAAACGTTTATAAACACACATAATTAATGTGAGATTACAAAACTCAGTAACACACACAGTGATATAAATAACACATGATAAGCTAATTTAGTTAATGGACTCATTAGTTCAGTTCACAAGCTCTTTCAAAACATGGAAAATGGAAACCGTACATGGCATTTAAAATAAATAGAAACAAGGAATAGATGGAATCCACATATTAAAACAAACAGAGGGGGTCACAAAAGTGTGCATACCTCTCAGTAACGATATGTGGTCACATACTATTGGCAAATCTATAAATAAACTCTAATATATCAAGTAATTAATGATAAAAGAGAAATAATAAGAAGAAAATGTGAATAAGTAAACCCATAGTTAATAAATTACCTTATAAATCCTCCATAATAACAGCCCAATATGCCTGCGGTAAAACGAGGCGCATGTGCAAGTAAGGCGCATGTGCGGGCAACGGAAGGGCACAAAAAGGCGCATGCACAAGCACGTATCAGTGGGTGCCTGAGATTTTTTCTTTTAATTTTCATAGAGTGAGATTAAACACACACGGGTGACAAGTGATTCACTTGCCATAAGACTTTATGCGCTGGGTCAGGCTCTGCCTACGCTCCTCCCCCGCCGACATCTGCCAGCGTGCGAGATCTAAAGCGTATGTGTGGCAATGGCCTCGCTCGCATTAAGATTTCCCTATAGGAAAACATTATTTAATGCTTTCCTATGGGGGAAAAATCTGACGTTGGAGGTCCTCACGCAGAGTGTAAAGACGTTCAGCGTCCGATAACGGACCAGAGGCCCATTTGGATTCCGAAAGCGCCCACAGTGGCTGTCTGGTAGACAGCCATTGAGGACGGACTTAGAGCTGCAATGTAAAGGTAAGTAAAATAGGGACACTGCACCCAGACCACTTCAATAAGATGAAGTGGTCTGACTGCCTACATTGTCCCTTAACGTCCTTTTCAGTTGCTAAAGTCAATGCATTTTTATTGATTGTCATTCTTTTATAGGGCAGGAAGTATCTCCAGACAAAATACCAGCTTTACTTAAAGTAAGTGCACTTTAAACTTTTATTGGCCACATGTTACTGCTTCATCTGCACATGACTTAATCCACCGATTTTTGTATTTCCAGTTATTGTACAAATATCAGCTTTTATTTGCTTTTGAAAGCAAAGAGAATCCCCATTCAAGGCCATCCTGTGATTGAAAGACTTGTCACCTACAGAAATGTAAGTGGATTCATTTTCACTGAACTTTGGCCATCCTGCATGTGTACTGTTGTCAATCTTCTTTATCTCACCGATATTAGGTTGTTCTTTTGGTAGGGCGCTAACTCACTGGCTTCATGTGAATGAAGTAAGCAGCCAAAATTCTGTTCTGCAATTCAAATTAATAGAAACTCCTAAAGATATCTGGGCTCAAAATGTCCACTCACCATGAGTCATTGGTGAATGAAAATGTATCCCTGGTGAGTGTGATGTGGACCCTTCAGGCTTTCAACGGCAAGTACATTTTAACAGGCAAGGAGTAAATGGTGTTGTAGAGGATTAGTATATTTCTGTACCCACCCCATTCAAGCTCACAAAAGCTAAGTAAGATCATCAAAATGTAGATGCTCCCCTCTTGTAAAGCTGATTTGCCAATAGAGAGGGAGTTCTAGAACAGTCTACCTTCTTTCTACTCCTGCGCTAAGCATTTTTTGTCACAGCCTCAGAGCTAAAACTTCAATCAATTTTTTTATACATGCGCACATAAATATACTTAATATTTATTATTCTTTATTTGCAGCTGATAAATGATTTGGGAGTTGTAGATCAACGACTGTCTGAACAAATTCAACGGCTTCGAACGAGAGGTGTGCAAGAGATCATATCTGCTAAAGAAAAATCTACCAATCAGCCGCCAATTTTACGGAAAAAAGCGAAGAAAGTTACTGCGGTGAGGACCTGCATTCTTCTATGTGTGCTAGAGAACATGACTGACTGAAACTTACATTTAAACATACACAATTGCATATACTGTATTAAACCACACAGGATCTTAAGCTATTCCTAACCACTTAGGAATCTTATGGCGTCCACAGTAAGCTAGTAGCTTGCTGTGGACGCTATCACGCTTCAGAACAAGTTAAAGCAGTCCAGAATAAAAAGTATCAGCAGGTACAGATGTAAATTAGAGACCTGGTTTATCCGTTATGATAACGGACTATATATCACCATATAACTTGTGTCAGGATAATATTTTACTTATTATTTCATTTTCTTTTTTATTAACCTTTGTATCATATCAAATATAGACTCGTCCATAATCTTAATTCAAAAGTCCACTTTTGACTTTTTAGAGCGTAAAATCACTGTAAAAATATATGCACCTTCAAACCTAGAACTAATTTAAGAAATGTATGCTAACTTACAATTAAATTGTGCGCTAGAGGTGTGTGTTAATGGTCTTTGGAATGCACTGTGATGGGCACACCGCTAGAAATCTATGCATTAAAAGGAGGTCATCAGTTTGCCATGGTCCATATATTCTAAAACCACTGAATATCTTTTACATTCTGTTTCTAGAATAAGGCATTTGTTGAAAACTCTGAAGACTCTGATCTGGATGAGGAAGAAGCCTTGGAATACTACAGAGAGATGGAAAGCAAATTGTTGGAAAAAAGAAAGCGTAAACATGAAGACGTGGTGTAAGTAACAAAAATCAGGTTTTTGTCCATTCAGTGAGGATGGGGTGTAGTCTCGTGACTGAAAACTAAAGGAGCACATGTATTTCTAATGTTAATTTTCTGCCACCTGATTTTATATATATATGTAACATTCAAATAAATCATTTTTACTTGCCTTCTATCTGAGCTGCTGCTCCTCCCACTACTGGTGATCTCCACCATTTCATTGCTTCTACATAAAGTAGTATTGGGGACCTACTGTGCTTATGATGCAATCGCCATCGCTAATTCATCTCAATTGGGAGTGTTTGTGCCTTCATGCAGACTCAGAGACTGCAGTAACAGTCTCTTTGCGCCAAAAGCGCTACTATAAGCTGTAGTGGTTTTGGTGCTCCATGTTCCTTTAAATGGACTGTTTCTCATCTTGTCAGTTAACAATAAACTTTTAATATGTTGTCATGCACATTGTTATTTATATATTACAATCTTTTCCCTTTGTAGTGATGACTTGCCAACAGAAGAGATGGATCCCAATGCCAAGAGAGCAATTACTTATCAGGTAATATTATAAGATAATGTAAATCGGAGGAAGAGAAGAATGCATGTTCACCTTATTGAGCGTATTTACTGTGCTATAAAATGTCGTCTGCTGCTAAATGTAGTGAGACCGTAAAGAAACAGATTGATGGCACTAGCACACTATGGCATGGTCAATGGATTAACACAGAGATTGCATCATGCTCAACTGTGTAATTTTCTTGCATACAGGTCCGGCTTCTGAATGCATTGCTGTGTCTGTGACCACAATAATAGCCGATTACAAGTCAGGAATGTTCACATGATGTAGGCAATGTAAATCTAGATTTGTCATGTCTGTGTAACTCACTTCTTTAAGAAATCAGCAGCGGTTATACACTGTGACTTTGGCGCATAGCACAATGTGTGTCAAAGAATGTATTAAAAAAAAAAAATACTATGTTTCTGCAAACTGTAAAACGTTTGAGAGTGGATTGGGGGAGGAGATGTAGTTTAGTATACGAAGGTGGGAGAATAAGAGGTAGGACTAATTTTACTTGATTTGAAGTTTTATATATTTTGTTTCCTCCCAATGCTAATTTTAGATTGCAAAGAATAAAGGACTTACACCTAAAAGAAAGAAGATTGATCGCAACCCACGTGTTAAACATAGAGAAAAATTCAGACGTGCCAAGATTCGCAGAAAGGGCCAGGTATGTAAACCCTACACGTTATCTTACAGTCATGTTCTTTCTTCCATCTTTTGGGAGATCCATAATGTAGGCAAGGCTATGCAGTTAATACAGAGTGTGTGACCTAATATATATATTGAAATCATTCATTTTCTGAACCACTTCAATGTTTTGTTACAGAAAAGTACGTTTTATAATCTATAATACTATTTACAAACACATTAGCAAAGTTCCATCGTCAACCGGCTTCCAAAAATAAATAAATGCATATTTGCATGTAAAGATACAAACATTCAAGGTGGGAAGTCGAACCCTCTCACACCAGTTAGAGATGCTCCAGTATTCAGTCTCTTCTATCCCATAAATGCATATCCAGCACAGGATGCGTGGAATGGTCCTAAATCTTTATAGCAGTAACATTTTGGCTGCCATCGATTTATACACAACTAGGTTCACTGTTTAGTCAATTGATCTATATACAGCTAGCGGTAGAGCCATGTTCTGCGGCTTGACTCACTGTCACGGGAGGAGGAGGCACTCAGCAAAACTATTATAAAGAAAGTTTAAGTTATTGTTTGTAAATTATCCTTTTTGCAGTAGAATTTTTTTTTTTTTTTAATGAAAATATCTGATATTAAATTTTTTTGTTATATCCAGGTCCGAGAAGTCCGTAAGGAAGAAAGCCGATACGCCGGTGAATTATCTGGAATCAGAGCTGGAGTTAAGAAGAGTGTCAAGCTTAAATAGACTTCATCATAAACCTCATTGTATAATAAACATTTTGTTTTATTTTTCATGGAATAGAGTTCAGTTTGTAGTTGTCATATAAAACGCTTTGAAAGGTGCAGGTGAAGAATGGGCTGTGTTTTAAATAAGAAGAAACCTTAAATAGCAAAAAGAGATTCCCTTGTTGGTATTTCATAGTTACAAGTTGGCTAGCAAATGTTGCAATTCACTCTAGTGCTATAAATGCTTTAAAACAGAAAAATATTTTTAAAAAAATTTTCAAATGGCATGGCAGAACTTGAATGGAATTTGCTGAATTCACAGCCAGTCACACCTGTTCCAAATACCATCTTGAAGGAAATGACACCATCTGCAAGTTTCTCGGCTTTCAAGTCTCTTGTCAACACGTTTTATAGCACAATTCTTGTATTAATGACAGTTATGTTAGTGCACTATGTAGCATCCCTTACAGATTCAGCATATAGTCCCTAACACTGCCTCTTTCACCAGTGGGTAATCTAGCGCCTCTTTATAGCACTCTTATCCAGAGCACTATATGTCGATTAGTATTTTACAAGATCGAAATAGCCAAATATTAAAAGTATGCTATGCTTTCAGTTTGAAATTCACTCTCTCAATTTCGTAAATAACCCTGTTAGTCTCCAGTAAACATTAGCAGCAAATAGGATTTCGTATCCAGATCCTGAGATACAGGGATCTACTTACAAAGTAGGTGTTTTAGACCCAGTGATATACCAAATATATAACATTGAACTCTGCAGTGTCTTATGTGCCCATTTTTTAAAATAAAATAAATGCACACCCTGAAACTATAAAGCAAGGGATGTTTTTGCATAAAGTATTATGCCTCCTGCAAAGTGTGCAGAAGGACTCACACCAGGGCCGGACTGGGGATACAAAGCAGCCCTGGAAAAAAAATCTATGCCAGCCCCATAAGTCATTGCGCCATATATTGCCGCATGTAATATGTAAGGCTATGTCTTGCCACCCCAGATGATTGAGATATATATATATATATATATATATATAATTTTATTTTTTTCTAATATAAAATATTGGTCCTTTCAGAGTAAAACGTTTAATTATACAGTAAGCATACTCACATGCTGACACAGACAATCTCACTGACACACAAGCTCATTGATGCACAATCTCACTGATAAACATAAGCTCATTGACATAAAAACAAGCTCACTCACTAGCAGGCACACATGCAAGTAAGTTCACTAGCAGGCACACAAATGCAAGCAAGCTCACCAGCAGGCACACACACACACATGCAAGCTCACTAGCAGGCACACACACAAACAAGCAAGCAAGCTCACTAGCAGGCACACGCAAGCAAGCTCACTAGCAGGCACACACACACACATGCAAGCTCACTAACACGCGCGCACACACCGCTTAATGTAGTGGTTCTGGTGTATAGCCTGTCCCTACAGGCTTTTCAATGTAAACACTGACTTTTCAGAGAAAAGGCAGTGTTTACATTGCTTCCTAGTGACAGACACTCAGACGAGTATAGAGCCCCCTCCAGTGAACTGGAACAGCTTTCAAATAAAATCCCTCCTGGGATAAAAGACATCCCAAAGCAAGACGTTCCACTTTACTCAATATTTTTTCTGTTACTCGTCTACATTTTAGCATTGCTGTATAAGGAGGAAGGAGGAGTGAGCTGGTATTTGTGCAATAAATGTGATTTGATTTGAAAGCTGTTACAGTTAGAACAGGCTTTTTCTGCTCTATCTTTGTGAGTGATCATTTTACTCATTATTAATTGGGTTTGGTTTTACACTATTAGTATTTTTTTCTCTCCTTTTTATGTTTAAATGTCATTGTGGAGAGGACATAACTATGTATGTATAAGTAAGTTTTTTTACTTTATCACCAGTACACACAATTAGTGCACTTTAGAATTCTTTGTACTTTATTACAAATTGCACTGGAGGCACTTTTTTGTCTTAAAGGCACAGCGCACCTTCTTTTTAAATATCATACCCTTGTCTGTTTACAACTGTTGATCTCATTACACAGGAAGATTTATGAACAATACAGGTTCAGTGTAACCTACTGGAACGCATGTAATATTGAAAACTGGAGTGGAGCCTTGGATTTCCAGCAAGCTAAAAAATTTTTTTATATACTTACCGTATTAACCCCTCCATGACCAGGCAAATTCCTTGTTGTTTTGACAGTCCACACAATTCATTAGTCCTAAATGATTTAAATAGCTGGCTTTTATTTAGCACTAGAATTGTGCACAAATGCATCCAGCTGGTGCAAACAAATCAAATACATTTTAATCTATTCTCTAATGAACAGATTAATTAAAATCCATGGTTAAATCCTGGGTGTATCGTTCGCTCAGGCGTAGATGAAAATGAATTTGATTTGTTCGAACCTCATGAAACGTATTAGTCTATTTAACACAAATATAGGAGGAAAATTGCTCAATATAACAAAATTCAACCCCATCATCTAAGGAATTTCTGCTGAAAAGCTCAGAGCCATTAAGCAATTGCTTCCCCCCCATAAATTCAGAAAAAGTTATTTTATTACTTAGATAATTTACACCCTTTAATAATAACCGTCCCAAACAAGCAGTAGATTAAAGTAAATATTTATATTCACTGGAAATAACACTAAACTGAGTAAAAACATCTGTTATCCACTTACAACTATTAAATTGTTCATTCTCATATATATTTATATATACACACGCACTAGGGATGAGCATGAGCAAAAGTTCTGAACTTTAGCAATTCCCTAACCCCAACCCTACCCCTAACCTAATCCCAACCCTAACCCTGCTAGGTTTAGGAGTAGGGTTAGATTTCTGTCATTACCTTAATTTTCCCTCCCTCTCCTGTTTTGCCACTTTTCAGAAATCCAAAGCAGTTTGGCAATTCGGTTCTTCCAAAATTCGGCACCTCAGACATTTCAGAAGCATCCAAATGTCCGAGTTGCCGAAATTCGTCCGAATTTAAATTTGGACCAAAACGAATTGCACATGTCTAATATACACACACACAATTAAAAACGAGAAAGACAAGGCAAGGGTTGAAGATAATCCCAGGCAGATGAACTTTAATATAACATATTTCTGAAATGTGGTTTAGGATAAGGTCAGTTACAATGCTTTATTATTGTAAAACTAGCCAAGAGTGTTTTGTTTTTTAACACTTTAAAATTGAAACCATGGGTATCCAACCTTTTGACTTCCCCGGGCCACAATGAGCGTAGAATTGGCCTGGGCTGCACATAAAATATAATATAATTAGTTTATATAATAAAACTTCAAAAGCCCTTTTCTTAAATTTTTATTTGTTTAGTAGATAACTCCCTTATTTGTTATACTTATGTGGGATTGCCATATTTAAGGATACCAAATTAAGGGGAGCTATCTACTAAACATACATATGTTATAACTACAGACCTATACACAGACATGTACACACAATCAATCACATAATCACAGATATACAAACACAATCACATACATACACATAATTATAGACCTATACACGCAATCACAGGCATACACACATTTAGTAATTAAGTGGTCCACTTTGCCTGCCTGCCTTGCTCTGGGAGGGCTGCAGTGGATCCTCTCCCTTGTGGCCAATGGTTGTTGCTGTGATGGGATTACTGTGCTATTCCTGCACAGGTTCCTCACATGCTCATCAGTGATGCCGATGCTGGGATAATGTCATAGCCCAGCTGCCGACTCACTGCAGGGCGTCCGATGGAGCTGTGCGGAGAGAGCATAGTAAGTAATAGGCTCCCTTCATCCCTCACTGCCTGGACGGCACATGGGCCACGGGTTGGACACACCTGCTTTAACCCCTTAAGGACCAAACTTCTGGAATAAAAGGGAATCATGACATGTCACACATGTCATGTGTCTTTAAGGGGTTAAACAGTTCATACTGAACCTTCTAGTACAATTTTTACCCAGTTATTCACTAAACGTTGAGCTCTCAGGAATTCACCAGGCGTAAATTTGAAGGGTTACTCCAACGTACATGACTATATCTGCTTTCAGAGGTGGTCCTGGAGTTTCTGCTTGAAATGCTGCACATACAGAGATAGTAGTTGCATTCCGGTACACGTGACTTTGGCAGCTCAAAACACTGTTCCGTACGGCCAAATATCAATCCTGTGCAAAAATATCTTCTGTCATCAGTGCTCTCTGAATATTCCAATCAAGGGGAATATAGTGTCTCCCCTCCCTCCTTCCTTGCAACCCACCCACCTCTCTCTTCTGGAGCTTGTTAAAAATTGACCAATCAAAGGCTTCTCTATTCTTAGGAAATCAACTACACTAGCTACCTGGGAAAATGCAATACTTTAGTAACTAAATGTAGCAATAGGGTGAGCCTTCAAAATCCACAGGAATAAAACTGCTATAAAAATCATCATGTAAGTTTTAGTTAACAGCAGCTGGAGATCTACCTGTTGGACATCCCGGTTTTGTAGTATTTTAGGTAGTTCTATAATTTTACTTCCACCTAAATAAACATGAATCATTATTATACATGCCAATCTCCTGCATTCCACAACTAAAGATTAATTCCCTGATTTAAAGGGACACTATAGTCACCAGAACAACTACAGCTTAATATAGTTGTTCTGGTTAGTATAATCATATCCTCTAGGCATTTTCATGCAAGCACTGCCTTTCCAGAGAAAAGGCAGTGTTACATTGCCCTAGGGACACCTCCAAGTGGCCACTGGAGGAGCTTCCTGGCTCAGGGCTGCACAGTAGGCAGCACTGCCGTTCTGCGTCTGATTAGCTAAAATGTCATTTGGCCCCGCCCCCTTGCCGATTTCAGCCAATAGAATGCTTTCCCTATGGGCGAAAGCCACCTAAATGGAGGGTTTAGCACTAGAGGATCAGGAATACATGTTTGTGTTCCTGACCCTATAGTGCTCCTTTAATGTATCATTCCTATTTTCAATTAAACATTACCCAAACTAAGTTTTTTATCGTCATAAACCGTTGTCCTATTATGCTGAATATTGTTCACTGCTGTCAGGGCAGCCAACGTGTAATTGTGTGCTTCAGAGCCGAGGCACTAGTATATGATTTTAATCTTTGGAACTAAATAGAAATGCAACAGAATGAAATAAGCGGGCGATAGCGGAATTATGGGTAATCAAGCATGCTTTGTAGTAGCAGACGACATGTCTAGATCAATGTATAGAGCATTAGACAGTATAGTATATTGACCAGTATTATTAGTATGAATACATTGTATCGCATTCTTTAATAAATCTAAATGGCTTGAGTAGTAGAGTTCAGCTCATTGAATTGTCCTTCTATAAAATTAGTGTGACGTGACGTTAAATCGCTTATTATTTTTTCTTCGATTTCCACTCCCAGACTGTCTTCTTCCTTCGACACGGTGAGTTTAGTCTCTGCTGTATTAGTTACAATTACAACAGAGGACCGAAGCGTGTCTAAGACATTCGCTACAACTGCCTGATGCCGATATGTTGCAAGGGCTTTATGGGCTCTCTCCAATAAGATAGAAGTATCTGTCTCTAGTTTAAATGAAACAACAAATGCTTTGGGAGCCCAGTCTTTCACTAGAGGTGAAAGCATCTTCGGTACCATCTTCATTGTTATCTGAGTGAGGAAAAAAATAATTTCAAGATTAAGCGATTTCAAAGATATTTACACAGTAAATGAAGAAAACATACTTTATTACTGTCTCATAACATGTTCCCCTACCATCTCTGAGCTCCCTGAAATCTTCTAGTAATTAACTTTAGCACATGTAACTGTACCAATATGAAGATTTTTTTTAACATCACTCCAATGGCCATTATTAACGTGTAATCTTACCTGTCACGTCAAGGCAAACTCACTTGAATGGGCATTGGAGTGATACTAAAAAGCCTCCAGTAATTTAAATGTGCGTAGGGAGTTGCGATTTTCCCCCCTTTGGTTTTTAATTTATGTAGTGGCTGATGTGTACTATACTCATTGCTGCTGACCCAGAGTAGTGGGAGTTTGAGCACAAAACTTAATTCTGTATGTTGGTATTAGCTTTTGTATTACACAGCCATGCTACAGTGCTGCCACCCACCCCATTCAGGGTTAAAGGACTACTCTAGGCACCCAGACCACTTCAGCTTAATGAAGTGGTCTGGGTGCCAGGTCCTTCTAGGGTTAACCCATTTTTTCATAATTATAGCAGTTTCAGAGAAACTGCTATAATTATGAATGGGTTAAGCCTTCCCCCTAATCCTCTAGTGGATGTCTCATTGACAGCCACTAGAGGCGCTTGCGTGCTTCTCACTGTGAAAATCACAGTGAGAGCCAGCGTCCATAGGAAAGCATTGTAAATGCTTTCCTATGAGACCGGCTGAATGCTTGCAGCTCTTGCCGCGCGTGCGCATTCAGCCCAGGAGGAGGAGGAGGAGCTCTCCAGCGCTGGAAAAAAGGTAAGTTTTAACCCCTTTCCCCCTTCCAGAGCCGGGCGGGAGGGGGACCCTGAGGGTGGGGGCACCCTCAGGGCACTATAGTGCCAGGAAAACGAGTATGTTTTCCTGGCACTATAGTGGTCCTTTAATAAGTGTGTAGGGGTTTAGAAAAATACCCCTTCTTGTCAGATTAGAGATTTTACCATTCAGCTGAGAGCAACAAGGTGAATTGTTGGAGTAGGACTCATTTTTTGACTCAGGTATAAAGGGACACTATAGACCAGTGTTCCCAAACCCAGCCCTCAGGGACCGCCAACAGTTTAGGTTTTGTCAGCATCTCCATTGGAATAAAACAGGGAAATACATAAATCCTGGAGTGTTGGTGGTCCCTGAGGACTGGGTTCAGCTCATTGAGTGCAGTGTCCTAGGCCCCTTAACCCTGCAACTGTAATTATTGCAGTTTTTGAGAAACTGTATAAATTATATTGCAGGGTGAGCTCCACCTCTAGTGGCTGTCTACCAGACAGCCACTAGGGGGACTTCCAGGTGGTTAGGCAACTTTTGGTTGGCTAACAGACGTTGGCCGTCCTCATGCTATGCATGAGGCCATCCAGCATCACCAAAAACCCATAGGAAAGCATTAGGACAATGGGGAAAGTCCTAATGCAAGCACAGCTATCGGCACGCATGCACATTAGGTCCCTCCGCCTACTAACCTTGGTCGGAGAAGGAGCATAGGCAGGGTTTGATACAGCACCAAAAGGACATCGGTGCTGAAATCAGATAAGTGACAGAAGGGGTTTTTAACACTTCTGCAGAGGAGGGAGGGGGGTGGGTCGCAAGGAAGGGGGGTGGGTCGCAAGGAAGGGGGGCACTAAATGGAGCTTAAGTGCGAGGAAAACAACTTTGTTTTTGTAGCACTATAGTTTTCCTTTAAAGGGCAACTCCAAACTAACACTGCCCATTCCTTTTTGAATATATATATATATATATATATATATATATATATATATATATATATATATAAATAACATAGCTAGATGCATATCACATCAAACCACTGAGTATTCTGACTGCATCTTCCTAACATTTATCCAAGCATCAGATGAAATACCATACTGTTCTATAATAAAATTATTATTTTTTTTTTAATTCTTTATTTTTGTTGTGCATAAGATTGGCATACGTGTGTGTTGCCACAGTTTAACGCATATTAAAACATAGTAAAACATAAGCAATTAAAATTGTAAAGCATTGTGGCACATGAAGAAAACTGCACAGGTATTTTATATTAAACATGTTTAAATTGTTCCAGTCAGTGGTTGCTTGATCAAGAGAGGTAGAAAGGCATATTTTATGCACAATGACTGGGATGTAACAAGGTAGATTACATTAAAATAGGAGTGCATTTCAAGATGTGAAACTGTAAGCTTTGGGTAACCGCTAGGTAGTACTCACGTGTGCTCTGGTGGGTTTGCAGCCAGCCGTTGTCAGGAACAAGCAATAGGCAATGTGGAGGTAGTCCAGGAGCCGGGTAGTTGTCTCCAGGGGAGGTTTGGCTGTTAAGCCTGTGAGTTGCCCATAGGGGTTTAGCCGATGCCCATCGGGTGCTGAATACTCTCCAGGCACGAATGAGTGTTCAGTTCCTTATTGGCAGTGCCCCCCCAACCCCCATTACCAACACAGTCCGGTGTTAGGAGTATTCAGGTTTCATTGCTATATACGTCCAGGTCTTGTGCTCAAGTTTCATGACAGCGTGCTGCTTGAACTCAGGTAGGGTCTCTTCAGACGCGGTGTAGTGAACTCCCTGGAGGGGAGAGGGGTTTTGGGAGGGGGGGGGGTCTACCCCGTGCGGCCCTCTGCTCTGATGTAAGGTGGCTTTCCGCTGTTCTGCGGCTCTGAGGCCGTCGTCTGTTCCTTCGCCTTCTTCCTCCCACCGTCTGTGCAGCACCGGTGTTCCATCCAGGGTCTGAAGGTCCCTGTGTGGTAGCGCTCGGGATGATGTTCTGTGGGGTCTGCTCGATGGTGCCTCTGCGGAGGGATAGCTTGTCCCAGAAGGCAGCAAACAGGCGATCGAGTTGTTCTGCAAGAGGGGGCAGTGGAGAGCTGGGTGCGGGGCTGCACGTGGTGTCCGCCGTAGTTATGAGTGCTGGTCCAGCGGTGCAGGTAATGCTCTGCTGATGCTTTGTTCAGGCTATGTTTGCTGGGATGTCCATCACCGGCAGTGGGGGGTGGAGGGGGGGGGGAGGTGGGTGAGAGTTTGCTTGAGATGCCCCTGGGCAGGCGCACCACAGTCGGCAAAGGGATCGGCCGCCTCCCTTGCGCCTTCCGAGCAGGCCTCAGATCTATCCCGAGGTAGGAGCCGCCGATTATGGTTGCAAGACCTGCTGCTTGTAGCCGCAGTGTTAGATCCTCGTGTTCGGGATTATAACTTGCCAAGATGTAGGGCTTTAGCTGGAATTACGGCTATATTTGCTCACTTTTAGCTTGGAGCTCCCTTGATGTGTGGCCGCTCGGCATAGCTGCCAGGCTCCGCCCCTATTCTGTTGTTTTAAAGTTAATTGTTAAAACATTTCCAACATTCCCACGATGTGCAATAGATTTCTCCACAGGACCTATAAATTGTATATAATTTCCATGCCATGTTTTACTTTCACAATATAATAAAACATTATAAAAGCAGGATTACCTGTAGTGGCCCACTGGACGATTGGATTTTATGTTCTGGCATCTCCGAAGCTGGAATGTAGAAGTCAGATACTGCTGCTGCTAAATAGAACATTGCATTTGATCCTGAAATATAGACAAAATAAATGTTTGAGCAGATCACCCCACATTACTGTAAATATTATTGCTGTGGAACTGTGTTATATACTCAGACACATCAACAATATGGAGCTCCTAGCAAAGAGGAACACTAGGGTAGCAAAGAGGGACAGAGAGATTGTGCTCAAAATGGGGACGGTCCCTCCTAAACAGGGACACTTGGGCGTTTCACAAAGCCCTATGACGTGGTGAAATGCATTAGTGTTACTTTTAATATTCTTACATTTATTTTATTGTATTAAATGAAGATAGATACTATTTTAAATTTATCCTGGACCACCTTGTTTATTGTTGGAACTCCACGTATTTTCTGGGCTTCATCCTACAAGGTGGGGCGTGTACAACCAGAGCCCTATAGATTGAGCAAAACCTTACATTGCTCTAACGTTTGTAAGTGAAATTTCAATTACGTTATAAACAGTGTGCACTATATGTGCACACATACTACGGAAAAAGGTACCATCAACACATCCTTAGTGGGAATTATACCACTCCACACTGTCTAAGGGAGCCAGGTACAAGGCTCCCATAAATGTGTGTAAATCCTTATCCACCTAACTTACAGACTCATATAATCCAAATTTACTACACTATATAGTGCTATTTCTGCTTTTGTTTCAGATTATTGGAATATCGCACACAGCACAATTTTAAGCAAGGATTGTTCCGCTCAGGCACATCCAATTGGAGCTAATAGCTCAATTTTCTGTGAGTCTTATCCTCCGCCTTTTTATTTATAGAATATACTGCACTATATGACCCTCCTATTGTCCTCTTACTTATTGTTACATATATCACTTCTAGGCACTACTCCCAACTCCTCCTTACCAATGCATCAATGATTTATCACTTTAGCCAGGTGCCTTATTAACCCACCTAGGGGACTGAGCGCTTTCGCAGCTGCCAGCAAGAGGTGCAGGTAGTCTGAAAGGGTGTTGAACTCCACAGGGAGCAACATGCCAGAGTCCTTCATGCTGTGATAATCCTGCAAGACTTGCACTATGCCCTGCAGATGAGATGGATCCGCCTCCACTCTGAAAGCCGGCTGCGCATGGGTGGAGCCCGCCGTGGAGAGCTCCGCGGGGGCGTGGCCTGGACGGGAATGTTCCGCAGGGGCGGGCAGTAGATGCAGGGCGTCCAGCCAATTGACAGCAGTATACCTGCGGCTGTACGGGTACATGGAGCGGTGGCGGTGCAGGAAAATGACTGCGTACTCGGCCTTTAAGAAATACTCGGCCGAGGCCGCTCCTCGCCGCCCGCTGCTGAAGTTATCGAGGAACCGCACCGTGCGGGACTCCAAGGGGACTTTGGTGCCGCCCGAGGTGATCAGCACCACCCTGTGCCCCTGGGAGCCGTGACTCCGGGCGAAGGACTCCATGGCCCTGGCCGCAACCTCCACCTCGGCTTGAGGGGCAAACTCATGCTGGATCCGCTCCTCGGACACGGGCTCAGCCATTACACCGGGCACCAAACCCGGAAACAGAGTGCTTCCTAGAGCTGGAGGAGAGCCTTCTTCCTGGAATGAAGGAAGTCAGCGGCGGCCATCTTAACTCCTGGCAGCGCCCTTAACCACTTCACTGCCAACCAAGAAAGCTGCAAATACTAAACTATTCCCCCCTTTTTAATTTTTTTATTTAGCGTCTTTTGTTTTTACCGCAGTGGCTGCCACATGTTGACATTGCAGCTGTTGTGTATCCTTGTACTATAAGCATTTACAGCAATTAATGCTCTGATTGCAAGATTCATTCTCCCCCCCCCAACATAATTAAGTCTAATACCAATGATAATATAATATAATAATAATACAATCTGCCCTCCATCCTCCCTTCCCCAATATCACATATTATATGTGTGTGAGGTGTGCAATGAGCTGTTTTCCTCCAATGCCATTTTATCAAGGTTCTAATAATATCTCCATATTGCTGTTTATTGCTTTAATCATAAAGTGCTTCGCTTATTATACTTTATAATAAAACACGCTGACTGCATTAGCAGTGACACAGTGCTGCGTTTAGGGATACAGGGATTTGTATAGGGGCACAGTGCTGTGTATAGGGATGCAGGGATTTGTATAGGGACACAGGGCTGTGTATAGGGGCACAGGGCTGTGTATAGGGGCACAGGGCTGTGTATAGGGATACAGTGCTGTGTATAGGGACACAGGGCTGTGTATAGGGATACAGTGCTGTGTACAGGGACCCAGTGTTGTGTATAGGGATACAGGGATTTGTATAGGGACACAGGGCTGTGTATAGGGGCACAGGGCTGTGTATAGGGACACAGGGCTGTGTATAGGGATACAGTGCTGTGTATAGGGACACAGGGCTGTGTATAGGGATACAGGGCTGTGTACGGGGACCCAGTGTTGTGTATAGGGATACAGGGATTTGTATAGGGACACAGGGCTGTGTATAGGGATACAGGGCTGTGTATAGGGATACAGTATTGTGTATAGGGACCCAGGGCTGTGTATAGGGATACAGTGTTGTGTATAGGGGCACAGGGCTGCGTATAGGGACACAGGGCTGTGTATAGGAATACAGGGCTGTGTATAGGGATACAGTGTTGTGTATAGGGACACAGGGCTGTGTATAGGGATACAGTGTTGTGTATAGGGGCACAGGGCTGTGTATAGGGATACAGTGTTGTGTATAGGGACACAGGGCTGTGTATAGGGATACAGTGTTGTGTATAGGGACACAGGGCTGTGTATAGGGATACAGGGCTGTGTATAGGGATACAGTGTTGTGTATAGGGACACATGGCTGTGTATAGGGATACAGGGCTGTTTTTGCTGTAGAACACATGGTTTGGCTGCAGTAGTTTTGCAGTAAATCCTATCCTCAATTAGGATTCGCTGCTTTGCAGAGATTCAGTTTACATCATGCCATGGGCTGAACGTGTCTGAAATAATAACTATGTCCTTGGCAATGCCAGCCCCCCCACTGCTCAGGTCACCTCCACGTGTTCAGCTAGGAGGCGCCAGTGATGACGTCACGCCCAAGCAACCACCTCCTGCGTCCCTAGTAACAAGGTTGTAAGAGTGCCTCCCTTTAAATCACAGAGCAAACTATACTATGGCTCAGGTTAACCCCCTTTCTAACCCCAAAGGGGTGAAATTGTTGTGTGAGTTATGCCAGCATCCTGCTTATATCCAGTGCCAGGACTGCAAAGTCACATATTATTGGTAAGTAGAGATGTTAGCACAGTGGGGTTTATTTGCCCCCAGAGGGATATGATTGAAGTATAATTCACTAAGACCGATATCCTCTGACACTCCAGCTTTTCTGGGATATGCTTGCCCATGGAAATTAAAAAGTTACATGGCTGGCTGTGCCTAATAGGAAGCATAGTCCACAACAAGCGGAGCACTAACTGTGAAAAGACTCAACTCTAAAGTGGGTAATATCTCAGGGGGTGGACTAGCATATGGTGTGGAATTTGATACACCCTCGCTTATATGTTTTACTTACTATGCAATGCTATTCATTATTCTGTGAATTGAAGAGAACTGAAAGTGAATTTGAAGCACAATTTTAAAAACTTCTCGAAAGTCAGCTATTTGTCCAGTTTAGCTAGCTTGTTCTTAAAGGAAAACTCTATTGAAAATAATTTTCATTGTTATACCCCCCACACCCTCAAAAATAATTTTTAAAACATTTTTTTTGCATCTTTTCTTTGGCGGTATAGGAAAAGCTGCAGATCTGGTGTGTGCACCATTTCCGAGCTCCTCCCTTTTTGTCCACAAAATAATCAGAGGCTTCTGTGCTGTATCAGCAGAGGCATGGGAGCATTGCTTCGCAGTGAGCTGTACTATAGCTCTTTCAGAAGTTGTGAAGGCAAGCATGCCCTAGTGTGCATGCCACTTCCTTTAGCTCTGTTTTGCTAACTGAAGCAGAAGAAAGCCCCAACTATCCGTTTTGGCGAGGATTCATAAAAGTACCAAATTCTATTGAAATCAGCATTTATACAAACTGTCAAAAATTCAAAATTCGCAATTATGCCTTGTACCCTGTATAGGCGTCCCTATATCTGTAGTGCGTCTTCGCATATTTAGCATTAAAACGTAATTGCTTATAAATGTTCTTTTTATTAGACTTGTTCACTAACACAGATTGCTTTTAAAATATTCTAAACTAATCTTGAAATGTATTACTAGTGTTCCTACTAGTAGGTTCACTAAGTTTATCATCTGTGTGTTAGATTACACACAGTTCAATCATTTTTAGCCAGGCACAGAGTGGTATTTAATTATATGAATCTGTAGTTCATTAATAGGTATTCTTTTTCTTTCATATATTTGTGAACTACATTTCCAATGATGCTCAGCCATCATGTCACTGTTGTTGGGTACCAAGGCTTTCGAAGAGCCTTATTTGTTCTCCAAATATAGCCTCAAAACACTGACACGGTTACTAAACTGAAAATTCAGATTTAAGGTACTCTATAGTCACCAGAACCACTACTGTAGTTGTTCTGGTGTCTACAGCCTGTCCCTGCAGTGTTAGCACTGTGAAGAGAAAGGCAGTGTTTACATTGCTGCTTAGTAACACCTGTAGTCAGGGCTGTCTTTAACGCGGGGCAAACGGGGCAGCTGTCCAAGGCCCAGTTACTCCTGGGGGGCCCAAAGCAGCTGCCCTGTTTGCCCTCTACCCACAACAATTTCTTTTGGGATCACCGCTACTAAAATAAATTGTTGTGGGCAGCTGGCCCACACACTAAAGGTGGGCATGTTTTAGCAGGGACCAGGTTGGGCGCTGTGGCTGGGCCAATTTCTTTTGGGCAGCATGGGAAGAAGTGACGGCTTATCACGTCCTCCCAGAGAACACGAGCTGCGCGGGAGGGAGGATGATATAAAGGAAGCAGTGAGGATAAGGCCAGGGTGGGAGAAAGCCAGCACACTAGACCCCAGGGAAGCCACCCAGGAAAAGGTAAGAAACTGGAGGGTGGCTATCAAACTCTAAATTTTGCATGTGTGTCTGCCTGTGTGTGTCAGTGTGTTTGTGTGTGTCAGTATGTCTGTCAGTGTGTATGTGTGTTTCAGTATGTCTGTGTGTGAATCAGTCTGTCTGTGTGTGTGTCAGTATGTCTGTAAGTGTCTGTGTGTATGTGTGTTTCAGTATGTGTGTGTGTCAGTCTGTGTCAGTCAGTGCATGTGTCAGTGTGTGTATCTGTATGTTGTCAGTGTGCGTATCTGCATGTGTGTCAGTGTTTGTATATGTGTGTCTGTATGTGTGTCAGTGTGTGTATCTGTAAGTTCTCATTGTGTGTATCTGTATATCTATATGTAGTCAGTGTGTGTATCTTTGTGTCTACATGTGTGTCAGTGTGTGTGTCTCTGTGTTTCATTGTTTGTATCTGTGTATCTGCATGTGTGTCAGGTTGTATGCCTGTGTGCGTATCTGTGTGTCTGTATATCTGCATGTGGCAGTGTGTGTGGCAGTGTATGTGTATATGTGCATACATCTCAGCATTCAAACACCAACACTACATACAAACACACTCCTGCACTGAAACGTTAACACTACATACAAACACACCACTGTGTTAAAACACCAACATTATATATAAATATACCCCTGCATGCTTGTATTCAAATGCCAGCACCATATCCGAACACACTCCTACATTCTCACAAACATACTCCATACAAAAACATGCTTACATTGAAACACACAAACACTGCTCAGTGCTAAATACTGCCTGCAAACATGGGAAAATGGTAGAGCCCTTTCTGTAAAAACTTGCGATAGCAGGGCCCAAAAGAAGTCTTGCACCAGGGCCCTCTCTACTTTAGTTTCGCCACTGCGTTGCCTTGAGGGCATGATTGCATGCCAGCGGGTGGGGTGAGCGATCTAGGGGGCCCAAGCAAATGCTTGCCCAGGGTCCAACTAGTGGTAGTCTCTTCATTTCACAGAATGACAGCGGTTGGCTGAGAGTGGTCAGCTCATGCTCTCCACCAATAAATGATGACTGCCGCAGCTTTTGGCTTCTGCAGCTCTGAAGAAGCACGTCACTGGACCACTAGGGAGCATCAGAGCCCTGCTGGAACCCAGGTAATGGCTTTCTTTTTAGCTACTTTGACCTTAAATTTTAAATTCAACTTTTAATTCTCACTTTAGTGGAAAACCCTGTAAGATTGTTGCATACAGCAGATCATTCCCTGAGTGTGGATTGTGGGGAGTTAAAGGGACACTCCACTGCCCAGATACTAAAATGATTACTATTTAGTAGATATACCTTTAATGAAAACATGAATTTTTTTTTTCTCATTGGGGTTGTATCTAAAAACAGTTTGCAAAAGCTGCTCCCTCCCCTGCCAACCCCGCCCAGACTTTCTATGGCTGTCCAATCACAGACTTCCCAATGCAGCTCAATGAGAAGACTTTGCAAGACAAGTTCTCTGAGAAATTGCTGCCTCTTGAGTTTAGCTCCAAAACAACCAGAAAGTAACAGGACCGGTGTCTGATTGACACCTCTGGGGTGTAACCAGGTTCATTTGTACAAGTTCTAATTTATATTGAGCTCTGCACTTTTTGTAAAATGGAAAAAGAAGACACACCCTTCACACATAAAGCACTTCAGCAAGATAAAGTGCTCTAGGGGTCTTGAGTGTCTCTTTAAAGGAGTGTCCTCCGTGAGTGTTTCAAAGGTGAGATTTATTTATTTATTTCACGCCCTCACTGTGCTGGTCTCTCTGTGGCCGCTCCGCCTCCCTGGCTGAGATCATCAAGATACATGATCTCAGTCAATCTAAGGCTTACCCATAGGGAAGCATTGGGAGGCTAGAAGCTAGGCTAGTGTGCAAGTAAACGCTCTCTAGGAGCTTCTCACACGTGAAGTGTGTCTAGTGGCAGTCAGGAAGACAGCTGTGTTAATCCCTGTAATTGAAACATTGTAATCTCTTCAAAACAATGTTTTAGAATGCAATGTTTTACTAAAACTAAAGGGCCCCTGCACCACTTCACTGAATCTGGTCCATGTATATACCCTTGGGTATGCCACATTCCAACTGTTATCTACCACCCCTCGTCATTGAAACCTAGAGGACACGACTGCAATAATATACTCCTTTGATATATGATACAGTAATATACTCCTGTTTATTGCTATACAATACAGTAATATTCTCCTGTTTATTGATATACGATACAGTAATACTGTTCTTTATTGATATATGATACACATTCCTGATGTTCACAAAAAAAAAAAAAAAATGTAAAAATTAGAAACACAATTGGAAATCCGAGGCAACAAATTCAGCTTAAAAAATTGGACAATCTGTGCATGTGCCACCCTCCCAACCCACTATTTATTTATTTAATTCATTTATTTCATATTTGAATAAAGTTGCTAATTGATTGTGCAACGCTGATCAAACCAGGATAAATCACCCTTATGTGAAAAATGGGTGTATATTACAGATATTTTTCACTTACCTTTCTCCTAGTAATGAGGACCACCAGCAGGCTGATTGGGCTAGTATCCACGAGAAAATCTGTCAGTTACTCATCCCTCTGCGTACACCGGTGCCATTTTTCACCTCTGCGGAAGAACGCTCACATTGCACTGAGCAATTAATACAGAGAAAGGTGACAGATTGCTAAAATCCTTTTCGATATATAATATATATAAATCTTGTTTTGCAAGAAGTGATTATAAGGAAAGGCAAGTATTTGCTTACCCTTTGCTGAGAAGGTATATGAGATCTCGATGTGGGGTATTCATTTTCAGTGCCCGAGGATAAGGTTCTATAACAACGCTGATGTGCTTTTATAGGCAGCACCCCACCTTCTTGGATAGATGGAAAATCTCATCATCTGATCTCCCTGCTTCTTTGATCTCAGATGGTGAGATTTTCCATCTATCCATGAAGGTGGGGTGCTGCCTATAAAATCAGCACCCCACTTGCCTGTTGACCAATTAGCGCTCCACCCACCGATTATATAGTCTTTCCTAATGATCGTTTATAACTATACGTTTATGGCGAAGTAGAAGGTATCCCCTTATGGGTGTTGTAGAGCAGCTACTTACCATATTATTTTTGAAGCGTTACTTTTCACACTAACTCACGAGTGAGTTATTCCCGTTATCTATAAATCTTGATTTGCTTATTTCAAATTAAAAGTAAAATATTGTTTTGATTACTAAAAAATTAGAATTTATACATAATTTTTCCACAATTCCCATTTTAGTTGAACTGTTCTTATGTCTTTTTTTTTTTTTTATTAAAGGCCCATACAGTCAGAAAAAAGTTTTTTTTTTTTTAATCGACTTTGATTAACATGAAACATGATACACATAAAATGTACTTGGAATGTAAGCATGATCTATAAAATGTTGTCGCAACACTGCAAACAGATTATTAGCCTTCTTGTGTAATAAAAACCGTAGTGAATCATAATGGAGATCATTGTGTTTGAGAAAGTAGCGAATCTTGTTCTAAATTATTGCAAAGTCGTTTCTTTAGAACTCACTATTTGTAGTTAAAGTTTATCCACTATTAAAACATTGCATCGTGATGATTTATTTTCAAAGTGATTTTATTTTACAGAAACACTTGATTGATATCACTACCAACGAAGCTCAGAGGATGTTGTATGAAGGAAAGCATGACGATGTGATCCCTGCTGCTAGTCATTCCCTGTCTTTGGTTATTGACGTGTACGGACTTAACTCCGTAGAGTTGGTACCCATATACCTCATTTTGGCTGAGGCCAACATTGGTAAGCAATATATATATCTGCAGTCAAAATTTAAAAGATCCTGAATGAGTTCACCAATGTAGGTAATTGATGAAAATAATAATAGTTACAGAAAAAAATCCTGTCCTATGTCCAGTGAAAAGGAAAAGGAACTCATCACCTCCCTGTTTTTCTGAATTCGTGTATGGGGTGTCAGTGTTCTGGGCATGTAGTAGAATGCAGTGTGCAGATAATGTCTTGTGCCATGTGTTCACTTAATCCAGCTGCTTGTGATTGATGATCTATGTAACCTCCTGGAGCTAACACATCCTGGGAAGCCGACACAAGTCTTGTTCCTTATTTAAAAAAAAAAATTACCATATATATTGTATTCACTGAGTATATTTCAGCATTGATCCTCGAATAACTGAGGAGGAAGATGAGTAAATTATAAGTCCAGGGATATTATATCTTTATCTAGTAGAATACTCTTCATTGAAACAATCTAATGCATTCATTATAGTGCTATCACACAAATACCTAATGGTATAGAACAATAAGCTAAGGGCACAATGGTAGTGCCACAGCTTCTCCCAGCATGCCTTTCTGCTGGGGAGAGGAAGCTATCATAAACCCCCTTAAAACATGGCAACCTATATCTACTGTCTGCATGTATTTTGTCATATCACATCCAACTGTGCTCTCACAGAGTAAAGTCTGGTTTAATTTGCAATTTGGGAAATGTGTTTATTTTTATATTAATAAGAGAAATAAATAATAATGTTTTAAATGGCTACTCTAAGCATCATCATAACGTTGAATAATTGCAAAGTTGTAGGTGCATAATAAAAGCTCTCAACTCTGAGGATGGCTAAGAAGTGCAGCAATATGTGAAACTCAAAACAGCTCTAGCCCAGCCCCTCAGAGCGGTCAGTCAGGCTACTGTAATACTCTTTTCTAGGCTTCCTGTATCACTTTTGTTTAATGATGTGCATGACAGTCATTTTAACCCTTCATGTAGTACAGATGATGAGCAGTTTCTATCACAACAAAGAATTTGCCTAACAGTGGCATACATACGATCCATGGGGCCCGGGAGCGAAAACTGATCCATTGGCCCCCCACCCCATCCCCCTCCCTTACCATTCACCTCCACCCAGGAAATCCCACTTACTTGCCTCCCACCAGTACTACTTTGTGCGGGACAGGCTGATTTTTGTTGGCAATCCTGCTGTCCTGCCAAGCTCTACCTCTGCGCGATTTGGCAGGGGCAAGAGTTGGGAGGTATGTGCTTATATGTCATTATAAGCACGTAGAAATAATGATACATACATACTCCACCAAAAACAAAGGAAGAGGGCTACACACAGAAGGGGTAAGGGGGTTGCACAGAGGGGGTGGGGAGGGGTTGCAGTGCTGTACGGGGAGAAATGGCTGCACACAGGGGAAAGAGGGTTGCATAGAGGGAGGAAGGGGTTGCAGTGCTCCGGGCACCAGGCGGTGGGCATCGGGTTGCAGGGGTCCGCGGGGCAGCCAGGCCCCCTGCATTGATGGGCCAGGTGGCAGCTGTGACCCCTATATGTACGCCACTATTGCCTAATAAATGTCCTCAATGGATCCTAATTTGCATTTGTGCATTGGTGTTTTTTATTATGGAACGATGTGCACAGTGTTAGGGGCAGGAAGATGTGTGCACATCCATTCACTCCCCTCATATTGACCATATTGACACAAGCGATCTTCAGAGTTCTGTATATCTTAACATGCATTGTTGATGTCTGTTTCATCAGTATAATGGATAAATTAAATTTGTATAACCACCCAAAGAGAGTTTTGTTATGCACATGTTTTGGATATCCAAGGGACACCATAAACACTATAACCATTTCACTATTATTATTATTAGTTATAAAGCGCCAACAAATTCCATAGCTCTGTAAACAGGTGGACTAACAGGCAAGTATTTGCAACAAGACGAGCTGGATGCACAGGAACAGAGGGTGTTGAGGGCTCTGCTAATTGAATTAGTTATAGTGCCTGGAGTCCCCAGGTACTGTCCTTCCATTCAGTGTAAATCCATTTCCGAGCAGTTTAACCCTGAATGAGGGTCTCTGGCCACCCTCAGCCCCTAATGTAGGTATGGCTAATGCAGGTATTATATTCTTCTGACTAGTCTGTCAGAATTCCTAAGAGACCCAACACGCAGGATGTAAAAGAAGAGAGTGGCTGGATTTTATGTTAGACAGATAAAGAATGGTCGAGGCCAAGCCAAAGTCCAGGGTGTCAGAAATCACAGTAGCAAGGCAAAAAAGCAGAGTCAGGGATATAGTAAGGAAAATGGTCAGACTGCTGAGATCGATACAAAAGATAACACAGAGAATACAAAGCTATTGGGAACTAATGAGAACTATTGAGATAGAACTACAACAGGGCAAAGTGCTATGGGTGAACCAGCCTTTTATAGTCTGGTTCTTTAAATTTAAAGAAACGCCCCCAAAATGTTCGAGTTCGGCTGTTTTGGCGGGCCGTGACGTCATTAGCGTCATGTCATTGGCGTGCCGCATCATAAAAGGGGGTGTCGTCACAGCGGCCGGTGTTTGAACCACTGGAAGAAAGCCTGGGACTGTGGAGACGTTCCCTCTCCATCTGCTGACAGCCCCCAACCTGGGTAAGCATGACATAGCCATCTTTAAAAAGCCTGGATTTTATTAAAACCATATATTGCATTAATTGGATTGATAATTAACATGTGCATGAGTAAATGAGTTGAAGTCGTTTATTGACAAAACAGAAGTTAGAGTTTGATTAGATAAGACTGTTGCTAATTACATTAATCACCTTTTAATCTGTAATTGACAGACTTTTTTATGGATTTATATGTTGATTTTTAGGCCTTGGGCAGCTCACATTGGCTGAAGAATACCTCTCACAAGCTTACTGGACAGTTCTAAAAACTACAGACTGCAGCAATACCATACGATCCAAGCTGCACCGTAACCTGGGCCTTCTCTATTCTGCCAAGGGAGAATTTGATGAATCATTGCGTCATTTGGCTAACGATGTAAGTGGATATACTTAGAATTTACTGAAGAGGACGTGTGTTTTATTATCCTTTTTAAAGAAGTACCTGAAAATGGCATTAATCAATAGAGTATGTAATCCCTCTGTATGCTGCGTTAACAATATAGCATAGTTCATCTTCTTTTGAGTTATGTTTAGAACAAATTGCTGCATTTACATTTCTGAGGTTTTATGTTTAGAAGTACAATAGCATGATATTTCCTAGAATGCATCCTTCCCCTCTTCCTCTCTGCTTTAACCCGAACAGTACTTAGCTTGAAGATATGATGACGAGTGCTCTAACCACCAACAGCACAACGGTCTCTCCTTCTTTGATTTAATATTGTATTCTGTATTAAAGCAGGCACAGTGATATAATCACTCACTTTATGCTCTGTAAAGCAGGGTCACCCACAAGCCCTATTCCAGATTAACATTAGGAGCTAAAGCTCCAGGTGCACATACTGCGAATACCCAGGTTTCATCCTTGTAGGTGGCTTAGAAGCACCTTTACTGCTATGTCATCTCTCTGGACCATCTCAAAAACAGTCTCAAGGACTTGGGCATTAATTTTTAAAATATTTTACCAGGAGGATACATTGAGATTTCTCTAGTTTTTAAGTATGTCGTGGGTCCACAAAACATTGCATGGTTACAACAGTGTGCAATATTACAAAAAATATATGTTATTTTTTTTAAATACTATATATATATATAAATTTTCTTTTTGTAATGTTGTACAGTGTTGTAACGATGCAATGTTTTGTGGACCCAGGACATACTTGAAATATATATTATATATCTATACACTCGAAGAAGGAAACTCACTGGTCTTCTTAATTTGCAAACTTTATTCACCAATGTTCAGTACTTTACAGTATGATCACTATCTATACATACACACATATATAAATTTAATACATAATCGGTAATAAATGTAGTTAACCATGGCAGGTGCATTCTGTATTGAGGTATGTTGCCATAGATCTGTTACAATATTTTAGATTGAATGAAGATTTAATTGTGTCCGTGAGGTTATTCCATAGGAGTGGTACTCTGTAGGAAAATGAGGATCGAGACACTTTATTTTTTTTGTATTGCGGCATGCTAAATAAAGTGCTGTTACTGGATCAGAGGTTATAGGAGGTGGGAGCAGTTGGGGAGAGCATTCTACTCAGGTAGGGTTGGAGCTTCCTAGAAAAGCCCTTATGCACAGGGCTGGAAAGATGAAGAGTGCGTCGGGATTCCAGCGACAGCCAGTTTAGCTCTTTTAACATGTCACAATGCTAAATAATGTAGGATATTATGTAACAGCTGCAGTGAAGTCTATGGTAAGGACATCTGTGGGGGCAGACTTGTAGGTCATGTGTCTTCTGATATGCAAATGTGTTTCACTAATATTTTAGGGTACCTCCTTTGGGTGTAGTTCACTGTATACTTCACTGTCTGTTCGATACACAATTCTCATTCCTCAATGTGAAATGCTTAGTCCTGCTAACAGAAAGCTATATCCCCAGTGCAGTTTATCAATAGGTCCTTTCACGTAACACGGTGAAATATAATAAGATAAGAGTCACACTTATCATCTGTTGCCTGACTGAGCTCCATGAGAAGCACCATCTGTATCACATTAAATGCCAAAGGCAGTCACTGTATACATTAATCTGTATTAAACATGTGCCCTGATTAGCACCTGGAGAGGCCCAAATGTGCCTTAGGTCCAGTGCACATTGGAGGGTTATCACTGCCAAAATGTATGTGGACTTTGTGTGCTCCATGACTGATTAAATGGATGTCCTGTGGCCCATGACCCAGAGGACAGGGTGGGACACCTTATACGCCTTTCTGTCTCAGTTGATTTTTTTATATCTCTGTCTGCTTATTATGGTGGATTTTATATGCCTGAAATTTTCCGGTTATAAATTTATGTTGGTGTTTTTATATATGGCTGTAAAGTGTGTAATTCTGCCCGCAATCATTTTTCAGCTCTGGACCCATAAAACCCCTAATCTGGCATTCTCTGGGCCAATTTTAAACATATAGTCAAACTAAGGAGATCCTGTATGTGTATAACTAGAACTAGTCATACAATTGGATTTTACTGCTCTCTAATCTCTTCTACAAAACAATAGTCAAGCTGTTACTAAATAGATTTCTCCTGAGTGGGGGATAACCCCTAGTGAAGAAACTTCACCAAAAACACGAAGAAAAAAAAAAAAAGGAGAGATAGGATCAAGTGAGATATCCTAAGGAGTGGGCTTCCCTTATAGTATAGGGAAACAAAAATAAAGTGTTTAGAACCAAATGACACGTGTGTCACTCAAACTTATATAAAACTTAACTTTTAATAGTTAAAGATCTAAAAAGGGTGAGAAGCACCTATCACATGTGCAAAGTGTGGTTAAAAACAGCACATAAGCACCTGTATAAGACTGGCAATATATAACCAATATTATTGTGTTAGAGTATAGCGTCGCTAATAATGTCTATAAGAGCGTAACGTCTGTTTAAGACTGGCAGCTATAGGAACAATATTATAATTGTATTAGTGTAGCGTTGCTGAAGTTACAGGTAATTTCTGTAAGAGCCAGTCCCGACTTTTTCGGAACAACAGACCCGTCTATACAGGGTTGGAACGATGTATGTGAAAGTTCGAAAATACCCTGAATATGGATAGTATAAATCTGGGTTAGAGTACGGTAAGATTCAGTGTGTCCTTGATAGCATAAAAGGAGTAAGCCTGTCAGAGTTATTGTCATAATGTGGACAAACCTAATAGAAATTGTTTTAGGCCATGTTTGATACTATAGACCAACTATAATAGTAGTGGGACCCGTCAGGGTGTTTGTATGGTGACACTATATATGTTTATAGATCAAACACAAGTAGCTAGTTGGTGGCATCTCATAGCATTCTACTCATGCAGAGAGTACAGCATTGATAGACTGCCTGATTAGGCAGTGTGAGATAACTCACGAAACAGAACGAAAATTAGTAAGGCAGTGTTTAACTTCTGTGCCAGTTTGGATCCATTGGCAGTTTATTCTGAAAATTATGCAATGAAATAAGGTCACCCTAGTATGGGGGTGATAAATTAAGCAGTGCTAAACTGCCTTGCGATATGTCCATTGTATTTTCAAATGGACCCATGAGAGCTTTCTTACCCCTTCTTTTACCGGGCTTTACGAGAGGTTCGGCTCCCCTCTGATCAGCCAGAGTGGAGAAACGCGCGTCAGAGGCACTGACTAGCACTATCCACAGCCACTGCACCATCAGTGACCTACCTTCTCCTACTGAATCATGAGCGGTCCTTTCCATAATGGCACCACTTGCTCCTAGCTTTGATATCAGCTGCCGTTAAAAGACAAGCAGCTCTGTCAGAACGATTGCCCTTTTTTCAGTACTCATATTTGGTAAGCAGAATTCGTTCTAAACACAAGGGAGGGAGGAGGCTTGTTTTTCCCTTAGACAGTGGATTTATATCAGGCTTTTACATAAGGGGTTCCCTCAAAGGCACAAGTGGATAGGGATCCTTATTAAAGGAAAATTCACATTCAGCTATTTACCTGTTTATAATATAACTATTTAACTATTAAAAGTTAAGTTTTATATGTTTGAGTGACACACCTGTCATTTGGTTCTGCACTCCTTAGGATACCTTAGGATATCAAAAAAATAATTAAAAACCCACTTCTTCATAAAAGCGTATCAATTAAACTGTTAATAGCTCCCGACTGATTCCCCTCTTGCAACTGTCACTAGTCTAATACTATCCTTACCTTTTGTGTCACTTCACCCCACTCCCTCTAGCACCCAGGGCATACTTGAAAACGAGATAAATCTCAATGTATCTTTCCTGGTAAAATATTTTATAAATAATAAATGTAAGCTCATTGAGCAGGGACCTCAACCCCTATGTTCCTGTGTGTCCAACTTGCCTGGTTACAACTACATATATATTCGTCCACCCAATGTAAAGCGCTACGGATTTTGTCAACGCTATATAAATAATAACATAATAATAATAATAATAATAACAATATCTCACTTGTTCCTATCTCTCCTGTTTTTTCTTTGTTTTTTCTAATCTCTTCTACCTTTCAAAGCCACAGCTGGGATGCCGGTGCAAGTGGTTGCTGCCATAGTCTGGATCAAGGTCTTAGTTGCACCGTGACAAGTTATTTGTGCTTACAATGACACTATAGTCACCAAAACAACGAAGTAGTTTAGGTGTATAGATTATGCCCCTGAAGTCTCACTGTTCAATTATCTGCCATTTAGGAGCTAAATCAGCTTGTTTATGCAGCCCTAGTCACACCTCCCTGTATGTGACTTACACAGCTTTCCTAAACGCTTCCTGTAAATTGAGATTTAATGTTTACACTTCCTTTATTGATAGTCTGTTTAATTTATAATTTCATATATCATGCTATGTGAATAGCTTGCTAGACCTTGCAGGAGCCTACTGTGTGTGATTAGAGCTCAATTTACAGAGCAGGAGATGAAAACTGCTAAAGTCTGTTAACATCTCATAGAAAATAAAAGCATTTTTTATTCCATACAGACTGTGTGAGTCAAAGTCAGAGAAGATGTGTCTAGGGCTGTATGAACATAATAAGTGATTTAACTCCAAAGTGGCATTGAATTGAGCAGTGAGACTTCAGAGGCATGTTATGTACACCAAAACTGCTTCATTATGCTAACGTTGTTTTGGTGACTATAGTGTCCCTTCACGTTACTTTAGTAATTTCACCTTGATAAGGAAATATAATGAAATCTAATTGTACTGTAAGAAAAGAAAGCTCAGTCCTTTAAATATAATATATTGATATACTGTTTACAAGACTATCCTTTTAATCCATTTATATTTATGAAAAATTGAACGCAAACTCTGTCAAATGTTCAAGAATAGTAGTGAAAGAGTAGGCTGAGGTCTTATTAATAGCATTCAATGTCCCATTATGATTACATTTTTGGTTAAAAGTATTTCTGCAATGTGTAGGTTTTCTTTTCAAGCACTGCATTGGGAACAGATCACATTCACACCTCAGGAGGATATTTTCACATGGCAAACATCTTCTACTGGCAGCATAAAATGGACATTGCCAATTCTCTGTATTCACAGGTAAGGGTTTCTTGTCCTACACCAAAACATGGCAAGGTGGCTAAATACTGCCTAATTTTACAAGGTATAATACAACAACAAAACGGAAAATATAAAAACATATACTTATCAATTAACAGAAACAGCTTCCCACCGAACACCTCCCAAGTAGTGTTTCGTCTAAACAAGCCAAAAAATACAATACACGTGGGATTCAGCTGATATACCTAAAAAATTATAAATAAAAAGCATAGCATAATATAGTTAGTGGAAATCTAATATCCCCTGCTAAAGGTTGCACTCACAAGAAATTGAAGCTATATGCGCTCTAATGGTGCCTCACCCGATGTCTTGGGGGGGCTAATATCTTCCTCTTATGATCAGGTATCACCCAGTTTCAGGAACCATGCAGGACTCCGACAGGTAGATAAGTTGAAAAGAGGGGGGGCGTGGCCTGACCGTCAATGGAGTAAGTCGCACTCCATCAGAGCTCCTAGGCCCCAGCCTGTCAAGCCTGGTGTCACAGCCTGAATTCAGCGGTATTTCGTTCCACAATGGGGAAGACTAGAAGAGCAGCATCCCAGGACCACTCCGGCCCGACGGGGACCCGATACCCGCCTGGCCCGATGGACGGGTTTTTGGCGACGCCACGAGGCCTCCGAGATGGCGGGGACTCTGACACCCCGGGCCCCACATCCCCTGGATCAAGCGCCACCACCTCAGGTAGAGGCTCCCCGATGGCGGGTACCCTGCATCAACTGGCGGCAGACGTCGCCCGAATTACAGCCAGCATGTTAACGCGCGCAGACAAGGCGGACATGGTGTCTGAACTGCGCGCCATCATCAGGGAGGAGGTGGCGGTGCTGCGGACTGACCTCAATGCCCTGGAGCAGCGTGTAGATGGGCTTGAGACCGGCCGCCTGCAAGCCGACCAGCGCCAGCAGGCCACGGACCTGGCTACTACCCGGCAGGGGAATATCCTGTTAGATCTCCGGCGGCAAGTTGAGGATTTAGACAACCGAGGACGGCGACATAATATCAGAATCCGGGGCCTGCCGGAAGCAGAGGGAGAGGTGCCGCAAGAGATACTCACAGGCCTCTTCGCGCAGCTGCTGGGGGAGAATGCCCCGGAGGATTTTGGCATAGAGAGAGCCCACAGGGCCTTGAGAGCACCCAGGAGAGATGGCCTACCAAGGGACGTGGTCTGCGCCCTGGCCTCGTTCCAGCTTAAGGAGGCCATCATGCAAGCGGCCAGGGCGCAGCCACGGATCCTATACATGGACGCTGAGGTCTCGCTATACCAGGACCTCTCACCGATCACTCTAGACACCCGGAGAGCTTTGAGACCACTTACTCGCTTGCTGCAGGAGCGGAGGATTCCCTACCGGTGGGGGTTCCCCTTTAGTCTACAGGCGCGGATCGGAGCCACGTGGCACAGCATCCGATGGCTGAATGAGGTACCGCGTTTTCTAGTGGCGGCTGGTTTACCGGAGATGCGGATCCCGAACTGGATTCTGGAGGGACCACCGGCGCGAGCGACAGGACCGGCGGAGGTGGCCCATAATCTCCACCCAACGTCTGGATCGCAGCAACGCAGAGGTGGCCCAGTGGGGCCGGAGGAATAGACGACGGACCGCTGCCCTGGCCGGCAGGGACCCGGACTCCCCGGGCCCCAGCCGCAACGGAGCTGAGCAGAGACACGGCAGGGTGGACGATATATGGAGGGCAGGTACCCCCGGGGCTCCAGCAGGTTGGGTGGGGGGTATGGGGGGTTTGAGATAGGCCCACGGGAGTGATGGTGGCTCACTAGAGGGGGGGCTGGACGGGGGAGAAAGAGAGGTGGGGAGGGAGGAACGGGCCACGGGATGCACATTGGCGTCCGTTGGGAATCGGGGAGAGACTGCTGGACCTGACCTGGGGGGTCTTCGGGGGTATGTGCAGTTGCTGTATGCCCAGGAGTATGGGGGGTTGTCTCAACATCCACATGGCGCACTAGGGGCAACGGGAGGGGAGCTGTGGGTGGTAGCTTGGAGTGTACATAGTTCTAGTGCCGTAGGTATGCTGTTTTTTTTTTTTTCACCCCCAACGGGTACACCGTTAGAACCGGCGGATGGAGGAAGCACGGAGATAGAGGAAGGTTGAGAGTGGTCGAGAGAGGGGAGGAGCGGAAGCTAGCTGGTCGGGGTCAAGCCTTAACCTGGCCCACGGTAGGAGAGCGGGGAGAGATGGGATAGCTGAAGCGCCTGATGAGGGGCGCAGGCATTCCTGCGGTGAGGGGGGTACTTTCATGGAAAAAGCCCAGACGGGGCGGCAACAGGGGGGGCAGGTGAGACATGGCCTGGGGTGGTGGAAGGATGGCAGGGGGTAAGACACCTGTATTTCTGGCTCGCCCAGGGTAGGGTAGAGGCACTGAGGGGGCAGATGGGATCGGGGATCAGGAGGAGAGCACGGTTGGCTGCGGAAGCACCGGAGGGTCGAGATGGGAGGAGTAGGCAGCCTGGAGGTGGATGACAGTGCAACAGGGCTGGCCGTTGCGGGCCGGAGGGGCCCGTGGGCCTCTAGAGAACGAGGCGGTTGCCGACGTGATGGTGGGCTTCCCCCAGGGCAAACACGGGAGTATAGCTATTCTGACAGGTTGGGAGCCACGGGAGGAGAGGGTAGGCACGACATAGACGACTGAGACCGCTCCATATAGACGGAGACACGGTAGAACCTCACTGTGACAGACCCATACTGTACATAATACCGGGGCATTTGGGGACGGAGGGGACGTTCCACAACTGACTGACGAAAACCGGTACAGGGTTACAGTCACATCCTTAATAAGTACTTTCCCGACTCCCCTTCTCCCTTTTTTTATTTTTTTATTTTTTATTTTATTTTTTTTTCCCTTTCTTCTCGCCCTGCGTTGCTGCTTCCCTCGCGGTCTCCCCCCTGTGGGTCGCACCGGGGTTATGGCAAGTGCGGATCCCCCCTCCGGGGCGCGGCGGGGCGGCACGGGATTCACACCAGCTGGACTAACATTCTGGTCCCTCAACGTTAGAGGCCTCAACATCCCGGAGAAGCGCTCCTTGCTTATGCGGCGGCTGTGGGCCGCGAGAGCGTCCGTGGTGTTCCTGCAGGAGACGCATTTTCGTCAAGGGGACGCCCCGAAGCTGGGAGATAAACGATATTCCATCGGGTTTTATGCCAACCACCCGGAGGCCAAAAAGGCTGGAGTGGCGATATTGTTCGCGAGTACGATACAGTTTCGCTGCACGGGCCTACAGGCGGATCCCCAGGGACGGTACCTGTTTATCAAAGGCAATATAGCAGACACCACATACACCTTTGCGTGCCTATATTGCCCCAACAGACGGCAACATACGTTCATCGGGCAGACGCTGGCCAAGTTGGGGAGGTTTCGAGAGGGGCTGCTGGTGGTGGCAGGTGACTTCAACCTCCCGTTGGACCCTCGTAGGGATACGTCCAGGGGTGTTAGCACTATCCCCACACACTGCCTGAGGGCGACTCTGCGTTCCCTGCACAAACTGGGCCTAGTGGACTGCTGGAGGGCGAACCATCCCGAGGATAGGGATTACACTTACTACTCGACGGTCCACACCCACTATAGCCGCATAGATTACGTATTCCTGGCGCAAGAGTATTTGGCGGTGCTGCAGGGGTCGGAGATAGGGAGCATGGAACAGTCAGACCACGCGCCCATGATAGTACATACGAGTGCCCCCCTTTTCAAACCCACGGAAAGGCAATGGCGGTTCAATGAGACCCTGTTGGACGATCCCCTCGTGGTGGCAGAGGTGTCACAAGCACTGACGGACTACTTTACCAGTAATAGCTCGCCAGAGATAGCCCCACTGACGCTCTGGGAGGCGCACAAGTGTGTCATCCGGGGACGCCTCATAGCGATCAGCACGAAGCGCAAAAAGGAACGCACAGCTCGACTGGTTCGGCTGGCGGGAAGGGTGGCGGAGCTGGAACAGGCACATAAACGCACGTTAGATGACGAGACCTATTGCCTCTTGACGGAGACACGGCGAGAGCTCCGCACCATACTAACCCAGGGCATGCTACATACTGCGCGTAAGGCGGCAAGGTTCTTTTACGAGCATTCCAACAAATGTGGCAGGCTACTCGCAAAAATGCTCCAGGATAAGAGGAGGGCGCAGCATATACACAAGATTCGCACGCAGGGGCAAACAGTCACTCACCTCCCCGATGGCATCCTGCGAGCATTTCACGGATGGCCTGCTGGTGAGATACCTCCGCGAGTTCAGGGAGGTCCTATTGCCGAGACTCCTAGAGGGGTGCAATTCACTGCGCACGGGAGGCCGGTTCCAGGCGGACACGTTAAGGGCGACGGTAGCGCTCATCCCAAAAGAGGGCAAGGACCCCACGAACTGCGCGAGCTACAGGCCCATCTCGCTATTAAACGCGGACCTGAAGGTCTTCGCCAAGGCTCTGGCATTGCGAGTGGCTCGGGTGGCGCCTGACCTCATACACTCCGACCAGGTCGGATTTATTCCGGGAAGGGAAGCCCGGGACAATACGATTCGAGCCCTAAACGTCATACACGTGGCGAGGACAAACAGGCGGGAGCTGGTGCTCTTATCTACAGACGCTGAGAAGGCGTTTGATCGCGTGGACTGGACGTTCCTCTTGGAGACACTAAGGCATATGGGATTTGGGCAGCACCTCCGCACTTGGGTGGAGGTCTTATACGCGAGACCGTCGGCGCGAATCAGGGTCAATGGTGCACTCTCTGATCCAGTCACGATCTGCAACGGTACGAGGCAAGGATGCCCGCTGTCCCCCCTTCTGTTTGCCCTCACTCTAGAACCATTTCTGGAGGCGGTCAGACAGGACGGGGGTATCCCGGGGCTCCGCGTGGGCCGGGGAGAACATAGAGTGGCGGCCTACGCGGACGACATGCTATTTTTCCTGGAACAGCCTCGGATCTCAATACCTAACCTGTTGAAAGCGTTCAGAGAGTATGCTGTGGTCTCGAACCTCTCGCTCAACCTAGACAAATCGGAGGCCATGCCACTGACTTCAGGAGACGCCATGCTGAGGCACCTTCGCGAGCACTTTCCATTCCGGGTATGCCAGTCGAAGCTCAAATATTTGGGAATATGGCTGCCAAACGACTTAAAAGACGTATACACATTCAACTTTACACCTCTTCTCACGACCCTACAGAGGGACATGAAAAAATGGACCTCACAATACATCTCCTGGTTCGGGCGGATCAATGCCATTAAGATGAACGCAATGCCAAGAATCCTTTACCTGTTCCAGACGCTGCCGACGTGTATCCCGCGATCGTTCTTTCAGTCCCTAACAACCGCCATACGGAATTTTGTTTGGACTCGGGGAGTGGCTCGTATTGGCAGGTCAGTTCTGGAACGACCGAAGCATGCGGGGGGCACGGGTCTCCCATCGGTAATCACCTACTACCAGGCGACCCATCTATGCCGCCTGGTGGATTGGCACGTGTTCCCGACCGCCAAGCAGTGGGTGGACATGGAGCGTCAACAAGCGCAAGGACGGATTCCCTCCCTGCTGTGGCTGGACGGCACGGCTCTGGGTGACATTCACACGGGTAATCCAATGATAGACTCCACAATGCGTGTGTGGTGTAGGACCAGATACGTAAAGCAATTGACCACAATGCCAAACCCGCTGATTCCTATAACAAACAACCCGCGGCTTGCGGGAGGACTTAAGCGGGCGGACCTCGAGAGCTACGCGGCGACGGAATGGACCTATCTGCGGCAATGGTGTACTGAGGTAACCCTCAAACCACTACAGGATCTAATCCCAGAACACACCCCGACCGGATTGGATGAATTCCGCTACCACCAAGTGCACAGGTATTACATCCATAGAACATTGCTACCGCTGGAGCAGGCATGCGTGGACAGGCAACACCTCGTGCACGGAGTGTCCACGTTGTATGCCATGCTCCAGCTGCAGAGCGGCGGGACCCCCCTGGGATTCACCAAGCGCTGGGAACAAGAGACGGGAACGAGTCTCACGGACAGCGAGTGGGACAAAATCTTTATGCTGACGCACAAAGGGAGCATCTGCTCCAAATACCAGGAATGTAACTACAAAATCTTAACGGGTTGGCACAGAACCCCAGATGTATTACGTCATGTCCACGAGTCAATCCCCGGGGAGTGCTGGAGGTGCGGCGTGGAACAGGGTACAAGACTTCACATCTGGTGGTCGTGTCCGCTAATAACGCCGTATTGGAAGCAGATACATGAAGCAATTAGGGAAATAGCGGACGCAGACCTCCCCCTGCAGCCGTTGCAAATGTTGCTTAATCACACGCAAACACCGCTGCGGAGTTATAAAAAGGGTCTGACCGTACACCTGCTAACGGCAGCGAAAATCCTAATCCCAATTCACTGGAAAAGTAGCACAGTCCCCACCTTCCAGCAATGGGTGGATAAGGTGGAAGACATACATAACCTTGAGATGATGACTGCCTCCCTGCAGGGACGCACGGACAAATGTGCAACGACCTGGTTCCCGTGGATGGACTACATGACCAAGAGAGCAAGGCGGGGGGGCGCCCCGGGGGGGGAGGGAGAAGGAGGTGCCGCGGTGCCGCCGACCTTGCAGACCCACGGGGGGGGAGATGCCCTGGGGTGACCGGCGACGACCTCCGCAGGTTCCGAGTGACAATAGTACCGGCAGGGGGGTGACCGGGGGGGGACTTGCTGCGAGTGGGGGGAGCGGGGGGATTGGGATGGGGACACACTGGGCGCAAGCCTAGCACAAGAGCAACGTTAACCAGGGACAGACGACTAGTTAACACCCCTGACACAGGACGGAGTGTAGAGGCACGGATGGGGAGGGGAGGGGAGGAGGGGAGGGAGGGCAGGGGAGACCTAAGCCATACGCTGCGGGAAGGTGGGTAAGGTGGTTCTAGAGCTCAAGGGACAAGGGGGGGATGATAAGGTGGAAGAGTGGAACAACATAGCCAAGGGGGAGGAGTGGGGACAACGAGATGTAATGGATCTAATTCAATATTAGGACTCACAAGCACACTGGAGGGACTGGAGAGGGGGACAGCCTCGGGGGGGCGCCCGCCAAGAGGTGACAGAAGATTACTCCACAAAACTCACCGGCAGTGGTCGTGGGGGCACCAGACGCAACGCCCACACTAAACTGCTATCAGGAAGGACTTGCGGCACAGGCCCTGACGCATGGAACAGGGATGCTTGAGGCGAAGAACCTTAGAAGCCCTAGCCATAGTGAAATGAGCAGGGGATGTGACGGGCAACAAACTAATACTTGTATACTGGCCCTGGTATTACGTATTGTGGTACAGAAACCGGTTGAGAGGGCGAGGGGGGGGTGGGGTGGAAGGTGACGAGATGGGGAACAGGAGGGGGAGCCCTAGCAGAAGGGGACAGGGGATGCAGCACTCGGGCATCGAGGCAACCACAAGACTTCACCATCATATGATTGGGTGCTGGGAATTTCCTTCTTGTACTATGTTCTGTTCTGTATTCATTACTTAAAATTCTAATAAACACGTGATTGTCAAAAAAAAAAAAGAAAAGAGGTTTATTGGTAATATTTAAAAAGGCAATAATAAGGAAATCTGGTCTTACGTGTTTCGTCCCACTTATGAGACTTCCTCAGAGACCAATATTCTATAAAAACAAGTATGACAATAATGCTCCCAAAAATGCAGCCTAATTCCACCCTCCCATCACTCCCATTAAATAGGGCTAATCCCTTTAGTCCATTGGTGGTTCCAGTGGGTGTGTTCCCTTTCATTCATCTTATTGGTGGTTTTCAAATCCTTTTTCACCTGTTTCTTGATCGGGGATAGTTAGTGTTGTAGTCACGGCTGATCAACATTTCGAGATTGGCAAAACCTGATGTGATGTATCTGACCCACTTCTGTGCGTTCCAGCTTGCGTCCCAGCCGTGCGTTCCACTATATTTTCAGAAAGTGGATTGTTCTCCCCCTCGTGTTCTCCAAGGGAATCAGCTTAGACAGCTTAAAAGACTAACCTCTGATTAACTAGAGAGATACATCTAAACAGAAAGGCATCATTAGATCATTTTTAATTCAAATGGAACAGATAAAATATATACAGGGAGTGCAGAATTATTAGGCAAATGAGTATTTTGACCACATCATCCTCTTTATGCATGTTGTCTTACTCCAAGCTGTATAGGCTCGAAAGCCTACTACCAATTAAGCATATTAGGTGATGTGCATCTCTGTAATGAGAAGGGGTGTGGTCTAATGACATCAACACCCTATATCAGGTGTGCATAATTATTAGGCAACTTCCTTTCCTTTGGCAAAATGGGTCAAAAGAAGGACTTGACAGGCTCAGAAAAGTCAAAAATAGTGAGATATTTGCAGAGGGATGCAGCACTCTTAAAATTGCAAAGCTTCTGAAGCGTGATCATCGAACAATCAAGCGTTTCATTCAAAATAGTCAACAGGGTCGCAAGAAGCGTGTGGAAAAACCAAGGCGCAAAATAACTGCCCATGAACTGAGAAAAGTCAAGCGTGCAGCTGCCACGATGCCACTTGCCACCAGTTTGGCCATATTTCAGAGCTGCAACATCACTGGAGTGCCCAAAGCACAAGGTGTGCAATACTCAGAGACATGGCCAAGGTAAGAAAGGCTGAAAGACGACCACCACTGAACAAGACACACAAGCTGAAACGTCAAGACTGGGCCAAGAAATATCTCAAGACTGATTTTCTAAGGTTTTATGGACTGATGAAATGAGAGTGAGTCTTGATGGGCCAGATGGATGGTCCCGTGGCTGGATTGGTAAAGGGCAGAGAGCTCCAGTCCGACTCAGACGCCAGCAAGGTGGAGGTGGAGTACTGGTTTGGGCTGGTATCATCAAAGATGAACTTGTGGGGCCTTTTAGGGTTGAGGATGGAGTCAAACTCAACTCCCAGCCCTACTGCCAGTTCCTGGAAGACACCTTCTTCAAGCAGTGGTACAGGAAGAAGTCTGCATCCTTCAAGAAAAACATGATTTTCATGCAGGACAATGCTCCATCACACGCGTCCAAGTACTCCACAGCGTGGCTGGCAAGAAAGGGTATAAAGAAGAAAATCTAATGACATGGCCTCCTTGTTCACCTGATCTGAACCCCATTGAGAACCTGTGGTCCATCATCAAATGTGAGATTTACAAGGAGGGGAAACAGTACACCTCTCTGAACAGTGTCTGGGAGGCTGTGGTTGCTGCTGCATGCAATGTTGATGGTGAACAGATCAAAACACTGACAGAATCCATGGATGGCAGGCTTTTGAGTGTCCTTACAAAGAAAGGTGGCTATATTGGTCACTAATTTGTTTTTGTTTTGTTTTTGAATGTCAGAAATGTATATTTGTGAATGTTGAGATGTTATATTGGTTTCACTGGTAATAATAAATAATTGAAATGGGTATATATTTGTTTTTGTTAAGTTGCCTAATAATTATGCACAGTAATAGTCACCTGCACACACAGATATCCCCCTAACATAGCTAAAACTAAAAACAAACTAAAACTACTTCCAAAAATATTCAGCTTTGATATTAATGAGTTTTTTGGGTTCATTGAGAACATGGTTGTTGTTCAATAATAAAATTAATCCTCAAAAATACAACTTGCCTAATAATTCTGCACTCCCTGTAGTCTCTAAAAGATTATATAATGTTACAATATATAAAGTATACATCTCTGTAATACATTATTCATATTTCTATAAACAAGCCATATAAACAGTATATCCAAATACTAAATGTTTTTAATATGCCAGCAAATTCTGACAACAAATTAAATTCCTATAATGAAACACAAATAAACTTGAAATATTGACACATATATCCATTTTATTTTTTTCCTGGAGCTATCCATAAAGTTAGTCCACTTCAGACGTCTTTCACCAAGATTTTTTAATTTGATAATATTTAAGAAGACATTATGACTCCTAAAATCCATATATATGTTCTTTAATAGTTTATGGTGAGAGGTTACATAATTCCCATTAAATTAAAACACAAGAAATACATTAACACAGGCATTTACATTAAAAAGATAAAAGAAAAAAAAGAAATAGATTAAAATAAAAAACATGTTATACAACCGAATGCATAGACTAATTATTTATAAAAAAAAACAGATCAAATCTATGTTGACATTCAGTCCCTGTGGTTCCTAATTTTACAAGAGTCACGTTTGTACACATACACATTGTGATTCTTACCAAATAGGAATTAAAGATGGCTGCCACCACAAACCAAGGAATATGCAGTGAAAATATGTTTTCTGTTGGTTACAGAATGTGACTTTGTATCTGCTGTTTTACAGGTAGTCGATATATGGTATTCTCATCTTAAAAAGTTAGTGGACGTGAAGATAAAAGCATCCTTGAGAACTGGTCCTGGGTGGTCTGATGACTTCGAACAAGAAAGTTTAGGTAACGAGCATGTAAAATATATCCAGAAAATGCACAATCAGGCTTCTTAAGACATTTGCAAACAATTCTATGTTTGCTGTTAAGCCATTTCTTACAGCAGTGCAATTGCAATATAATTAGCTAAAAATAGCATAGCAGGGACAAGTAAAAACAGGAAGAAAACTCCATTTTGAGAGTGCAGATAGTATGGTTCCACACCTACCAGAACAAAGAACACACAACCAAAAAAATGGGCAACATTTCGACACTTTGGGTGTCTTATTCAGTTATGAGGTGTGAAGAACATCTTGCAACAATTTGTTAATCTGCAGGTACGGTGTGCCACCAGCCCACATTTACATTTGGTGCATTCGTGACGTTTTAAACAGGAACTGGATTTTTAATATTCTGTTTATAACAAGCATGAATTTGTGAGGTGTTAAAAATGAAATAAAATGTTGGAATCTACACCTGGTTGTCTCCATCTTAAAGGGACAGTTTAGGCTGCTTAAGGCACCATAACAACTTCATCTAAATGAATTGTTATGGTGCCAGCATGCCCCCCGGGAGCACTCTCACCTTTTAAGGATCAAACCATTCTCAAACGGTTTAACCCCAAAGTTGCCTCCAACATTAATCTCCATTCCACCCCACGGGTAGCATCCAGCTTCTACATTTTCAGTTTGAGAAATCGCGGAGAGCTGTTGATTGGCTGGGAGCAGTCAGCCAATCAGTGACTCCCCTTTCACAAAACTGTCTTGAAAATGTACAATCTGTCTGTTTCTCCTCTTCATCTACAGCATTTGTCCTGGCTTTGCCTTGTCAGAACTGGATTATGAAGTCATTTGCTAAATCTTTAATATAAATTTAATAGAAAACAGAGCAAACGTTATAAGTGATTTCAATGCTGTAAATTCCAGAAAAGTAACAGTACCCATTTATAGATAGCCTTTGATCCAAAAAGCCTAGTTTTGATTGCTAGTTCCATATATAAAAGAACAATCAGTTACTCTCTTATTATTTTATAATTTGCCACAGATGAAAACGAAGAAGCAGAAGCACTTCAGATACTCCGTGCTATATGCGATATTAGGGAGCAAGCTCCCAAGAAAGATGGCACAAAGATGGTGAAGATTCTGCATGCCCTCACTATGCTGTACTTCCTGTCCATGGATTTCCAGAAGGTAAGCAAGCCCAAGAGATTCGATATCTAGTCACTATGCTGTACTTCCTGTCCATGGATTTCCAGAAGGTAAGCAAGCCAAGAGATTCGATATCTAGTCACTATGCTGTACTTCCTGTCCATGGATTTCCAGAAGGAAAGCAAGTCCATGAGATTCCATATCTAGTCACTATACTGTACTTCCTGTCCATGGATTTCCAGAAGGTAAGCAAGTCCATGAGATTCCATATCCAGTGGCGTACACATGACCCATGGGGCCCCGGTGCAAAAACTGATCCGGCTATGTTTCACTGAGGGTTAATCCAGCCTCTAGTGGCTGTCTCATTGACAGCTGCTAGAGGAGCTTCCGCGATTCTCACTGTGAAAATCACAGTGAGAAGACACTGAACGTCCATAGGAAAGCATTGAGTAATGCTTTCCTATGGGCGATTTAAATGCGCGCGCGCCTCTTGCAGCGCATGTGCATTTCGGAGCTGAGAGGACGCAGGGAGTCCGGCGCTGGAGAAAGGTAAATGCTGAAGACACACACACACACACTCTCACGAACAGACGCATACACACTAGCTAACAGACACACACATTTACTGACAGAGACACACTCAGCGACAGACATACATACACACTCACTTACAAAACATACACTTTCACTGACTGAGTGCTCCCTCGCGCACCGGCCGCCCAGACAGCCTGCCCGCCTGGGTCAGCAGGGCCAGCCTCGGGGGGCCCTGAGGTGGCCGGCTCTTGGGCCCCCCAGGGGAAGAGGCTGGCCCTGTGGTTTCATACCGGGTCGCAGGGGCGTCTGTCCATATCTAGTCACTATGCTGTACTTCCTGTCCATGGACTGTCCATATCTAGTCACTATGCTGTACTTCCTGTCCATGGATTTCCAGAAGGTAAGCAAGTCCATGAGATTCCATATCTAGTCACTGTGCTGTATTTTCTATCCATGGATTTCCAGAAGGTCAGCAAGTCCATGAGATCCCATATCTAGTCACTATGCTCTACAACAATACCACCACAGATGATGCAATAGGGTATGAACCCCTTTAACCTGAGTGTTAAATAAAGGTCAATAGAAAAGTTATTGCCTTGTCATTGTCGGGTTTTAAAAATAACTGGGACTCAAAAGGCCTTTTGATTTTTTTTATTTAAAAATTATTTATTAGTCTAAAAAAAATAATAATAAAATAGATATATATTTCTTATTTTGGATGCATTTCATATATTTCTAATACATAATGAGACCATTTTCCTCTAAATCGGCTGTCCAATTTGTCTTTTTTCCATACTCTTAAATAATCACAGAATTCTTTTTTTTAAATCTCAATATTACTTGCCATCCGTGCTCTCAACGCCACAAATTTGTAGAGATTTCTTCTTAAAAAGCATTACTACACACACTTGTTGTTTTTCACGTTTTTACTGAACCTTATTTTGTGGTTGCAACATAGCATAAAAATACTAAATGTGTCAAAAAACATTAAAGTTTCAAGCCTTTGAGGACTAGAGATAAAAAGGCAGAAGGGACAGAGGAAGAAACTAAAATATTTAGCTCCGCTAGACATAATGCCCTTTTTGCTAAGTTATCATGGAGAATGGTAGGGCCAACATGCCCTTCCAAAATATACTGAAAATCATATTATTATTATTATTATTATTATGTTATTATTTATATAGCGCCATCAAATTCTGCAGCGCTTTACAGTGGGTGGACGAACAGACAAACAGACATGTAGTTGTAACCAGACAAGTTGACCACACAGGAACAGAGGGGTTGAGGACCCTGCTCAATGAGCTTACATGCTAGAGGGAGTGGGGTAAAGTGACACAAAAGGTAAGGATAGTATTAGACTAATGACAGTTGAGAGCTATTAACATTTTAATTGATACGCTTTTATGAAGAAGTAGGTTTTTAATGATTTTTTTGAAGGAGTGGAGACTGGGTGAGCATCTAACGGAGGAGGGAAGTGAGTTCCACAGGAACGGTGCAGCCCTCGAGAAGTCTTGAAGGCGAGCATCAGAGGTGGGAGTACGGACAGAAGATAGATGTAACTCTTTAGCAAAGCGTAAGGGCCTAGACGGGACATACTTGTGTATTAGTGAGGATAGATCGGTGGGAGCAGCATTATGTAGAGACTTGAAAGCAAGAACCAGAATTTTAAATTCAGCCCTATATCTTACAGAAGGTCAGTGTAGGGACTGACAGAAAGGTGAGGCGTGGGAGGTGCGGGCGGACAGGAAGATGAGCCTCGCCGTCGCATTCATTATGGAATGTAACGGTGCAAGTTGTAGGTACAGTTTGTAGAGTTCAAACATTACAATTTTAGGTTTTAAACTATTTCTTTAGATAACAACTAAAATAATCCACATCAAGTGCCAGATATAACATTGAAAATACAAAAATAACCATCAGTGAGTTGACCTATGATGGTTAGAGGGCAGCTTGCATATGGATGTTGGTCTTTTGGGCATTGTGACACACTGTGAGTTGGCACTTAGCTGGTGAATTACATTGTAAACTAGGGTGACAAAAAAGACTGAAGTCCATCAAGTTAAACATTTAACATGTCTGAACACAGCATTGTTACGAGTAAATCAGCTGCCACAGATAATCTATGGAAGAACTGTCACAAATTATTGAACTAAAGATGTTTAGATCCCAGAGGCAACATCAATCATCAAATATGGCTTCTGCCAACATACAAACATTAAATATCCACTTCTGTAAAGCAATTGCTGTAACATACAATGTGTATGGCAATAAATGAATTCACTTATTTATTATCGTAATCTTTTCCATATCAAATGCTTGTCCTCCACCTGATAGCCTCATCACCGGGCCCTTTGCTTTGCACTAGATGTATAAGTTCTCCCCATGGTTTGTGGAATGACAAATAATTTCCACTTGGTAACATGTGTTATTGAATGGGTTACTGTAATCAGACAGCTTAGTTTGACTCTTTCTGGCTATTCTCTTTTTGACATGCTTGTCACTTACTAAATTTTCCGGTGCACTCCACCCTTTTTTCTACACGTACTGAATTTACCCTGTACAACTGAATAGGAGCCGGCAGTTTGCAATGTGAGTTTGTCACGTCACGCAGATCTTATATGTGATCTAAAAACACTAATTTAGCAAAAACAAACTCTCTGTTAAAAGGCACTTACCACTATTTAGATAGTAGATCATTTGCCACCATATAATGTAAGTAGCACAGTAGTAAGTAGCATGCCATACTCACAATAAAAATGCATGTTATAATGCAGTAGAGGCAGCAATATCCACAAACTGGATAAGATGACAGAAGATTACAAAACATGTTTAAATTTTTTTTATATTTTGATATTTTTTTTATATGATATATTTTATTATTTAAAAATATATATATTGAGCGGCGAATGAGAGCGGTCGCCTGAGCACGGAGCTCTCCCGCCGACGGGTGCAACAGCGTGGAAATACAGCGTTTCAACACCGGCAACCGAGCCCAAAACGAGGGTACGCCTTCATAACAGCATGTCCACTAAAATCGCCAAAAAATTCAAGCAGAAAACGCTCCAGTTACAAGTGGCAGCGTCGCCGAAAAGTGCAACAGAAGAACAAAATGGCGCCGGCCGACCTCAATCCCCAGCCGCGTGTACAACAGTGGGTGAGCTTACTCACACTACAGACAGCATGCAAACTCCGGTCACCAATGCCTCCCTGCATAACATGCTTTCAGGCTTTCAAAACACCTTTAAAACAGATTTACAGCAAGTTGCTGCAGAAATCAGGGCAGACATCCAAACAATGGGTGAAAGAACAGCTCGCCTGGAGGAACAGGCAGAGGAAATAATTGACGCACATAATGGTCTATCTGAAGCCCACACAGCACTATGTGAGAAAGTTCAACGCCTAGAAGCTAAAATTGCAGACCACGAAGATAGAGACCGACGTAATAACATACGGATCCGGGGAATACCAGAGTCTATCAGCCCCCAGGAGCTGACCCAATATGTGCAAGATCTCTTTAAAGCATATGTCCCTACTCTGATGGACAGCGAATTACTTTTGGACAGAACACACCGTCTCCCCAAACCTAAGCACCTACCAACAACAACACCGAGAGATGTTATTACGCGCATACATTATTTTACCACGAAAGAGCGCATTATGCAAGCATCCAGACGCCAGGCCCAACCTCCAGGTCAATTCTCCCAAGTTAAACTATTTATTGATTTATCCTCTGCAACCATGATCAAAAGGCGCTCCTTTGCGCATATCACAGCGGCCCTAAGGGCAGCGGAGGTGCAATATAAATGGGGCTTCCCGACTAAATTGCTGGTCAAACGTAATGGCATAGAATACCCGATCCTCGATCCGGAATTGGGCAAGAAACAGCTGCAAGAATGGAACATTCCTCTACCCGAGGTCCACCTCCAATCCACAGAAAGCGGATCTGCAATCAAACTACACAACGAGTGGCAGAAAAGACCACGCTCCACGGGCACACACAGTTACAACAAGAAGATCCAGGACACCTAACTGCCCGTGGACTGTACTACATGTATAAAGGACAGGTCGTATGCATAAAATGCACTCACACCTACCCCTCCTTTAGTTTACCATGCCGGACTCATAGCTTACTCGCACCTGTCGAGAGCTAACCTAAGACATTTAGCAACCGTTTTACCTTTGTTGCTTTTAAAACCGGTATACAGAATTCTTTACCCACCCCCAAGTGGCTGCAATTCAGAGCCACTAGAGAATCCGTTACACTCGACACTGCACTACCGGGGCGCAGTGAACGGAATAATGTATATAGTTGACTTACGGTCCAATTGTTCTATTGCTTTTTTTTCCTTTTCCATATTATTTTCTTTAAAAATCAGACCCACGGATAATAAGTCCCATACCACTACCACCAGCTGGCACCATCCTAATGGTTATGCTACCAGAATGAAGCCACAACCAAACCCACCACCTAGATGGCACTCAAAATATGCTCCCTGAATGCCAAGGGGTTAAACTCCCCTCATAAACGCCGCTTAGCCTTACGCGAAGCCAAATCACTAGGTGCCCACGTAATGCTATACCAAGAAACACATTTCTTGTGGAGTAAACGACCGAAATTTAATTCCCCGTAGTATCCTATAGATTTCCACTCCTGCTACTCCGCAAAAAAGAGAGGAGTATCTATCCTCATCAGTAAAGAGGTAGCCTTCTCCTTAATACGCAAAATCGGGGATAAACAGGGACGCTATCTTATACTACAATGCTCTTTGAATAATAATGTATACACTATAATTAATGTTTATGGTCCTAATGTTAACCAAGGTGATTTTGTTGATGCTTTGATGGGATTGATGTCTGCTCACTCGCTAGGGGATGTAATAATTGGGGGTGACACGAACTTCTTGTTAGATAGCGACTTAGACTCTTCGGGAGGCCCGAACCTGACCGCACAAACACTAAAGAGCAGATCCAAACTGACCACGGCAATACGCAACAAACTAAATGCACACAACCTCGTAGATCCGTGGCGAATTACTCATCCCACGGAAAGGGACTATACATGTCACACCGCAGCTCACAATAGCTACTCAAGAATTGATAGATTCCTATTACACTCTACTTCCCTTATGAAAGTTGAACGTACTGATATAGGATTAATCACTTGGTCCGATCATGCCCCTATTACGTTACATTTCAGAGAACAATTCCCAAACTCAGGAAGGACCAACTGGAGACTAAATGAACGACTACTAACAGACCCTGACATAGTTAAACAAATAGAACGAGATCTACAGTTTTATTTTAAAGAGAACAAAACCCCGGACTCTCCTCTCCCCCAAATCTGGCTGGCACACAAGGCCTTCATAAGAGGCTGTTTGATAAAGCATGCTAGCTTTGCAAAAAAAAAGAGGCTCGAAGCATACACGGCCATACTTTCCGAATTAACCGTTCTAACCCACGCGAACAAGCACTCCCCCACGGCAACCATTCACACTAAATTATTATCATTACAATCACAACTACGGGATCTAGAATTGGAAAAAACGACTTTCCTCACACATAGGTACAAGCATGGCTTTTTTGCAGCTGGCAATAAAGCTGGAGCCAAGCTGGCCGCCCAATTAAAACAGAGGGCTGCTAGCTCCAAGATCGCATCCATCAAAAATTCCAAAGGCGCCACCATCCTAGACCCACAAGGAATAGTAGACGAATTCGCACACTATTATGAAAAACTTTACAATCTGAAAGATGACCAACAGTCCATTTGCCCCTCCAAAGCAGACATTGAAACCTTCCTATTGGGAATGGACCTTCCAACTCTATCTACTGCAGACGCAGAACAGCTTGATAAGCCTTTCACATTAGAGGAGATCACTTCAGTGGTCTCTACACTTCCACCACACAAATCCCCAGGTCCTGATGGCCTATCTAATATATATTACCGTACTTTCCTACCAACGCTAATTCAGCCTCTACAGGCAATATTCAATCATTGCAAGAGGGAAGGAGCATTGCCAGAAGAAGTTACAATGGCACACGTATCCACACTCCCTAAGCCAGGCAAAAGCAAAGACCATTGTAAAAACTTCAGGCCCATTTCACTGCTTAATAGTGATGCCAAAATATATGCAAAACTGTTCAGCGAAAGGCTAGCACCGCTCCTACAAAAATTAGTTCACAATGACCAGTCGGGATTCGTGAAGGGTAGACAGGGCTCCGACAACTCGAGGAAAGTACTAAATATCATAGCGGGGATGGAGAAGGGGCGCCTCGAAGGTCTTTTCCTAGCGCTAGACGCTGAAAAGGCCTTCGATAGGCTAAACTGGCAGTACATGACAGAGGTTCTGCGCAAATACCAATTCCCCGAAGGGGCTATAAGAGGGATAATGGCGCTCTACGCGAAACCCAGCGCTAGAGTCTCTCATGGAGGCTTCCTGTCGCGAATCTTTCACATTACAAATGGGACACGCCAGGGATGCCCATTGTCCCCCCTACTATACATCCTTTCCCTAGAACCATTAGCTTGGAAGATAAGACAACACCAATCCATATCCGGCATCAAACTGAGAGACAGGGAATACTGTCTGGCGATGTTCGCGGACGACATCTTTGTCTCTCTATCACACCCTGAAAAATCACTACCCCAACTGCTGACATTACTGACCGACTACGGTACAGTTTCTTACTACCGCCTCAACAAAGAAAAAACACAAGCCTTACCGATCAATTTGCCAGGCCCGACCGTGACTGCACTTAAAAACTCCTTTGACCTAGATTAGAGAACGACATCCATAACATACCTAGGAGTTAAGATCGCCACCCCAATTAGCAACATCATAAAACTCAATTACAAACCCCTCATACATATGTGTATTACAGAATTACACAAATGGAAGAACGCAAAAATGTCATGGCTAGGCCGTGTAAATGCTTATAAGATGATGCTCCTACTGAAGTTACTGTATATATTCCGCATGCTCACAATAGAGGCCCCAACTGTAATTTTTAAAGTACTGCAAGCCACATGTAGCTCCTTCATTTGGGGAGGCAAAAGACCCAGGCTACCCCTGGGCCTTTTACAGCAGACGACAAAGATGGGAGGAATAGGACTACCTAACATTGGACTTTATTACAAAGCCTCTCTACTTGCAACGAACACGAACATACACCTACACGCCCAACGAGGAACAACACAGTGGGTAGATATGGAACAAGACCAGCTCCAGCACACATCCCTAACTAATTACATGTGGACACCACACTCTCTAAGAGGCCCTAAAGTAGAGCTATACCCCACCACGAGTGCATCACTCAGAGTATGGGATAACTACATGTCCTCCCTAGGCTGGAAGAAGCTCTTCCATCCAGAAGCTCCCTTAACCGCACTGCAAGCGGTGAACCCCACGATCCCACTAGCTAGATGGACGCGTTTGGGCATATCCCAAATTCATAAAATGTGTAAAGGTCAACAAGTCATGGACTTCCCCGATATTCAAGCCAAATGGGGAATCCCAGAAAAGGATATCTTCCCCTACTTACAGCTAAAACACACTATTACAGCCCACGTTCAGACTGCATCACCCACTATACCTGCCACTAAGATTGCAGCCAGATTAATACCTCACAGATGCTGGACTGCCCCAATGAAACCCAAAGCCCTCTCACTTTGCTATAAGGCATTACTAGAATTAGCCCCACAGAAACCACTGACATGCAAACAACATTGGGAATCAGAGAGGGGAACCGCATTAACAGAGGAGGAGTGGCTTATTGCCCTAAATGGGATTAAAAAATGGACCAAGTGCTATTCACATATTGAAGCGCACCGCAAATTGCTTTATAGGTGGTATATGACCCCCGATAGATTACACAAAATATACCCAGATGTCTCACCCAAATGTTGGAGATGCGAGGTAGAGGAAGGGACTCTGCCACACGTATGGTGGAATTGTGGGGGGATACAACCGCTTTGGGGGGATGTTCAGACTCTACTTAAAGAACTCGCAATTCCCAACTTCCCCATGGACATCACGTCCTGCTTGCTATTGCGATTCCCCGAAAACACACACCAGATCCACATCCAACTAGTAGGAATAATCCTCATGGCTGCCAGACACCTAATTGCCTTAAATTGGAAATCACACAGGTGCCCGAATAAACAACAACTAATAGACAAAGTCCAACAATTCTATATATATGAGAAAATGTCCACTGAGACCGCTAAGGCCACAGATAGACTTAGAGATGTATGGGAAGTTTGGAATAAGTGGTACAGGGGAGGGAAGGGGAACTAAAGAAGGATTGGTGCACGATAGAGACTTTCATACCCTGACATGAAACGACATAGGTAACAGCGTTCAATAGGAATTTCCGTGGTTGTCGGAAACTTTGTTTGTGTAAATACATTTGTTGAGTTAATATTGCATGAGACCACATATCATACTGAAGGAAGAATAGACCACCAAGTGAAATGAGAGTGAAATGTTAACGTGTGCATTTAAACAGATGCAAACAGTGTGTTACTTTACGTTACTTTACTAACTACTGTTAAAACCAAACCTCTTGTCTTTTGCATACTCAGTTATGTGTGTTATGTGAATCAACTATGTACTGGATTCATAACCTTGAAAACCTTCAATAAAAACTAAATATAAAAAAAAAAAAAAAAAATATATATATATTATAAAAGCTTTTCCAACAATATTAAATCGAGGCGTCGATTTAAATTTTTTTTTTTTGTATAAGCTTTTCAAATTAATATTTTTGGATAAACTTTTAAAATCATTTACTATTTTGAAATTTTTTTTATTTTGATATATTTTTTTATATATTTTTAACGTATTGATATATGTGTTATGTATGATATATTTTGGATATTTCAATATTTTTTAAAAATTATTTTAAAAGTTTATATTGCTATCTATGTGTGCAGCCGTGGGCCCCTGGCTCCCTGTTACTGCAGAGGGGGCCCAGCACACTGCTTCTACTCTTTTCTTCTCCTCTCTTCTAATAACTCTCGCGAGACCCGCGGCTTTCTGAGCATTGCCATGGCAACACACACTCTGCATACACTACCCTGAGACATACTCTGCATACACTAGTACAACACACACTCTGCATTCACTACACACTAACATACACTCTGCATTCACTACACTGACACACACTCTACATTCACTACACATTAACACACACTCTGCATTAACTGTACACACAGCATCCACTACACAAACATCCTGTATTCACAGTACACACACTACATCCACCACAAATTGAAACACTCTGCATTCACTATACACAGACACTGCGTCTAATACACACACTACATCCACTACAGACACTGCATCCACTAAACACATTTCATCTAGTACACACAAACACTACATCCACTACACAAACACACACTACATCACTGTACACACACTACATCCACTACTCAAACACACTCTGCGTTCACTATACACACTGCATCTGCTACACAAACACACACTCTGCATTCACTGCACAAACAGTATATAATACACACAAACACTACACCCATTACACACATTCTAATTCACTTCCACTATTCACACCACATTCAGTCCTGCATCATTGTCAGCGAACTAGGTAGGTGTGGGCGGGCCCAGGAGAGGAGGGGGGCCCAGACCTTGTGCTTTGTCAGGGGCCCCAAAATTTCTGATGGCAGCCCTGAATATATTACACCCAAAAAGGCACTTAAGTGTCCACAACACTTAGATACAGTTGCAAGAAAAAGTATGTGAACCCTTTGGAATGATATGGATTTCTGCACAAATTGGTCATAAAATGTGATCTGATCATCATCTAAGTCACAACAATAGGCAATCACAGTCTGCTTAAACCAATAACACACAAAGAATGAAATGTTGCCATGTTTTTATTGAACACACCATGTAAACATTCACAGTGCAGGAAAAAGCATGTGAACCCCTAGACTAATGACATCTCCAAGAGCTAATTGGAGTGAGATGTCAGCCAACTGGAGTCCAATCAGTGAGATGAGATTGGAGGTGTTGGTTACAGCTGCCCTGCCCTATAAAAAACACACACCAGTTCTGGGTTTGCTTTTCATAAGAAGCTTTGCCTGATGTGAATGATGCCTCGCACAAAAGAGCTGGAAAAGGTTATAAAAGTATCTCCAAAAGCCTTGCTGTTCATCAGTCCACGGTAAGACAAATTGTCTATAAATGGAGAAAGTTCAGCACTGCTGCTACTCTCCCTAGGATTGGCCGTCCTGTAAAGATGACTGCAAGAGCACAGCGCAGACTGCTCAATGAGGTGAAGAAGAATCCTAGAGTGTCAGCTAAAGACTTACAAAAGTCACTGGCAAATGCTAACATCCCTGTTAGCGAATCTACAATACGTAAAACACTAAACAAGAATGGATTTCATGGGAGGATATCACAGAGGAAGCCACTGCTGTCCAAACAAAACATTGCTGCACGTTTACAGTTTGCACAAGAGCACCTGGATGTTCCACAGCAGTACTGGCAAAATATTCTGTGGACAGATGAAACCAAGGTTGAGTTGTTTGGAAGAAACACACAACACTATATGTGGCGAAAAAAAGGCACAGCACACCAACATCAAAACCTCATCCCAACTGTGAAGTATGGTGGTGGGGGCATTATGGTTTGGGGCTGCTTTGCTGCATCAGGGCCTGGACGGATTGCTATCATCGAAGGAAAAATGAATTCCCAAGTTTATCAAGACATTTTGCAGGAGAACTTAAGGCCATCTGTCTACCAGCTGAAGCTCAACAGAAGATGGGTGTTGCAACAGGACAATGACCAACAGCAGAATGACTTAAACAGAAGAAAATACTGTCACGGTTCTCACCTGATAGACAGACGGCAAGACGTGGTCGCTCTTGGAGTTCCCAACAGGGGACTTGAACCGGGGATCTTCTCAGTCCTGGTCCTGCTTTCTACCTCTGAGCCACAGCAGCTATTTACAGTGAAGATTGATTCCAATCCTGTTCATCCTGACATGGCTACTACTCTGGGGGCTGCACCTTGACTTGGCTGTGTTTCACCTGACTCTGATCAGTCATCAGCAGGGTATTTAAACCCAGCCTCGCCCTGTGCTCAGTGTCAAGTCTTTGATCCTGTTTGTTCCAGTGTTCCTGTTTCATCGCTTCGCATTATTGACCCCGGCTTCCTGACTCGTTTATTCTGACTTCTGGCATCCCTTGACTTCGACTACTCCTCGTTGTTCCTGTCCTCTGGCATCCTTTGACCTCGGCTATCCCTCGACCATCCTGCTAGTTCAGTCCTTGCCTGTCCTGCGTATTGGTACTGCATCCTGCACAGCCCCCGTGCACAGACCCACAGGCCAGGTGAATTCTTACCTGACCACCTCGGCCTGTGGCTATCTGCAAGGGTGAGCATCATATCTGCGCTACAGACTCCCAACTCAGGTAAGACCCAGACATAAGACTTGACCATTATGGAGTCCGCAGAGATGTGCTCACCCTCGACCCAGCGTGTGTCCAGCCTGGCCCAGACGGTTTCGGAGCTGCAGCAAGAAATTTTATTCCTTAAAGGCGCAGTACATCCAGCCCCGGAACCAGCTTTTCCTGAACCGTTTGTCATCATGCCCGACCGATTTGATGGTAGCCGCACATCCTTTCAGTCTTTCAAGATGGATTGTGAGGTGTTGTTTTCTTTAAAGCCTCGAACATATGCCACAGAATTCATCAGGGTCAGAGCGGCTATCAACCTGTTGTCTGGACGCATCAAAGTTTGGGCTCACCAAATGTTGCAGACGAAGAGTCCTGTCCTGGTCAGCTGGGAATCCTTTAGTACTGCTATGGACTCACAATGTAAGACCACTGTGGCCAAGTCAGCTCCACGTACTAAAAAATCTCAGACTCTTCCTAACCAAGAAACCGAGTACCACCACTACGCCCCAGAAATGCCTCCTTATGTTCCAGCTCCCAGGAAAACTCCAGAGGTATCCGGTGTTCCACTTGACCCTGTGGAACCTATGCAATTAGGACTCGTCCACTGCAAAGTGACACCTAAGGAAAAAGACCGAAGGAGAAGCTATGGCCTATGTTATTACTGTGGAGAAAAAGGGCATTTCATCACGCTTTGTCCTGTTCGCCCTCCTAGACCTCCAGCTCTCCGACTTGGTACTAGTTTCCTTCGCCCTGTGTACACCGCATACCAGCCTAAAAAGCCAAATAGAAGCCGTTGTGCTTGCACATGCTTGGCTTCCGCGAGAAAACCTCCATCCTCTGCTCCAGAGCCTCCTGCATCTACTCCCGAAGTTGCTTCCTGTGATACCACCACTACTTCCTGCCCGCCCGAAGAGGTTTTACCTGTGGATTGTGCCGTTGCTTCTAATGGCACTATAGTCCGTAAAGTAGACCTTGAAATGTTCGAAAAAGCATTGTTAGCTGCGAACACTGCTCCTGCCAAAGTTTTGGAAGTGCTTGCCACCTGTACCCGGAACCTAAAAAGACCTGGACAATTCTCCAGCCGTACCAGAAGCCGGTACTGTGGACTCCCAAGCTGTAAAGGGAATCCTTGCTGGGGAGTTTGACTATGGGGACTCACTGGATTCAGATAGTGACCCTGGAGAGGTGTACTATGCTGACAATGAACCCATTCACGCCCGGAGGTCGTTTTTAAAGGGGGGGGTACTGTCACGGTTCTCACCTGATAGACAGACGGCAAGACGTGGTCGCTCTTGGAGTTCCCAACAGGGGACTTGAACCGGGGATCTTCTCAGTCCTGGTCCTGCTTTCTACCTCTGAGCCACAGCAGCTATTTACAGTGAAGACTGATTCCAGTCCTGTTCATCCTGACATGGCTACTACTCTGGGGGCTGCACCTTGACTTGGCTGTGTTTCACCTGACTCTGATCAGTCATCAGCAGGGTATTTAAACCCAGCCTCGCCCTGTGCTCAGTGTCAAGTCTTTGATCCTGTTTGTTCCAGTGTTCCTGTTTCATCGCTTTGCATTATTGACCCCGGCTTCCTGACTCGTTTATTCTGACTTCTGGCATCCCTTGACTTCGGCTACTCCTCGTTGTTCCTGTCCTCTGGCATCCTTTGACCTCGGCTATCCCTCGACCATCCTGCTGGTTCAGTCCTTGCCTGTCCTGCGTATTGGTACTGCATCCTGCACAGCCCCCGTGCACAGACCCACAGGCCAGGTGAATTCTTACCTGACCACCTCGGCCTGTGGCTATCTGCAAGGGTGAGCATCATATCTGCGCTACAGACTCCCAACTCAGGTAAGACCCTGACAAATACGCCTTCTGAAGTGGCCCAGTCAGAGTCCTGACCTCAACCCGATTTGAGATGCTGTGGCATGACCTCAAGAAAGCGATTCACACCAGACATCCCAAGAATATTTCTGAACTGAAACAGTTCGGTAAAGAGGAATGGTCAAGAATTACTCCTGACCGTTGTGCACGTCTGATCTGCAACTACAGGAAACGTTTGGTTGAAGTTATTACTGCCAAAGGAGGTTCAACCAGTTATTAAATCCAAGGGTTCACATACTTTTTCCACCTGCACTGTGAATGTTTACATGGTGTGTTCAATAAAAACATGGCAACATTTCATTCTTTGTGTGTTATTAGTTTAAGCAGACTGTGATTGTCTATTGTTGTGACTTAGATGATGATCAGATCACATTTTATTACCAATTTGTGCAGAAATCCATATCATTCCAAAGGGTTCACATACTTTTTCTTGCAACTGTAAATCTCCCCATGTTTCTAAGCAAATGGCAGGTTTTCTTAAGAGGCTCACGGTTTCACAAGATATTGCCTTCTTTAAAGCAGGTGAGGTCAACAGTTAGACATTCCTAAAACTACAGATTCTTTGCTGCTTTTCCATCTTAAAGTAAAATAAACATGATCGTCACTGCTCTGTATCAGCTGGGTGGGTGCTTGTTGGTCATCTTATTTCTAAATTATTTAGCTGTGTATCTCTTAACTTGTCACAATAAAACCACCTATCTGTATTGCAGGCACATGAATTGGGCAAGAAACTGCTCCATACAATTGAACAAATCCCAGATGAAGAAGCATTGGAAGATGTTTCACCATTAATAAAATTAATAGAATCTAAACTTGCCTCTAAATAAATGTTTTTCAATGGTATATGCTAAATGTGTTTGTAATGTAAAGTGTTTTTCCTGCAATGTAAAACCATACTTTTTTATGAACGTATTTTTAAATATAATAAATTAACCACACAGCAAATTCTTGTAAAACAAAGATAAATCGGAGTAGCCGAAACATTCAATCTGGAAAGCATATAATGGATTTATGTATTATTTAAACACTTTTGAAAATAAATAAAACATCCATATATATAATTTTAATAAGCACTTATCTATCAATAACATACAAAGAATGAAATGTTGCCATGTATAGTAGGTTCCAGCTGTCCATGAATTGACTATCATACCTAGGTAGGTACTTTGATTTTGAAATTCATCAAAACATGGTTAAGAGAGGATACCCCTAATACTGTGTCTGCTTGAATTCTATAAGCCCCTTCCACTGTTCGATAACCAAGACTCATAGAGGCCTTAGTAGAACCTTTTTATTTGAAGCATAATCAAGACTAGCGGTTTCCAACCAAGTTCTCAAAGCACACCAGAAGTCCCTGTTTTGTCACTATCTTCATTTGAACAGCATGCTTCAATCCAGTGATTCGACGATTGGGTTGGAAACAATTGATCTAAACCATGATGAGTAGGCAACCTTTGGCACTTGAGTTGTTTTGGACTACATTCTCCCAATTTTGCCAGCATTATGGCTGCAAGATCATTATGGTAGATGTATTCCACAACATCTGGAGTGCCGAATATTGCCTACTAGACCTAGACCTAGACCCACTAGATATCTTTCATTCTATTTTCTTAACCGCCTTGGCAACATTTTTTCTACCCAATTAGGCATAAACTTGGAGAGCTTTCAGTTCTGTTGAACTCAGCAAACAGTACATAAACTAAATGGATCAAACCAAATTCTTCTTTGTGGTGTTGAAAATTGCCTTCCTTTGACCTCATCTGGAAAGTAGGCCATTCAGTGTTGCCATAGGGACCATTTTAGGACCATTTAGTGGCAATGGCATAAAACAAATCATGCCCCAAAATGTAATCACTTATTTTTATAATCCACTCATTAGTTATGATAAAACAATCACATTCAAATGTGTGAACAGCACAGCAATTTGGATTTTTAAATAATAATGACTAAAATAAATTAATAATTACGGAACTAAAATGTGTAGGGTTGCAGCTGAGCTTGGATAAATTCAAATATCCCAAGGTAGAAATACAAAAAATCACTTATCCATTTTTATGTGATGAGATTACTTTAAAAGTGCTGTATAAACCAGGGCAAAGTGATTTTAAGAGCCTGGCCGTTTTTAAAGTATCATTAGATTCCTGCTATTGCATGATTAATGTTTAATGTGCTCCCATTGCATGTTTGTTAGTCTACTTGCAGATGTGATCTTCTATAATTTTTTTCAAAGAGAACTCCTCCAAATACCAAAAACAATGAAAAATAGGAAAATAGTGTTTAAAATGTTTTCTTTTTTAAGAAAATGTCTAAAATAATTTGTATCCTGGGAATTTGAAGTCTTGTGACAATGTCCGCTGTACCAGCAAAATGAGCATGCTGAATATCTGATATAATGGAGCGTTTTAAATTACTGCATGTAATCAGTTCAATGAATACCCTGTTTGTAAACAGAGCCTGATGATTATATGATTGTTCTTATTTTGAGACTAGTTACAAAATCACAATATTCGCAGACTCCATTACAATTTCTATAGATTTATATAAGTAGTGATTACTTCACCCTTAAGTCCAAGCCATCTGCTCAGGGTTTGGTTTTCTGGACTCTCAACCATTCTATCCACTGGCATTATTAGCCAATTGTTGCACATCTACAGCTTATTTACTATGCTGTCAGCCACACAAGTGCCCCTGTTGAGCCTTAATTATTTTGTGTTGAGTGCGAATGCAGTAGGTGGCAACGGAGATATAAGATTATGAAGACTTCTATTACAATCCTAGATGTGTAGACTAGAAGGCCATAGAATTCTCTCACTAGGGTTAGAAGGTTTTCTTGGGTTGGACGGTTTGGTTAATTTAAGAAGTTATCAATGCATGTTCAGGCTGTGATATATACAGCTCATTACTCCTAGCCTAATCTATCAGTCGTGAAAATATTTCTTTATATTGATAGTTCTACGTTGTTGTTACTGAAAATGTGTCTTACTACATTTCCCATCTCCAACTCAAACTTTACTCGTCGGGGCTATTCTTTTTATCTTTTCTCCAAACATGCCTCCACTTGCTTCTATATAATTTCTAGACCTCAGGTGACTCAGGATTGGAGTGCAATTATTCCCCCCGAGAGAAATTAAATAATTAAATAAAATAAAAAATTCAAGATGAGATTAGTGGCAATAGATCTAGCGTAAGAATAAATAAAGTGGTTTCCCATGTTTAACCATTGTTCGTGTAGGTAAACACCTCTCCAGACTTTATATAAAGAATATAAAGCCCAAATTCCAGTAGATTGAACATCACATTTAAGGACATTTTTGGTGGGATCATTATTTGGGTTATTATTACACTTAAGAGCGTGGATCACAAATGTAAATATCACTATGAATAAAAAAAACAAAATGACACAACTTTGTACCTTGTACCAGCAAGTTTATTAAGAAAGTAAAATTTTGAACATATTTAATTAAAGCAAAACAGTCATTTGGTTTGCCAGTGTTATTGTGGATTAACATCATAATTAACCCAGTCAATGAGACAGATCAACACGTCTATCTCCTCCCCATTTCAAAAGTTTCATCTGAATTCAGTAACAGGCCTATATAATAAATAACAATATATGCTTTTTTTTTTTTTATTCTTTTTTTTTAGATTTATTTACATGTGTGAATGTGTTTATTAACATGGGAAATAAGTGAAGTTTAATACAGGCAATTCATACACATAGAATTATTTACTTTACACTATTACTACAGTTATTGATTAGTTTCTATATATCTACACACATTCGATTTTTCATGCTGTCTAAAACATAACGCTACATAGAATCGTAAGATTACATTTCAGGTGAAAAATAAGGCTTCAAATTCACCAGTGTGAAAACATACACGTGTATGTACATATATGCATACGTATTTATGTACACATATACATATATATATGTATTCAATTTCTTACGTATAAGACGTTCACAGTGTCTGTAACTAATAATTACATTTTGTTTAAAAAGCATTTTAAGAAAGTGTAACAGACAATTTATAGCAATGTTGCTTTAAGGTCATTCATTTGGAACATCATTTTTTTAACTCGATCAAAGCCAGATAGTTGTATAAAGTTGAATTTCTTAGGCAGTGAAAGAGTTAACATATGTTGTTTATACGACCTTCCCAAAGTGTATACCGTATTAGTCAGCAAGACCTTTAGGAACTTATTCAATATTCAGTGAGTTGTGGCAAGGGCACACTTAAGATTATGGCCTTTGATAGGGAAGATGAAGAATTCTTCAAATCAATTCACAAATATTCAAAGTCAATTTTTGTTGGGCATTGATCTGCTGGGGAGAGACTACTTGAAGAATTATTGATTTAATGATTGATTGATTGATTGATTTAACTTTGTGATAAGGAATTGGAATACCCCTTGCAGTGTACTTTTTCAGAGAGGTATGTTAGTGCAAGGTTGGTGGGCACATTGAGGCACTGTACTTTCTGGTTATGTGATGTGTGTCGGGCTACTGGGTACTCTAGGGAATTTGTGGGAAACATTTGTGCTTATAGAAACAGCTCACCAATCTTTTTGGCCAAATCCCTTTACTAAACCAGGCCCACTGTTATCAGCTAAGTTGGAGTGACTTTTTTTTTTAAATTTAAACTTTAGTTACTTAACTCTAAATGATACACCAATTGAGGAAGCCTAGTTGTAAGCGAAACGCGTTTTAGGCATTTATTTGGACACCATATTTTATTTTACCATATTGGGCATTTTATGTAAGTGTTTCATTCGTGTTGTTTTTTTATTGAATCCTAATTTTGGGGCTGAATTGCATTTGGGACCACTACCATCCTATATTGCAATACACAGTCCAGCAGAGGGATTAGGATTACCTACAACAATCCGATTGTGCCTTATATGTTTGTAAGTGTGATCATTCGAAATATATACACTTTCATTCATGGTACCTCTACACTATTGTGTTTTCCCTTTTTTTCTCTCCTTTTTTTGGAAATGACTCTACCTAGCCAAAGGAAAGTATTTTGGAAGCATATTTGTGTATAGCTCCACCTATTTTATGTTTATAGTTTACTTACTCTAAATGTTTGCAATACAGATATCATCTTCCCACAACTCACAGTTTAGTGAATAAATCCCACTGAATAATATAAAGACAATCGTAACACAGTGAAACCTTTTCTAAGAGTGCGATCATGCTACATGCACAGTTCAGTTACTAAGTTGCATAGCAAACTACAACTTTCTTTTTTAATAATTATTCAGAATAAGTGTAATCCTTCAAGGAATCAAAATGCATTTTTTAAATATGTTTACAGATAGCATCACAATAATGCTATTGAGCATACAGGTGATTTTTAACAATATCCACATAAAACCGTGAAAGGTGAATTGTATGACTTTAATATTAATAGTTCTGTTGACTATTGCACTAAATCAATACTTCTGTAAATAAACTATATGCAGCACTAGTTTTTGATGAAAGCCAGGACAGATTGTGCATCGCTGCGCAATGTGCTGATGAACCATCCGGCTCTGAAATGTTTAAATATATGACGATTTACACAGTAGTTATATTTATATCACATGACATTTATTTTTAAAATGTCTAAAGTAGATCATTACTTGAAAAGTTGGCTTTAGTAAATAGCAACGTGATGTATATAGCTTTAAATACTATCTGTTGGAAATTTCTTAGGACAGTCTGTCATTGTATCCCCTTAATCTGCCGAATGAGTGTTTATCCAAGGTGTCTTGTGATCTTAATCAGGTGTCCTATAAATTTAGGTCTCTGTAGTTGTTTAACATATTATATTTCTCTGTATAACAATCACGCAGTTTTCGGCTTTAAGTATTTAATTTTAGTACATAAGCATGTGGAGGTTCCATATGAACATAAATGATCATTAAAGCAATCCTAAGACTACTAACAGTCTTGAAAAGCTAACCTCGACACCTCGAGCTTATTACAAAAGACTTTTCCCGTGATTCACAGTTACCGTTTAGACTGGGAAGAATCAGGTGTTGGATATTACTTTACATAACTGGGAACTTGGTAGAGATAAAGTCCTCCTTTTTTTTAAGGGGAAAGAGGTGAGATTTAGTAGCATGGGGCCCACATGCTGATACATTCGGGGGGGGTTCTAGATGTATTTTTTAATACTCTCTCAATCTTCATGCATGTATGAGCACATGATGCTCTACAGAATAGAACAATGCAGGCTCTGATTCAGAGGTCTCCACATTGACCGGTGAAACAGTGCCCAAAAAAAAGCCCTATAATTACTCTCCTAAAATGAAACGCCGAAACGCGCGTCGAGTTTATTTTGATTTATTTAATTCACTTTTTGGTAGCACTTATGGATTAGTTTATTGATTTTTTTTAGCTACTAGGACAGGAAGGGATTTAGGTTTGGGTAGGCACCAGTGATTGTCTCACAGTGCCGAGGTAATTAGGGTCAGCTTACTATTTTTAGTAGCTATTTGCCTTGATACAGCATATAGCTCTGGGGTGCTTCTTTTTTCCCCCATAGAGGTCTTTTCAACCTCTTCTACCCCAGTCTGTTATCCCTTTACCTCTCTCTATCTGGGTGTTCTACCTGTGAGGTTTAGAATGTATGTATCTTAGACCTACAGATAGAGTATTTGTCAGTTAGTTTTCTTTTTGGAGCTGGCAATTGATCTCTGTGTCTGTTTTAGTGAAGTCTTATACTACATATTTCCTTTTACACCCACTTTTCTTTCCCTTATTATCTTTCCTGTCCTATTTCATTTTTAATTCTGTTTTTCCTTTAGGATTATTAAAGGTAGGGACCCCCTTCCCTTACATTACTCTCCTGTCTAGGACTTTTTTAGTCCCCATTTTCGTCTTTTCTGATGCTCTACAGAGTAATGAATAATGTTGCAAAATATTATGTTATATCCAACCATTTTATTAAACATTACCTAGAGAGCAAGATGTGCTCCCTTGAATCTGATCCTCTATGATGCGCAGAGAGGAGAGCACATTGGGACTTGGGAGTAATATAAAAAGGTGGGGAATAGGAAGGTTACATAGCGAATCTTCTCTCCATCACCATCTGAAAAATATGGTATTGTACCGGAGGCTTGGTAAAGAAAGACCTATTAAACGGAGAGCCTCCAGGTCCATTTTGTCACTATAACTTTTTAAAAAGCAGTTACTTCTCATGTGATTTTCCTATTTACATACATTGCTAAGCCAGTTATCCATGTAATACCTTATGCTGGAATAAAATGTTTTATGTTCTTGCATTACTGCAAATCATTTGAAGCTATACTTCAGTATATAGGTTTGGTTTTTTTTATTCCTAAATGTACATTTATATATTGGCAGCATTTTCCGTAGCCTGCATGCCAAGAATTCTCTATGTGACATACTAAGAATATATGACAGCTCAATGTCAATGTGTCACTGTGCATGTTTGAAAGCATGATAGCACGATACACCAACGGGCATTTCTCCAAGAATAAGGTTTACAACATATTTTGTATCACTTGTGTTGTACAAGGTATTAAGTAATTCCATGAACTCTCTCGAAAATGAGGGGGTTTGCATGCTGGGTTGTTATGGCTGGATGTAGCGTAATATATCTTGTTGAGAAGATCTATTTACATGTGAAACGCGTTAACCAGAAATAACATTATAGACAGATCTAGCTTATTCGTACAAGTGACGTAATATTACATTTACATGCTTGGTAAGAATCATATGGCATAATGTTAATTTCAACATTGTTCATGATTATACTATTTGTCTAGTGTTTTCTTTCAAAAGAACATATCGATTTGTTTATTGTTCATTGCAGTCACTCGCTATCAGTCTTTTCTTTTGTCATATCTTTTGATTTCCATCAAGAAAATCTTTCGGTTAAAAAATAAATTAATCTTATCATCAGTAATATCTGCAATAGTACAAATACGTGTGTCTCGGTTGTTGTGGGTCATAGTAAACTGCTTAATTTGCATTAAATGCTCTAATGCTTAATGCATTTCACTTTACACCTTTCTCCCTTACCCATCAGACTTATTTAAAGAAACGGTAAAGAGTACTGCAGGCTACTGATTAAACACTGCTTCAAATCAAGTAAATGCTTCATACAGTTTAGAGAAGAGAAGCTTTACTGTCCCTTTAAAATAATATGGATTCTTGAGGGCAATTGCAAAAATGAAAATCTCTGTAAAAGATCAAATGAGAGATTTAATGTCCAACAATTGGCAAAGGCAAAAAAAACACAAAAAACACCTAATTAAACCCCTGACTGCTAAATCAATTTAAAAAAAGTGCATTGTATCTTGTTGTATATTTTATTATTTTCTACCCTACATCATTGATAGATATAGGTTGGGTACTCTTCTGGGTCTCTAATTGTTTAGAACTACTCTCCATCGCCTGGCGCAAAAGGTGGTGGCAGATGACGGCTGATGTGATCCAATACAAATGAAGGTCTTTTTAACCCCTTAAGGACACATGACATGTGTGACATGTCATGATTCCCTTTTATTCCAGAAGTTTGGTCCTTAAGGGGTTAGGGAAACAAGCCAAATCCCAAAAAGGTTCCTTGTAAACATGTTCAATATTGGGCTAGGAAGGGACATACAATTCCTGTTGTCGTTTCGTGCAGTATTCTGCCAATAAACAAAATTTAATCGGCAGAATAATGATGGTTTATAGGCTGCAGCCCAAAACCCTTGTATGCTTGTGGCACAAGATACAAATGCCCCTCTGCCACCCTTGCCAGTATTCCCTTGGGAGTAATATGTAAGGAGGCTACTTTGAAAGCTATCTAGTTAATTATTAATTTTATTGGGAGTTCAAATTTATTTTTTTTAGGGGAAAGGACCATAGTGTGTGCAGGTTACAATGGTATACTAAGAGGATCAACTGAGCTGCCCTCTTGATATACTGGGGGTCTGGCATTGTGACCCCCACTACCTATTTCTATTGTAGCTTTTTTGCCATTAAGTCTATCCTGAGTCCCAAATTCATTTTATTTTCTTCCTTGATGTTGGTGTTACATGAAGTATTTATCAATCTGTATCATGCTACTCTCATCATCTGCTAATACTACCACAAGTGCATGTAGTTAAAGTGTTACTCCAAGCACCATGACCACTACATTGATTTGAAGTGGTTGTGATGTCTGGAGTCCGTATGTGTAGAGTTTCGCTTTCAAACGCTGCACATGCTGCCAGAGGTTTGACTCCACATCCGGCAGCTTCACCGTGCCGTCATCAACAACCCGGTACAAGAGTTACGGGCTAGCTAATGTCAATCCTGTATATTGCATTCATTGGCTGAGGGTGGTCAGCTGATGCTCTCAGCCAATGAATAGAGATGGTCTCACCATCTGGCTTCTGCACCCCAGAAGCCAGATGCGCATCATCAGAGAGGGAAGGAACCACGCTGTTTGGCGGGGACGCAGGTAAGAGGGCCTACCTTTGCAAAATGGTTTGCCCCATTACCAGGAAACAGTGCCAATGTACTCCTAACATTATAACCAGAAAGCGGGCTGTAGTTGGTATGGTTGTTGGAGTAACCATTTATCACCTAATTTTTAAAAGAAAACTAAAATCGCCACTAACAAATAGTAGTTGTAGACATTAAACCCACTGCTCTTCTGCTGATTAATTACAGAGGACTGTGTTAGTGATAACTAGGTGAAGATGTGACATGACCATTTAAAAAAAAACATGTTTTTTTAGCAATGCAACTTAATATTTTTCTACAAAATTTATATATTGCATAGCAAAAGAAGCAAGTACATCAAGTATGCTTCACTTGTTCAAACGAGCTGTGGTATCCTCAATATGGGGATATACACCTAGCATTGTAATGCAAGTTCTGCAGGACCATTTAAACAGCAAAATTACAAAATTAGTGCAAAAGCGAGAATAACAAAATAAAAAAGTAACATGAGTCGCAATTATAATGTAAAAAATACAGCAATCAGTGAAAACAGGAAAATATGCAAAATGTAACAATTAACAATGACCCCCCTCTAACAAAACATAACAAAATACTAAACAGGGTAGTGTGGAGAATTAAAACATGAACTGGCAAAACGTATTCCAAAACTGAATGGAAAAAAAACAAACTCTATTCCCAACTTCTTCTCTTTGGACTACTTTTAGCATTTTGTTTTTCATTACACCATAATTTACAATTCGTAACGCTAACTATAATTGAGAAAAAGCATACATGGTGTGTTTTATGGTAATACTGAGTATGTATTTCATTAGCGTGTTATTTTGTACAGTAGCTCAAAACTAATTTCTGATATTTGGCACAGCTAGTCCTGTGACCTTCTGAGCTTTGGCACATAAATTATAAGAGCAAAACAAATGTCTATTCCAAAATTAGCACCGTCCCTGGTTTTTCTAATAAATAATTGCATCTTTTAATAGCTATTTACCATCATTATTGCATACATCGTTTATTTCAATAGCTCCCAACATAGGTCTCGCTTTAATATTTTTGGATAAACGTTTTTAAATGATTTAATGTTATGAAAAATATTTACATTTTGTAATATTTGATGCTTTTGATATATTGACATAGATGTTTTATATATATGATCTATTGTTTAATATTTTAATATTTTGAAAAAAAGTATTTAAAAAGTTTATCCAAATAATAAATAAATCATTTGAAAAGCCTATCCAAAAATATTAAATTGAGGCCTTAGTGCTTAAGGCACAGGACTTGTCAGTATCACCATTTCACAAGAATTGGAAAATTGTCTAAATCCCGGACTATTAGTGTCACGTGAGGGCTGGTTGGAAACCATTGATTTATGTCCCGGGTGTAAAAGCTTTTTGAAGACTGCTTTATATAAAAATAAAAATGGCATGTGTGATAATACTCAATAGAGGAATAGAGACTCTTCTATGATATTAATAATGTTGAACGTTTATTATGCTAAATACTGTCATCGAGGGGTTCTGGTGGCATCATATCAAATTGTGAGACCACCAAAGGTCAAGTGGCTTATAAATGTCTTCAGAACCCCTGAGATGGTATTACTTTCCTCAATACATGCTTCATCATTATGAATCGTTTATATTACATGATATTTATAGGTTACAGTCAGTGTTAGATTAAGTGCTAAGGTAGTGTGGGTGTTAACGTTTAGTGTGGAACTATAGGGTTTAATATGTACTGGAAAAACCTAATGAGATTAACAGTTAGCAAGTAAAAGCAGGTTCTTAACCAAGAGTCTTATGGGAAATCTAATGTCTCGTGGGAAATTCTATGTGGCTTATTAGACATCCCATGTGACTCATTGAAAATTCAGACTGGTTATTTAGCGGTATTCGTGTAAAACAACTGTAGACCAGAGAGGAAAATTTTGATTATTACTGATGGGACACATTTAATATGTGCCAACAGCGGATCCAAAAATTTGCATATTTAAGGGAAGGTATCACCACACAAATCAAAAGAATGTTAATGGTTCTCCATATTGATTGCTCCACTTTTTTGAACTTTGACATTCCATTGCTTTCTGTGACCTTTCTATTAGTGACAATTTATAAATCTGCTGAAAGTCTCAATTCAACGTGAGGTTAGTAAGATATTAGTAGTCATGTCCCATCGACTTTCCACGTGGATTAGCCATTAGTCAGAACTGATCAAATAGTTTATCTAAGTCTGCAGGAAATTAATGCAAACTCCATCCTGCAGTCAATTATTCACCTTTGTTAACACTTAGTGCTTAATGATTGATAATACTTTCGCTGCACATGTACTTATGAGCGAGTAATATGCACTTGTTACAGATACTTTGTGGCTCAATGTGAATTGGCTTATACGTGAGTTCATTGGGTAATGTTGAGTATATGTCTACATTTTTAGTGTAGTATACATTCTACATTATTTTGTTTCTGCTTTTAATATACTGTTGAATATTTGACGTGTTCTTTTTGTTTACCAAAAGAACTGTAACCGCCACCCTGAAAATCAAGACTAAAAAATTAAATTGAAAGGCTGATGGAAGGCCAATTTACTGGACCTCCACAATTGTGAATGCTAAGACTACAGTGAATGTACAACCCCAAAATTCAGACACATATTTTTACAACTGGGGTTGGTGGAAGATGTCCACATAATAAGAAGACCGTTCTTCACAACACATAGGATCAATTTCGCCCCATCTACTCATACGTTCATTCACCAGTTTAATGAGTATAAGTATTTAATTTGCACAATATAAAAAGGGTCCAAATCAGCCTCTGCTAAGAGTAATTAAAGGTTAACATATGTATAAATGTATGCGTTAACACATGTTCATATATGTAAAATGTATGATATGTAGATGTTTCTCGTTGCTGCTGGGAGTTTACAAAAATATACAATGGAATTCTGCAAAGAGAAAAAGTGGTGTGTGATTGTTAGAAAATTTAGTATTTTGGCGGGGTATTTTGGGAGAAAATCTTCACCATGGCCTAATCTAGGGCACAGTTTTACATTTTGCTTAGATAATCTGTAGAATTGTATTTGAATGTACACTCAAACTTACCAAGACAGACAAAATTGACTATTTTGTACAAGATTTCGTTTTTAAGCTAAAACATTCGTTGGAAATAAAAAAAAAAAATTTTTTTCCTCGCAGCTATTGTGTGGTTAAATAAAATAACAGGCTCAATTCTGCACGTTTACCCAAGGGAGACCCATAATATTCCCATCGCTAAATTTAAATGAAATTAAGAAATACAAAATGAATGTTAGCATGAGCGATCTAGAAGCAATAGAGATTTAAAAAAAAACAAAAAAAAAAAACGTGGCGCACACCACTAACCTATGGGATTTCCAGGAGTGCAGACTGCCCCTCATTTTCCTATGTACAAATCCTATGCTACCTGTATTTTCAATTTTACTTATTATCTTATTGCACCTGAGATTAAAGCACAGCCTCTTCACCACTTTATACACGCAATGGGCTAGATTCAGTCAACAGAGTTACATTCATCCCATCATATTAGATACATTTCCAACAATCTGAAATCATTTCATTATTCTAATTTTCATTATTACTAATCCTAAAAACAACAATGATGCCCCCTATTTTCATAACCAAATCAACCAACTAGTTAAACAATGGCTAATCTTGGCTCTGCGGGTGCAGTACTTGAGCATCTGCAGTGCCAGGTTTAGGCATTACTACCCTAGATTAAGGTTAAAGGTGTCTAATTCAGGAGTAGGTACCCTTCCGCACTTCAGATTTCGTGGACCACATCTCCCATAATGCTCTACCGCTATAATGCTGGCAAAGTATCAAGGGAGATGTAGTCCCAAAAATCTGGAGTGCTGAAGGTTTTCTACCTCTGTATAAATCAATCTGTATAAGCTATGACGTATGAACATCTTTTTTATTATTAAAGCACCTTTCTTAGGCACTTACATGTTTTCTTTTCTGCCATGATTTTCAAATACAATTAGGTCTGATTACTTTGTTTTGTTCTTTTCAAAATCTGAAAAAGGAAATTGACTTCTATATGGAGTATTGTTTCAAATCACATACAAGGAAGCAGCATTAGTGTGGCCTTTCAACACTAAAGAGGCTGTGAACACATTAATTAACAATCAATCGTGTGTGTGTGTAGCCCCAATGGTGTCTCAGGGATAGTTGTGGCTGACAATTGCATTAACGCATACCAAAAAAATAAAGAGGTAGTCTACTTGTCAACGTCATAAATGCAATCGGACAATACCGGGGAGCATGGCTTTGGCACGTTTATAGAATCCCTGATTTCTTCTCCATCGGAAACACTATTGCAACAACTTGAAGCATCATTTGAGGAGCGGATGGTGGAAGAGGCTTGCATGTTGGCCTCATCTGTTTCCCGCGACATGGGCAATGCATCTAGCAGAGGAATCTCTTTTGAAAGCCTGCTGGGGAGGAGAGATAAAGCATAATCTGCTATAATGCTGCCCAGATCTAATTGACACGCCGGGTCAAATTCAGCGAAAGCAACATTCGCATTAGCTTCACAAACCACAAAAGATCCGTTATCTTTCAGAAGCAGGTCGATGCCACACACATCCATGCCTAGAATTTCAGACACTTGCAAAGCGAGCAGCCTTCCTTGCTCGTTCAGAGAGCATTTGACACCCACTCCTCCTGCAAGAAAAATCAATACGATACATTAGGGATTTTAAAGAGAATGGCTTAAAGACAAATAGGGGATCACAGTAAATTGGTTTCCCCTCTAACATAACAAACGATCAACTGTACCTACCACGCTTGCTGCTGTTTGTCTATAGTTATAATTACCCTTTGCAGCTATTGATTGACTGCAATTCCTATAATCCTCCCCAGTTTTTATTTGACTAGGCTTATCCAAAGGCCTTCGCATTTGTTTTTGCACAACAGTAACCACAGCCCTTTTCTACTGTACCATCAAAGCTTTCACACATGTTTGTCTATTGATGGTTTCAAAGATGACAAAAAAACACAATTTATAGCAAATTCTAACTTTGCCACAAAAAAAGTGAAACAGATCCCTTCTACTCCAATGTAGCAAGCTGATTTTCCTTTGATTATGAAGATGTCAATACTCCGGATTTTGGTTACTACAGTCCTGAATAACCAAAAAAATTTATTTAGTGACTTCAGTGCCCATCATCCTCTCGAGCTGTTTAACTAAAGTTCCAATTAACCTCATCAAACCTTCTACCTGTAAATACAGCTACTTTTAATTTTAGAGGGTGATGCAAGTTGAATCCTCCAACATAATATGGGCACTAAACTTTGCATACAGCTACTAATAGTCACTGGAGTATTTAGAGGGGTGTAGATCTTACATTTTGTGGTTATGCCATCCTCTTAATGCATTCCGTATTCTCATCCACATTTACCTTTGTTAAAGGAGTATTCCAACCTCAGTGATTGCTGCAGTTATGGGGCTGGAGTCACTGGGCACTCTACTACCTTCAGGGATTTGACGGTTTTCACTTGGGCACTGGTCCTCTGAGCCTCCTGTGGCCACAGTACACTTAAGGAAGTTTGCCGTGACAGCTAATGATAGGTTGACATCGACCGGGGCTCTCAGCCTATCACTGTTCTCCACGGCAAACCCTGCCTGGAGGTAGTACTGAGAGTGGCAGAGTTGTCGGGTCCCAAGGGACCAATTTTAGGGTGAACCATTCGAAAAGGCAAGTTGGCATCCAGGCACTCCTGCCACCATAACAACTTTATAGAGCTTAGGTTGATATGCACTGGGGGTGTTCTTTTAAAATTCAAATGTAGGCTTAAAGGAACACTATGGTCACCAGAACAACTTTAGCTTAATGAAGCAGTTTTAGAGTATAGATCATGCTGCAGCTCTTGCCACCCCTCCCCTGGCTGTGATTGACACAGCCTGCATGGAAAAAACTGGTTTCACTTTCAGTCTGATGTAATTTACCTTAAACAATTTTATCTCTTGCTCTGTAAATTGAACTTTAATCAGATACAGGAGGCTCTTGCAGGGTCTAGCAAGCTATTAACAATAAGAAAATCTAAATAAAACAGAACTTGCAATAAAGAAAGGATAAACTTTAGATGACTCTTTACAGGAAGTGTTTAGGAAGGCTGTGTAAGTCACATGTAGGGAGGTGTGACTAGGGTTCATAAACAAAGGGATTTAACTCCTACATGGCAGAGAATTACACAGTGAGGCTGCATGGGCATGATCAATACACCAAAACTGCTTCATTAAGCTAAAGTTATTTTTGTGACTATAGTGTCCCTTTAACTATCTGGGACCTATTTAAGGTCTGTGGGGTGGGCAAGAATCTGATGGTCAGTGTCCCCGATTGGCGAGGGAGGAAAAACACATTAGCTGAAAATACAGAAATTGTAATAGTTTTTTTTTTTTTTTTAAAGAGATTTGTTTTTGTTTTAAAAATGTAAGTGTACTGATCTGCCCTTTCTTCTTTTAGAGGCAGTAATTATAATCCTCAGCTATCTTTTTTTCTATGAATTGTTCTTTTTCTATAAGTGGTGAGTAACATATGATAATGAAAACACTATAATTACAGTATAATCACTCTATATTGTAATGTTCCCATAGTTACCTCCCTTGAAGGCTAGACATATTAACTCCATCTAAAGGAGGTTTCTGTATTCTTAAGGGGATAGGAACACATTGATCCTTTATTGGGTTAATTTATATGTTAAGTTGTTTATTGTGACATTAATAAAGTACTGATTATTTTAGAGTTGTTATTATTTCTATAAATATATACATCTCTAACATATTACCATTTTAATGTAGGGATATGACAGAAGAACTATTGCAAACGTTTACAAGTGACATTTTTAAAAATATATATTTAAGGATTTTAGCTGAAAGCTGTCAATTCAGGCAGATAGATAGAGTTACATACAACCATATCTACTTTCTTTAACTTGTAGTCAAAGACCACAGAGTTACATCTGTTTGAACACATCAGTTCACTGACATAGCAGGCATATAGTCTCATAAAAAACAGATCATTTTGAACCTATATTATAGGAGATTGGGAATGCCCAGATGGAAGACAGCCGCTTCAGGCAGTCCTAAAGGGACACTGTAGTCACCAGAACAATTACAGCTTAATGTAGTTGTTCTGGTGAGTATAATCATTCCCTGTAGGCATTTTCATGCAAAAACTGCCTCTTCAGAGAAAAGGTAATATTTAAATTGCCTCCTAGAGACACCTCCAGTGGCTACTCCTCAGATTACAATTGGAGGTGTTTCCTGAGGGAGTGCTGTACAGTAGGCAGCACTGCCATTCAGTGTCTCCACGCTCTGCATGGAGACACTATATTTTCCTCATAGAGATGCACTGATTCAAGCTACCTAAATAGTAGTTTTAACACTATGTTTGTTTCTGACCCTATAGTGTTCCTTTAACCCTGCAGTATAAGCATTGCAGTTCCTTCTAATGGGACATAATGCGCATGCGTGGCAAGCACCATGCGTGCATTAGGCCTTCTCTATAGGAAAGCATTGCCTCAATGATGCTGGATGTCCGTGAAACTCCAGGAAGCGCCTATAGTGGCTTTCTGATACACAGTGGAGGCAGTCTTAGTACTGCAATGTAAATGTGCAGTTACTCTAAAACTGCAGTGTTTTACATTGCAGGACTAAGTGGGACAGGGACACTGCACCCTTTAATGGTTGTTTGTGTATTTCCAACTAAGAATAACTCAGCTGGTGCTGAGGGGTAACCAACAGCATTTAAAAGCTTGACACCTACTATAAAGCTCTTTCCTAGTTTTTTTTAAGTTTGTAAAAATATACAGAATTACCTAAATAGCAGTTGCTTTGCATTCTTCCATCAGCAGAGCAGCGCAACATGGAGCCAATAATGCAGCCCCCGACCACAACCACGCGGATATCTTTTCCATGAGATTCCTTAACATACTTCTGGAACAGGTAGGGCGTATCGTGACGCATTAAATGCGATATGTCTAATAAGTGATGTTTGTCTCTGGCGAGAAACACTGCTTTACCTACATAAACAAGAAAATAAAAAGGAGGGAAATCTAAATTATACAGATTATTATTATTGATATTCACATTGAAAAGGAACACTGGAAGGGTTATTCGCAGTGTTGTCAGAATTCAAAGTTAATTAAAAGCTCCACTTCCTTTGTCAAGTCCCATTTTCCCACAAACCCATCTGTCCATAGCGTCCATCCTCTCTAATCTCACAATCCATCCTCTGCCCATCCCCGAGCATCGCAAGTAAGGAAATAAATAGTCAGCAGGTGCGGGACTTTAAGAAAGTGCACACAAAGGGTGCACACATACGCAACTTCCAGGATCCGTTAACATGGAGGTGGCTTGGAATGAAATTCGGCGCAAGAAACTATAAAGAATAAGTTGGTAAAAAAAAGGGTCTAAGTGCAGAAAATGATTAACATAGGGGGTGCCTATAAGTACTCTGTGAGTTGTGGGGGAATAAAAAAAATAGCTTTGCCCCATGACAGAACCACTTTAACTATACTTTAACTCTCTTCGCCCTTTTGTACCACTCTATGGATAACCTGCATCCGAAGCATCCCCTCCTGCCTGAACAGGCAGCTGAGGAAGTGTAATGTGTCTGGAATCTTACTGAGGGATTCTGTTCCACAGTGGAAGAACTTGGTGCCGCTCCTAGTTGTCAGTGGCACTCTACCACCAATTTATTGTGTTGGAGACTGGGCAGGAATGATAAGTGGGGTTACAAGGGGAGAGGTAGATAAAGCTGGGGGGGAAGCAATGGAAATGGAGCCTGGGAGAGGAGGGAGTGGAAAATTGAACTTTGAGGAGGGAGGGTGATGGGGGTGAGGGCTAAGGTGAGGGTAATAGAGCTGAGGGCAGAGAGAGAGATGGGGCCGAACAAGTGGTGAGGCTGTTGGGGTCACTAATGTGTATGTGTGAAATCTGTGTGTGTATTTGAATGTGTGTATATTAGTCTGAGCGTGTAAAGTATTTTTGTGTACATGAATGTATGTTTGTGTATAGGTTTGTTTATATATCAATGTGTGTCTATGAATGTATGTGTGTACATGAATGTAAGTATGTGCGAATATGAATGTCTATGTATATGAATGTGTATGTGTATATGAGTGTGATTATGTGCATGTAGTTTCCTAAACAATAGAGGGTTGGGGGTGCATAGTGAGACACACAGACACTTTCTGGTTCTTGTTGACTAACAGTTGCATGATGACAGTCACTTATAGATGCTTTTGAATGAGTAAATGTTGGTGCAAGTAACAGTAAATGGGCAGTTTTGGTTAAATATCACAAATTAGGAATATTTAACCAAAATTGCCCATTTATACTATTGTTTATTCTAACATTTAATATATAAGATTTTAGTTTGAAAGCACTTATAAGTGATTTACATTTAAAACACACATTATATGCATACCAACAGGGTTATTAACTAATTGAGAGTTCAAAGTGAATTTAAAATTTAAGGCCGAAGCAGCCGAACGGAAAGCACAGATGACTTAGAGAATTTTTCTATTTTGGCTATTATTACCTTAAATTTGAAATTCACTGTGAATACACTTTGAAGTCTCACTCTAGTAAATAACCCTGGTAGAAGCAAATAAATAAAGAGTATATTGTAGCACAGGAAAAAAAAAAAGCAGAAAATATACACAGACAGACTTATTTACTAAAGTGAGAATTGTCAGGTATTCAAAGAGAATTCAAAGTGAATTTCAAATTGAAGACCAAAATAGCTGAACTGGAGGCATTGCTGAATTGACCTTAAATTTTAAATAAATCTTGAATTTACTTTGAATTCCCGCCAATTTTTCCCTGTGGTACAGAACCCTGTGAGATAAGCAGCATTTATATTAAAGGGGCCCATGATACGCAAGGTGTTCCTTGAAATTCTGTTTCAGATCACTTAAATCACTTTAAAATAAATCATCTTATGCCGTCAGTTGTCATTTATATTATTACAGAAAATTGCAAAATGAGATACCTTGATGTCCTCGAGTGTTTTTCACAACGACAGGATATCCAAGTGGTTCTGCTGCATCTATCATTTTTGAAAACTCATCATGGCCGCCTACCAAGAAAACACATATAATTTGACAAATCTGCCTTCCGAAAAACAGTCGTCCTGACAATATGATAACTGGCCCAATTACAAATGCACTTAGGTGATCGAAACTAGGAAAATCCCAGCCAACTATACAGTTCAAATTACAGGAAGTGTCTCTATAATTATTCTCCATTAATCATGTGTGAGAGAATACATCTCTCCTGCAAGTTCTGAAATGGTAAAATATAGCGAAAACGCCAATAAAATTCCATTCACTCCTGTGCCAATGCCAACAGTAGCTGTCTGTATGCTGATATGCCCAACTATAGTTGTATAAACTGTGCTCATTTTTAAAACTCTTAAGGACGAAATACAGTGGAACCTCGATTTGTTCGAGAACGAAAACAACATTTCCCATAAGAATTAATGTAAATTTGATTAATCTGTTCTATATCCCCCAAATTACAGCATTTTAACACAAATTTTACAGTTTAAAAAAATAATAATAAACACATTGTATAGTAAATGAAAAGAAAATATAACTTCACTTTATCTGTAATGATGAGCGTTCATGGCCAGGGCCGGCGCTACCATAAGGCGGCCCAGGCGGCTGCCATAGGGCACAACGGCTCTGAGGGCGCAATGTCAGGCTGACAGGCAGGAGGGAAGCACACTGTGCTCCCCTCTGGCCGGTTACTTCTTGTAAAGTGGCCGAGCGCAGCCCAAAGCTTCCTGCCAGCCCAGCCTCCTACCCTGGTGTCTGCTGAAAGCTGTGTGGCAGGGGCGGGGATATGAATTACATCATATCCCTGCTCCTTGTGAACCACACAGCATGGCTGGCGCCCAGTGATGGGGCTGGGCTGCAGGTCGGGACTCCACAGAGCTGAACAGCATGCACCCCAGGGACCAGGTTTAACAGATGTAAGTATGTAATTTGGGCTGTCTGTGTATGTACAGTGGCGTACATACCAGGGTCGCGGCTGCGACCGGGCCCGGCCCACCAGGGGGCCAGGCCGCCCCTGCGACCCGGTATGTACCCACAGGGCCAGCCTCTTCCCCTGGGGGGCCCAGGAGCCGACCACCCCAGGGCCCCCCGAGGCTGGCCCTGCTGACCTGCCGCCCAGGAGCCCAGCAGCACCACTGGACCCCAGGGAATACCCCCAGCACTCCAAAAGGTAAGGAGGCTGGGGGGATTACATTTGAAAAAAAAAAAATGTGTATGTGTGTGTGTGTTAGTGTGTGTGTTAGTGTATGTGTGTGTGTTATTGTATGTGTGTTAGTGTGTGTGTGTTAGTGTGTCAGTGTTTGTTTGTGTTAGTGTGTGTGTCAGTGAATGTGTCTGTTATTGGGTGTGTTTCTGTTAGTGAGTGTGTTACTGTGTGTGTCTGTTACGGAGTGTGTTTGATGTCTGTTAGTGAGTGTGTGTTTGTCAGTGTATGTTTTGTAAGTGAGTGTGTATGTATGTCTGTCGCTGAGTGTGTCTCTGTCAGTAAATGTGTGTGTCTGTTAGCTAGTGTGTATGTGTCTGTTCGTGAGAGTGTGTGTGTCTTGAGCATTTACCTTTCTCCAGCGTCGGACTCCCCAGTGTCCGCCACTCAGCTCCGAAATGCACATGCGCGGCAAGAGGCGCGCGCGCATTTAAACCGCCCATAGGAAAGCATTACTCAATGCTTTCCTATGGACGTTCAGTGTCTTCTCACTGTGATTTTCACAGTGAGAATCGCGGAAGCTCCTCTCTCAGCTGTCACTGAGACAGCCACCAGAGGCTGGATTAGCCCTCAGTGAAACATAGCCGTTTCTCTGAAACGGCTATGTTTTCAGCTGCAGAGTTAAAACTAGAGGGACCTGGCACCCAGACCACTTCATTGAGCTGATGTGATCTGGGTGTCTGTAGCGGTCCTTTAAGTGTGTGTGCATACCGCGGTCGCGGGGTCGCAGCCCTGCAACCCCTGCGACCAGGTGCCCGCCACCATGTGTTGCGACCCCGACCCGCGCCAAGTAAGCGCGCGGGGGGTAGGGGGCCCACGGATCAATTTTTGCACCGGGGCCCCATGGGTCATGTGTACGCCACTGTGTATGTACATATGTATGTCTCTGTCTGCATGCATGTATGTATGTCTCTGTATCCATGTATTTATGTCTCTGTATGCATGCACGTATGTATGTCTCTGTATGCATGTATGTATGCATGTATGTAACTGAATGTATGTTTGTCTCTGAATGTCTTTATATATGTCTCTGTATGCATGTATGTAACTGTATGCCTTTATGTCTTTGTATGCATGTTTCTGTATGCCTGTATGTTTCTATGTGTCTGTATGACGGTATGTCTCTGTATGTATCTATGTCTCTGTATGTACGTTTCTGAATGCCTGTATGTCTCTGTATGTATGTATGTGTCTGTATGCCTTTATGTCTTGTATGTATGTTTCGGTATGCCTGTATGTATCTATGTGTCTGTATGACGGTATGTCTCTGTATGTATCTATGTCTCTGTATGTACGTTTCTGAATGCCTGTATGTCTCTGTATGTACGTATGTGTCTGTATGACTTTATGTCTTGTATGTATGTTTCTGTATGCCTGTATGTATCTATGTGTCTGTATGACGGTATGTCTCTGTATGTATCTATGTCTCTGTATGTACGTTTCTGAATGCCTGTATGTCTCTGTATGTATGTATGTGTCTGTATGCCTTTATGTCTTGTATGTATGTTTCTGTATGCCTGTATGTATCTATGTGTCTGTATGACGGTATGTCTCTGTATGTATCTATGTCTCTGTATGTACGTTTCTGAATGCCTGTATGTCTCTGTATGTATGTGTCTGTATGCCTTTATGTCTTGTATGTATGTTTCTGTATGCCTGTATGTATGTTTCTGTCTGTATGATGGTATGCCTCTATATGCATGCATGTATGTATATGTATGTATGCTTGTATGTCTCTGTATGTATGTTTCTGTATGCCTGTATGTCTCTGTATGTATGTATGTGTCTGTATGTCTTTGTATGTATGTTTGTGTATGTCTGTATGTATGTTTCTGTAGACCTGTATTTCTCTGTATGTACGTATGAACGTATGTTTGTGTATGTCTGTATGCCTGTATGTCTTTGTGTGTATGTTTCTGTATGCCTGTATGTATCAGTCTGTATGACAGTATGCCTCTGTATGCATGTATGTCTCTGTATGCCTGTGTGCATGTATGTATATGTCTGTATGCTTGTATGTCTCTGTATGTATATTTCTGGATGCCTGTGTGTCTCTGTATGCCTGTATGTATGTATCTGTCTGTAAGACGGTATGCCTCTGTATGCATGCATGTCTCTCTATGCATGTATGTATGTGTCTGTATGCCTGTATGTCTCTGTATGTATGTTTCTGTATGCCTGTATGTCTCTGTATGTATGTATGTATGTCTCTGTATGTATGTATGTACGTGTCTGTATGCCTGTTTGTCTTTGTATGTATGTTTATGTATGACTGCATGTCTATGTATGTATGTATGCGTCAGTATGACGACATGCCTCTGTATGCATGTATGTCTTTGTATGCCTGCATGTCTCTGTATGCAGGTATGTCTCTGCCTGTATGTCTTGTGTGTCTGTATGTCTCTGACTGTATGTATCAGTATGTCTCCGTATGATTATTTCTGTGTTTGTATGACAGTGTACCTGTATGACTTTGACTGTGTGCCTTAAAAACGATGCCTGTGTGCCTGTAGCTTGGGAGGAAAGACATACAAAGGGATCTGGAGGGGAGGGAAACACAAAATGGACTCAGGGGAAAAGAGAGGGACTGTGGTGGAGAAGGAGACAAAGAAAGGGGTTGGAGTAATAAATAGACACAGAAAGGGCTGGGGTAAGAATGAGACACAGAAAGGGGCTGGGGGTAAGAGACACTGAAAGGGGCTGAAGGTAAGAGACACAAAAAGTGGTTGTAAGACACACTAAAAGGGGGTATAAAATACACTAGAGCACAAAAGGGTTAAGAAATTGAAAAGGAGGTGGGGGGCGTACAACAAGACACACAGGTGAAGATGCATTATTTCTTTTTGAAGGGAGGTGGGGACGCCAACATGCATCTTCGCCTGTGTCTCTAGAAATCCTAGCACAGGCCCTGTTGATGGCGTAAGTGGAAAGGAAAATAAATATTATTAGTTGGATCGGGATAGGTAACTGTTCTTCTGGCATTTAAAATATGCCTAAAGTGAGACGTAGCTTCATAATTGAACATATTTGTGGCATGATTTGTTCGGGTACCGAGAATCATCCGTGTACCGAGACATTTTTTTCTCTAATTTTTTGTTTGACTAGCGAATTGTTCGGGTAAGGGTCTGTTCGAGTTCCAAGGTTCCACTGTAATGTAAAGCTAGCAGCTCTTTGTCAAACTGCACATTTTGGATATTTTATCATATTATCATATGGTCTTGAAGGACCGGAAGTCATTTGGTACTAGCTCACCACTGCAAACCTCCTACCAGTATTTTAACCTCTGTAAAAAAACAAAGCAAATGCATGCAGCCCCCTCCCACCCTCCATTCACAAATGTCTTATAGAGTATTTGACAACTCATAGAATGTAGGTACATGCTAGGTGTTACATGATACCTTGCGCACCGGCCTGCAGACTTTATAAATGTAGTCTTTACCACTATAGAGGTGCCTTTGTAGGAAAAGCAAAGAATATTACAACAAATAACATAAAAATAATATCTTAGCTAAGTATTTTGGCTAACGCGGTATACAGATAAAACTGAAATCATGTTCTGCATGGTTTAAACGTTAGTCATGGTGACATTGGCAGACCAATACATTAATACATTTACTGTAATAAAAGTTTACATTTTTAAAGTGTAATTGCTTATCTACATGTGTTAGGAGAAAAAGAGAGGAACTTACTAGTGATCTCTTTCCCCTATAGATCTGTCAGACTATAAGGGCAGTATATGAATGCCGTATTTTGCAGCAGTTATAGTACACCCTGCATGGAACCTTGGTTGGGTGATGACCAGTGGCCAACATCCAGAGTTCCATGATATCTCTAGAGCTGGTGTCCCACTCTGTTGCTTAAGCTGTGCAGCCATTGTCACATTAAGCTTTTAAATAGTTCTAATGATCCATTGAGGGCCCATAGCACACTCACTGAACTTTTACTCACCAAAGCTAGGCCTTTGACATCATTATAATTTATATGTTATTGGTCCTTAAAGGTGCTAGAATATAAAATTGTCAGGGTAGTTGATGGAAATATTTAATAAGAAATGTTTTGACTAAAATCATTTTTGTTTATAATAAAAAAAAAAACATTTGCATTGGCATTAAAATCAAGTCACCTTGATACAGCAATACCTTGTTCTACAGATGAATAGCCAAACTTAGTTTTCTAAACATTAGCAAGGTTAACAGATAAACAAAGTGTTCTATTCTAGCCAACAACTCAATCCAATGCAGTTAAATACCACTTATTTCTTGGTATTTACCATATTAGATGACAATATGATAGAGAATGGACAATTATGTTTATATTAAGATATTTTTCTGTAAATATAAAGATTTTTGACTAGTTTCAGCAAATACTAAGCAATATTTTCATGAGAACATGTTGTTAGTCAGTTTGCTGCATAGGGCTATATAATTAGTAGCCAACATGGTTGCCATCAGAAATTTTGGGGCCCCTGTGCAGCCCAAAGTCCAGGCCCGGAGACCATCCCTGAGCCCGCCTCTGTGCCTGCCCACATGGCCCGTCCCCGAGTCCGCCTACATGGCCCGCTTCCGAGTCCCCCCACAGGGATCATCCTAAGTCCACCCACAAGGATGAAGTGTGTGTGCACTGAATTTGGTGTGCATATAGTAGATGTAGAATGTGTGTATTGGATGCAACGTGCTTGAGTAAAGTGGATGTGGGGTGTATGTTGTGGATGCCGTATATATAGTGGATGCAGTTTGTATGTTTTTGTTTATTAGATGCAGAGTGTGTTTGTGTAGTGAATGTAGTGTGTATAGTGAATGCAGAGTGTGTGTTTTTCTAGTGGATGTAGTGTGTATAGTGAATGCAGAGGGTGTGTTTGTGTAGTGGATATAGTGTGTATAGTGAATGCAGAGGGTGTGTTTGTGTAGTGGATGTATCGTGAGTGTATATTGTATGCAGAGTGTGTGTTTGTGTAGTGGATGTAGTGTGTTTAGTGTATGCAGAGTGCATGTTTGTGTAGTGGATGTAGTGTGTATAGTGAATGCAGAGTGTGTGTTTGTGTAGTGGATGTAGTGTGTATAGTGATTGCAGAGGGTGTGTTTGTGTAGTGGATGTAGTGTGTATAGTGAATGCAGAGTGTGTATTTGTGTAGTGGATGTAGTGTGTTTAGTGTATGCAGAGTGCATGTTTGTGTAGTGGATGTAGAGTGTGTGTAGTGAATACAGTGTGTTAGTGTAGCAGATGTAGTGTTTGTGTGTATAGTGAATGCAGAGTGTGTATAATGAATGCAGAATATTTGTTTGTGTAGTGGATATAGTGTGTGTATGTAGTGACCGCAGAGTGTGTAGTGGATGTAGTGTGTGTATAGTGAATGCAGAGTGTGTGGTGGATGTAGTGTGTGTATAGTGAATGCAGAGTGTATGTTTGTGTTGTTGGATGTTGTGTTTGTTTGTATTAGATGCAGTGTGTATAGTTACTGCAGAGTGTGTGTTTGTGTGTATTAGATGCAGTGTGTATCGTGACTGCAGCGTATAGTGACTACAAAGTGCGTGTTTGTGTGGTGGATGCAGTGTGTATAGTGAAAGTGGTGTGTGTGTTTGTGTAGTGAATGCAGTTTGTGTGTTTGTGTAGCCGATGCTGTGTGTGTCTGTGTGGTGAATGCAGTTTGTGTGTTTGTGTAGATGATGCTGTGTGTGTTTGTGTAGTGAATGCTTTGTGTATAGTGAATGTGGTGTGTGTGCTTGTGTAGTGAATGCAGTTTGTGTGGTGGATGTGTGTGTGTGTGTGTGTGTGTGTGTGTGAGACAAATGCACTGAGGGTATTTTTTATTCTTTACATTTTGATTAATTAAAAAAATGTATATACATTTTATTAATTCAAAATAAAAAGTATTCCCCACTCCCTGCCTCTTACCTGTAGCCAGGGAGGGGGGACACTGGATTCCCTGGTGGTCCAGTTTGTGGCTCAGCAGTTGGTCCAGTCTTCATCTTTCTCCTCATGGCTCTACAAAGGGGCCCTGCAGTTTTCATCTTCCCCCTATGGGCTTTACAGCCTCGGCAATGCTTTACAGCCACGGCTCGCGAGTGTGCCGTAGTAGGAGGTGAGTGTAAAGCCAGCAGGGCCCGCAAAGGCATATATATATATATATAGCGCTACTCGCTATAAATGTATGCACATAGAAGGGCCGTGGCATGCAGAGCAGTAGCAGTGCAGTCCAGGCCCCCCAGGACCGCTGGGCCCATGACAACCGTCATGGTTGTCACACCTTGATGGCGGCCCTGGTAGCCAATTAAACTAAATTGGCTAATTGAGGTTACAGCTGCATAGAAATGAGTCACCCGCAAAAAGGATTTTATCAGCTCCATCAATAAGCTGTGTCCCATCTCAAAGCCAGCTTCACAGAGTTGAATGTTTTATATATTTTAGTTCTGTTGATTTTTTTTCCTTTTAGATTCATATGTTACCTAATAATAATTGTTTTTTTTGGGGTGGGAGAGGGGTCGCAGAGCTAATTATTATTTTTTCAAACATTTAAGAGATGTATAGATATGTAGCTGTCTCATTCTGGATATTTTTAGCAAACTTCCAAGTAATTTTTTTTTTTGTGTACTGAAATATAGCAAGCTATTTCGAATCAATAATGTAACTTAAGACGTGTTGGTTACATGATGCATGATGTTAGTTTATATTTTATTGAGAAACGTATTAAGAAAAAAAACTAGCTGAATAAGCATTAAGGTGAATTAAACATTGACTGCTGCATCTAAACATATAAACATTTAGTATGGTATATATGACCTGTGTTGAAAATCCAGAACATACATAATAAAAAACAAACAAAAAAAACAGGGTGTCTCTCAAGCAAAATACAAGTAAATGTGACATAAATCACCAAAAGTGTCAGTGTATTAAGTCAGGTCCTTTGTTACCTTAATGCTCAGCATATTCTCATATAAAACAAAAAGAGAAATCTATTCAAATATAGTGTAGTATTTTAAAAAATAAAATATAAAGTGTACATATGATGAACAGACACTCACAAAAGAAAAGTAAAACAAGTGTGTGTTTCCTATGCATTGCCCCAAACCAAAACACAAGAGACGAGAGATTGAAATATGGTATTTTAATAACTATGCATACATTCTAAATGTGAGTCAAGCCTAGAATATATTGCTATTGTAATTGTTTGAGATTGCAAATTTAGTAATTTTCTTTATTTTTGGGCAATTGTAAGTATTAGTTAGCTTCAATTATTTCCCAGGGAATGACATGTCCAAGACTGGCTGATATCCCATTGTACAGCGCTATGGTCGCTCTGTAGTACAGATACTTGGTGTAACAATACGTGAAGAATAGGGAGAAATTTAAGTTCTCATGCAATTTTAGGACGCTGCATTTTAAGAACTTTATGCAGTATGCTGCATACTATATGTATACTGTAACATTGTATAGTACAGCCTAATACTATATTACAATGTATGTAATTTTGTTTAAAAATAAAATAAGTATGGAAATCATTAATATTGTTTATTTGCTCGTTTTTGTATTTATTCATCTACTAAATAATACGCTGCCTTGTCTTCCTGTGGGGACAGGAGTCAATAATAACAGATGTCATTGTCTCTAAAAGCAGCGAGTGTCCACAGATCTCCTATTGGTTCTGAAACATTTGACTTAATCTCAGCCAAAGCTAAATCAGTTCCAATCATGTACTGCATCAGTATACGGGAGGAGATTACTGCAAGCTGTTAAATGCAGCATTTTTAAGAGCAATACATCAATACGCTTGAAAATGAATATTTTTTTTACACCTTTAAACATTACTATGTCTAAGAAGCATAACAGCCTCTTCCTTAAAGACAAGTGTCAGGTCCTCAGCATCAGCATTTGCCTTTAGTAGTTCTTCCAATTCTGTCCTTTTCCAACATTTAGCCCATTTCACTAACCCTACATTTAACCCCTTTTTTTCTATATTCCTGACTCACTAGAGTTTTTCCCTTTTCTAACGACTTGTTTCTAATACTTCTGCTCTCTGTAACTAAGTAAGAAGCTGAGAAGGGTAACCATTTTATAGCCCGGGGGGCATAATTTTAATTAGTTAGTACATGAAGCCTGACTACTGCAAAACATAAACCCTTTCATAGGTGAATTAACACTGCTCAAAGAATGTGAAACTCACTGGTATCTGCAGTTTTTTAAATAGTCCATTCCAATTCTCTTTTACATTTTTTAATCAATTCTATTCAAAGCCTGTACAGACGCCAACTGTCTATACGGGAACAGATATATAAAAGACCCCTTGACCATCGTGTCTTGAGGGAGATCACATGATATGGCCTAAAAGAGGTCAAAGTGATCATCTGCAATTGCTGTTTCTCATGCAAAGAAGATCTACCCGGAATGTGAGTTCTGGACTGCCCATAAGGTGAAACCAGCCGTACACACTACTGGTGTAGGCACTAGAGACTCTGTGATGGCATGAGTGAGCTAAAATTAGTTTAAAACCGATGGAGAGAGAAATTGCTATATAGGGCAACACATGAATATTTTATCTCTTCTTCTACTACACCCAATAAAACAGCCACTAAAATAACGACTCATCAAGAATATAATGAACAATTTTAGCAAGCTATAGGCACGTGTGAGTTCTAGTTTAGAAGCAGAGAAATAGCTACAATGCGGCCAGTCAGTGCTGCTAAAGAATGAGGGGAGGGAACCTTTGGAACCCAAGATGGTGTAGACTCTGTATCTCCCATGATGCCGGCAAAGCACCTGGTGCCAGTTGCCAAATGTTGCTTACCCCTGCTCTAGTACGTATCAAAACCTCACATTTTCGAGCAGAAGAAAAAGATAATTAAGAAAATACTGCAAAGATGCTTTTGAATATAATTGCAGCTCTTTACTAAGAAAATTCAGCACATCCCCTAAGAGGCCGTATTTCAAACCATGCGCTATGTACAGGCAAAACTAGTAAAGTGGACACTTCAATATTATTAAAAATAAAAGGTCAAAATATATAAAATCTATTAAATCATATGAAAAGCTTATCCAAAACTATTAAATTGAAACCGTTTTCTGTATCCAATTATTGAAATATATATATATTGCACTTACCTAAACACAACATAAATATATACATTACAAATTAAAACATCACAACTTGGGGGGATCTATCACATCTCAAATTCACAAATTGTTGTAGTGGCCCCTTCACCGACTTCCCCCCACTACCGCCCCCCTCCCTGACACACACAAACTTGCGCAGATGAATTACAGAATATAATTTTTCTTCAAACTCACCATAGGAGTAAGTATCAGGCAAAGGAATTCCATGCCCGGCCAGTTCCTGAAAAGTCCAGAACTTATTAATGCAGTTTAGAATGGCTTGTGGGCGATTTACTAGACGACACCCAAGCTTTTCTAGATGCCTCAAAACTGTTATACCACTGTCCGATTGCACTGTTGGAGTTGGAACTCGGACCACTATCACCTGAGGGTACGTAGTCACTATCTTCTTGTTAATTTGCAAACCTAGAAACCAGATTTTATAAGAGAGTAAAATCCACACAACAAGAAAAAGATTAGATACACAATTTCTATAATGTATTATTACTATTTCAATACTATATGCTTTGTCATTTTTTATGTAAAACATGATACATTTTCTTTACTACATACGTTAAAAAGGGTAGCGGTTTAACTTTAGTAATTTTTAATTGCAAATTGAAAAGTTTGTATATTTTATTTAGCATCTATTAATTTTAACATTTCCAAAAATCAGTTTTTTTTATTTTAGTCTATTCATATGAAATTTCAATTGTTTTTAAACATTCAGGTTTTGGCCATGTCATATAGGACTTTAGACTGAAGTAATGCTCCATGTTATATCTCAGCTATTTATACAGACAACAGGATAACGTTTTCACACTCGTTGGGTCTTACAAACAACATTGTTTACCAGTACGGTTCTTCATGCCCACCAATGGTCCAGGTTTTGTCAGTAGGCTCATTGGAATAGAACCTGGCAGTCCTAGACTGTTGGTGTGCTTTGGGAATTGAGTTGTGAATCACCGAGACAAAGAACCACAAGGGAGTACGTAATAAGGTCATCGCAAACACATATCTTAATTCCATAGTCATCAGAATGATTGGGGGTAGATGTTGAGTCATTGACTACATGAAGTATACACACAGATTTTACCTCACCCAAAGAATACAAAAAAATAATAATAAATATATAATAACTGTACTTATATGAACCGGCCTTGGAAAACATTTCATTTGGACATAAAAAATGAAATGCTGTTGAAAAGGATATCTATAATATATGTACTTACGAGCTGTAAGCATTAATATTATATGCTCTCTGTCAAAGTATTTATTTATTACTCTAAGAATTAAATAAAGAAATTAAAAGAACACTACAAAGACATAACATTATTCACCTTCACATCAATAGCCTACTAGAGCAGGACACAAGCCACAAAATCCCCCAGAGGTTTATCCTTGAGAACAGCACCGTAGCATGCCAAAACGTTGCATTTTTGTAGATAGTATGTCTAATTTCTAGCCTTATCACTTTTTGTTGGTCCTTTTATGTTTGGTTGGTGTATTGTTATACTGCGTTGTAAGTAAAGTTGGATTTATTGGCAGTAAATTTGGTGTGCATCCTAATTTGTGTTTTAGAAATTTATATTTGGTGCCTAGGGGAGTATCCACTTAGGTTTGCACCTTTTTGGCTTGTACACTTGGTAAATTGTATTCTCCTATGCAAAGTATTGTTAAAGGGACACTATAGTCACCAGAACAACTACCACTTTTAGTATTTGTTCTGGTGAGTATAATCATTCCCTTCAGACTTTTTGCTGTAAATACTGTCTTTTCAGAGAAAATAAAGTATTTACATTACAGCCTAGGGATATCTCCACTGGCCACTCCTCAGATGGCTACTAGAGGCAGGGCCGGTGCAAGGATTTTTGCTGCCCCCTCATAAAGGCAACTACATTCTCTCACAGGTTTATTCACTAAAATCTGAATTGCAATGAAGAGACATTTAGGGAAGAAAGCACACTGCGTAGAAACACTCATCCAGTATATGCATCCATATACACACACTGCCTAATACATCCATCTACACAGACTGCCTATTACATACAAACAACCATACGCACACAGCTCAATACATAAATCCACACACACCGCCTAATACATACATTCTGTCAGGAATGGTGTGGGTTCCATCACACAGAATGTAGATAAAGGTTAACGTAAACCAGACCTTAGAATGGCCTGACTAACGTACAAGGACAAGGGGTAGTCAAATTCAAGCCTAGGTCAAGGAGTACAGAAATCAGGATAAGCGAGAAAGCCAAAGCCGGGACAAAGGAGTATAGAATGAAGTAGTAACAAATGAAGCCAAGATCAAAAGCTGGAATACAGAACTAACATTATAAGGAACAAAAATGAGCCCAGGAAACCCAGCATTAAGAAAACCAGACATGGAATAGAAAACCAGAAAAAACAAGAAAAACTAAAAAAGAATTGTAAAAAGAGTACTGGATACCAGAAGCCAAGGTCAGACATCTGAACAGGACAGAACAGGTCCTGACACATTCATACATTCATACTGCCTAATGCATACATCAATCAATACACACGTACTGCCTAATGCACACATCAATAGACACATACTGCCTAATACATATATCCATACACTCTTTTTCAATGCATTTGGTGGTATTTAATTTGTAATAATGTTAGGATTTAATTTATGTTACTGTGAACATTCTTTTCGGTTTAATATAGAATTCTATTAATATATATTATAAATCTAACATATAATTATCTATTTACATGGTCACACACACACCAGCACCCACACTATGACTCACACACTCTGACATACATACAAAGTGTCACTTACACATTTTCACTAACACACTTTTACTGGCATACAGTGTCACTTACAAACTCTCAATGACATACAGTGTCACACACTTTCACTGACATACACAATGTCACAGTCACTAACACACACATAGGGTCACTTACACACTCTCACTAACATACACACTCTCACTGACACACAGTATCAATTTCACACTTTTACTAACACAAACACTCTCACTGACATAAACAGTGTCATCATATACACACTCCCACTAACACACACTCTCAACATACAGTGTCACACACTTTCACTGAGATACACAATGTCACAGTCACTAACACACACATAGTGTCACTTACACACTCTTACTAACATACACACTCTCACTGACACATAGTATCAAATACACACTTTTACTAACACAAACACTCTCACTGACATAAACAGTGTCACTTACACACTCCCACTAACACACACTCTCAACATACAGTGTCACACACTTTCACTGAGATACACAATGTCACAGTCACTAACACACACATAGTGTCTCTTACATACTCTCATTCACACACACACTGTCACTGACATACACACAGTTTCACTTACACACTCTCAGTGACATTCACAGTGCCACTTACACACTTTCACTAACACACACACTCTCACGGACATACACAGTGTCACTTACACACTCTCACTGACATACACAATGCCATTTACACACAGTCACTAACACACACATATGCTTCACTTACACACACACACACACACACTCTGTGACATTCACAGTGCCACTTACACACTCACACTAACACACACACACTGTCACTCAAGTACAAACTCACACCACTTTACATATAGTCACACTTTATTTACACACACAAACACACAAATACACACAGATTGATTTACAATCATATACTCATACTCATAATCAGTTCCACTTATCTTCAGATGGACCATTCATAAGTGCTGTGAATGGAGGAGAGTGGTCCAGCATGCAGAAAGCTGCTGTTGTTCCTGGTGGGGGGAGCAGGAGAGTAGTGCACTGTGAGCACAGGCTATTTCCTGTTCCCCTCAGAGTGCTTCCGGTGTTCACAGGCAGGCGCAGCCGGATACTAAATTATGTCCCAGCTTCCGATGCCTGCAGGAAGCTGAGTGCTCTGCTAGGGTGCTGGGGTTACAGTAAACCCCGCTCCCCAAGCAGGCAAGCAGCAGCAGAGGGAGCCCAGAAGCTGAATGGCTCTGCTGGGGGGGGTAGCTAAGGAGCCACTCACCCAGCACAGCATCCCCAGACAGCAGCAAGGCAGCCCACCATGATACCTTCCGGTGGATGCCCCCCAGAGGACGACGCCCAAGGCGAATGGTAGCGCTGGCCCTGACCAGAGGTGCTTCTTGGGGAAGTACTGCACAGTGTGCAGCACTGACATTCAGTGTCAACAACCTCTGCATGCAGACACTGAACTTTTCTCATAGAGATGCACTGATTCAATGCATCTCTATGCGGTGATGCTGACTGACAAGGGCTGTGTTTGGCTTGTGCTGGCTCTGCCCCTGATCTGCCTTCTTGATAGTCTCAGCCAATCCTATGGGAAAGCATTGTGATTGGCTCTCAGAATCACTTCTGATAATGTCAGCCAAGCAGGCAGATCAGGGGTTGAGCCAGAAGCAGCAGACTTTAAGAAAAGTAAGATTTTACTATATTTAGGGAGGAAGGGGAGGGCAGGTGGGCTCGATAGTGGTTTTAACACTATAGGGTCCGGAATACATGTTTGTGTTCCTGACCCTGTAGTGTTCTTTTAACATAACTCTTATCATTTTTACTAGGGTTCCCTGAGTTTTTGTTTATTCTCAATATACTATTCCTCTCTTTTTTTTGGTTTGTTTGCCTATGGTCTCCCTAAGGTGAAATGGCAATCCATATGTGGACCCCTTATCCACTGCCTAGAAGGGTATGAGCTACATCACATAGATGAGGCCTACAGAGGGTGAAATGTTTATCTGGGGGTTGCTCTAGGGAGCATTTTAGATCTAGATATCAATTTTTGGAGAGATCAGTAAAATATGAAAATAGATCAGGTTCCCTTTGTAATGACTAATTTAAGCTAAAACTTTCTATATGAAACAAGAAAACTGCACATGTAAAAGTGAACCCAACGTTACATCATTAATGTGTAGTTACAGTTGCAAGAAAAAGTATGTGAACCCTTTGGAATGATATGGATTTCTGCACAAATTGGTCATAAAATCTGATCTGATCATCATCTAAGTCACAACAATAGACAATCACAGTCTGCTTAAACTAATAACACACAAAGAATGAAATGTTGCCATGTTTTTATTGAACACACCATGTAAACATTCACAGTGCAGGTGGAAAAAGTATGTGAACCCTTGGATTTAATAACTGGTTGAACCTCCTTTGGCAGCAATAACTTCAACCAAACGTTTCCTGTAGTTGCAGATCAGACATGCACAACGGTCAGGAGTAATTCTTGACCATTCCTCTTTACAGAACTGTTTCAGTTCAGCAATATTCTTGGGATGTCTGGTGTGAATCGCTTTCTTGAGGTCATGCCACAGCATCTCAATCGGGTTGAGGTCAGGACTCTGACTGGGCCACTTCAGAAGGCGTATTTTCTTCTGTTTAAGCCATTCTGTTGTTGATTTACTTCTATGCTTTGGGTTATTGTCCTGTTGCAACATCCATCTTCTGTTGAGCTTCAGCTGGTAGACAGATGGCCTTAAGTTCTCCTGCAAAATGTCTTGATAAACTTGGGAATTCATTTTTCCTTCGATGATAGCAATCCGTCCAGGCCCTGACGCAGCAAAGCAGCCCCAAACCATGATGCTCCCACCACCATACTTCACAGTTGGGATGAGGTTTTGATGTTGGTGTGCTGTGCCTTTTTTTCGCCACACATAGTGTTGTGTGTTTCTTCCAAACAACTCAACTTTGGTTTCATCTGTCCACAGAATATTTTGCCAGTACTGCTGTGGAACATCCAGGTGCTCTTGTGCAAACTGTAAACGTGCAGCAATGTTTTGTTTGGATAGCAGTGGCTTCCTCTGTGGTATCCTCCCATGAAATCCATTCTTGTTTAGTGTTTTACGTATTGTAGATTCGCTAACAGGGATGTTAGCATTTGCCAGTGACTTTTGTAAGTCTTTAGCTGACACTCTAGGATTCTTCTTCACCTCATTGAGCAGTCTGCGCTGTGCTCTTGCAGTCATCTTTACAGGACGGCCACTCCTAGGGAGAGTAGCAGCAGTGCTGAACTTTCTCCATTTATAGACAATTTGTCTTACCGTGGACTGATGAACAGCAAGGCTTTTGGAGATACTTTTATAACCCTTTGCAGCTTTATGCAAGTCAACAATTCTTAATCGTAGGTCTTCTGAGAGCTCTTTTGTGTGAGGCATCATTCATATCAGGCAATGCTTCTTGTGAAAAGCAAACCCAGAACTGGTGTGTGTTTTTTTATAGGGCAGGGCAGCTGTAACCAACACCTCCAATCTCATCTCATTGATTGAACTCTAGTTGGCTGACATCTCACTACAATTAGCTCTTGGAGATGTCATTAGTCTAGGGGGTTCACATACTTTTTCCACCTGCACAGTGAATGTTTACATGGTGTGTTCAATATTAGTTTAAGCAGACTTTGATTGTCTCTTGTTGTGACTTAGATGATGATCAGATTTTAAGACCAATTTGTGCAGAAATCCATATCATTCCAAAGGGTTCACATACTTTTTCTTGCAACTGTATAATACCTGAGTCATAGTAAATGCCAATTTACTTAAAATGGTAAATTTAGTGCCTTTGGGGGGGGCAGGGGGGGAGGGAGAGGTTGGACAAATGTTACAATGTGTAAATTCCTAACAAGCACTTCTCTTTATTGATAATTTGTTGTTTTACTGTGATTATCTAGAATGTGATGTGATGATAAGGGCCTATAAACTATTTTAAGGAATGTTTAAATCTATGTATTTTGTTTTCATGATGGAGAGATGAGAAAATCAAAGGGACAAAGCAGTTCTACAGATACAGGAAAGCTTTGTGACAAAATCAAGAATTAAATTATCTATAGGTGAAATTAAAAATCAAGTATATATTCATGATCATTATGACTGGGTTCAAAGGAAAGCAATGCTATTAAGCGTAATTAAAACAAATGTTCTTTTCTTTTCATTTGATCCTGCTTAACAGGAAATGTTTCTTTATTTTTGTCACTTTTTTTATCTGTGTCTATTCTCAGTTAAGACCGCCACAGCACAGAGCTCCATATGTGACTCACTATATTCTAAAAATACCATTTTGTAAAACACCGTGACTGTAAAACGGAATCTAAAGCCTACCAGTAATGTCAACTAAAAAAAGTCCCTTAACCAGTAAAACTCTTCTTTTTTATTCTACATTCTTGAAACTTTAAGTAACAGTAATGACACGTTGAACTATAATCATCTAGATGTTTTACCTCTGTTATCATGCTTCCTATAAAACTAATCCCCAAACACGATCAAATAGCTCTTCAGATCACCACCAAACACTCACAGAGAACAAGACAACAACAACAACAAAAACGCTTACTGAAGGTGGATACTCTAGTTATAGGGTGATAGCAGGGCCGGCGCTTCCCATAGGTGACTTAGGCAGTCGTCTAGGGCGTCCCTTAGGAATGGGTGCCGCCAGCAGCGCTGGCCCCGCTCATGCTAAGAACCTCAGACAGCTGCAGCACTGCCCGGGCCGGTGCATCCATGAGGGCGCACCGGCCCCGGGGCGCAAGATATGAGGAATCAGCCAGTCCTGTAGTGTAGCGTGGCCGAGCTCCGGCCCGGTCCGCGGTACAGGAGCATCCGTTTCATTTACCCGGCCGGGCTAACAGGAAGTGCACTTCCTGTCAGTCCAGCTGGGTACAGGGAACAGAAACTCATGGACCGGACCAGAGCTCGGCCACGCTACACAGGGTATTAGAGGAGGAGTGAGGAGAACCGGGGGAGAGACCACTGAGGGAGGGGGGAGAGATACCATGGGAGGGGGAGTGAGAGGGGGGGGAGGAGAGACCCTGGCAGGGAGGGGGCGGGTGAGAAGAGCCCACCAACGGAAGGAGGGGTAGCTGAGGAGAGACCACCGAGGGAGGGGAGGGGGGTAAATGGAGACCACTCATGGAAGGGGGGTGAGGAGAGACCACTGGGAAGGGAGGTGAGGAGAGACCACTAAGGGGAGGGGGGTGGAGGAGAGACCACTAGGAAAGGGGGGTGAGAAGCGACCACTAAGGGCAAGTGGAGAGGAGAGACCACTAAAGGAGGGGAGGGAGGAGAGGAGAGACCACTAGTGGAGAAGGGGGAGAGGAGACCACCACGAAAGGTGGGGAGGAGGGAGAGATCACCAATGGAAAGGGGAAAGGAGATGACCAATGGAAAGGGGGTGGAGAGATCAAGGGGGTGGCAGAGGAGAGCAGAGACCACTAAGGGAGAAGAGAGATCACCAATGGAAAAGGGAGGAGAGGAGGAGAGGACCACCAAGGGAGGTGGGGAGAGAGTAGAGACCACTGGGGAGGAGTGATCTACTACCGAAAGGGAAGGAGAGACCACTCACGGGAGTGGAGGGGGGGAGGAGGAGAGACCGCCACTGAGGGAGGGAGGGGCTAAAGGAGAGACCACCAAGGGAAGGGGGTGAGAGAGACCACCTGGCGAGGGGAGGGAGGGTGAGGAGAGACCACTACCGGAGGGGAGGGGGTGAGGAGAGTCCCACCAGGGAGTTTAGTAGGTGGAGGGAAGCACCAGGGAAGGGGGGTGAAAAGTGACCACTAAGGGTGAAGGGAGACCACCAAAGGGGAGGGGAGGGGGGGGAAAGGAGAGACCACCAGTGAGAGGGGGAGAGGAGAGACCACCAATGAAAAGGTGGGGAGGGAGGGGAGAGACCACCAATGGAAAGGGAAAGGAGAGATGACTAATGGAAAGGGGGGTGGAGAGACAACAAGGGGGGGGTGGCAGAGGAGAGCAGAGACCATTAAGGGGGGAGAAGAGAGATCACTAATGGAAAGGGGAGGAGAAGAGGAGAGTACACTAAGGGAGGCGGGGGAGGAGAGTTGAGACCACTGAGGGGAGGAGTGACTCACCAATGGAAAGGGGGAGGAGAGACACCACGGGGATGGGGAGCAGTCGAGCAGGAAACCACTAAGGGGGAGGGGGGAGAAGAGATATCACTAATGGAAAGGGGGGGGAGAAGAGGAGAGTACACTAAGGGAGGCGGGGGAGAAGAGTAGAGGCCACTTAGGATACATACCTTTGAGAAGGAAGTCTTTTTTATGAAGTGTGGGGGTGTGGCAGGCTTATGATGCAGCATTCTGCATAACGTGTATTTATTTGAAGCAAAAACTAAACTAAAAGATATGAGCTGTACAACTCTATGAGTTATACTAGAGCTCCATAGGAAAATCGTAACTCCAGCACATGGGTAGAATCCTCTTATAGGAGTATTCCCTGGCACAGACTGGGGGCTTTCAGAAAAACATGTAGGAAAAAAAATATTCTGTTGGGGTATACCTACTAAATTGTTACAAATTCATTTTGGGGGAACGTTTCCTTTTGGTGTTTAGTGAATTAACTTGTGACACGATGGAGGGTGTAGCAAAATGTATCTTTGCCTAGGGCAGCAGAAATCCTTGTACCGGCCCTGACACTATGCAATAAAATACTATACTTATTAACACAATTGATCTATTCAGTGAAAGCCCAGACAAAAATCTAATTTTAGCAGCATTACTTCCAAACGGGGAGTCAGTTGATGACCTGAAATTGATGACTTGCAACATGCTTACAGCTGTATATGCATAAATAACAGACAGGCATCAAGAAGCAGCATATCTAATGCCTCGTCCATTTATACGGCCAGCTTTGTGTGCTGACACAACCACTATCAACATCAATTTGGACGGGTCACTAAGGCAGGCTGCATGTCAGCAACAACTAAGACTGTAAGATATTTATTTAAAGAAAATACTACCAACCACACTAACTAAATGAAATTCGAAGGCAGTGGTTTCTAGTGAGTGTGTCTAATTCAGGAATGACTATACTCCTCAGTAGCTGGGATTTCCTTGGACTGACTAAAGTCCTGAAAGGCGTAGAATTGGAAGCATTGGAAATCTTATTGCAAAGACCCCTGAATAATTGTCAATTTTAAAATGTATTTTCGACGTATTTCACCCCATCCCAAGGCCCGTAAAGAGGGGAAAATGGAGATTCATTGGCTAGCCTCAAATCAGTAGATTATACTATTTTATTTCCCTGGTTTGGGGGATCGATTAGGGGCTATTAAGCATATTTTGCAAAATGAAAGCCCCTCAACACACTTATAATAAGGGATGGAGAGAAAAAGAGAGACATGGGCATATCTTGCTCCCGTTGCCCAAATAATTTCTCGCTCCTATGAAATTTAGGGTTGACCTAGCCCTTCATGTTAGTGGCGACAGCAGAAATCGTGCTGATAAATACAGCACTGGCTCTAAATGCAGAGGTCAATGCAGAGTTCTGGGGTGACTTGGATGGTCAACAATTTACGCTACACTGTTTCCTTCTATGTAAGAATAGCTATAATAATCGATACCATTATAATTATAAATTTTTTAAAGTATGCTGTATCCATTCAGATCTTTAGTATTTATATTTCTTTACTATAATTAACTTTCATTGAAGCAAAGGTGAACAATCATTGAAAGGAAATGTGATACTACGTTCTTTTGGCACAGAAAGGTTAATTGTAGTAAAGTCTGTAAAGGTTTTGTAGCATTGACCATGTATGTTGGTTTACTAATGTGTTTAATGGGTGCTTACGTTCCGGAATGTGGTCTTTGTGGGTTACTTTTTTTCTAGATTTGTTGCACGTGCGACTCAGTGCTAATTGCACGCTATAGAACCGTGAAAAAAAAATACACTGCCCTGATGTCTCTTGACATAATTCTAGCATCTAATTATGGTTTCTTACTGTTTTCTAATGCTAGAGATTAATTAGGAAAACAAGCTCAGGAAATTGTTGGAACATGGTGGTAGGACGCACTGATCACAAGGGCTAATAATTGCAGGGCATTAGTTAATATAAGTCGCAACTTTTTAAATCCTGGATAAATATAAAATACTACCAGTATTTATTAATATTTTTTTATAATCTAGCTTCTATCAACCCACCTCCAAATGATACGCAACATATCCCATCATATATAGCATCTGGCTATGATTTACACAATGGCAAAAGCAGTGCACAAGTCATTTGGGCTCCATATTTGAATACTTGTAGTCACAGGTATATCAATAAAAGCTGCAGAGGGCAAATAAATAAATGTAGCAATAGCCTTTAAACTAGTGCAATGTACAATAATTCCGTAAAATAAAAAGCAACTCTAGACTGGTTTTGTTACGACTGATCTGCTATTGCAGCTTCAATCTGTTAAATGCAGACACCAGTCCGCAGGCTTTGCTCTATGTAATGCAATGAAGCATGCATTTTTTATAAGTATCTCTGATTAACGGTGATGTGGTTACCTTGCTGCCTGCACCAAACACCACTCTGGTAGTCATTTTGCTGACAAAACAGTAACGATGCTGACGGTTCTATATCTTCTCTAAAATCTATCAAGACGCACAATTTTTTTTTTCCTTACTGCAGATAATAGCTCTCTGAATTGAGAAGTGACACCATTTAGGTTAATCGTTTTCTTCGCCACGCTGAGGAAACGTGGAAAAGTCTCTGCTGACGGTGCATTTAGTTCACGTAATGCTAGCTGCTGCCCTGTTCACTGCAGAGCATACATCAATTTATTGCCTCTGTAGAGGGGAGAATGCTGACTGACAAGAGACAGGAAATTGGCAAATCTATTAGAATGTGCAGAGGTGACTGTTACAGAGGTGCTGGCAGGACAAGTTCATCTCAAGGAAAATCCTGCTGCATCTGCTACCGTCTAAGGGGCCCTGATTACCCAATCAATTTTCTAATAAAAAAACGTGATCTAAAAGCAAAGTACACCAGACTGGAACGCAATTGGGCATCCTTGGCCCTTCGGTCAATTTTTTTTACCATGATTCCCATCATACTCTACCTGCAAAAGAATGGTGCAGGTGATGGGAGTTGTAATTCCTAACATGCTGTGAACTGCATTTAAGTAGTAAATCTAGACATAACAAGGATTGCTATACCAGCTTGAATGCCAATGAACTATTCTCTATTCTGGTCATACATCAGCATATGAGGCCGTTTGGTGAAGAAACAGAATGGAACTTATGTTGTAGAATAGATTGTTTACTTCAGAGCATTGTCTGATAGGGGAGTCACAAAGTATTCACTTCATTTTGACCTATTTCATATATATACTTTTATGTCAAGCAGCAGCCATCTTCCACAGCCATTTAGTAGCACGAGAGACAAATCTATGCTTGTACTTGGGACAAACATTCAACTGTGGCTTTTAAAGGGCCTGCCTCCCAACCAGCAGCATGCCAAGGGGTCCACTCAGTGCGCCAGCCCTCCACTGTGGAACAACCTGCATCAAATCAGAGGACATCAAAGGCCGGAGGGGAGCTGCTGGGTCAGTCTGTGCTCTGACTGAACAGCTCCCTCTCCACGTTGCCGGGATGTATATCACCAAAACCCTGTTGTGAGCTATAGTGCATTGTATTCCTGGCACTATAGTATCCCTTTAAGTGACAGTGTAAGTTTCTATATTCAATGGATACTTAAAGGGATACTCTAAGCAACAAAATAACAAGCCAGCTATATTTTTTTTTGATACAGACATTGGACCTAAAATTTCAAATTCACTTTGAATTAATTTTGAATTCCTGACATTTCCACTTTAGTGAATAAACGTGAAAGGCCTTTATCACAAGTTATTGTTCAACAGTAATCGACATATTAATGGCTGTCGATTAGCTGTAAATTAGAATGACAAGATTACAATATAGCTCCCAAGCTCTTTGGCGATATTTATGCCATTTTCAGTTCAGTGAAAAAGTTGATCAACTGAAGCAAATAAAGTGCGAGTAAATACTGCTACAATATTAAAACAAAGCAAAATCTATATCACAACAAGTTCATGTGTCCACTATCCTCAAAATGTAAAATTTTAAAATGTTTAAAGAAATAACAGATAGCAATGTCGGTAAAAGCCAAATCATTTATTATCATCACTACAGTGTTCAAGCTGTGATGTGACGGAGAATCTAGCAATATAGAAATATAATTTGTTTGTCACTAGCGTCACGATCTTGGCATTAATGCCATCACTTGGTGTAGCGGTTATGTTGCCTAAAGTCACAATTTAAATGATTTTATATATGTTCATTATCAATGTCAATTTGCCCAACACAGGTAGAAGTGATTAGCCTAGAGTTACAACCAGTAACAATAAGTAGTGGTTATGTTACTTTGAGTGCTCCTTTGAAAATGACGACTGACATTAAAGGAACACTGTAGGGTCAGGAACAAAAGCATGTGATCCTATAGTGTTAAAATCACTATCTAGCCCCCCTGCCTGCCCTAGATGTAGTAAAATCTTATCTTTATTTTAGTCTGCTGCTGCTGGCTCTTACCCTGATCTGCCTCCTTCGCTGACATCATCAGAAGTGATGATCTGAGCCAATCACAATGCTTTTCCATAGAAAAGGTGGTGGGACAGGGAACAGAGCCAAATGCCACCCTGGTCAATCAGTTTCTCCTCACAGAGATTGCCAAGATGGTGGGACAGGGGACAGAGCCAAACGCCACCCTGGCCAATCAGCATCTCCTCACAGAGATGGATTGAATCAATGCATCTCTATAAGGAATGTTTAGTGTCTCCATGCAGAGGGTGGAGACACTGAATGTCAGTGCTGCACACTGAGCAACATTGCCCCAGGACACACCTCTAATAGCCATCTGAGGAGTGGCCAGGGAGGTATCCCTAGGCTGTAATGTAAACACTGCTTTTCCTCTGAAAAAAACAGTGTCTACCTCAAAAAGCCTACAGAGACTGACTATACTCACCAAAACAACTACAATAAGCTGTGGTTGTTCTGGTGACTATAGTGTGCCTTTAAGCAGGTTTTAAGTCGATAACAACTACAAACTTCTGTTTCATTACCAGCAGAAGACAGATGAGACATGTTTGGATTGGGATTGTGTTGATGCAATTGTGTCTGAAATTCAGAAACAATTATAAAATGAAAACTGTTAAGAGTGTGATTGAGGCCTCACTTTGTACTAACGATAGACTGATTCCGACAATTATTAATGTCAATAGTCAGCATATTTCTGATTATTTATGAGATCGAAATAAGTCCTGAAATTTACCAATATTACCAATAATTATTGATGTCCCGAACGGTTCGCCGAACGGTTCACGAACGGTTTGCCGCGAACGGTTCGCCACGAACGGTTCGTCGAGGACTCATCATTGAGTAAACTTTGACCCTGTACCTAACAGTCAGCAGACACATTCCAGCCAATCAGCAGCAGACCCTCCCTCCCAGATCCTCCCACCTCCTGGACAGCTCATTAAGAATGCAGCTTCACAATGAATGTAAAATGGATGCTGTCCAGGAGGTGGGAGGATCTGGGAGGGAGGGTCTGCTGCTGATTGGCTGGAATGTGTCTGCTGACTGTGAGGTACAGGGTCAAAGTTTACTCAATGATGAGTCCGTGGCGAACCGTTCGTGGCGAACCGTTCGCGAACCGTTCGCGAACCGTTCGGCGAACCGTTCGGGACATCACTACCAATAATTTATTCACCTCTCCCAGTCACTGCACACTATCTTCCACATCCAGAAACTCCAGCGTCCAGCCAATGAGGCTCCATATCAAGACCTCACACACCCCTGTCTGTGAGTTTCCGCATGCAGAGCTCAGCTGAAAACAGGATGTGAGACAGTGAACACTCTACTGAAGTGTACTGGGCTGCCTGCCTGAGAGTGATAAGAGTGTGCTTGCTCTTAGTAACAGCATTGCATAAACTGGGATCTCACTCCAAGAGTGATGGTAGAATAATTGCTGACAGCATGTTCAGTTAATGGCAGAGTTGAGTAGATATTTTGTTGCTTTTTCAAAAGCTCCAGAATAACAGCACCATTTATGGGCCCGAATGGCAACTGATAATCTGTATCTCCATAAACTCTGGATAAATATCAGTCAATCCCTACTTTGTATTAGAGTTTTAGGAGTTTTCGAACAGGTTATCAGACAAATAGAATTCTGCATGACTCCCACAAATCTTACTTTCTTGAGATCCCCGCTTCCATTCCAGAAGGGCATATCATTCCTACTCTCAAGGCAAAGAGATCTATTCTTCTAGTTGGCATGGATCCCTAATGCACAGCTCAATCATGCTTTGAGCAGCACTTATGACTTAGTCAAAGTACACCACCACACTCAGTCTCAGTCATTAAAATGTATCATACATGCATGAGTGCCTACAATTTCCTACCTTTATAACTACATCTCTACATCTCTTCAATACTACATCTCTTCAATACAGCAGTTTGCAAATAAACGTGTACATATTTTTAACATTTCCTGTGTGAGTACAGGCTAGCTTTAAACAAAAATGAAGTAACAGTTCAGTCAATGATAAAATGTACATCAGTTATCAGTGCCGAGGCAATGTTCTCCCTGCAGCCCAACTCTCCAACAGTGATGGGAAGTGATATCAGGGATGAAGGACTGAGGGGAGGGTGTGCTGCCATTGGTCTCCTGACGCTAACATATGGTGAATTCACACTAGCCAACTACACCTACAGCAACTGAGGGCTATATCTCTGTATGTGCAGCGTTTTATAGTGAAATGCTGCAAATACAAACTCAATCGCAACTTGGAGTAACTATTTAGGAGGAAGGACCTCTGGTGGCTTCCAGTCTAATAACCAATAGAGGCATGGTTTTGGACAAATGTAAAAAGTGCTAGTTCTGAAAATCGGCAATGTTTTATATTGTCCAAATAAAAAGACAGCATCTATGCAACAATTTCATAATATTAGGTTGTGGTGGTTTTGGTGCTTAGAATGTTCCTTTAGTATCTGCATTGCACACTGAATTACAATTAGTTACACAAGTATGGAAATTAGTTCAGGCGTTTTGCTTCGGAGTACATAAAAATGTTTTTCCACAAAATGAGGCAGAGTTGATAGTTCTCATGGGAATTTAAATATCTAGGCCAAAACATCTAATCACAGAAACCATCCAACTTGGTTATTTTGGCTTAACATTTGCATTCCGTGGGTCGATTCCCAAACAATTCCCAGTTTGGTGAAAAATCTTAAAAATACATTTAACATGTAGGCTCCATGGCCAATGAACTGTAAAAATGAAGAACAATTCTAGATCAAAGAGAGAAGAAACTAAAGGAGAAACGGCAAAGAAAGAGCAGTGCTCACTTTTACAAGCATACATTAATGAGGTGTTGGTAAAATGTTTGAAAATTCTGCATAATTCATGGTGGATTAAGCACACTTTTCATATAGCAGTCTGTCAATCTAGCAAATTTGGGTAAATAGCTTGTTATACATGGACTGAATAAATTACATCTCCAGAAGTTTAAATTTACAAATAATAAATCCCCCAACCCACCGCAATGAAAAATACAGAATCCAACAATTAATAACTCTAGCGGCCAAAAAAATCAAGAGAAATAAAAATAGGAGGGCTTACATCGTGCTTAAACTTAGTTTTGATGGCAATACACTTTGCTGTTTAGTGAATAGACCAGAGATTGACCAAACACCATTTTCATTTATAGTTGGCAGAATGATGTCATACCAAGGGATGGTAATACCTAGGGATACTGTATCCACCGTGTTTTCTAGGACACAGCTATGTACGTCCCCAGGAAAATATGGCAATCCTACTTATACCTGTAGTCATGTTTGTAAATTATGATCTAAGTGACACGAAGACTCTCTCCGTTTATACCTCCATTTACAAGCCATATTTTCTCTGGAGGATCCATGCTGATCTTTTAATTATGGTTGCTAATTAAAGTGGCAACATTTACATTAATCAATACAGAATTTAAAACCTGTCTATATGCTGTGCTAAATTTCAAAGCCACTCAGCATTTTTTTTTTTTAAATAGACATTTTAAGAGCATGGTTTTTTTAAACTTTGTTTACATATACCTCAGGATTGTAATGTAACATTTCCCATCATGCATCTGACCTCTTGGCAATGCAGCGCTCAGTGGGCCATTTTAAAGTTGTTGTAAATTAGATTGTTATAAATGATGCAGAGGAGGAGGGAGGTAGAGGTTCTGCCCATAACATTTTTCTTTTGCACCTTTGAATAATGAGCTACTTGCAAGAAAAGTTTACATATATCACATATCAAGACTCTTACAAACGTTAGTGCTATATCCACAGTTATTGGAAGGACTGCTAATTAACGTAAAGTGCTATATTATGACACTTCCACTTTAAAGACTTGCACCGCAGGGCAGAATTGATTTTAATGGAGAACTGCAGTATAGATTTTCCATAACAACGCCCATTAAGCCATGAAGGGTGGTTTCCCTACTTATCATCGACTGCCTCTAATAAAGAGTGCCAATTGCTTAATTCTTGTACATTTTATAGTATAAATAAAATTCAGTCTTATAACCTACTAACATGCAAAATTTAGACCAAAATGCTTCAACCAAGGTGGAGGAAGACATCTTGGTTAGTAACTCACTTCCAATGATCCAATCACCAAACACTGCACCATTTAGGCCTTACGAAATATAACTTAAAGACCAACATTTTGAAATAAAATAACTGGTACCGATTTGACATGGGATGCACAAGGAATGTGAAAGGAGTACTCAGGCAAACATTTATGGAGTTAAAATTTGCCCTCCATGTCACCCGTTTAGACCTCAGGTTATCTTGGTTTTTTTGTGCCACTTCGATAAAAATTGGGTTATTATTTTTTAAATTTTGATGAACTCAAATAAATATTTGTTTGTTTGGTGCTGTGAGAGCCTAGGCTCTTTCCGCTATGTATGGGGGCAGGAATGGGATAACACAGTGGGTTTTCAGGGTGGAATCAGGGTGTGCAGTGGCAAGAAGTGTAGAAAAGCAGGTGAGAGTAGGGACACGTGGCTGAGAGTGGAGACACGCAGCTGAGAATGGGGACACGCGGCTGAGAGTGGGCAGAGCTAACCCCTTCTTTTCTCTATAGCCCCCTTGGAAACACCTTGTTTCAACTCTAAAGCCCATTGCCAGCTATTATCAAGTCATATTGCCCCATGACTAAGTGCTAACTAATTACTGATGGATAAACCATATATTTAGGCACTTTATATCTATAATTACCTTGCAAAGCTGAAAAATAATTATATTTTATTTTCTTTGGTTTAGTGATCTTAGTTCAAAAACCTGTCACTCCGAAACTGCATTAGCTGACACAGATGGACAGATAGACATACTGATGAACAGATAGGCAGAAAGATAGCACATTAAACCCTCTGAATGCCTATTGTTTCAACAGAATCATTTAGAAAATAGCAACGCATTCCATATTTTTGAATTAATTTATTTTGGTGCAATGTGCAGAGTGCAGACAAGCTGTTAAAATGACTGCAAAGGAAAGTTTACAGTTCAATATATAGCGAATGTATCTGTAGGAGACATGAGTCCCTGTTCTGCATCTGCACAAATCAACCTCACTTTTCTAATGACTTGCATGTCCCTAGTGCATGTCTCAGTGACATCATCCTGCGATTAAACAGAACTTGGTAAATTTAATTGTGATGAAGGGATTTCCAGAATCATAAAATGTATTTATATTTGACATATGCATAATAAGTGAATTACTAATTCAGAATAATTGGCATCATATGTACACGTTTATAAAATAATAAAGATGCGATTTGGTAAGGTGGGCAACAATTCATTTCAGATTTTGATTAATCTGCTGCTAAATACAATAACTGAACTATATCTGACGTTAATTATTCAATAAATGCACTATCACACACCAAGTGTGCCAGAATATGATGCAAGATTATGTCGAGCAGCAGTGAACTACAGATGCAACAAACTCAAAGATAACTAGCATGCATTGCAGCATGTCTTAAGGATGAAAAAGTGATTTTTGAACTCCGCAAAGTATAAATTATATAATATGTGCGTCACAAGTTTATAAATAATAATAAAAAAAAAAAGCTACAACCTTCTTTGACCAGCTCTTGGCTGGCTATGTATGATTAATGTGTTTTTTTGTTTTTTTTATACAGTTAATATTTTCCAAGGGGGTCTATTGGCTTAACAGCGAGCTGTGCTACATTGACAACTGGCTTGCAAATATTGGGCAAAATAGTTTAGCTAAAAGTTATTCTAATTTAACAGAATTTGAGAGTATTTCCAGCTCTGATTTTTGCCCACATTCTGCCATTATTTTTAAATCATGAAAGCTCACCATTTAGTGAATAACCCCAAGTGTATGAAAGTAACAAGTACATAGTTATTAATAGATATTAAAAGTGCACCTTAGGAAAGTGTTGTGATCAATGGTTTGTGTCAAATGCAACACCATGACAATACAGAAACATGTCTTTAAAAAGCCCTAACGTGTTTACACCCACATCCTTCTGATCTTAGTGTAAATATTTCCCTGTCTGCAGAGTACATGTGCATTAAATTCCACTACAGCTACTGCAGAACCTCTTGGAAGTATCCATTTCACAGCTTGCAGTATTCACTTCTCAGCTGAGAACATTGCTTTCAATATATGCCACCGAAAAAAAAATAATGGGGATATCCATTCTTAAAAGTTAGCTTGAACAAGTCTATTGGTAAATGTCACCAGTCCTGCTTCTAGATAGATGCAGGAGTATACACATCTTCTGCAGTGGTTACAGTTTGCATCATCTTGCACCATCTAGCCACACCAACCCCCAGTCAAAATCTGCCAGTCCCAGTGTCCCAGTTTGTCTAGAGCCCTGATTCTGGTCCTGTTGTTATTATTATTATACTATTATTTTAAGGAGAGAGGGATAGACTTCACTTTTCCAGGTATTTTTTTTTTTTTTTTAAATTAGCAATAAATAAAAGGGCTCTATTTCCTTGCAGAATGTTCTTTGGTGCAATCATGATAAGCAGGACAAGTGTAGCTTACCTAACTCTCCATCAATGACGGTGAGAGCTATCTGATCCATTAAAACCAGCGTGAAATCCACATCTTGGTCCCTGCAGCGTTGCTTTAGAGCTTCCAAGATCTTCGTCTGATGGTATTCCCCCAAGATATATTTGTCTGTGAGCAGCCACAGCTTGGAGCCCATGGTAGATGCAGCACTAATAATAACAACAAAAAAATTATAAAAGAAAAAAAAAAAATATATATATATATATATATAAAAAAAAAAAGAATTAAAAAAAAAAAACAGCAGTAGAAAAAGCAGAGGCTAAAAAATAGGGTTAAAATAAAGATCTGTGACTTCAGTACAGATGGCCTGTACTCAGGTGTCTTATCATCTGCACTGTAGCATTCCTACAAAAAATACTACACATCTATAACAGCTGCTTAAAGCCAGAATCCAACAGTCTGGGAGGTGCAGCATAAATAGGGTATTCTGATAATCTACTCACTTACACCCCTAGCCTCATGCACATCCAGTGTGTGCAATCCCCTCTATGTAATCAGTATGGGTGGACCCTCTGCCAACCCACCTTTAAAACTAGCTTTATTTAAAGCATAGGGGGATGAGCTAATAAATAAATCATTCCCAGGCACATTAGTACTGCAGCAGTCTATTGGCTTAGTCTTTTCTCTTTTTCTCTTTTTTTTTTTCTTTCTGATATATTCTCTCTCTTTTTTTTTTTTCCTTCAGTCTGCTTCGGTTTGCACTTCACGGATCACCGTCCCCACATTACAGAGCAGCTTTAATCAGGAGGCTCCTGTTACCTGCAGTTTGTCAGAGGAAAAGCTAGAACAGCATCCAGGGAAGGTTATTATAGGGATGATTAGTGATCTGCCTGGCCAATCAGCAGCCGGGGAGTCATTGGCCAATCGGGTGGCGGGATGTCAGCCCTTGAGACTGTTGATTGGCCAATCAGGGAGCTTGGAAGTGAGTGATGCTGCAAGGATGCTGCTTGGGTACCAGAGGCAGCTGAATAGCAGAATCTTTGGACCTCTGAGCTCTCTGGGGTGTTTTTTTTTTTTTATAGGTTATTGCTGTAGGTTAGGTTTGACACAGTAAGAATAAAATGGAGAAATATACTAATATGTGATACATGAAATAGATTTATTTTTTTCTTATAACATTTGTCAGTATATAACCTATAATCACTTATTTTATTACAAACAGAATAGGGATTTTGTGTCTGTACCTAGAAAATAAAGCTGCCAAGTGTAGCATACCTTTGGGCCATCCTATTATACGCGGATTTTGTCGGCGCTATATAAATAATAATAGTAATGATAATAATTAATGAACTGCAGAGGTTTATGCATTAAACAAAGGTTACAAATTTGTGAATAAAATTAAGCAAAAGTAAATAAATCCATAAGCTGTCAAAAGATCTGATTAATCAAATCCTATTTATCCATTGCTATTCAAAAATGGACAGAGTAGGGTTTTTACTAAACAAATAGTGAATAGATGAATAAAAAAAAAACAGAATTGGAAACCTTAGTTGAGTTGAGATTGACAAACTTTGTAAGCTCTGCTAAAATCCCAGTTTGACTATTTGTAATTCGTGTGTTAATGCATTTTTGCTTTCAGGACTGCATGGAGCATATTTCTGAGCAATGAGTCCCTACAAGCTTTAGGTGATAGAATAGTGTGTAAAAGAACGATTAAAGGTGGAGTTAAAGGGGCAGTATAGTCACCTAGCTTTTTATAGTTACGTCCACCTCTAGTGGCTGTCTGTATGATAGCCACTAGAGATGCTTTGACTGCACTGACCAAGTAAAATTCAGTTACATAACTGAAACCCCGCACAGAAAAGCATTGATTCAATACTTCGCTATGGAGAAGCTTGGAAGCACATTAGGTGCACGATGCTCCTCTATGATGATTGGAGTATGCTGAAGAAGGCAATGTCTCCTCTGTGACATCACAAGATGTGGAGAGGGGAGCAGCGCAGCGCAGAGGAAGCTTTGTTGCTGAAAAAAGGTGTGTGAAAAGCTTAATTTTAATATTTCAATTGTAAGAAATTACCGTTTACCCTTTTACACATGGTCCCTGTTCTTTGAGGAAGGTGCAACAAATAAAACACACAGACAAGTGTAATAAAATAAATGTATTAGGTGCAAAGATAATAAATTCACAGATAATACATCAGGTTTAATAAAAAGGTATTAAACATAGAAACATCAACAATTGATAAAATACAAGTCACAGAGTATCACAGAAGGATGGAATAATCACAACACTTGCCACAAAAACAATATCTCAAATAGCAGTCATTTAACGCAACCACAATGAATATATTGATTAGTCACTTGCATCAGAATAATAAACAGTTCACTATACAAGCTACAAAACAAAGACCAGTCATAGACATATAGCACTCAGCAATAAATGCATTAACTAAAATAACTATCTGCTCTATAGTGTAATACACATCAAATATACAGTAAATGCAATAACTCCACCTGCTCTATAGTCTAATACACAGCAAATATAGTGAGGTTAAATCAAACAACACACACTGATATAAAAACAATTTTCATCACAACTATCACAGGAATCAACCTGTATCACAGTCAAATATAGTTACCAACAGAGTGTAGATCTGTATATTGAAGTCTCCCCTGGACTCCTGCTTGGTTGTCACTCCTTGAAGTTCCTACCAGAACTGCCCTGTCTCTAGCCATTTTGGGCCTACATTTATACAGCTTTTCTCTTTGCAGTTTTCCCCTTCATTTACCCATATCTTCCATCCATCTACCTAAATTATCTAAGGGGCATGTGATGGGTTTGGGAGGATCAAAAGCTCAGCAATAAATTATTTATTTCCTGTTTGATGTAAGTGGTTCACAATGGAAGTAAAGGGCTATTTACCATTTAAATACAAGTTGGGAAAAACTCAAACACCCTATTGATAACACGATATGAGATAAACTCAGGATAAAAACTGGTCCGATATGGTGTTCTTAGGTATGCTTTGATAACAGTTAGATAAAAGGTCTTTGATTTTAGAATTGATAAACCCAACTGTCCATCCAAATTAACGGGGCGGGAACCTTAACTTTGCTAGGGACAGAGAGACTATAGTATTACGAATACAGGTTTGAATTTCCAATTCTATAGTGGTCCTATAATTCTGTTATTGACTGTTAACAGCAGAAGTATTGCTGCGCCCAGAATCCCCAGCCCCTCACACACATACCTATGCCGCTTGGAGTAGCATAAAAAGATGATCTATCTTTTTATAATATGTAGCTGCTTTGAGAATTGGTAGACCGATGTAAAATAAAAAGATTTTTAGAAAAAGTTTAATGGTAGAGTTTAATGATATTGTTTGATTAATTCAATTTAGCATATTAAAGTAACTCTCGTAACACCTAAAGCACTTTTGCTTGGTAAAACTGGCACATTTATTAATCAACCATGTCACACCCTCTGGCTGCCAATCAGACAATCGGACCTTTTGTTTCCTGGTTTGGTTAGCTCAGTGAAACTAAACTCAAGAGGCAGCAATTGCCCAGAGCAGCTACCTTGTACAGAAGTAAGCTGCATTGGGAAGTCTGTGATTGGACAGAAAGTCTGGGCTGGGAAAAAAGGTGAGGGTTGGCAAAACCTACAGACAGCAGATCTGCAGCTTGCCACAACCTGTTCCTTTCTGTGGATTTGTCTGGCCTTGGCTACTGGTATCCAGTATTCTTTTTACAATTCTTGTTTAGTTTTTCTTGTTTTTTTCTGGTTTTCTATTCTATGTCTGGTTTTCTTTATGCTGGGTTTTCTGGGTTCATTCCTTTGTTCCAAAGAACCTTCCCACGCTGAGTAAAATGACACAGAGCACTCTGATTCGTTACTTAATCCACCAATCAGAGTGCTCTGTGTCATTTTACACAGCGTGGGAAAATTCAAAAGAACTTTCCCACGCTGTGTAAAATGACACAGAGCACTCTGATTGGTAGATTTCAAGCCAACCAATCAGAGTGCTGTGACAGGTAAATGTAGAGACTTACCTGTCAATCTCTTCATTTACCTGTCAGAGCAGTCTGATTGGATGGCTTAAACTCAACAATCAGAGTGCTCTGAGCCTAAATGAAGAATATTTTCAAAACAGTGGATGCAAATGGGTATATTGAGAAGTCCAGTTGCCACCGCAGACCATGGCTCAATAACGCACCTAAAGGACAATTTCTAAGGGTAAGGCGAAATTGCACCAATGACGAGGATTACATGATACAAGCAGGGAGGATAAAAGAACAGTTCAAAGAAAAAGGATATGAAGAAACAGAATTAGGTATGCTATGGAAGAAGCAAAAAAAGCATCAAGAACAGAATTATTAAACTATAAACCAAAAAACACACAACAAGCATACACTAAGGAAATTCCTTTTATTTGCAATTTTAACGGCAACCATAAAAAAGTAAATAGGGCCATAAAGAAATATTGGTATGTTCTACATTACAAGAAGATCCAATTTTGAAAAACATCCTACCAACTCAACCACGTATAATTTATAGAGGTGCAGCTAACCTCAAAAAAACATTAATTCGGAGTAGCGAAGGCCCAGCGACTACTGAACACTTTTTAAACCAAAATAAAGGCTTTTTTGGTTGTGGGACCTGTCTGGCGTGCAGGACCACCAAGAGTAGTAAAAAGAAATTTAATTAATATTAAAGATCATATTAATAAGGAATTTACTATTAGAGACCAACTAACGTGTTTTTCAAAAGGAGTAGTTTATGTGTTAAAATGCCCTTGTGATCTACTTTATATAGGCAGAACCACAAGATGTTTACACGTAAGAATCTCCGAACACGTACGTAATATTAAAAAAGGACTAGAGACACATAGTGTATCTAATCATTGTAAGACCTATCATAATCAAAATGCCGACAATTTTTTTTAAAAATAATTTTAATACCCTTATACCCCATGGGTTAAACTCGGATTTTGAGGTTTGCCATTTCTTTTAAATATGAATTCAAGGAGATAAATATGGGGAAAAGAACTGTGGGAATGAATCTACTTAAGAGAAAAAATCACAACCTGGCCTTTACACCTTTACTAGCATGAAGATATATTGATTGAAATATGTTTTATGGAAATTAACATGAGCTTGCATGATATGATATAGAAATTCCGCAATGGAACGCAC